GCTCGCCTGGTGCGGCGGCAGCGCGAACCGCAGCGACAGCAGCTCTGCCCGCCGCGGCAGCTGCGCCCGGTAGTCGCCGCGCGTGTCGTACGCCTCGACGGCGGCGCGGAGGCGCGTCCAGATGCGCTGGTGCAGCACGTGCAGTCGGTCCGTGTCGAGCGCCCGGTCGGCGTCGGCGGAGGACGGGTGAAAGAGCTGCGAGACATGGCTGCGTACCTTTTCCCAGAGGCCGTGGAGCGGATGCGACTCGTCGACGTAGTCGCTCGTGAGCGTCGTGTGCCCGCTCCAGCGGAACTCGGACCTCATTCGCCTTTCTGCAGCGGCAAAGGTCCATCTCGGGTGGACCGGTGGCTGGTTTTGCATCTCTCTGATGGCGGATTCGTCGTCACGCATCTTGGCTTGGAGTACGGAGAGGTCGGTATATGTGCGGGATGTGGCGCTTACTGCTGTCTGTAGAAGAAACTGATAAAAATGAAGCTTTTACTGGACGCACTGCGAGTTATTTTCAGAGACGCGGTATGTCTGGGAGAGATCTCGCGTTGGGCCTGGGGCTGCCGCCCGATTGGCAGGTGCAACTGTGAGACGAACAGACAATCACAAGCTCGTATCCAGTCGGTAACCACATTTGAAACTCGGTTCGTCACCGTGGACGCCGTGTAACATTGACGTGGTCATCCACGTGCAATCCCGATGCTCAGATGTGTAGCGCAAGGCAGCCAAAGTATCACAGCATCTAGAAGATGCTTGCTTATTGGTAAAAAGTCGTCCACGTCAGAGATACACACCATTGTCAACAACAAGATTTCTCTTTCAAAGGATAACGACATTCTACCAACTAGTCTATAAATCCATGGCCACCATTCATCTCATTTCCAAGCACGTCTCGACGTCGCCGTACTGCGTCTTCCACAAGTCCACCAAGTAGTTGGTGCGCGGCCCCCAGACGCCCGTGCCCGCCTTTGGCAGCTCCTCGTTGACCTTTTGCAGATACGTAGCCGACAAGCTGAACAGCGGCTTGGGCGTCATGGACCCAGCCGAAGCCGCATCGAGCCGCGGAACCGCGACCCGGGCCTTCTGCCTGTCCATGTCCTTGATGACGCGCACGGCCAGCAGCGCGGCGCAGTCGCACCCCAGCGTCCAGGCCGCATTCTCAAAGCCAATCGTAAAGAACAGGTTCGGCACGTCCTGCAGCATGGTGCCTTTCCAGAGAAAGCTCTTTGCATAGTCCTTGTCCGTGCCGTCCACCGTCACCCGCATGCCGCCGGCAAAGAGCAGCTTCAGCCCCGTGGCCGTGACGATGGTGTCCGGGTACAACGTCTCGCCCGACGCAAGACTGATGCTGTTCTTGCCGACAGCGCTGATCGTGTCCGTCACCACGCTGGCCTTTCCGGAGCGCAAGGCGGCAAAGATGTCGCCGTCCTTGGACGCGCACAGGCGCTGCTCCCACGGCTTGTACCGCGGGTTGAAGTGCGGATCCCACGGCACGCCCGCGGGCAGCAGCCTAGCGTTCTCGTAGCGAATGTACCGCCGGGACAGGCGCGGCCAGGCGCGGCACGCCGCAATCATGAAGATGGTCTGCAGGATCCAGCCGACGCGGTGCAGCCAGTACGCGAGCGCCCAGGGCAGCGCGGCGAAGATGGCGGACGAGAGCGCGCCCCGCGACGGCAGCGGGAAGATGTACGTCGGACTGCGCTGCAGCATCGTGACGTGCGCGGCGCGGTCCGTCATCGACGGCACAATCGTCACGGCCGTGGCGCCGCTGCCAATCACCACCACGTTCTTGCCTGTGTAGTCGTAGTCGGCCGGCCAGAACTGCGGGTGGATGACGTCGCCCTGGAAGTCGCCGATGCCGGGGATCGTGGTCTGCAGAGGCTCGTCGTAGTCGTAGTACCCCGTGGCCAGGTAGATGAAGCGGCTGTAGAGCGTCGTCGCGGGCTCTTTGGCGCTTCCTGGTGAGCTAGTGGTGACCTTCCAGCGCGACGCTTCCGATTGCCAGTCTATCGAGGTTACTTTGTGGCCCAGTCGGATGTGCTTGATGATCCCCGTCTTGGTGGCCGAGTCAATCAGGTACTGCTTGATGTCGTGGCCGTCAGCGAGCGCCTCCTTTCTCGGCCAGGGATTCCACTGGAACGCAAATGTAAAAATGTCCGAGTCAGACCGGATTCCTGGGTACCGAAACAGGTCCCAGGTACCGCCGATGGACTCGCGCGCCTCCAACACGGCGTAAGAGCGCTTGCCTGGCGACGACTCCTGGTAACGGTACGCTGCATTGATTCCGGCAATACCAGCGCCGATTATTATCAGGTCCAGATCAGTTCCTTGGTCGTGCTTGGACATTTTCGAAGAGCATGGAGGCTTGGTCTCAGTGTCGGTCTAGTAGAAGCAGAAACGACGGCGGAGATCTGTGGTGTGTCACTTGACTTCTGTCTAGCACAATGGCCCTTTATATGTACACAGTCCATATATCCATAGGACAATCCCTTTACCAAGCCTTCCAGATGTTGCACCGATTCGCCGGTCTGACTCCGCCTCCAACTTCTGTCACTGCGTCCGGACTTAAGTAGCAACAGGCCCCAGAATATGGGCTTGCCGGGTCGTGGGCGGCCTATCTCCGAGTCCATGGGTTTTTATACTTTAAATTCTGTTTATCCGAGGTCTGCGTAACCGACAATGCGTATAACGACTGGCAATTGCCGCTTAGACACCTTGTTGAGGCGCAGCCCTCGGCAGTAAAGGTTACAAAGGTACTTTGAGGGGTGCTTGCTATGGAAATATCTCGGCATTCGTGATCACATATGTCTTCTAATCAGCATAGTTATTTTAAACCGAGAACGGTAATATGGGTACAATATAACGAAAGCATTTGACTATCTGAGTTGCTCCGTCGCCGCTAAGCACTACTCAAGGCCATGTCCAGCCAGCCTACGTAGACCAAACTAAAATCTCGATTCCGGCACCTTTTTACCAGCCGCGGCTACCATCTTATGGATGGCCGAAACATATCCGAGCTGAGTTGGAAGGAATTAGCATCTCGAGTTACAGACATCTCGCGAGGGGATGAAGTTGCTCACCGTCTCAGTGCCCGCGGCAAGACCCTTGACTCCAAGCATCCAAGCAAGCCAGGATTGGGAAAAATTCTTAGTGGCCAGTGTGGCAGCCTCATCGGCAATACTTTCGTTAAAAACGACCGTCTGCGGAAGCTTTGGATCAATGACCGATGGCCGTCCCACGCCCACCATGTCGCACGCTCCGGACGCAACAGCGTGCTCTAGACCAAGCCGGCTCCGAAAGCCGCCAGTGACCATAAGGTGTGTGTCCGGGAAGGCTTTCCGGACGTGTTTTGCAAATTCGAGAAAGAAGGCCTCTCGCGCTGCTGTGCTAGGCGACACCTTGGCCTGCGTCGCGGCGGTGGTTGAGATCATGTTCTACGTAGCCCACTTGTTAGCCACGTACATCATGCCGATAAATACAACCCGATGCGTACCAGAGGGTCTTCGTAGTTGCCGCCACTGATTTCAAGGAAATCAACTCCGGCATCGACAATGTCCCGGAGCTGCTCCAGACAATCACCGAGCTCGCCGGCGCTCTGGTGATCGACGCTGTTCATCTTGAGCCCAACGCAAAAGCTGCTCGGCACCTCGGCCCTCACAGCCCTGATGACATGCACGATAATGCTCGCCCGGTTCTTCGCCGAGCCTCCGTAGCGATCCGTCCGCGTGTTTGTCTTGGACGACATGAACTGCGCCAGGAGATAGCCGTGGGCGGCGTGAATCTGCACGCCGGCAAAGCCAGCCTGCGACGCCATGCGCGCGGCGGCGGCGAACCGCGCCACGATGTCGTCAATGTCTGGCTCCGTCAGCGCGCGCGGCCGGCCAAAGACGAGGGCCGCGGCGGCCCGCGCGATGAGCCCGCCGCCCATGTTGACGGGCACGGCGCTCGGTGCCACCGTCTGCGCCATGTACGCGCGCGAGCCGGCGCCGAGCGTCGACTGCCGCCCGGGATGGTTGAGCTGCAGGATGGCGGGCGTGCCGCGGCTGCTGGCGGCCGCGGCCCACGGCGCCCACGCGGCGACGTGCGAGCTGGCGCTCAGCCCGTCGTGCACGGCGCAGTCGTCGGGCGTCCCCAGGTAGGCCGCGTCAATGTGCACGTTGCCGGTGAGGATCAGGCCCCAGCCGCCGTCGGCCCATAGGCGGTAGGTCTCGACGAGGCCGGCGTGCGGCAGCCTGTTCTTGTCCGCCCAGCCCTCGGCCATGGCCGTCTTGACGAGCCGGTTTGGCAGGGTGAGTCCGCATGGGAGCGTTATGGGCTTTGCAATCTCCAACTGCAGGGTGTGGGTTTGTGCCATTCTGTAAGAGTGAGCGTGGTGTTGAACAATTGAATTGAGAAGGTATTGAGCAATGTGAGACAGAATAAGTGAATAAAAGTTGCAATTTTCGAAATAATACTGTTCTGGCTTTTATAAGTCCAGCAGCAGGAGAATGCCAGCAAGACACTTTCTCTCCTCGTTCCTGTCCGCAATTTAACACGCATAGAGTCTCGGCGGCCAGTCCCCAAAGACGGACTCGGAAGTCGCCTGCCCTGTTTGGCGCCGGGATCAAGACTAATCCATGGCGGGACGGGGCTGACCTTCGCCGAGATGGGGCTCACCTCGGCCGGGACAAGACTAACCCACCTCCGGCCTTGACTACGGCCGCGGCAGCAGCCAACCGTTGTAGCAGTGTACCGGAAGTCACATGTCCTATTTGTTGATCAAAGCATCGCCTTGAAGGTGTAATTGGAAGATCTTCTTGGCAACGGCTTTTTGGTATCTTAACTCCGGGTCAACGAACGGCAGCCCCTGAAAGCGCATCGGCTGCCGAGGCATAAATCTAAACAGCCATGGCCTCTCCAAGGCGAGTGGGCGGCTGGGCAATTATTGCCGACAGTGCCATTCTATAAGATTGGCCTAGAGGCACGATGTGTTAGGATGGCCCAAGCAGCTCTACTTACGAAAAGCCAAGCACCCAAGACGAAGTACCCACGACCAATCAGACATGGACGCGCAGTATGATTACGATGTGGTCATTGTCGGCGCGGGCATCGGGGGCATCTGCAGCGCCTACCGCTTACAGGAGCGATGTCCCCAGTTGACGTTTTGCGTTCTCGAGGGCCGTCATGAAGTAGGAGGCACATGGAGCCTCTTCCAATATCCCGGTACGTACAGCCCGGAACAGAGTCATGCTTCCATGTCCGCTAATGGCGCCAACAGGTATCCGTTCCGACTCGGACCTCTACACGTACAGCTTTCCGTGGAAGCCTTGGCACGGAAAGTCCATCGCTTCTGGAGCGCAGATCCTCCAGTATCTGAAAGCCGCGGCGCGCGAGCATGGGCTGGACAAGCACATCAAGTTTCACCGACAGGTGGACAACATGAGCTGGTCAACTGCAACGAGCACATGGACCGTGGACGCCACCGACACCGGCGCTTCCGACACGGCGGCCAAGACGGAGCGCCTCCGATGCCGCTTCATGCTGCTTTCCACGGGCTACTACGACTACGAGACACCGCTGCAGGCGCGAATCCCAGGGCTGGCCGACTTTGAGGGGCCCGTGGTGCACCCGCAGTTCTGGCCCAAGGGTCTCGACTTCCAGGGCAAGAACGTCGTTGTCGTCGGCTCCGGCGCCACGGCCATCACCTTGGTACCCACGCTGGCGCGGCGCGGCGCGGCGCACGTCACCATGCTGCAGCGCTCGCCGACGTACATCGCTTCGGTGCCGGGCGAGAGCGCGGTGCACTCCCTCACCAAGGTCATGCTGCCGCGGGACCTTGCCTCGCGCGTGATCCGGTGGCAGTGGATCCTCTTCATGCTTCTCTTTGTGCGCTTTTGCCGGCTGTTTCCCCGACTCGCCTGGGCGGTGCTGCTGCTCCGCACGCGCACCGAGCTCGCGCTGCACCAGTCGATTGAGCCCGACTTTACGCCGCGCTACGAGCCGTTTGACCAGAACCTGTGTCTCACGCCGGATTCCGACTTTTACGAGATGCTCCGCAAGGGCAGGACGAGCATCACGACGGGCCACATTGACCGCGTGACGCCGACGCGCATCAAGCTCCAGACGGGGCCGGCGCTCCGGCCCGACATCATCGTCACGGCCACGGGGCTCAAGGTGCGTTTCGGCGGCGGCATTCGCATCGCGGTGGACGACGAGCCGTTTGCGGTGAGCGAGCACTTTGTCTGGAAGGGCTGCATGCTCGACAGCCTGCCCAACTGCGTCGCCATCATCGGGTACTACGACGCAAGCTGGACTCTAGGCACCGACATATCGGCCAAGATGGCGTGCCGGTTGATCAACAGGGCGATGCGTGGTAAGAAGAAGACAATGGTCGCTCGCACCAGGGAGGGAATGAAGACGGTACCGATGATGTACCTCAATTCTACGTATGTAACCAGCGCCGACAGCCACATTCCCAAGGCTGGCGACCAGCCGCAGTGGCAGCCGAGGAAATCATACTGGCACGATACAAGGAGTGTGTGGTGGGGGGATATCAGCACCGATGTCGAATGGTCATGAAGCCCTGGTATCTGAAGGGAGACGGCACTGAAGTTGGTGTGCAAAGAGTGATGGAAGATTAATGAAGTGGCCAGGATAAAGCGTCAAAGGAAGTGGTAGCGGACGAGGCTGGAGGAATGATTCTCCGCTCCGACGGTTTGCCAGCAAGTAGCACAGGTCCGGGTCATTTCACTCAATCATTGTTGTCTTATTCAAAACATGGAGCTTTTTTCCATTAAAAGTGAGGAAACCATTCGTATATAAGTTCTGTTAAACTTATTAGCCGATGGCGCCTCACCAGTGAGCGAGCAGGTGCAGGCTCAGCGGCATCACCCAGTGAGAGTTCTGGTTACCGACTCATCCGCACCTCATGATTCACCGGTTTCTCTCCGCCCAAGGCTGCAATAATAGGTGCGCAACTCTCCTTGTCACTTGACTTGAGCTGCAAATTGAGCTCTTTATAAGTTCATCAAGTTGGGCTGCAAGCTTTTTACCTGTGTCCTGGCTTCTTGTGACTTTACTCTCATTGGGGGGTATACACACGTAATGGCCACCCCCCTCTGATCTGCTCTGTGGTTCACGACCAGATCGGCTACAGCGACTAGACCGTGGCTGCATATTGGGGCTAGTGAATAGCGGCCGGCTGCTTGGTAGCCGTCCGGAGAGCTGTACATCCGAGAGCCCAAGCTGCACAGCCAACTCCACCGGCTTAATAACCTGTCGCCCTTTCTTCCCCAAAAGCTGTCCGCGGCGGCGCGATCGCCCGGGCCCAAAGTGTTTCATTGTCCTTTACCTTCCTTGTCGAGCTTGCAAACATCATTGCTTTTATTGGCCGATTGCAGGTCCGGGGAAAGAGATTGGCCGTCTCAGTTTCCGGTTTTGAGCACAAGGGCTTGGAATGCGGCTTGGCAAATGTTCCTTTGCTCGGGAGATCTTCTGGAAACTATGCAATTTACCTGCCATTCGGACGATGGATGTTTACATTTCCGTGTTCCATCCGACGGCTTGCTTTACTCTGCTCGTACATACTGCTTCGAGTCCATCAATCACTGGTGTCCGGGGAAGTATTCTACCCAACGATATGGATTCAGATTCAGCCATCGTAGATTGACCGTGATGCTAAATACATACATTCTGATTGGAGAAGAAAACGGGAACTTCCCGCAGGACGGTGTGGATGAAATGATACCGCTAACCATTGGCACCAAGGCTCACCCATGTAGCTAGTCTCAACCCTCCTTTTGCTCGTTCAAGCTGTTCAACTGTCTTCTCCCCCGGATAGCTCGCGTTCCGACGTAAGCACTCCAGGTTCCCCAGCACCCTAATCAAGCAGGCATTAGGTTTGGAATCATTCTGGCATCCCTGCCTGGGGCAAGAGACCAATCTCGTCAGCCTTGCGTCTCTGCGCCCGCAGAGTGATGAAAAGAAGGAGAAGCAGCTTCATCGGTGAGAGTGGTACTTCGGTGGAAAAGTAAAGGATGGTAGGTATTATTATTGGGTTCAATTCAGAAAAAAAGTAGCAGAAACTCTCTCTTGAGCATCTGCTAGGCGAACTCTACCACCCACGGCGTCATAGGCTTATAGCTCAACAGCCGCCTTACGCTCCAGCCAACGAGAGCTTCTCCCAAAATAATCAACACGTCATGAGAGGCCAGCCCCCCTGCATGGTATTGCTGGTCACTGCTCTAGTTGCCCGTCAGGCTGGGCTGAGGAGGGGGGGTGGCGGCAGCGATCATTGATGCATGCCACATCGGGAACAAGAGCCTCGACCTCGACGCCCATTTGGGCTACAGCTCACTGAGTACACTCCAAGAAGCAAAAGGGCGGCTTGAGCTCTCGTAGTGCTACGCTAATAGCTCCGTAATAATAAACACGGACAGCTTGATTGGCCCGGAGGAATTAACTATTCCAACATTTTGCACCTTGGTGTTGCGCTCACCTTTCCTAGAAAAACATCACCACCTGCCGCCGTCTTGCCACGATGTGCAACTCTTTGGCTGAATAGCAGCCAAATAGCAGCTCCGATCTTTGTAATGCCAAATGTATTATTGTCCTGTCAAATATGAGCTCTAAAGCCTAGTTGCAGCTTTTGTTATAGCTGCCGGGTGCTGACGCCAATGGCCCGAGAAGGCTAACTAGTCCTCCCCGGGACGTCATCGGACGGGTTGTCGCGCACCCGGCGCACTCCAGCGGGCTTGAGCAGTCTTAGACAGAGCTCTCTGATGCGGAGAGGAAGGGGGTGGGTGTGCACTACGCTCTCATCGTCGTGGTACCTAGCTAGAACCGGGCGTGTCACAAAAGGCATCGAGCTCTGCTAGCGGTACGGGCATGGATAGGCCGGCATTGGCTTTTAGTTAGCAACGTTACCAACTTCTCGAGCGGGAGCGTGATGAGGTTGAAGGGGCGTGTGCTCATCCCCCCAGGGAGAAGACAAGCTCGCTCGCCGTTTATAAGACCTAGGCGACGGGCCGTCCTCCCACCTTTTCACTCTTCGGTCCTCCCTCTCCCCCAAGCAGAGCCGATTGTGACAATCAACCGTTAGAAACAAAACCTCAAATCCCAAAGCCATCTCAAACATCACGATGCGCTTCTCTACCATTGCCGTCGCCGCCGCGGCCACGGCCGTCCAGGCCCAGCGTTCCACAGACATGCCCATCTGCGACTACTACACCACGGCGCTCCTCAAGAACAACACGGCCGAGAACCAGGCCACTCTCCTGACGCTCCTCGTCAACACCGTCGTCATTGGAAACTGTGTGTTGTCCCTCTTTGTGCCTCGAAAAGGCGTTGATGCTAACAATGTCTGCAGACACCATGCCCAATGTCGGCGTCTCTGTCCCGGGTATCCTCAAGGAGGGCGAGGTCGACGGCACCATGGTCAACCTTCTCCCCTACTTCAGCGGCGGCCTGGCCTCGACCAACCGCGGCGACAAGGCGACCTGCGTCAACTTCCTCGACGGCGGCGCCGCCGAGCCGCTGATGAAGAACAAGCCCGCCAACGACGAGACGTCAAACCAGTAGTACGCACATCCAACTCTCTTGCAGACCCCCAAACATTTCTGACCAACGCACAACCAGCTTCCTCCTCACCCATCTGTACCAGTTCTTCGGCACCCTGCTCGGCTGCTCCAAGCAGGGCATGACGGGCTTTGACGCCTACGGCGGCGACCCGTCCATGTACAAGGTGCACAAGTTTATGAACCTGGGCAAGGCCGAGATGGGCTACTTCATCACCCAGGTCGGCATGGCCGCTGCCTCGTTTGGCGTCGCCAAGGACGACATCACCATCGTCGCCAACGCCCTCGGCGACACCTTCAACATGCGCTGCAGCGCACCCGCCGAGGTCATCAAGGGCCAGGGCCCCCAGCCCCAGGCCATTTGCATCAAGAGCGACTGCACCGAGGCCAAGGACCCCAAGTGCGATGCCTACTCCGAGGCCGTCGCCCCCGCAAAGTGCAACGGGACTTCCAGCTCCATGACCGGCACTATGACCGGCACTATGACCGGCTCTGCCACCGGCACCATGACTGGCTCCATGACTGGCTCCATGACTGGCTCCATGACTGGCTCCATGACTGGCTCCATGACCGGCTCCATGACCGGCTCCGCCACCAGCTCCGCGGGTAGCAGCCCTACATCGACCGCTCCAGCTTCCGGCGGTGCCGGGAACGTCAACAACTTCGGCCTAGCCGCCGTCATTGCTGCCGCCGCCGCCTATGCTCTGTAATCGAGTTGATCGTGACGAGTGTTGGAGCTGTGATTATGGAGTTGATTATACCAAATACATTTCTGTGGATACACGTGTACTTCTCTGGGCTTTGGGGCATATGCCCCGTGGATGAGAGAGGCAGCAAATGGATGCCTCGAGGGTTTAATAGTCAATACAATCCATTCCACAAATATAATTCGACTAGCTACGACCTAGCGCGAGGAATCATGTGCTTCAATGATGGATAGTGCATGCTCGCGCCATTCTAAGTCTGCAGCTGGTCAGTCAATAACGCAGGCGTGCTTTCACTAGTTGGTCATGAGACAGCTCATCTGTTCAGTTGGAAGTATCTACAGGGCAGCACTTGACAGTCTAGCGCGTTACGTCGTTCACAAAGGTGTACACACACGACAATGTAAACCCGGGACGCCGGTAATAAATTCAATCAACCCTGCTAGCTACCACCAGCATTGGGTGCCAACGCCGTCGAGACTTACCACATGCCAAACGCCCTGTGTCGTTAAATGCAGCTAAATGTACACCACGCGTGTGGTCTGAATCTCGATTCGTACTCGCATCAAAGGTCAACCCGCTAATTCTGAACCGTTGAAAAATGTAAAAAAAATCATCATGCGCTGGCATCCGTTCTGTACTCCGAGATGGTATACGTGTTGGGCGATGAGCCTCAGTGGCTGAGGGGATAGCCAGATGCCCGTCAGCCACATCCGCCATCTGGGGTGTTGGTTGCATCGTCTGCGGTCAACGTCGTGTCGGTCGCATTTTCTCCTCTTAATCCGACTTGCAAGATGCCGTGCCATCACCCTTGCCCAGAAGTAGTCACCGCCACCGCTTCTTCTTGCGCGGCTGGGGGACTACGATAGTTGGGTTCGTCGTGGGCATTATCGGTTCCGAGGCTGCTTTACTGGCGTTGGTACTATTGTTGTAATGTGCAAAGTTGGCAGGTTTGCCCAGAATGAATCCAAGGGATCGGCTTGTTCCTTGGCCGGCGTCGGCCTTCATGAGTTCACTCAAGTCGTGGCTTACTCGGCGCGCGAAATCGAAGGTGTAACACTGTTCGCCGTCGAGCAGCTCACCAGTAGTGACAGGAATTGGGATGACGGACATGATGGGCATATCGGCCAGAGTATAGCCGGAAAGGGTCGACCATGGTCTTCTTTGGCGCGAACCCTGCGAGCTAGAGGAGCGTGCAACTTCCTCTTCGAGAGCAGGCTGCTGTGCAGCGAGGCGATAATTGACGAGCGAGCCGGCAGGGCCGTGAATGTTGGCAAACACATCAATTAGCGTTCGCATTCGGTTGGCGAGTTCCACGTTTGAAGAAAGCAAGCGAATAATGCGTTTTTCTAAGCCTGCCCGACTGTTTTCGGCATCGACCATACCAGGGCTGCCCCAAAAAAAAGATATGTCAGTAACCAGTGGCAGCGATTCAAGGGAAGTTGTTCCTAATGCGTGAACTTACCATTGCAGAACAGTTGTCATCATGGTCATGGATAGGTTATGCCATCGAATGCGCGCGCACAGACTGCGCAATTTAGGGTCAAAATTCTCGCAAATGACTGTGGGTGCGGTCGAGGCTGAAAGAAGGTTGTCGATGGCGTAGCACACATCTTGCAGCTCCGAAAAGGCCAAGACAGTGTCGGCCATGGTAACAACGACGTCATCAGCTTGGATCCAGGTGCTGCGCTCCGGGAACGGCAGACGCGCCGATTCAAGCAGACAGAGCGTTTTGTATAGAATGTGGGCTGAGGAGCGGCATTGCTTGGATTCCAACATGGCTTCGTTGATGAGGGTGGTTTTCAGGCCCAGCACCGCGTTCAACTCTAGCAGCATGTCCAGGATCTTGCCGCCGACAGCCAAGAGGCCAATGCTGGCCGTCGTGACGGACAAGTGCTCCATGCCACTATTCATGGTCGCGAGGAGGCGGGAGGGAGAATTCGAGGAGGCGCAAAAATTTCGGAGAGCGGAATAAATATCGTTTTTTTCGGCCGTAAAGACGGCGACGTGGAATGTTTGAACTCGGGGAGGCGGCGGGATTCTGAGACGCTATTGCGAGGCCTGTAATCGTGTGCCGTCAGGGTGGCGGTAGTCAGGCAGTGAAGGCCATGACCTGCAGTGGTTCGAGTTGGTTGGCGATGTCGAGATGTCAAGATGAAAACAGCAAGACTGGTATTGCATCGGGAAAGAAGTAACGGACACTGCAGAGATAAAAGAAAGTAGCCCCCGAAAAGGCCGCCCAAAAAGTTGCCATGCGTTCCGAGACCCCGCAAGAGCAAGAGCAAGGGAACGAGGACGAGGTTGCGCGGCGCAGGGCGTCATGGCCCATGGGTCACCAAGGGCAGCCTGAGTGGCGCAAGGCAAGGCCCTAGCACGGATAAACGGCACCTGGCGCGAGACGAGGGTACCGTGGAATGCCGTTCAGAGTCTTGTGGGCGGGAGGAGCCGATTGGGTCCGCTGCCGACTATCCGAGATGTCCTGCACCAGAGTGTGCCAGAAGAGTGCATGGTGCAAAGCCAATGCGTCGTGGTGGTGTGTCGCGGGGAGGGGCCACGGTGGTGGTTGTCGTCGTCGTCGTCCAGGATGCTTGGTAGGTACCAGGTAATTAGTTAGGTAGTTTGCCGAATCTGCATGCCTTGAACCCGTGTTATTTTCTGTTTTTGACTCGTCCGATACCCAGCCCTGCGACGTATTGCACCCTCGCCGTCTGCAGTCCACTGCTCAGGCTGACGTGACGGACGGGTTTGCGGCTTCCGCTCCCCTCAGGATAGAAGACTTTCCGAAACCCAGGCAAACGATTCGGCCCAAGTGTTCCAACATGACCCTCCCCGTCTAGCCCATTCACGGCTCCAGAGGGCAGCGCCAGCGGGGCCCTAGAGAGTTTTCGGTTTTGGCTCTGAAGCATGATTACGCTCTTTGCCTGGTGGGGTTTCATCGAGACTTGCCCCATGGTGGTGCGGTGTAGGCACCTGAGTGATGGGTTTGCTTTGGATGGGAGTAATGCTGTTGTTCTTGTTTATTGTAGTTATCGAGTTTGTTTGCATTGCTGGGTGTGGAAAGGGGGAGAAACGAGGCTGTACAATACCTGATTTTAGCTGAAGCCGCGGCGTTTGCGTCGCCAGCTGGTGGCTTGGGCCGCCCATCGTGACAACTGGCGGCCCTTGGCAACAGGTCATGATGGTACAAACGCCCTCCATTGCCGTCGCCCTTGCTTACCTAGGTACCTATCTATCTCGAAATATCTTCAGCGACATCCATCATGATCTTCGTCAACATAAACATCCATCCGCATGCATTTGACTGATCATCAACTCGACAGCCAGGCCCACTGATGCGTGCCGTCCAGCCCGATTTAGGCGGCATTTACTCACCACCATCCATGTCCCCGACGGGGCCTGGTTCTCCAAAAGCGCCTCCTGGACTCGTATTATCCTGGCGACCCAGTCAGTCAAACTCCGGGTCTTGCTTTAGTGGCCTCTGTCAGGGGTAGGGCCGCCCGCCTGTGACGATGCCAAGATGCCAAGCGATCAGATAAAAACAACCCGATGTCAAGACAAGCCATCAACTCGAGCCGCAGATTCGTGGGAGAGCCGATTTGTCGGGACGTCTTGATAGTGGCCAGAAGCGAAGCTGCAAAGGCACGTCCACGGGACACCGGTGGTACGCCTTCTACCTGCAGCCGTTATTCCCAGGAGACAGCGGATGCCAGCCAGCACGCGAATGCCGGCTAGCTCGCCTGCGCACGGCTTATTCTCACTCTATCTCCTCCGGGGACAATGGCCATCAGGCCTCCAACAAAGATAATTGCCGTTTGGCTAACTTGCATCGGAGTTGCGGAGCGCTGGGCTGACGCACCCAATGTGCGTGGTTGCCGTACCCGACAAATGTTTTATCTTATTGTGCCGCCGCTTTGAATGTAGCCCAAAACTATACGTTACGCCATCAAACCCTCAACCGAATCCGACTCTGCGCCGCAACGGCAACTTGAGTACGCTACTTACTAGTCGGTCAACATCCCCCCCTTTCTTTCCGTCTAGCCGACTTTTCCGACGAATTGTCTTATTACGCGTGGTTGATAACTACCATCGTAAATTTATTTCCCTTTGGGCGCAGGATCTTGCACCCCGCTGCTCAGCTGCTCGCAGGCCTCGGCAGGCAACAAGTCACGCCCGCACTTGTTTACCATGTCCGACTGCAGATCGTTTCCCTTGTGCCTTGCGACTGATGCGAAACTGTTTGTCGCCAGGGGATCTTTTGAACTGCAAAGAGAGGGACACCGATGACATTTCTCGTGCCGATAGCCGTGGAGTTGCTCTGCACTGTCTGTAGGGCTCACCACCAATTCGAAACCAGCCGGATTCCTGCCAGCAGAGGATGTGCAACTCAAAAGCCTCAGTCAACTTTCTGCCATTGGTAGGGCGGAGGGCCACTGAAAAGTATGTACCTGACAACCGAAAATAGAACGGACCGATGACGGGTGTCAGGATGCAGCTCTCAGCGCAAATATGCGGCTTGCTTCAACCACAGCTCTGCGCGAGCATGAGTAACTTGCACATCAATTGCAGCGGCACTCGCAAAGCCACCTGCACCACTCGTAATATTACCTGCTTTATTACCCTGGTCCAAGTCGATCCAAGAAACCTTCGTCCAGGGAGCGGTGTACTGTAGATTATAAACCGCGTCCTACATTTTTGTGACTCCGGAGCTGTCTACGGGAACAGGTACTGAAGTTGGAGTAAGTTGCGGTTGACACTAATCCCAAACATTGGTCGACGCCTTGTACGATGCCTACCGGGTGTGATACTGAGAGCAACGAGACGAGACGGTGTCGAGTCGGCATATCGTAGCTGGCTTCAGACGACGACCCGGTGCTCGGATCCCTTTCTGGACACGCGAGCACTTCTGCGATGCGACTCAGCCCAGACCCCGCAATAAATCCGTCGGAAACGTTCTGCCTCGAAGGTATATCTTGTCTGATGCAAGTTTGGGAATGAGGAGAAGTAGGCCGACCGGTTGCTGATTCGGAAAGGTCCGTTCGACGCCGAGACAATCACGACTCGTACAGTGCTTAGTTGTGGTGTGCGGATAGGTAACTGCATGGGTTCTCTGTCATCAACATGAAATTCGACTCAACTACCTACTCTACAGGTCCAACTCATATTATGCCAACTCATTCCTCGTAGTCCAAAATCTCTCGTTCCGATGCGGTAACTGTACAGTATCCTTCTCCAGTGACGCAAAATTCGTGTACGCTGCAGGTTCGATTCGAAAATATACCGCTAGCCCCATTTTGCACTCCCAACTTCCCTCATCGGCCTTTTTAATGGGTGCTTGCGCTGAGTCGCGAGCGCTTGCGGCCGCTGCCGCTGCCACTCGTGGCGGGATGCATCTTTTCGTTTCGCTCTCTCTTCAGTTTGTCGTCCAAAACGCGCGCTGCAGACAAACATTAGCATGACTTTTCTAATGAAGGAAAACAGAGGTGTCCTGCTGCTTGGCGCCCTCACGGGGGCGTTTCGGCCCCAGGAGAAGAAAGAGGCCATGACAGTCAAGAAAGATGGGCTCCTCATCCGAGCATAAGACTTACTCAGCACGTCGTAACCAAACTGCGGGTGCTCCAAGCACAGGCTCTTGAACTCGGCCTCGGCCTCGGAGCGGAGGGCGTGGGAGCGGGCAGCCCAGAAGCTGGCAATGGGGGCGCGAACGGCATTGTCGTCGGGGGCGGTGTGGGCGTAGACGTAGCGGGCGTAGGCGAGCTCGCCGCGCGCCGTCGAGTTGATGCAGTGGATCTTGGACGAGGCCAGCTTCTTGAGCAGCTCCATGCCGAACTTTTCGGCGAGCGTGTAGATGCGCGCGTGGCGCAGCAGGTGGTCGCCATTGTCGTCGACGAGGCCCGGCGTCGCCGGATCGTGCTCGAGCACGCGCTGCCCGGGCACCTTGCGGGGAAAGTACTCGCCCGTGTAGAGGAACTCGAGGAAGCTGCCCATGGCGTTGTAGTCTTCGTCGGGGAGCTCAATGGATCGCGGCTGCAAGCGTTTCAAAGAGTCAGCGCCAACTGGGGGGTTTGAAAAGAGAACGGGGAGTGCGCGGTGTGGGCGCATTGTTCGCCATCCATTCGCCACGTTGAATATGGGATACGTACGCTTCCGTCCTCGACAAAGCTCTGGCACAGCTGCTCCAGGTACGGGCTCTTGGTCAGCAGCGCCTGGTGCGCCGTCAGCACCGTCTGCGCCTCCAGGCCGACCAGCAGCGTCACGATGGGGCTCGCCAGGTACTCGATGAAGCTCGGGCGCGTCTCGGCGACGGGGTCTTCCTGGATGACGCTCGCCTCGGGGTCCTCGACGGGGCCCTTTTCGTACGGCGTCTCCTCGCCGGCGGCCGCGAGGCCTTCCATCTCGACGTCGCCGCTGGCGGGCAGCTCAATCTCGACAATGGAGACGTCGTCGCGCATGCTCATGCTCTCGGTGTCGTTGTCAGGCATGGCGGGCGGGTTTGTGGGATTCTGCAGCGGTTGATGGGATTGATTGGGGCGTTGCGACGCGTAGGAGGGCGACGATGGACCTGGGGGAGGCTGGGCTGTTGGGCTGTTGGATGCGGCTGTTGTTGTTTGGCGACAAGGCTCGCTCGACAGCTCTCAACATAAGAGCGGGTCTGGTGTTGCTGTAGCACAGCGCATCCCGTGTGCAACGCTGCGACTTGGGCATCACAATCACAAGATTACGGACAAGGCACGAAAAAAAAAGAGTCGTTTGGATGCGATAATAAGCTCACAGGAAAATCAAGTTTAACTCGCCCCCCCCCGTTCCCTGATGGCTTCATTGTGCTCATGAAGAAAAGCGATGCAAATTGAGGCTACCCTACATCATTGCTGCTGAGCTATCACGAGAGGTCACGAGAGCTCCTCTCGTTCTTATCCGGGATAATCTTGTTCTGAATGCCTCTTACAAGTAGCTTTCCAACTTGACCACGAGTCCTGGGAGCAATTCCACAAAGGACGGGCTATGTTGGCCCCCAGCCAGTGCCAGCTGGATGACTTGCTCACCCGAACCCTCCACAAGTGACACGGTCTGCTTGCCGCGGTGTCCTTCCGATGGTACATGAAAAGGCCACTCGTCCTCCCCGGTCTTGTCAGATCTCGGGTCATATATCGCCGTGTAGACGTCTCGAAGACGTGCCGCATCGCCCTCCGGCGCTTCAATCACGATTCGAGAGATGCCCTTTGCGCCGGAGGGGTGGCTCGCCAGCTCCGGTGCGCTCTGATACGGAACACGCAGCTCTCGGGGCGTCCTATCCAAGCACCAAAACGGAAGCGCGCCCGGGAACACGAGCGTGCCGTCCGGGTTCGCCGCCGTGCCAATCGCCCAGCGGAGCACCGTGCCGTCCGGCCGCTCCCGCCCACCCGGTGTCGGATCTCGGTACGTGTACCCCGTCTGCGCACCCGACACCTGCTCCTGGATGCGCGCAAACGCGCTTTCCGCGCGCAGCGAGCAGGCCCAGTCGATGACGGCGCCGTCGCGGAGTGAGCCCCAGCGGTGCTGCTTGCGCGCGGCGGGGCTGACGCTGTCGGCAAAGGCAATCAGCTCAAGGTACGTGCCGTCCTCGAAGAGGATCAGCCGGTTCCAGGTCAGGCCGTCGGCGTGGCGGCCGCCGGGCGCGACGGTGAAGAGGCCGGCGAGGCGCTCGTCGATGCCGGTGAGGGTGTCGTGGTCGACTAGGATGACGATGTGGTCGAGCAGCGGCTTGGCTGTGCCGTCGACGGCGTGGGCGTCTAGAGTGGACATGTTGAGCAATGCAGAGTCGATATTGGCCAGGGTAGTGATGAGAGTGGCAAGTTATTTGATGATGAGAGGTGGGAACGTTGATGTTGCGGCCGGCTTATAAACCCAATCCAGCCCCGCGTTGACGTGATGTCACGCTTCCTATCGTGCAAGTATATTCACTCTGGTAAGAGAATCCGTTGAGCAAACTACTTTCTAAAAAGAATATATTCATCTTGTAAATGGTCTACATGCGCTATACTATTTTATCCTGATGCTTCCTACCTATAGGTTTCAATGTGGCAAGTTGTCTCCTCCGTCTCTTGTAGCAAATTCGCTCATTAGACGGCGCACGTGAGAGTCTGACCCTATAGTCCGAGGCTATATCAATTCCCATGTCCAATGCTGCAAATCAGCCTGAATTACCATGACAGCGGTAATTGTTGCGCGAGAACAATGTAGCGCTCCTGTATAAGTGACAGGCTCTGTTTCCATGATGGCCGCCCTGGAAGCGATGAGCGCGGCCACGATGTGCGAGGTGGACAGACTGCGGTGGCCGTAGACGGTGATGCGGTTGAAAGTACTCTTGATCTCTGCGCTGCAGAGGAAGTGAACAACTGAGAGATGCGATGATGAGTTGATGATTTAATGAAGTTTGGTTGTGCTAGAGTACTTGTACTGGTTGGATGCCCTCGCGGTGCTTCCTGTCTTGACACTCACCTCGTCTTCAACCCGCCTCGTTCATCTTGGCGAAATTTGACTAGGAATAAAATGACACATACTTATATATGGAATCGTGAATTACAGTACTCATAGGATACGTCGGCATGCACGTTGTGGAAGAATGCGGGCGGAGGCGCCATGGGTGGACAAAACCAGGGAACACTGGCCTCCTGCTGGCTGATGACTCCTTCATCCACCACTGCACTATTTTTAGTGCAATGGAAGTGTAATTCTCCGTATTATATCCAGTAATGGTGCCCACCTCACAAGAAGGTGTCTGGGGAAACGCCAACCTTTCGTTACTGGGAGGCCGAGCCATTCACGCAGGTCAGTCTTGGCTACCGAGAGCTGCCACTTGACTTGACACGAAGCGTGAAAGATGGTTTTTGGCCCAGTTTCCACAAGTTCTTCTGTAGGTGATCTTGGCTGGAATAACGCTATCAGGTGATGAACTGCGTAAGCTGCGAGAAAAGCGACCTCCATAGGTCTAAGATGAAGTTTCGAGCCACCCCCGAGGACAATATACTCATGGTCTAGAAATATCGCCAGCGATCGAATTGATGACTGAGCGGCTAACCTGCTCATTATACCACAACGCTTCATCACGAAGTTGGGTCAACCAGTGAGTGGTTGTTCAACAACACCATGTCTGGTCTGGTGGCGTCGGCAGATTTATCACGCGAGACCATTAGACGTGCGGATGCGTCGACGTCGGCATGGTCATGGAACGGTCTCGGCAAGACGGGCGCATTACCTTATTACCAGGTTGACGGCTGGTGACAGCAATCCCGGTCGATGACAATGACGGTAGATCGAGCACTGCTTGGGCAACAATTTCAGCGGCTATTTTTAAATGCGCTTAATTTAGAATATTTTGTGGCGCATTGTTGAAACGTGATTGAATCTTATTTTATTATTAGGGCTTGCACTAATTTCTCTACATAGCGCAAGCTGATAATAGTTCTCGTCATGCTATTATTGACCCCAGCTTCGATCAGTGGCAGCGCAGAGCCAGCCGCCGGGCACTCGGTGGTAGTAGACGTCCTCTATTAATCCAAGATTTCTAGTTACAGAGCCTTTTGCCTTTTGCGACAACTCTTTTTCCCCCTTCACGGCACAGAACGAGCCGGGACCTGTCTGTTCGTTGATCCCTGCACCCGCGGGATCAATAATGCAGCCGGAGTCCAGCCTCAGCCTGATATGTACTTGCTGATGTGCCTACCCCCGCCACCCTTTGTCCCGCTCAGATTTTGATTTTTCTCAGAGCCTGATCTTCACTGCGCTGTACTCATCAGGCCTCATTCTTCTCGCAGCACGACCGCCTGTTCCGATCCCTGCCAGTGATCGGAGCTCTTAGCCCTCTTAGCCTTGAACGAAGCTATCCACGCCGCCTGGCCCGGCCGCGGCTTATTACAGAAACGCTGACAGCCGCAATCTCTGGATAGTTCAGCACACAGAGTACGGATCTGGTCCGGAGGAGCGGAATGCAATCCGGCGAGTTTGAAGCGTCAACATTGCCGCTGATCCCGTTCATCACATTGCCCAGGCCTCGATTTATTAATTAATTAATAAAAAATCTGCAGCTGTTAATTTCCAAGAAAGCTGGAGCAGGTGCGATACTTGTGCATATGGCTTGCAGGATGGCAACAAGACAACCTGCACTCATCACAATATTTGTCAAAGACGCCTCCTACCGTAGTCAATCTCCTCGGGACTATCCCTTCCGGTTCCTGGGTCTTCAAGGTAGGGACCACCGATGAACAAGAAATCACAAAGGCCTGCTTCCCAGGACGAGGCTCTGCTCCAGCCACTTTGCCAGCAGCCAACACTTGGACCCTGGACGGGCCGGCCCAGATGAGGCTCTGAGTTGGCCAATAAACTGGTCCCTGATGGACCTCTCATCTCTCCCGTCTGTCCGTTGCACTTGGCATCACAGATGAGCCGTGTTATTGACAAGCTGTGCCCAACAGCCTGGTTCCAGGCCTGAATGTCCCAGCACAGTTCACGGATACAAGCAGCAAAAGGCGGTTCTGGATCGCCTCGGTGCATGCTGGGAAACGGGGTCAGGGACGCGTGGGCTGTCCTGCATGCGCAAGACCTAAAACCATGTCGGACCCGAGACAATGGACCTTGGCAGCAGCCTGGTGGGATTAGATATAACCCTCGGCCTACCCCCGTCCGCATTCTTCTTCCTCTGCTGGTTCTGACAGAGTCTCTTGAACATTCCTTTCATTTCACACAGTCCTTCGCTCCCATCATTGCTCCTGCCCACCACGATGAAGAACGCCGTCAGCACCGCGAGCCTGCTGGCCCTGACATACCTGGCTGCCGGCGCCGACGCGGGCCGGTCCTTTGCCGTGCGCGCCACCTTCAATCTCGAGGCGGTCGAGTGCGGGACCTTCCTGGACAAGGTCCCTTCCTGCGCGGTACGTGAAACAAGCGCGCGAGAGGCGCCAACAGCAATTGTACACGAGTAGTGCTAACACACCTTATAGCAAGACTGCTTCAACACAGCGACGACCAGCCTTGGCTGCAGCCTGTCCGACGTGGTCTGTCTGTGCAAGAAATTCAACGAGATCCAAGAGTCGGTCGGCAACTGCGCGGCCGTGCGGCCGCCCAAGCCCTGTCCGCAGCGCCCGGTGGTGGACGACTTTCTTGCCGTGTACGAGACGGCGTGCAAGTGCAGGGACAAGGGTGGCCTGCCTGACCCGTCGACGGAGACGCCCACGACGAGCATCATCAAGCCGCCGCCGGGCTCGCCCACCACGCCGCCGGGTGTCACGCCGAATCCCACCACCACGACGGTCATCATCACGCCGACCACCACTACTACCAGCGTGCCGGACACTAAGCCCACGACCGCGACCTCGCCGAAACCACAGCCCACGGACACGACCTCGCCGAAACCACAGCCCACGGACACGACCACTTCAAAACGTAACCCTACTACCGTCGAGGAGCCCACCATCATTACGCCGCCCAAGGCTACCTCGGCCACGCCTAACCCAGCCCCCCCGCCTCCGGGGAACACCCCGCCATCTCCCCCGCCGGCCGGATCTAACCCCCCTCCTCCGGGCCAGGGCAGCGGCCCTAGCTCCGGTAAGGGTGGTCCTCCTCCACCCACCGGTGGTAGTCCTCCGAGCCCTACCGGGAGCAGCCCCCCTCCCCCTCCCGCAGGTGGTGGCTCTCCTGGCTCCGGCTCTGGCGTCAACCCAGGATCCGGTTCCGGTGCTAACCCCGGCTCCGGCCCTGGCGCCAATCCAGGCTCCGGCCCTGGCGCCAATCCAGGCTCCGGCCCTGGCGCCAACCCAGGCTTCGGCTCTGGCGCCAACCCAGGCTCTAACCCGGGCTCAGGACCTGGCTCAACCCCGAACTCTGGCTTCGGCGCCAACCCAGGCTCTAACCCGGGCTCAGGACCTGGCTCAACCCCGAACTCTGGCTCTGGCGTCAACCCAGGATCTGGTTCCGGTTCTAACCCAGGCACGGGCTCTGGCTCCAACCCAGGATCTGGTTCTGGTTCTAACCCGAGCTCTGGCTCCGGTGCCAGCCCAGGCTCTGACTCCAACCCAGATCAGGGTGGCAGCGGTAACCCTGTCGGCGTTGTCAAACCCGCTCAGACTCAGTATGCCGTTTCTCCGCCCTCTGATGACAGTTCCGATGATGGCGATGACGACGTCAAGACGAGTGTTTACGGCAGCACCGTCGTCTCTGGTGGAGGCTCCAACAGCACCCGCCCCGGTAGCACTGGTTTCAACAGCACCCGCCCTGGCAGCAGCGGCTCCGGCCGAACGGGCTCGGGGAATGGCAAGCCGAGCAGCAACTCGACCGGCTCCGGTGGCGGCCAGACCGGCAAGCCTGCCACAATTGTCCACGCAGGCGGCGCGCGGCTCGAGATTGGCTTCATTGCCGCTGCTGTGGGCGCTGCCTGGGTTGCCGGGGCTATTTTGTAAGCGACCTGGATTAATGAGTTGTGCATAGAGTGGCGGGTGAAAGCCTGCCATCACGTTGATGCTGACGCACGGAAAACGATGACGACAGTTCCAATATGAGAATAAAATGTTCAAAACCCCATACCCTTCTTGAAAGCTAGTTTGAATAGAATGACATATTAATGATCATGTTTACTTGCATGGTCGAACGAGCAGTGACACGCCGCGTAAAGTCCGTGTAAGTGGGTTATCGCGGCTCCACTGCGCCGGCCAACTCCGTTCAACGGGCGCCAACCGAAAATTTGCTCCTTTCAAGACAGCCACCACCATTCCTTGCACCTCACCGCCCCAGCATCCTACACATACACAGCCGCCGTCCAGCCTCGGCGAACAAATCCGTATCCGTTCCCCCCCATGACGCCCTCGGAAGAAGCACAGCTGCTCGCTCCCGACGGGGTGACCTCGGCGGTCCGCACGCAGCACGTGGCGGCGGTGCTCTCGGCGCTCCGGCGGCGCAGCCCCATCTACGGGACGATCCTGCCGACGCTGACGCTGCACGGGGTCGAGCGCGGGCGGGTCGTGTGCCGGCTGGTGCTCGACGGGGTGCACGTCAACAGCCGCGGGGCGCTGCACGGGGCCGTGTCGGCCACGATTGTCGACATGACGACGGGCATGGCCATTGCCGCGTGGGACCTGCGCGACACCACGGGCGCCAGCGCCGACATGCACCTCAGCTACCTCGGCACCGCCGTCGTCGGCGACGAGCTCGAGGTCACCGCCACGGCGGAGAGGGTCGGCGGCAGTCTGGCGTTTGTCGCCGTGCGCATCGACAAGCTCGGCCCGGACGGCGCGAGGACGCCCGTGACGCTGGCCCAGCACACCAAGTTTGTGCGCGCCTCGTCCAAGAATCCGTCCACGGGGGTCAATACCCCTGTGTAAAGCATTCGCAGGAGATGTGCGAGGAACCGGGGGGCGCTTGTGACGAAGGGCGGTTACGTGGATCGACTTTTCTGAATGACTAGACGAGGCGGCAAGAATGCATCACCTTCTCCCTCAGATACGAATACGGATTTTGTTAGACTCCACTCAGGGTAGATAGTGCAAAGGCTGATATTATAGACTGTTCTCTTTTAGAATGTCGACGATGGTCTTTATCGAATGTCGCGTGCCGCGCGAGGAAGGCCCCAGCAGCCCAGCTCCGAAGTCGGATTTGTCTGGCTGCGGCCAATGACAATGGCAAGTTTGCACGAGAAATGAAGAATATAGGCTTTCCAATTTTACCCCCCTTTTCCCTATCAGAGGATTAATGCTGCATCTTCTATCAGCTCATTGCGCCAGCTCATGTCCGCGCCGCGACGGAGCTAGCCCGCACTGCTCCGGCGCCGGGATGACGACATCGGGCTACCTCCATCAATCAGAGGCCATCTATTTCCAACGCCTTTCTCACTCAACAATGTAATTGAAACGTCCGATCCAGTATGCAACATGAGTTCCACCACCACCACCACCACCACCACCACCAACCCAGACTATGATCTAAACACGCCCATCCACAAAGGCAGCAGCGGCCTCCGCGCCGGCCTCCCCTCGTACGGCGACGCGCACTTCTCCCTCTTCCTGCGCAAAGTCTTCATCAAGGCGCTCGGCTACAGCGACGACGCGCTCGGGCGGCCCATTGTCGGCATCGTCAACACGTACAGCAGCTTCAACCCGTGCCACGCCAGCGTGCCGGCGCTCGTGGCGGCGGCGACGCGCGGCGTGCAGCTCGCCGGCGGCCTGGCCATGGAGTTCCCCACCATCAGCCTGCACGAGTCGTTTGCCAGCCCGACGAGCATGTACCTGCGCAACCTGATGAGCATGGATACGGAGGAGATGATTGCCGCCCAGCCGTGCGACGCCGTCGTGCTCGTCGGCGGCTGCGACAAGACGACCCCGGCCCAGCTCATGGGCGGCATCTCGGCGAACAAGCCGATTCTGCATCTCGTGACGGGACCGATGATGCCGGGGAGTCATCGGGGCGTGCGGATCGGTGCCTGCACCGACTGTCGGAACAATTGGGCCAAGTTTCGCGCTGGCGAGATGGACATTGAGGACATTTCAGCGATTAATGACGAGCTTGCACCTACTGTATGTGCTTTGTGGCGAATCGCTATTGATCCAAACTAAACACTCGCATAGGCTGGTACGTGTGGTGTCATGGGCACGGCGAGTACAATGGCGTGCATTCTGGTCGCACTCGGTCTGATGCCTTTTGCCGGCGCCTCTGCTCCTGCGGTTTCGTCCTCGCGGCTGCGCATCGCGGAGGAAACCGGCAAATACGCCGTCGCCGCATGCAGAAAAGATACTGATTTGACACCGCAGGCGCTGCTTTCGCGCGAGTCGTTCCTGAATGCCATGACCGTGTTGCAAGCCATTGGTGGATCGACGAACGCCGTGGTGCATCTCATGGCCATTATTGGGCGCCATCCGGCAGTGGCCGGGACTATAACATTGGACACTGTGGATGAGATTGGGCGGAAGACGCCGCTGCTCGTCGACTTGAAGCCCAGTGGCGAGAATTACATGACCGACTTCCACAATTCTGGTCAGTACCGGTGATCTTGACAGATGCTAGTCACTAATTGCACCACAGGTGGCATGCTCGCTCTCCTTCACCAGCTCAAGCCCCTGCTCTACCTCGAGGCGAGAACTTACACTGGAAACACTTTGGGACAAGAGCTCGCCAGAGCCACTCCGCTCTCCGTCCCGCAAGAACTCAGCTGCATCCAGCCATTCACATCGCCGCTCTATCCCTCCTCGTCCCTGGTCGTCCTCCGAGGAAACCTCGCCCCCGGCGGCGCCGTCATGAAAGCCGCCGCCTCCAAATACCGCTCCCTGCTGAACCACCGCGGCCCAGCCGTCGTCTTTGCCGGCTCCGCCGACCTCGCCCACCGCCTCGATGACCCGGCGCTCGACGTCACTGCGGACTCAGTTCTCGTCCTCCAAAATATCGGGCCAGTCGGTAACCCGGGCATGCCTGAGGCTGGCATGATTCCCATCCCGCGCAAGCTGGCGCAGCAGGGCGTGGCCGACATGTTGCGCGTGTCGGACGGACGGATGAGCGGCACGGCAGGCGGCACGATTGCGTTGCACGTTTCGCCGGAAGCCGCTGATCCGGCCTCGGTGCTGGGCATTGTGCGCACGGGGGACTGGATCGTATGCGACGTCGAGAGGCGGCTGCTCGAGGTGGAACTGTCCGATGAGGAGATTGCGCTTCGACTCGAGCAACGAGGAAGTATTTTGAAGGAAGAGGACAAGGTAACGTGGCATACAAGGCATAAGACGAGAGGCTACAGGGGTCTCTACCTTCGATCCGTGAACCAGGCTCAACATGGTGCGGATTTCGACTTTCTCACAGCGGCCGGCCCTTCATAATCCAATGCCCTTTCCGTGTAAATCTTGCTTTGTTCTATTTGCCCATCGTTATAGTCTATACTCCAGGAATAAAGTCTTGGAACAATTCTTGCATCATGTCGTCGATATTCACAGAGGCGCTGTCGAAAAGGAACCCGTCAAAAGGCTGCAGCAGGCTCAACTCCGCATCGGGCAAAGACAAGACATCACTTGCCAGATTTTCCTGCTCGCTCGTGGTTTGCACCTGAGCTCGACTCGATCTCCGGCGGCCGTCGACGGCTGCTGGCGCCGACTGATTCTGCAGCCACTGCACCATCGACCTTGCCGGGTCCTCTAGGATATCGCGACACCTCTTGGCCGCCGGCCAGTGCTCGCCCGTCGCGCTCAAGATGCCCAGCGCCGAGGTGAGTGTCCCCATGAGGGCGTCGGCCTGCGTCGCCCGCGCCACCTCGGGCTCGGCCTTGACGCAGTACAACAGCGTCAGCACGGCGAGCGCGAGGCCGTGCAGGCTGATCCAGTTGTGTATGAGCATGTCCTGCCAGTACATCTTGTCGAGTATCTGGATGCTCGCGGTGGCGCTCTTGGAGCAGCGTAGCAGGGCGGCAGAAGTCGGCTTGGGGATGGCTGGACTTGGTCGGAGGAGAAGCAAGCAGAGCCCGTGGTAGCGGAGCTGGCAGATGAGGTGCATGAATTCGTTCGGGTGCTGGATGTCTGAGGGGATTTCCAACAGCCATTCGTCAAGTTGTCGCAGCACATTACTTTGCCAGCCGTGTATGTCTGTCTGTGGCGGGTACGCATATCTCGGTGCTTCTTGAACAATGCTGTTGGCGACATATTTGATCTCCGAGTTGATTTTGGTAGCCCGAAACAGGTGGATTGAGTAAGAGATGTCGAGTGGCTTTCTGGTAGAAGGGATTTGAAGGGCTTGATTCGGAACCAACAGGGCATCATCAATTTCTTGCGGCAACTATCTATGTTAGTTTCGTCTTATACAGCGCTCGACCACGTACCCGTAGCTCACACGCTTCGTCGCGAAGGCCAATCGGTCGGCCCATGATTGTGCATATCGTCCTGTCCAGAAGAAGGCAGACCCAAAATATCCTGGTTCGCATTTCCTGCTCCAGAAGCGAGATTCCAGACTCGACAGTAATGTTTCTCTGTAGCCCCAGATCCAGCACGCCAGCCAGGCACTGGTAGTTGAGATACCACACGTTGAAGCGGGTAGACGGGCTATGTAGCGCAAATATCAACAGCAATAATAAGCACTGGAGTCCCTGTATTGAGTTTTCAACGTTGATTTGCGGAAAGACTTGCAGCGCCGCGAGACAGTAGGAATCGCTGGGTAAGCGTGCTTTGGAGCGCATGGACAAGACCGTCGCGCCCATGGCAAGAACCATGAAAACTTGAAATGAGACGACAGGAGCTACACTTTCATTCTGGTATACGTGATCCACAGCTTCCAGGGTCGATTGGCGATGCAGAATAGGGTACTGCGGATGGATATACTCGAAATATGCATCGCACATCCGCAGCGCCGCCCGCTTCGGCGGTAGCGGAAGCGGGCCAGTGACTGATTCAATGAGTTCCCCCAGGACATCAGTGGTATTTTCCGCAGTATCTGCGTCGTTGATGGGATCACGGCTTTTGCTCAGCATAACGCGCGCGAGAAAGTAGCCGCTGGATGGGCCAATGTACCGCGAGTCGCTGGCACCAAGCGACAGCATGGCAATTTCGTGAGCCGACGCGCTATTCCCGCCCAACACTTGACCTAGAGGTCCAGGCGGCTGGGTAGATTGTTGTGGCTTCGAAATTATCGGAGGGAAATCAGTTGCAGTTGGCATGATGGTCTCTGGCTCGACTGTGGACACTTGGAGCGCGGCTGGGTTCATGTCGTGCTGCGGCCGTCTGGTATCCAAGTCAACGTCGGGGCATCTTTGCCGAATGATGGATTCTAGCCATTCTATACGAAGCTTGAGGCCAGCAATCTGGCTTGACGATTGTTAGCGCATTGTCTAGGTACTTGGGCTACCTCGTACTCACGCCCGGGGCAAGGCCGTTACACGCTCACTGACACCGTCCTGGCAGATGGCACCAGCATTACGGCAATTCTTGCACGTAGGTAAATCGCCATCGCACTGTCACTATTAGAATCTCCGCAAAAAGTATTGATGAACCCACCCTTGGTCATTTTGGGGCCTTACCCGAATCTTTCGCCGCTGGCAGCGCAGACAGGAGAGCTTGCCACGTGTCAGCCGGGGTCCGGAGCCCGCCCGCGTGGCAGACGATGTTTGATCTGTAGGCATTCTGTAGCCCTATACTGATAAAGACAATAAGTAGAGTATGGGCGGCTGGGAGTGGTGGCGGGTTTCGTGCAAAGGCAGCGTGTTTTGTGAAAGACGGACAAACGCCGCAAGTTGCAAATCTTGGTCGGCATTTGTCCGCTCGTCTCCACCGCAGCGGAGACTTGCCGCTGCAGGATATAAACCACACATGCACCCTTCAACTCGTGCAAATGACAGAGAAAAAAGAATACGCGAAAATCACACTCTGGCTGAATACGTACATTCCTCTTGAACATAAAACATGACCTCGGAGCAACCGACGCAAGAGCTGCGCCACGTCGCTGCCAGCGAAGCCCAGCGCCTCGTCCAAGACATCCTCCAAGGCAACGGCGTCGGTGCCGAAAACGCCGCCATCATCGCCCGAGGTCTCATCGCGGCGGACCTCCGGGGCGTCGACACGCACGGCATGAACCGCATCCCGTCCTACATGGAGCGGATCCGGCAGGGCGTCCTCGACGCGACCGCCACGCCGACGGTCACGCCCGTGACGCCCGTGGTGGCGCAGGTCGACGGGCGCAACGGGTTCGGGTTCCTGGCGGCGCACGCGGGCATGGCGGCGTGCATCGCGTCGGCGCGGACGTACGGCATCGGCATGGCCAGCGTCAAGCACTCGAACCACTTTGGCATGAGCGCCTGGATCGTGCAGCAGGCGCTCGACGCCGACATGATGAGCCTCGTCTTCACCAACTCGAGCCCGGCGCTGGCGCCCTGGGGCGGCCGCAGCAGCCTGATTGGCGTGTCGCCGCTGGCGTGCGGCGCGCCCGGCCGCGACCCGTCGTCGCACTTCATCCTCGACATGGCGCCGTCTGTCGCCGCGCGCGGCAAGATCTACAAGGCCAAGCGGCGCGGCGAGCGCATCCCCGCCGACTGGGCGCTCGATGCCGGGGGCCGCCCGACGGACGACCCCGCGGCGGCGCTGGGCGGCGTGATGTTGCCGATGGGCGGGCCCAAGGGTTCCGGCCTGGCGGTCATGATGGATGTCTTTTCCGGCGTCTTGTCCGGGTCGGCGTTTGCGGGGCATGTGACGGGGCCGTATGATCCGTCCAGGCCGGCTGACGTTGGGCACTTTTTGCTGGCGATGAAGCCGGATCTGTTTATGAGCCTGGATGAGTTCCGCGACCGTATGCAGTATCTGTACGATAGGGTTACGGGGTCGGAAAAGGCGGCCGGCGTGGAGAGGATCTACTTTCCGGGCGAGCTGGAGCAGTTGGCGCAGAGGGAGCGTGAGAAGACGGGTATCCCGCTCGTCCAGGCCGAGATTAATGCTTTAAATGCTGAAGCAGAAAAGGTATCAGCAGCACCACTGGTTACTCTGTAAATTGTCCTAGCACCATAAGATGTCCTAATTCTTGTACATAGTTGCGATCATGTGTCACTCTATACGATCTGCCATGATTGTGGTAACGTAGTATGCGATATGATTCTGTGCATAGTTGCGATAATCTGTCATTCATATATCAGCATCTATGCGCCCTTTTCCCAAACGCTGATTCCCCCCTTGTCGTCCGAGCTGGACCGTGTCACAGTCGGTAGATCGCTTTCGGCATCACTCTCGAGCACCTCCGACCATTGCGTCCTCGTCTCCGGGATGGGGGAAACTGTACACAGCAGCCAATAAACCATGGAAGAAACGATAAAGCCACCGAAAAAGTGAAGGTTGAAAAGGTACTTGGCACCAATGGGCACGGTGGCGCCGACTTGGCCAGCAAAACCAACGATATTGATGAGAATGCCTGCAATATACGCGACATACGCGCGCCAGTGCACACCAAAAGTGTAATAATACGGTCCCGATTTCCGCGCCGAATACAGCTCCGGAACATTGAGGTATCCTCTGCGGACAATGTAGTAATCGGTCGTGATGATGCCAGCCATGGCGCTGAAGAAAATGGCATAGGCGGACAAGTAGGTCAAGAACGTGTCGGAGTTCTTCAGCAAGACCCACGGACAGATGGATAAGCCGACAGCGGCGCAAATGTAGCTGCCCCGACGAATATTGATATACCGCGGCACGAGCGCCGTCATGTCCGTGCCGGCCGACACGGAATTCGCCGCGATATTGGTGCCCAGCTGTGCCAGGGAGAACGCAAAGGCAATCAGAAAGACGCCGAAGCGCTCGCCGGCGCTCGCGCCCTGCACCAGTCTCTCGAGCAGGCGGAGCGGGTCCCAGACGGGCTCGCCGTAGATGACCTCGGACGCCGACGACACCAGAATGCCGACGAGCGAGGTGGCGGCAAAGGCGAGCGGCAGGCCGAGGAGCTGGGACCACAGCGCGTCGCGCGGCTTGCGGGCGAAGCGCGTAAAGTCCGAGTCGTTGATGATGACGGTCGAGAAGTTGGCGACGCACGACATGACGCCCTTGATAAAGGCCCAGGCCAGCGCGCTGCCGTGCAGCCGGCCCGGGCGCGCCACGACGGGGCCGATGCCGCCGGCCCGCACCGCGACCCAGATGAGGTACGCAATGGCCGCGGGCGGCACAATGTACGCCTTGAGCGTGAAGAGGTGCCGGATCTTGTAGACGGGGAACCAGAGCGCGGGGAGGGAGCAGAACCAAAAGATAAAGTACGACACGAAGTCGGCGGTCGTGGTGCCGCTGCCAAATGTGTTGGGGATCTTGTCGCGGTCCCACGAGGTCCAGATGGCGTGGATCATGATGTAGACGGCATGTCCGCCGATGTAGCCGTTGACGCCGTACCAAACACACGCTGGTCCCGGAGTGTTAGTCCAACGTCTAACCCTTTTTGTTTTTTTGCTTGGCCTAGCCAGGTTTCACATACCCATCACGACACGGTTCAGCACCGGCCACAAGCTCCCCCAGATGCCAAACGAGGCGCGCCCCATGACGGGGAAGCTGACGTGGTACACGGCGCCGATGCGGCCCGTCAGGACGATGAAGACGGCGGTGACGCCGTAGCCGACCCAGACGGCCAGCCACGCCTGCCACCACGACAGCCCGCCCACAATCATGGACGAGGCAATCATCCACGTCGCAATGTTGCAGGCGTCGGCGATCCAGAAGCCGACAAAGTTCCAGCTCGTCCACTGGCGCTGGCTCTTGGGAACGGGTTGCAGGTCCTCGCTCGCGAGCTACCGATGGTTAGCGACTAACACCAAAGAGATCAAGGCTGTTGCACGCCCCCGATGGACCCTATTATTGTTTCACGGAGAATGAGTTCATACCATGCGTTGCACCCCAGACAAGCCAGGCTCCCCATCGAGGGCCAGCTTGTCAGACAGCCGCGAGAGTAGCACGGGTATGCGGACCATTGTTGATGTTTGGTTGCAAAGATACTCGGAGCAAAAGAGAAAAAGCACCGGGGGCGAACAAGGCTTCTTCAGCTTCTTCCCATCCTATGCTGATCGATGGGCATGGATGGTGTGGTGGGTTTCATCTATCCCAGTCTCGCACTAGTGTGTTGCCGCCGTTGTACGGTAGTTGGATAGCGAGCCCAGCTTTGATACCGCGGAGGCTGTGACTGGACGATACTGGTGCAGAGCATAATGGCCGGGTGTAGATGGATGCGCGGTGGGTATCAAGTGTTTTTCATGCATGCGATACTCGACATGGTTCGAGTCGGCGACTTATCACGATGGTGTATTTGTATGTATAGTTGGGAAGCTCATCGGCGGCTTCCGAGACAGCGCAAGCCACACAATGTATAGTCAGACATGGGTTGAGTCATGACAAATTTTGAATCAACCACTCATCTGTACAGCTTGTTCCAGGGAACATCCACCTCCACGCCACGATAGCCTTGTAACTAGTTTCGGCCGCTCGGACACCAGACAGAGCGGGCTTACCGTGATGGCCACAGGTTCTCATTGGTGGTCTTTTGCCGCTGGAGATCCATACTTGTTGTTCTTGTGGACACAATCTGCGAATCTAACAGTCGATGAGTTGCGGTCTCGCGGATGCTTCCCGTCGACGGCGCGGGCCCATGTCCGACCCGAAGGCCGCAATTAAATTAGTTACTAAATTGCTAAATTATCCACACGCGAGGTTACAGAACGTAGGAGATGAGACCCAAGACACTGCAGCCATGGTTGTAGTACACATTGGTTCGTGAGCAGATCCCTTGCTGCAAAGATGAAAATGCTAACCAGTCTGTATTACAGTGCTCTTCAAATTCAGGCCCGACGTCCCTGACAACGTCAAGGCCACCTTTGTCCGCGAGCTGAGACAGCTGCGCGACCTTCCATGCGTCCTGAACAAACGTCTCGTCGTCGGCGGGCCGTCCATCACGGACCCCGTCGAGCGAAGCAAGGGCTACCACTTTGCCCTTGTCAGCTACCACAGAGACGGCGCCGCGCTGGCCGCGTACCAGGCGAGCAGTGAGCACCACCGGTGAGTTTGTCCCTCTCTGCGGCCTATATCAATATTTTCTGATAATGGTAGGGTCACGAGTACATATCTCTGGCCGTTTCAGGAAGACGTTACGAGATTCGACTTTGAGGTGGCGTCGGAGGATGAGCCAGTCTCTCTCGGATGGTTGTGACAAGGAATAGAGTGCCATGTTTTTCTTTATTCCTTTCTCTCTTTGCGTTCTGACGCTTTTGGATGCGGACGAGATCTTTCTTGGCTGGGACTTAGAGAAGCGGCCAAGGTCATTTCGATCATGTGTCAATGTCAATTGAACTTGGGTGCCATGTTGATGTGATTTCGTGTTTTGGAGGTGCAATTCCCATTTCTACTCCGCAGGCAGCTGTATTTTAGTTATACATCAATGACATGCTTGGAATAGGCGTCTAATTTGCAAGATGTCTGATTCACATCTCACGTGGAGGAGCATTATGCGGATATGCCTGGAATGTGTAAGCCTCACATGGTATAGTGATGCAGGGCGGCACGCCTCGTAGGATTTAGTGCGATCGGCATAGCTATATGACAAGCCACTAATGATACATCAAGTACTTACTACCTTATTGAACGCACTATTACAGGCCTCATACTGACTTCCTTAAGTTAGCCAGTGGTCGGCGTGCTTGGCAGCAGTAGGAACTTTAGCAGGAAGACAAAATGAACCGATTCTTTATTTCTTAATTATTATTGTCTTGTTAATATTTCCAATTTCATTCAATTTCATTCAATTTTATTTTCTTACCCTTTCTCCTTGCGAATCTTTTTACTAGAGTGCTAGACGCTGCCCAGTCCTTCGTCCCCCCGCATGCGCCTATCTCGGCCGCCAAGCATTTATCACGACGATGGCATTCTGCACCTTGTACATACCGTGGGTGAAACAAAACGCACACCCCATCGAATCACGCTATTCCAGAGCATTAAACATCGGCGTACGCCGGCCAAACATTGTGGGAACCCCAACTCGGCTAGCGATAAGTACCCGTTCAACTATCTGTCCGGCCTCCGGATTTCCTCTTTCACTTCTGCGATGCAACCCTTATCAGTCTGCGCCAGATTGAGCCACCGTCGCTGCCCGACCGATACAATAATTCACTCACAGCGAGGCTATGAATTATAAGCAAAGGGGCTAAAATGTACATTCGTCGCCGCAGTCACTAGTCCGCAGAAACACCAGCCTGAAGCCAAGCTCTACCTAGTGTCACTGCTGCTGCCCCGCGCCGGCCGGAACCGGAGGCCCTCAGGGCGCACTCTTGAAAAAAAAAATTGGCCGCGGCCATTAACTTGTTCGTGAAACATTTGGGCGAGGCCATTAGTTACACCAACGGGGCATTTCAAAGCCGTCGTCCATCAAGACTCCCTCCGCGCGGCCAGCCAGCAAAAATGGCCCTCCGCATCAGCCTCCCGCGCAAGCCCGCGTTCCTGCACGGCGTGCCCAACAACAGCCTCCTCGCCATCGGGATGCTCCTCTTCGCCAACGCGCTCGTGTGGGCGGCGTGCGCCATCATCCTGCGCGCGCACGCCAAGCTCATCTCGCCGGCCGCGCTCGCCTACACTCTCGGCCTGCGGCACGCGCTCGACGCCGACCACATCTCGGCCATTGACCTGATGACGCGGCGGCTCATCGCCGCCGGCCAGCGGCCCGCCACCGTCGGCACCTTCTTCTCGCTCGGCCACAGCACCGTCGTCGTCGTCACCTGTGTCGTCGTCGCCGCCACCAGCGGCGCCCTGCGCGACCGCTTCGACGGCTTCGCCCGCGTCGGCAACATCGTCGGCACCTCCGTCAGCGCCGTCTTTCTCATCGTGCTCTGCGTCGGCAACGGCTGGGTGCTCTACAAGCTGGTTAACCGCCTGAGCGAGGTTCTGGCCGAGAGGCGTCGTCGCAGCGACGAGACCGGCGCCGACGCCAGGGTGCCCACCGAGTATGACGCCGAGGCCACGGCGAGCGGCCAGTTTAACATGGACGGCGGCGGCCTCGTCGCGAGGCTGCTGGGCTTCCTCTTCAAGGCCATCGACCGGCCGTGGAAAATGTACCCGCTCGGCGTCGTCTTCGGCCTGGGCTTCGACACGAGCTCCGAGATTGCCATTCTCGGAATCGCGAGCATTCAAGCTGTCCAAGGGACCAGCATCTGGCTTATTCTCATTTTCCCCCTCTTATTCACCTGTAAGTTCCACACTTTGCAACTGTCATGACAGCGCTAATACGCACAGCTGGCATGTGTCTGCTGGATACCACCGACGGTGCCCTCATGATGGCATTGTACACGTCCAAGGCATTCTCGCGAGACGTCGTCGCCATTTTATACTACTCCATCGTACTCACTGCCATCACCGTCTTCGTCGCGGCATTCATTGGCATTATTCAGGTCCTCTCACTCGTCCAAAATGTCGCTGAGCCACAAGGACGCTTCTGGGACGGCGTCTCCGTCATCACTGATCATTTCGAAATAGTCGGCGGCAGCATTGTCGGTGTATTCGTCGTCGTAGGCCTGGCATCCGTCCTTGTCTATCGCCCTTGGAGACGCCGCATCGAAGGCAAGCAGCAGGCACTGGCCGCGTCTGCCGATGCTGGATTGAGAGATGCCCACGAGCCAGAGACACCCCTGTCACAACAAGCAACACCTCGTCATTTGATGGACTAATAAATTTCATCGCTATTTCCAATCACTATCGCTATTTATACGCTACTAAATAGAGCCCGGTATCCCCATTTCTTAACCTTTTCTTCTTCTCGCAGCTTTACTCGGCTTCGAAACGAGCAAAGAGCGTGGCATAGCAGCTGTTATGGCACCTGGCGCATTTTCGCATGCGCATACTGACACCGGGTACTCGCTTGAATGGCGGCCGGAGTCTGAGCCTCTGTCGCATCGCCTCGATATTGGCTCTGTCCTTTTCCAAAGGATCCGCAATGTCAAGGCAGGCTCTACAAATAGTGCACAGCCATACACCTCGATCTTCATCATTCCATCGCTTCACCGACGTGTACCAGTCGGAAACCGTATCCATAAACCGTTTCTTGGCAGGCACTTGCGGAGCCCATGTACCATCTGCTCCTCCGGCATTTTCGACTTGTTGCCCTCCGGCTCTGGCCTTGGAAGCAGACCCCAGGCCTGGTATGCCGGGAACCCTAGCCTGAAGAAAAGGGTTAAGCCTGCCTAGACTGCTTTGCACTTGATCGAAGCGCTTTGCTGCCTCGGTACGAGCGATAGGTAGTATCGGTGGCAATACGGGCCGACTGGCGCCTGCCGTGCCGGGCGAGTTCCGACGATGCCTAGCCAGACGATCTAGGAAAGATTCTGGACGAAGTCCACTTCTTCGTGCTTTAGTTGACTCGGGTTTGCTATTTTGCTATTGTCCAATCAGTATTGCGTTATTCAAGATGGTCTCAGTCAATCCTCATACTCTCTCAAGTCGATAATCAGATATTACTCGGCTCACTCGAGAGTCGCTCGGCTCGTCCGAGTCTTCCTCGTCGCCAGAGTCGTACCGATAATTAACGGTCAAGGGGTATTGTACTCCTCTGTACTCAGAAATCTTTCCAGCTAATGTCGCTGCCTTTCTCCGAGCGCCATTAGTGTCTTCAAACAATCCGGGAGGAAGCTTCAATTGTCCGGCTGCTTCTCGAGGACCGGAAACATCTTTCCAAGACTTGGAGTTAGGAGGCATGCCAACATCAAAATAATAAGAGACCCCTTGCATTTCGGCAATGCGCCACTCGTGTGGGTGGCTCCAACCCGGTGGGATGTTGTCTGCAGATAATCCATCTTCACTACCAGCGATTCCATATTTTTCATCTTCGCGTATCTCCCACAGTCTGAGGTACTCGTCCTAGTCAGCTCTTCTGAGGAAGATGAGCTCGCGTATCCCTCCAGTCGATCTTCGACGGCCCTCGCTCCCTGTTTTGGGCCGCCACGCCGGCTTCGGGGGGAGGGGTTTTCGAGGAATCGTTTCAATGATGTTCGGTGGTGATGGGGTTTCCTTCCGTGGCTCTGGATCTCTTTTAGACTCGCTTTTTTGAATTCTGCCTCTGTCATCGGAGTACAAGTCCTCGTCAGTCGACGCGTATGACGAGGACGAAGGAGACTCGGCCGGCAGTGAGGCCTGCATGTCGAACGTGTATGAAGGCGTTGTCAGTTCCTCCGGTGACGCAAGACTGATTTCTGCTTGGTTCTCAGTGACGATTCGAGGCTCGTCTTGGGCTTGGCTGCAAGTTGGCTGGGCATCGTCAGCATCAGCAGGTGGTTCGGCTGGCACCTTGGCAGGCCCATCCTGAATGTCGCGAGCGGCTTCCTTGCGCTTTGGGGTGGCCATGATGGCTACTAGGGAGACGGAGATGGGCTATATCGATATTGCATAGGCCACAAGGGCAATAAGATAAAAAGGTATATCAGAAACTGATTGATGATGAGGAGTTGCAAGTTTGAAAAGACCATTGTCCAAGAACTTGCGGTGATGATGCTTTAGTACGACAAGGAGGAAGGTGCGTGCGCGGAGGGAAGCTGCTTCCAAGCCGCCACAGCACATTGACAGTCTCCATGGTTAGTTCTCGATAGTGCCTACTCGAGAATTGTTACATGTAGCAATTCAAGAATTCTGCACAATGAGGCTCAGTCGGTGATCGACAACCTGATGGTGTATGTACCTTGTAGCGCGCGCGACCCAGCGCTAGCAGTAGCAGCACGTACCCTGGCCGATGACGCTACAAGCTGAGCTTATCGCGGCGTAGCTCCTTATCGACCCTAAATACATTCACCTTCCAACAACCAACATCAGCACATCACAGCGGCTGCTATCATGTAGTCTGGCGCGCTGCGCATCGCCGTATTCTAAATTATTTATATCCGAGTACAGGTGCCGAAATGGCTTCTCCAACAGCCTCTACCCGTCGCAGCCCCGGCTCGTCAGCTGGCTCGCTCAAACGATCCGACGAACGAGCTTCAGTAGCACACGACATCCCCCTCGAGACGCTGGTCACGCACTTGCTCGCTGCGAAGCGATCGCTTTCATCAATGAATCATGTTCTCCGCGCCAACGAACTAGCTACATCCGCCCGACATGCGCAGGAAGAAGCTGCTCTACTGAGCGCCCAGTCCGGCTTCCTTCGCGGCGCTATCCTTGACCAGGCTGCCATCTTAGTCAAGGTGCGTCGCAGCCTTCAGGCAACATACGACTGGGGAAAGCGCGATTTTAGAGTCCTCGTCAAGTCCATGGATAGTGTCGATGGCGAACTCGGCCGTACAATAGAATTTCTGCGGTCAACGGAAGTCAACAGCCTACTTCGTCCACAAGACGAGCAACGAAAGAATCTACTCGACTTTGTCGATGAAGAAAGCGTCAATATGATGAGGGATGCAATGAAAAAAAGTATAGAGGAGCTCCAAGTATGTATTGTGAATTCACTACTCGGTCCGTGCTAACCGTGCCCAGGGCATTCAGCAATCATTTGATGGCGACCTCCTCCGTTTCGACAACGATATCCGCGACCTCAAGAAAATCATTGTCGAATCGCAAACCCAAGAATCAGACGACGAGGGCCAAGAGTCGCAAGCCTTCGCGATGGACATGGTGATGGACCTAGTCGAAAATTCAAGCGTGATGGCCCAACTGTTGGCATCACTAACAAACCACTTTGACATGTGCGTAACGGCCATACGGACAACAGAGGGCGGTGCGGCGCTAGCTCGCCGCCGAGCTGCCGAGGTGAACCATCTTCAGGGCAGCGATGGTGTATCCATCTCGGGAGTTATTGCCGAGCAGGAATCCAACATGTCGGACTTGGAGCCAACGACAGATGGCGACCGAGCAGAGATGCTTCGGGTCGTGGTGCAAGATGCAGGCGAGGTCAGCGATGTTGTGCAAGAAATTCAAGAGCGTCTTGTAGTCATGGAACAAGACGGCAGGGTTCTGGAGCAGCGGAACGCCGATGCCGAAAAATCCTATATTACCATGCTTGAGGCGTTTACGATACTGGGAAGTATCGGTGACCGTCTGCACGACTATCTCGCAGCCGAACAAGATTTTAAAACCCGTTGGGAGCTAGAGAAGGAGACTGTGTTTGACAGACTGGCAGAGATGAAGGTGATGAGGGGCTTCTACGACGGCTACGCAAGTGCATACAATACGTTGATCTTGGAGGTGGAGCGCCGGAAAGCTGTTGAAGACCGGGTGCAAAACATCTGGCGCATGGCGCAAGACAGCGTGGACAAGCTACTGGCGGCCGACGGAGCATCTCGAGAAGCATTTCGGCAAGACGTGGGCGAATACCTGCCGACCGATCTGTGGCCAGGAATGCTGGCCGTGCCGCAGCGATGGCAAGTAACTCGGATCGAAGACGAGGATATTCAGCAAGCTGTTGGGGCTGAAGCCGCCGAACAAAATAACAGCTCAAGTGCTCATTGACAGCAAATTCCAGGAGTAACCGCAGCAGAGTACAGGATTTCGGGCGTATTTCTATTTCTTTCGTCGTCATCTTCGTTTCGTTCGGCCGGCGCATGGTGAGGATTTGTTTATTGGCGTCTCGGAATGATCTACCAGATAGATACAGATTGGCATATACAAGATAGCTGCAATAGCAAATCAATACACCAGATAAAACTCTTCGTTCTGCGGGCGAGTGACCTCGCTGAGCCCCACAGGCCAAAAAGACGAGCAGTGCACAACCCGACCACAACTGTCGACAAGGACAAAAAGAAGATGTTTGACAAGACTGGGATTTGAACCCAGGAGGATTGCTCCACTACGAAGAAGGTAATTGATTTCCCTGAACGTAGCGCCATGAACCATGCTCGGCCATCTTGCCGGTGGATTGGATACTGCAGCGTTGACACAATGACGTATAAAAGGGACTCTAGAGAGGGGTTTTCAAAAGAATGAACTGGCAAAAGTATAATGACAAGACTGGGATTTGAACCCAGGAGGATTGCTCCACCAGGAAGAGGTGTTAAGGTATCCTTAACCTGGCGCCATAACCATACTCGGCCATCTTGCCGCGGGGTCTTGGTTGACGATGGAGACGGGGCGGAGATATTTGTCGTTAAGGAGGGCTTGAGGGCGTACAGGGATCCGCAAGGAGGCTGCGATTGGATGAGAGGTTGGTGATTATTCTGATGGTTTTTTTTACGTGTTATTTGGACGGAAAGGTGGTTGGGTTAAGTAGTTTGGAGATGTGTGGTTGGGTTGTGGGAGCTTTTGCTGGTTTGATTTGTGTGCCGAGTTATCGGGTGAGGCTTACCCGGTAGTTGATGCCAACTTTGTCTGGGAGCCGTAGAAATGACCACAAAATCATAAGCAATCATCAAACGCTACATGCATACATATGTACATCAAGAATAGCTCATATATAAATTAACCGTTAAAATTGCGCCGGCCGGTGGACGGGCACGACCGGCTAACTACCTACCGTTGGCGCCCATCAACGGGCCAGTACAAAAGCCGCCAATGACGCTGAGTAATCCCCGCGCCCTATCAGTGGCGAACAGCTCCAGCTTGACATGTTGGGGTTCAACCTATACTTTTCATCTCAACTTTGTACACCCGAGGACTGCTGTTTACATGTTGTGTCCGAGATACTGCAACATGATTTCTCCCGCATAAGATGCTCCGTTGCAGCTCCACGGCCACGATGCAGTGCCTGCGCCAGCTGCCGCGGCAGGCACCCCGCGTCCATGCCCCTGCGTTTCCGCCTCATGCGTCCAGACTCACAAACGTCTGCTCACCAAGACGACTAGGCACTGCGGCGCCGCAGAGCAAGCCCAGCATCACCACCCCTTCCTCCTCCACTCCCGAGCCCTCGGCCCGTCGCCAGCGTCTGCGGGACGACGCCAAGCCGTTTTCCGACTTCCTCACCGATACGTTCCAGCGCCAGCACGACTACCTGCGCATCTCCATCACGGAGCGGTGCAACCTGCGGTGCGTGTACTGCATGCCCGAGGAGGGCGTGCCGCTGTCGCCGAACCGCGACCTGCTCACGACGCCCGAGATCCTCCTGCTCTCCTCCGTCTTCGTCGCGCAGGGCGTCACCAAGATCCGGCTGACGGGCGGGGAGCCGACGGTGCGGCGCGACATCCTGCCGCTGATGCGCGACCTCGGGGCGCTGCGCGCGCGCGGCCTGCGCGAGCTCTGTCTTACCACCAACGGCATCTCGCTGCACCGCAAGCTCGACGCCATGGTCGACGCGGGCCTCACCGGCGTCAACCTCAGCCTCGACACCCTCGACCCCTGGCAGTTCCAGATCATGACGCGCCGCAAGGGCTTCGACGCCGTGCTGCGCAGCATGGACCGCGTGCTGGACATGAACCGCGCCGGCGCCGGCGTCAAGCTCAAGGTCAACTGCGTCGTCATGCGCGGCGTCAACGACGCCGAGGTCCTGCCCTTTGTCGAGCTCACCCGCCACAAGGACATGGAGGTGCGCTTCATCGAGTACATGCCCTTTGACGGCAACAAGTGGAACAAGCGCAAGATGCTCGGCTACCAGGAGATGCTTGACACCATCCGCGCCGCCCACCCCTCGCTGCAGCAGCTGCCGGGCCACCGCAACGACACCAGCAAGACGTGGCACGTCCCCGGGTTCGCCGGCCGCATCGGCTTCATCACGAGCATGACGCACAACTTTTGCGGCACGTGCAACCGCCTGCGCATCACCGGCGATGGAAATCTGAAGGTGTGTCTCTTTGGCAACGCCGAAGTCTCGCTGCGGGATATCCTGCGCCGCGCCAACGGCGGCGAGCCCATTGACGACGAGGCCTACGAGGCCATGAAGCGCATCGAGATGGACCGCCGCCAGGGACTGGTGTCGGCTGATACGCCGCTGGGCATGGCGCCCAACGAGGCCGAGCTGCTGGATGTCATTCGCGTGGCGGTCAAGGGCAAAAAGGCCAAGCACGCGGGCATCGGGGAGCTGGAGCACATGAAGAACAGGCCCATGATTTTAATAGGTGGGTAAACGACTGCTTTACCCCAAACAGTTCACGACCTTTATGCACGGCATTGCGACATTCACTGGCATCTGCGTCGCGGAGCATTTCACACAGTGATAGCTCTTTACCTCTGTTCTTTCCCCTCTCTATATTGTACATTGTCCGGGGCTGAGACGCAACGTATAGATCCTGTTGCCCCAACCCTCCATGGCACCATACCTCGCAGAGTACAGCATCTCATCAGCACACCACAATCGCATCCCTCCATCAGCCACCAACGACGACTCTTTTCCTCCACGCCACGACAGCACAGCAAAGACGACAGCGCGACCAAGCCGCCCACGCTCACACACGTGTCCGAGACGGGCGCCGCGCATATGGTCTCCATCGCCCACAAGACCGTCACCGCGCGCGTCGCGACCGCCGCCTGCACCGTGCGCTTCTCCAGCGCCGTCGCGCCGGCGCTCATCCGCGCCAACCAGCTGAAAAAGGGCGACGTGCTCGGCGTCGCGCGCGTCGCCGGCATCATGGCCGCGAAGCGCACGCCCGACCTCATCCCGCTGTGCCATCCCGTTGCTGTGTCGCATGTGGGCGTGGACCTGGTGCTCAGCGATACGAGCGTCGAGGTGCGCGCCACAGTCGAGTGCGACGGCAAGACGGGTGTTGAGATGGAGGCGCTCACGGCGGCGTCGACGGCCGCGCTGACCGTGTACGACATGTGCAAGGCGGTGGACAAGCGCATGGTGGTGGACGGGCTGAGGGTGGTGCTCAAGGACGGCGGCAAGAGTGGTCGGTGGGAGATGGAATAACTCGCTGGTCCGTACATATACCAAGTTGCTGTAATTCAGTCGACGCTTGCTTGAATCGCGTCAAGATAGGTGCTGCCTAGTGGCGGAATATATTGATATATTGAAATTGCCCCTCAACGCCATGTTCCCGATATGTACAATGATGTTCAGCCATGCACAATAGCTAGTCCTATATATACGATTTAATATGTGGTCGATAAACACCCTCGATGTCCTCGACTACAAATCATTACCTCCGCCTCCGGCTAAGAACGGGTGCTCGGCGAGATTCAGCCAAAAGTCCGATTCAAAGTCCTGCAGGGTGTGGCCGTCCCAGGCGTTCCAGCCCGCTTGCCCCGCCGCCAGCTCTTGCGTCTCGAGCATGGCCGCCGAGGCGGTGCCGCTGCCCGTCATCTCTCCGCTCTGCGGCAGGGTGACGCGGCCGTGGATGAGGCGCGTGAGCAGGCAGCCAATCGTCTTGGAGGCGTCGACGAGGAGCTTGTAGTTGGGGTCGTCGGTCTCGATGAGGACGCCCGTCTCCATCTCGACGACGAGCACGCTCAGGCTCTGAAAGACCTTGGACGTGTCGACGATGGGGTGCGGCTGCGTCTTGGAGGACTGGTGCAGCAGCCAGAGGCTGATGACGCCGGCGGCCGACAGGCCAAAGTAGGCCACCTTCCACACCAGCGACGTGTTGGAGTTGACGAGGTAGTCCTTTTGCATGAGCGCCTCGACGATGAGGCCGAGAATCTCGGCGGCCGTGGACACGAGCTCGGCGTCCGACTCGGGCCGCGTCCGGGTGATGACCATGCGCAGGAGAAAGTGAATGTGCAGCTGGTTGAGGCGCGCGTTGAGGATAAAGTCGCGCACGATGGGGGCTTGGTTGCACAGCTTGAGTGAGGTTTCGAGACGAAATTGCGGAGGCAGGGCTTGCCACTGGGCATGTGCCTTTTCGTAGATTTCTCTGTGATGCGGTTAGATCTGGTACGTGGGTGGCAAGGTAGCGATGTCCATACCTAACTTTCGGATGGTTGTCGTTTACACCGTCGAGGTTAAATAGCTCCATAATCTCTTCTTTTAAGATGCCGCACAAGGCACCCCAGCGTATATCGGCGACGTAGTCAAACTGCATGTCCTGCGGCCAGGTCGTTCTCCACGGCTCGACGAGACGTCCGTCGCTACGCGGAAGAATGAGTTTGCAGTATTTGAGATGTATGCGTGGTGGCCGCCCCAGGAAGATGGAGACGTTCTTGTCTGCCGAATATGTGAGGGCAAAGGTGAGCCGCCGGAGCTCTAGCAAAAAAGCCGGCAGGCTGTTAGAGTCGTTATTTGTCTGCTGGTGCAGTCCAAGCGCGTATATCGAACTGATGACATCTCCTAATCTCTTCCAAGAATGGTAGCCTGCCCGAGTTAGTCGCCGCGATTGTGTGGCGGTAGTGGAACCTACTTTGATCGCCATCGACAAAGGAATGGAGGATCCAGTTCTCGTACTGCAGCACAAGCTGTAAATCGTTCAGGCAGTCCAGTGACAATGCAATGTCCAGACTGAGATCTGATAAGTTCATGCCCAGCCGCTGCAAGTCCCGATATTCCCGCGCCGACTCGAACTTGGACATTTCAATCGCGGCCCGCGACGCCGCCGTGAAGAAGAAGCCCAGCGTCTCCCACCGACACCTCTGGTGGCCAAACTGCTCCTGAAAGTCATGCAGCGTCGTGCTAGACGCCGTGTCGATCGGGCGGCTCGTATTGTGAAACAGGCTCCGCGAGAGCTCCGTACTGGCGACGGGTTTGAGGCCCTGGTTGGGGAACAGCTGGCGCATTGTGGCGATGCAGTGGTCCAGGAAGGGCCCCGCCAGCGGCAGGCTGGAGCCGCGGGCTGTCCAGGCCAGGATCAATTTGCAGCACGACTCGATAGAGACGGTGGCCTCGATCTGCTTGATCAGGCCCGCACCGCGCGTGACATTAGCCTCGCGAATGGGGTTGTCTGAGCTGACGCCGGCGCCCTCACCCCCCAGGACGGCGGGGTCGCGCATATCCTGCAGGTTGCCGAACAATATGGTGGAGCTAAACGACCCGAGATAGCCGGGGTTGGGATACCGATGCGACTTGGGCGCGACGGCATCGCCGCCCAGGATGGGCGTCGGGCCATTGGCGGCGAAGCTCTGCTGTCTGCTCGGCGTGTGGCTGCCTGTCACGTCAGCCTCGTGTTCCCCGTGCATTATGCCGCGAACCCCCCCTTGCGTGGACCCAAGACTCCGAGACGCAGGAGACACAATGTCGCAGAGGGGGCCTGTCATAGAACCATACCTGAGAAGCCCGGGTGTCGCCGGAGTAGTGGTGCTCTGCTCCGCGCCGCGCTTCGTCTTCTTGAACGGCGAGGCGCGGTAGACGCACTCGACCTCCCGCGACTGGTTCTGACACCTGATACACACCGGCCGGGAATGGTCGCACGCCACTTTGGCGGCCCTGCACGGATCGCAGGCTGCTAATTTTTTACGAGCGACCGGCATAGCGATGCTTTTATGGCTGATTGACCCAGGCGGCGATTTTGATGTTAGTGAAGAAAGTGCACTGCGTCGGAGTAGTCGGTGGAGCGCCGGCATCGCATCAGTTGGTTCGGTGGATGACTCAGCCGACTGGACTTGTCCGGTTTGTACAACCAAAAATTCACGAATTAATCGTTTTTATTATCTACCTCTTTCTTTATTCTATATAGATCTCATTGTACATGAATTTGTGTGAAACATAGAGTCGTGACGCGGCGTTGGCTGCACCCAAGTCGGGAAACGTCCACAGATTTCTGTCTACACAAGCTCTTCCTTTTCAACTAGGATGCCATTGCCAGCCTTTTGAACTTCCATGTAGTCAAAAAGAGGACCCTGCGGTGCGTCATCACGGCCGAGGAAAATCTCAACCATGCGCAGACCCTGGCCATCCGTGAGCTTCTCGTCGCTGAATACCTTTTCAAGTTCTCCGTATGTTCGCGCGGTGGCCGTGTAAGCGTCGCTGGCGCCGAAAAATGCTGGTGCCTTGAGGTAGTTCCAGGCGGGCACGCTATTGTATGTCTCATCCTTGCCATGAATGCAACGCTCCACGGTATAGCCGTCGTTGTTGACGAGCACAACAATCACATTGAGGTTATGTCTAATGATTGTGGCAAGCTCTTGTGTTGTCATTTGGAAACTGCCGTCTCCAATGAACAAAAAGGTTCGCGACTCTTTGACATCCTGATGAAACTTGGATGCCTTGATGAGTTCCTCGGTAGCCATGGCAGCGCCTTGTGCGGCTGGAAGCATGTAACCGATGGAAAGCCATGTTACGTGAGTAAAGTAGCGGGCGTGCTTTGGTAGCGCCACAAGGCGCGAGCCATAGCTAGATGTACCGGTTTCGCCCATGAGAATATCACCTGGACGAAGAAAATTGCCAACAACGTTCCAGAGACGGTCATGAGCTAGCGGCGCATCCGCGGAGACCTCAGAAAAGGCCAGAAGGGAGTCTCTGGGAAGATCGGGGTATGTGGTGTAGACGCTTTTGGTTTTGGCTATTTCCACGCGCTGGAGAATCTTGGGGACAAGGTATTTGGCGGGCGTATCGCGAATCAGCTCGCCTTGAAAGACAGTCTCGTTGTGGCTAAAGGAAATGGTAGTGGCGGTGTTGGGTAGGGCAGCATTACCGTACGTGTTCGTCGTGCTGAAATGGGGGCCGAAGCAAAGAATCAAGTCAGCCTCTTTGAGAAATGTCTCAGCAGCCGCCTCACCAAACTTTGCCTTGTAGATGCCATGGAAATTCGGCTCCGTCTCGTCCAACAGTCCCTTGGCAAATCCAGTAACATACGTCGGCCAGCCGGTCGCCTTGGAGAATTCCTGCACATCTTGGACAATGCCGATTCCTCTGCTCTCGCCGTCCAGCAGAATGACTGGCTGCTTGGCCGAGTGAATCTTGTCCAGTACCCTGTTGATGAGGCGGTCCTGGTTCCTGGTAGGTTCGAGCTGAATCAGCTGCAGAGGCTGAGACAATCGCTCTTCCGAGACCTGCGCCGATACCATATCGACAGGCACCTCGATATAGACGGGACGGCTGTGGTGAAGACACTGTCTCAGGACCTCATCGATCTGCTCAGCGCTGGTTCGAGGGTCCCAGAGACGAGCCTGAGCAACTGTAAAAAGGGCGTGTGCCTGTGCAAACCGGGTGAAATCGCCATCCTTCATGCTGTGGTGGAGGAGGACGCGGTCATCTTGCATGGGCCGGCTGGGAACGCCAACAATGTGAACCACAGGCGCTCTCTCTGAAAAGGCCCCCGCAATGGCATTGATGGCTGACAGTTCGCCGACACCAAATGTCGTGACAATGGCGCCGATGCCCTTGATTCTAGAATAGCCGTCTGCCGCGTATCCCGCATTGAGCTCATTGGCACTTCCTACCCATCGCAGGCCGGCGGGCTCGACGTAGTCGAGCAGAGTGAGGTTGAAGTCGCCGGGGACACCATGGATGGAGTCGACGCCCAGCTGCTGGAGACGCTTGAACAGGTATGTGGCGAGCTTCATGGTTCCTGTCATTTTTGCTGTGGAGGACTAAATAAAATATGGTCTTTTGGACTGGACGGATTTTCTTCGAGGAATGTATCGATTATATACTCAGTACTGGCTACTCCGAGCATGACCGGCCTCGGCGTAAAGCCAATAACATGGTGGGGGGCATTCAAGGCCATTGGCGGGGTGCGCTTGGCGTGGATACACCTCACCTGAGGGGCCACGCTCAATTGACCCCGCTAATTAATGTAATGTTTGTAACCGGGGAATTGCTTGCCAATCAATTGCGCGGGCGCGCCGCGCTGGGAATTGCTTCGCAATCATTTATACAAGTTGGGGATTGCTCAATAGTCGAATTGCGCGGGCGCGCCGCGCTGGGAATTGCTTGATATCAATTTGCGCGGGCCGGCCTCGTTGGGGATTGCTTCGCAATCAATTGCGCAGCCGCGCCGCGTTGTAAAACTAATCGGTAAATAGTTTTATTAAATGAATGTATGACTTTAACAGAGTATTATTAAATATATTGCTATATTAAGATTTATACTGTATATTAAAGATTGGTAGGGCGACCTCAATGAGTTACTGAGGTAGTACCCCAGCCCAGGTCCCTCTGGTCCATTGACAACAGCGTTAAACCCGTCAGGAGATAAGGATCATGGTGGATACTAGCGCCACGCTAAATAAATTTCTGGCCAATTACAGGACAGGAGGGTCACCAGTCCCCTGAATTAATTTGTGACAACGACCCCTACTCTATCGCCTGTAACTGCGCCGCTGCCTACCTAGGTACCTACTAACAAGCCGCCTCGAGGCTGTTGAAGATGCTGTTGATGGTTGATGGTGCTGTTAAATGGCGTTGATGGTACTCCTGCCTTCTGATTGACTTGAAATTTCTTTAGCGTGGCGCTAGCGTTAGGGCTGTTGTGATCTTGTTGTCAAATTACCAGGCTGTTTCCTGTTTTCTAACAGGGCACTAGACACGTTTTCCGCTCAACCCGTAATTTTCCCCTGTCACAACGCTATCAGGCTGCCATTATGTGTTAAAAAAACATTTATATTTTTATAAGCCGTGTTAGACGTTGGCAGCGTTGTGACAGGGGATAATTATCTATTAAAACAGCGACCTGTCTAGTACCCTGTCTAAAAACAGGCCTTACTCGCGTATGTAATTTAGGTGAGATCTTACCTGGCGCTTGCGCACTTGCACGCGGTGGAGGGCTGCGCCGCCGCTCGCCGAACCAACTACGCCGACTATGGCCGCCGAAGCGACTACGCCGACTACGCCGTGTACGTCCACTACGCCGATCCTAGCCCAGCTTATAAGTATCACCGCGAAGTGTCTAGCACTTGATGTTGAAGTAAAAATCTCAAGCAGACCTACACCTTGGGAAACCACATCACATCTGAAATTCAACGTAATGGCGTCACTCGCGGAACAAATTGCCCAGTTTGAGACGCTGCGTGCTCAAGCCGAGCCTCTGCCCACAGACAGCGCTGCTTACACCACATCGGCGTTTTTCAAATCGAAGAATGCAGGACAGGGCAAGTCCAAGGCAAAGGCATGGGATCACCGCCTCAGCGTCGACAGCCGCGCTCAAGGATCGTCTCCCCTCAAGACAGCCAACCGCGGCAAGAATATGGACATGATCACGCTAGGCACTGCCCGTCCGTCGTCACAGTTTTACCCCTACGAATCTTTGACGGTCAATGTGGTCGACGATGCTTCCGCCAAGGAAAACAAGCCCACAACCGCCATTACCTGCTCCAAGGGCGAGAGTGCCTACAACCTGGCGGCTGCGCTCAACTATGGCTTCCCTGCCGGATCGCCACAGTCGGTGCGCTTCGTCACGGAGCACGTCGAGATGATGCACAACCCACCGTGCGAGGACTGGAAGACGAGTCTGACCTGCGGCACTACATCTGGTCTCGAAATGGTCTTCCGCATTTTCTGTAACCCCGGCGACAATATTCTGGTTGAGAAGTACTCGTACACCGGCACAATCGTCGGAGCCCGTGCGCAAAGAATCAACACGGTGCCCATAGCCATGGACGAATTCGGCCTGTCTGCCAAGGAATTGGATAGCACGCTGGAGAATTGGGATGCCACCAAGTCTCACAAGCCATACGTCTTGTACACAATTCCTACCGGTCAGAACCCAACCGGTGTTACACAGAGTGTCGAGCGCCGCAAGGAGATTTACGCAATTGCGGAGAAGCACGATCTCATCATTGTGGAAGACGACCCCTACTTTTTTCTGCAAATGGGCGAATACTCCAAGCTAGAGGTCGGTAGCAAAGAAGCACTCCAAGAATATGTGGACAAACTGCCCCCATCATATCTTTCCCTGGACGTGTCGGGCCGTGTGGTGCGCCTAGACTCCACCTCCAAGATACTGTCACCAGGTCTTCGCCTTGGCTGGCTGACAGCCTGCACTCAAATCGTCGACCTGTTTGAGGCGTACTCCGAAGTCAGTGTCATGTCTCCAAGCGGACCCTCGCAAGTAATGATGTACAAACTGCTCGACCAGACGTGGGGCCATACTGGCTTCGTCCGATGGCTGGCGCACCTGTCCAACGTCTACACCAATCGCCTCAACATCATGCTAGAAGCATGCGAGAAGCATTTGCCCAAAGACATTTGCTCGTGGAGGGTGCCTGATTCGGGCATGTTTGTTTGGATCAACGTGGACGTGACCAAGCACCCAAAGGCCCCGGAAGGCGAGCCGACCAAGGAATTCCAGATGGAGATTGAAGGTGCTCTATATGAGAAGTCTAGAGACCACGGTGTTTTGATCAGCAGAGGAAGCTGGTTCCTGGCTGATCCCAGGCAGGTCAGCGAGGCTGCTCTGCGCGTCACCTTTGCAGCTGCAACGGAGCCGGAGCTGGCGCCTGGCATTGAGCGCCTAGGTCAGGCTGTGCGAGAGGAATTTGGACTTGCGTAGATGCCAGCTGAATCACTACACGCATGACGTATTTATACAGGTAGAATGAAATCGGTATTCAAGTCAGATTCTATATATTTCTATCGATTAAAGCTGCATGTGTGCCATGACGACCTCCGAGAGCTGGTCAAACATTCTTTGTCTTGTCCCGACAAAGCTCTCGTAGTCTTGCTCAGAGATACCTAGCGGGACGCCAACAGAGGTATGCTCCTCGGATCTCTCCAGCTGTGGGTAGACTTGGTCAATAAAGTCGGCCAGCGGCATGCCAAAGGAGCGACCGCGTTCGCCCATGTAGTCGTGGAGCTCGGCTGCCACTTGTCAGTAAAGTCTTATACACCAAAGAGGACGCATCTTACTCTGAACAGCTGGGGCATTAATTTCGATAAACTTGCAGCTCTTTCCCTGGTTCTGACGGCGCAGGCAGTCCATGAAGGCATGGAGCGCAGCCTTGGAGCAGGAATAGGCGGGCATAGCCACCGACGGCACAGTGGATAGATGGGTGCCCGTGACAATGAGTGCAGTCGACGTCGGCTTCTCGAGCAGCGCGGCGCTAAACTTCAAGGCTAGGTTAACGACAGAGGTGAAGTTGGTGTTGACCTCGTGGTGGAACGCGTCGATGTCGACGTCGGCGGGGCTTGCGAGGCGAATCATGCGCTGCATGCCCGAGTTGAGCAAAACACAGTCGAGATCTGGGTATTCTCTGACAACTCTGGCGATTTTTTTATTTTTATTAGTCAGGAGAAGGGAACGATTGGCTGGGGTTAAGGTACCGCTGGACAAAGGCGTCGAGGCCGTTTCTGTCGGTCACGTCATATTGGATGCCGGCGGCCTTTTCGGCGCCGTGCTTCTGTACGAAGGCGTCGAGGCGATCCTGGCGACGGCCAACGGCGATGACTCTGGAGCCCTCTTGGATGAGCCTGTCGGCGAGGCCGGCGCCGATGCCAGAGGTGGCGCCAACGAGGAGGACAGTCTTGAAAGGGAAGCCCATGGCGAACTATATGGAGCACTGAGTATGGTTATATAAGTGAACCTGTAGGTAAGATTAAATGCGAGGAATTAGGATGATGTGATACCGAATGTCGAATAGTGAGTGATTCGATCGTGGGCGCAGAGGAGCTTTTATAATTTGGTTACGCATTCTTCTTACATCCACCCGCGGGAAAGTTGGACCTCAAAGTCCGCATCGTACCCGGCTACCGATATGGAATTAGACTTTAAAGCCGGCAGCGAAATACAGAGGCTAGGCATGCTCGCTTTTGCTTTCACGACGAGAAGCCGGCGAAGCACCATCGAACGGCCGCAGTGGAGCTCCGGATCGCTAACCCATTTGGGCCGCAGCGGGCCCTGTAAATTGCGGAGGCCCCTGTAAGCTCATGGATGTGTCCCGCCTCCGGAACGCTAGCTTGAATAGGCTTAGTGTCAAGTACTAAATCTCCGCTGCCTCGGACATCGACATTCTTGACGCAGGTTAACTCCGTATCAAATCTCACGTCTTCGCTGAACAGCTCAACCATCGCCATGCATCACAGTACCAGTCTCTGTCAACTCTCCTCACGACGCGGAATTAGTGGATAATGGTCAACAGGGGACGCCCCTCCCGGGACTGCCTACCCTGTAGGAAGCGCAAACTACGCGTACGTGTAACAACGCCGCCTCCAGCTGAGCAGGCTAATTAACAGTTCTTGTTAGTGCGATCTCCGCCCCGATGGCTGCGGACAGTGTTCTCGGGCCGGTATGGCGTGTCTCGGCTACCGCACGCAAGAGGAGCTGCGCTTCCGCGACCAGACGCAGTCCGTCAAGCGCAAGGTGCAGTACCACGCACAAACGGAAGCATACCGCAAGCGCAAGGCGCAAAACGATGCTCGCCTTTTCCAAACGGTCCATATCGGATGGGATCTTTGCTAAACAGGACTTCTTTACCAATTTCGTATTTGGCCTGGCCAGGAGCTACGACGCCCTCGGCATCCTGTACCAAAGGACCCATCCACCAGACCATCTGGTCGCCAGCGTCGACGCCGCAAGCCTAGCCTTTTTTGCCCTCCGCCAGTTTGCGCCGTCAAGCGACTTGACGAAACTAGCGACGGAGCGCTACGTTGCGGCTCTTCACCTTGTCAATGCCGCGCTCGCTGACCCGGTCGCGTCGCTGGCGGACGACACGTTGCAGTCGATCCTGCTGCTCGATCTCTACGAGAAGCTCTTCAGTCGCAGGCAAACCTCGACGAGGTCTTGCATGAAGCACATGAATGGCGCCATTTCACTTATACGGGCGCGCGGAGAGGGTAATTTGCAGACGTACGTCGGCCGTCGCCTGACGCAGCGGCTGTACACGACCCTCGTCATCAGCTGTGCCATCTCTGGGATGCGGATACCTGACGACATGGAGCGGCTGCGGGTTGATCTGAGCCGTTATGTTAAAGTCGACGAAGACCCCAAGTGGGCTCTCACGACCTTGAACGAAAAAATCATCAACTTTACCTCGGATGTGAAAACAGGCAAAATATCGTGCCGGGAGCGAATCATGGCGCACGCATTGGAGTTTTACCGATTGACCACCACCCTGGAGGACACTTTACCGCCGTATTGGACTCCCAAGCGCGTCTTTGTCGGCGACGATGGCTTGGGCCGGGAACTGACACTGACGGGTTCGTACGACGTCTACGAAAGCTTGTACTTTACCCAAGTCCGCAACGTCATCCGCACGGCCCAAATCAACCTGCTCTTGACAATTGAGCAGCTTGCCGCATCCAAAGATCCGGATCTCGCCGCTTCCACGCGAAAATTAATTGAACGGAAAGCCCGCGCCATCTGTGACAGCCTCGCCCAGTACTTGGTGTCGCGCGACGAAAACGGTGCTCTCACGTGGGACTTGGCCGCGCCGATGCAGCAGCTCGGCACCTACACCATCTTCTTCCCGCTTTATCTGGCCGTGCAAGCATCGCGCGACGGGCGACTCGGCGGATGGGCGCAGAACGTGCTTGGCCTGGTGGCGGATGTCGGCGGGCTGGCCATGGCGCAGAGGACAGCGGATGCGTTGCAGGCAAATGCAAACATGTCTAGCTGGGATGTGTATACCATGCTGGGCAGTTATGCCATTGCAGCGTGAGAGGGTGTGCCGCATGACCGATTTCAGGGCGCTAAGCCCCCGGCTGACTCACAACCTCGTGTTGGACATGGTTGGACGCCTTGTCATACGCTTAGCATTCACACTTGATCCTTACACTCTGTTTGATAGGAAAAGTGTTTAACTAAAACGACCTGAGTGATGGACTACACAGTGGAGCAGATCAAGCCTGACGAGGCCGGTGTGGAATTCTTCTTGGAAAAGTACAAGCCGTTCCGATTGGAGGCTTTACGGACAGATCCGCAGTGTGAGTGCAGCACCCAATTCTGAATGATACAAATGGAACTAATCATTATGCACAGTCTTTGGATCTACGTACGAGAAGGAAGCCGCCAAAGACGACGACTTTTGGCGATTGCGCGTGTCCCGCCCCGGGGCGACGACCTTTGTCGCCGTCCGCACCCCGGACCGTCGCATCGTCTCCTCCCTGACCCTGGTGCGCGGGATGCAGCCCTCGCCCATCCTCTCCATGGCGGCCGGGCTGATCCCCGCGGAGCGCGACAAGGACTCGGCGGCGCTGCTGCACTGGGCCGTCAACGGCGTGTACACGGCGCGGGACGCGCGGCGGCAGGGCCTCGCCAAGGGCGTGTTTGAAGCGGCGCTGGCGTTTGCGTTTGCAGAAGCCGCGGCCGAGGGCAAGTCGTGCCTCGTGTCGATTCTCGTGCGCGAAGAAAACGAGCTCGCCATGGGCATGTACGCGCGCATGGGCTTTGGCGACTTGGGCTACGTCGAGGCGGACGGCAATGCGGTCATGTACATGTTTAAAGCGCGGCCAGAGGCGATGTGAGAAGAGCCGGGTTTGATGAGCGAGATGCTGGACTCGGGCAAGTTTATAACATCATCCCATGGTAATTGTTGCGGGGCAAGCGGTCAAGTGACACCGCTCGCTCCCCTGTGTTCCATAGCTAGCGATGAATTCGTAGGAAATACATGGTGGACAGACATGTATCCCTTTAAGCATATATCTAAACCAAGCAATAGCCATTTCCATTTCCATTTCCATTTCAAGGCAGCCTAGCCATTCAGTGGCGAAGAAGTTTGGACGGGCATCGCCATCGGGTGGATCGGTGACGACTAGCGCAGCTTACCCCAAATGACAACGGATGAACCCCGAGATCAAATCTTCTCATTTTTCCCTCCTCCACGTCTACTAAATTTTTTTATCCCGTCTCTAGATATCAACGCAGAATCGGGCTCCTGGATTCTGCTGCCTCCGGATTGACCGAGCCACGGGCGTTGACATTGGGGCGTCTGAACCTCCCCCGAAAACTTTTACTTTCCGGTGAGGTGAGAGAAGGGGGGTGGTGAGATCCAGCCACGGCAGACTCGACCGCCATGGCGTACGGATCGGTCAAGAAGACGGCGCCAGACACGGCCGCGCAACAAGATGCCAGGTCCACGGCGCCGCATGACGGCAACGGCAGCGCCTCACCTATCGCCGACGACGCAGCCGCCGACCAGCCGACCACCTTCTGGCGCCGCACCACCGCCTTCTACCACGACAACATTGGTCTCTTTTTCGTCTTTGTGGCCCAAATCTTTGCCTCCATCGTAATGCACCCCCTTTCTCTTCCCACCTTGGCATCGCTTTGCCGCTAACCTGCGCAGATGGCCATGACCACGCGGCTGCTAGAGACAGGCTTCGACACCAAGTTTCACGCCCTGCAGGTCATCTTTGTCCGCATGATCGTCACGGCCGGCATCGGCTCCGCGTACATGTGGTACAAGCAGGTGCCCGACTTTCCGCTCGGCCCGCCGGGCCTGCGCCGTCTGCTGGTGCTGCGCGGCGCGGCGGGCACCGTCGGCCTGTTTGGGCTGTACTGTAAGCGGAGATGATCTGACGGCCGAATTGCCATGGCCGTGGGTTTCATGGATTGTGCTGGCTAACCGCTCGGCAAATAGACTCGCTTTCGTTTCTGGACATTTCTGACTCGACCGTCATCACGTTCCTCGTTCCCACGTTGACGAGCTTTGTCTGCTGGGTCGCCCTGAAGGTATACGCGCAACCCCCCCCTCCCAGCCTACAACTCTGCTGAACCGGATGTAGGAACCATTCACCGCCGTCGAGGGCATCGCCGGCATCATCGCCCTCACCGGCGTGCTCTTCATCGCCCGCCCCAGCTTCCTCGTTTCCCACCTTCCGTTTGGCCACCCGCACGCCAACCACAGCGTGCACGCGCTCGACGGCGGCGGCATCTTCAAGCCGGTGCCCGCCACGCCGGCCGAGCGCTCCTTCGCCGTCGTGCTCGCCGTGGCCGGCACTTTTGCCGCGTCCACAGCGTACGCCACGATCCGCGTCATCGGCACGCGCGTGCACTCCCTCGTCAGCGTAAACTACTTTGCCGTCACCGCGACCGTGCTCTCCGCCGCGGTGCTGCTCGTCCACCCGGACATTGGCTTCCAGACGCCGCGCAGCCTCCCGCAGTGGCTGCTGCTGCTGTCCATTGGCCTGTCTGGGTTTCTGCTGCAGGTGCTCCTGACAGAGGGCCTGCAGCGCGAACGCGCCGGCCGCGCCACGAATATGATTTACACGCAGCTTGTCACAGCGCTCGTCATTGAGCGTGTCGTCTGGGGCACCACGCCCCCGCTGGAGAGCTTCATCGGCAGCGCGCTGATTGTCGGCGCGGCTGTCTGGGTTGGTCTGCAGAAGAAGATGCCCCAGCCGGAGAGGAAGAAGCCGGCGCCAGATGAGGAGACGAGCCTCTTGCGCGCCGAGGAGGATTAAGCAGTGGAAAGTACAATCATGGTGGCTTTGCTGATTTCGCAAGGAATCGTGACTACAGTGCCTGTTTATTACATGGGATGCATAACGAAGCAGAGGTACTATATCATATTGCTAGAAATGCATAATCAAAAACTTTTTAGTCCGCTCAAGAAATAGGCGCCACTCTGGGCTTCAAGATGGGGCTGGTCGGCCGGCTCGTCATGAACTAGTCGCGGTTAGTCAGTTGATTCCGAGATCCTGGTATTGTTGGGTACGTACGTTACTGGCAGCACTCAACAAAGCGAGGAGAGAGCTCTGCACCACGTCTTCGTGGATGCCCACACCCCACACCGTCTGCTTCATGCCCGTAGGCTTGCACTCAATATAGGACGCGGCCTTGACGCTTCGGCCCTCACCAATGGCGTGCTCCTTGTAGTCATTGACGTCAAAGTCGATGCCGACGTCCTTGAGGGCGGCCGCCATGCTGGAAATGGGACCGTTGCCGCGGCCACGCAGCCTGTACTCCTTGCCGTCGAGGACGATGACGCCCTCAAAGATGCGCAGGGCGCTCTTGGTGTCGAGCGTCTTGCCGTCGGCCGCGGCGGCGGACCCCTCGCGATCGGGAGTGATGCTGTAGTCGACGAGGGTAAGGCGCGGGTTGTTGTTGAGAAAGTACGTCGACTCAAAGAGGTCCGTAATTTCGTTGGCGAGCAGCTCACGACCGAGTTCCTCGGCGCGGCGCTGGACGACATTGGAAAAGGCCACCTGGAAGCTGCGGGGCAGGTCAAGCTGCAGCTTGGTCTGCAGAATGAAAGCGCTGCCGCCCTTGCCGGACTGCGAGTTGATACGGATAATGGCCTCGTAGTTGCGGCCGATATCCTGCGGGTCGAGAGGCAGGTAGGGCATGGCATCCCAGGGGTCCTCGACGGATAGGCCGCGGGCCTGGCGGCTCTGGAAGCCCTTTTTGATGGCGTCCTGGTGGCTGCCGGAAAAGGCGGCGCAGACAAGGCTACCGCCGTACGGAGCGCGCTGGTGGACGGGGATCTTGGTGCACGACTCGACCATGTCAATAACAGGGTTGAGGTTGGAAAAGTCCACGTGGGGGCTGACGCCCTGCGTGTACAGATTCAGGGCCAGGGTGACGAGGTCGACGTTGCCGGTGCGCTCGCCGTTGCCGAATAGGCAACCCTCGACGCGGTCCGCGCCGGCCATCTGCCCAAGCTCGGCCGCGGCGACACTACAGCCGCGGTCGTTGTGCGGGTGCAGCGAGACGCAGACGGAGTCGCGGTCACCAATGTGCGTGCAAAAGTACTCAATGAGGTCGGCGTAAATGTTGGGCGTGGCGAGCTCGACAGTGGCGGGCAGGTTAAAGATGATCTTGTCGTTGGCATTGTCCGGGCCCCAGGCGGCCTTGACGGCCTGGCACACGCGCACGGCGTAGGCCGGGTCCGTATCGGAGAAACACTCGGGCGAAAACTCAAACTGCCAGTTGGTGCCGGCGGTGGCCGGGTCGTCCTTTGTGAGGGTGCGGACGAGGGTCGCGCACTCGACGGCCAGCGCGAGCGTCTGCTCCTCGGTGTAGCCAAAGACGACCTGCCGGAAGCAGGCGCTGGTGGCGAGATAGATGTGGATGATGGCGTTTTTGGCGCCGCGGACCGACTCAACGGTGCGCCGGATGAGGTCCGGCCGGCACGGGGAGAGGACCTGCAGGAAGACGTCGTCGGGGACGGCGCCGGGCGTCTCAATCAGGCGGCGGGTAAAGTCAAAGTCGATTTGCGAGGCCGAGGGAAAGGACACCTCAATCTCCTTGTAGCCGAGGTCGCAGAGCATCTTGAAGTATGCCCATTTTTCGTCGCCGTTCTGCGGGGGGTTAGGAGTGTAACGGGCGAAGCTGGACGGGGACTTACCATGGGATCGGGCAGACTTTGGTTGCCATCCCGGAGGCAGGACCTGGCCATGTCAGCAGCTTTCTCGATTGGATTCGGCAATAGAATCAACACTGAAATACGTACGACAGCCATCGAGGGGCCTTTTCAATCGTCTTGTCCGGCCATTGGCGGTTGGTCAATCGAATGGGCTGCCCAGGTCAGCGGGGAGGAAAGCAAGGGGCCTCGGAGCACCGCCTACCTTGAACGGCTTGTATTTTTTCGAGGGATCCTTGAGCCTATAATAGAGCGACCAGGTTAGCCCGTGTTCCGGGCCTCAATTGCACAGCAACAGTGTCGCCGGAGGTCAAGCAGCGTACATTGGCATCGTGGAGCAGACCGGCCAAGTTGGCGGGGCAGAGATCGATCGAGGAGGAGGGGCAGGCTTGAGCACGATTTGTTCTCTCACAAGTGCGCGTGTATTCAATCTCGGAATTGCCAAGTAAATAGAAAAGAAATAGTCATGGATATATGAAGCATGTAAACAAGAACCGTCAGGGATCGATGCAGACGTAGGAGCAAAGAAAAAAAAGGTTGGGAGTCACCTGAGGTGGGGTTAATCCCAGGTGAAGCTTTTGGAGGGGCTGTTTGTGCGTGCGCTGATTGGCGGGCTACCCGTCACGATGCTCCGAACACGGCCTAAATCAAAAAGACCAGCGGCAAACCAAGGCGCGCATTCGCCTTGTCAACAGCGCCCTGCAAGAATGACTCGATAGACAGGGCCTAAATAGGCTGTCTCAGGTAGAAAGATGCAGGTTGTCTCCGTCGCGGGGTCGCATTCTCGGGCCGTTGCCGGGAAGTGACACGAAAAACAACCCGCATTGTCATTGCAGGTGGCCCATGATATTGATCAATATTTTATCATGTTATTCTAACGAAATAGAGTGTCATTTCTGTCAAGTTTGTTCTCTTGCTGCTCGTCAGTCTGTGTCGATGGTATCATGGCTGACCTTCAGAATCCATAATACCTTACTGAACTCCGGCGGTGTCTATATAGATACTCTCAACAGTACGACCGCTGCAAGCCACCGTCAAACGAATCGTGGCACAGTATCACGTCCCGCCTCATCCTCGTCCTACCTTGACGCAGAGACGTTCTGCCAAAATAAACATCAGGTATCACTGTCAGCACCCCAATGCAAGCCTCCTTCCATCTGGCTTCTAGCGTCACGTGCTCGCCGCAGCCAGCTTTTTCTTGGACGATGACACCCTGATGCCGTCTTCTTGGAACGTAGACCATGCGCATGCGGACGCCGCGGGATTTTCATTTGCAAAGAGATGAGCCTACGAAGGGTGGCTGCGCACCTTCGCTAGCCAGGGCCAAGCGATGCTGCAGATGGCTGTCGGGAACTCGTTGAGCGCGATGTTTCGGCATGATGATGTGGTCCTAGATGTGAAAATTACGCTTCTTGGCTATAAAAAAGACGACTATCATATAGGGTATATATTGCGTCATGTTCACAGACCTGTTTATTGTGCCGAGTTGCGATGGCCTTACACAGCGTACACAGGACTCAATGGTCGAGTTCCGAGACCTTCGGATGAACGATAATTTTAATTCACGCGTATCTCTGGGAATACATCTGTTTTCTGCCTTCTTAAAACACCAATCGGCCAGCTACTCTTTAATGTAGAACCCTCCGGCTGACCCCGCCCCCGCCTTTCCCAACTGCGATCGGTGCCGGGCGACAGGGAGCCGTAGCAGAGGATTGCACGCCGTCAAATAAACTCTACGTGGTAGATACCGCCATATTACAGGTCTATGTAGTATTTTACGGGCTGTGCGTATACTGCGCCATTTTTCGTGGCCATCACTTCGCCAGCGAGCATCGTCAGCGAGCATCGCGGCCGATTACAACCCGAAAGGCCGCGGAGCCCGGCGCCCGGCCGACGACACTTAAACTACAGCTCCGGATGTCATTGGACGCGATAACAAACCATAGCTCGGGAACTAAATTAGTAACTTGATCAAAATGTACGCATCACTGAGCATTCCTATTTTTCTTCTTCTTCTTTTTCAGTGACTGCCTCCTCCTCCTCCTGCAAGGCCACCAACTCATCAACCATGCCTACCATCCTGCACAATGGCCGCGTCTTCCTCGCAGCCGACGGCGAGACGCCTGACCGCTTCGCCAGCGTTGTCGTGCTCGACGCGGTCACAGGCAAGATTACGCACGTGGGTGACGAGACGGACGCCGCCGTGATCAAGGCCAAAGCCGCGCCGGGCGCCATACTCCACGACGTCCAGGGCCGCGTGGTCCTGCCCGGCTTCGTCGACGGCCACATGCACCTCTGCCAGACGGGCGCCGGGCTTGAGAAGCTCAATCTTCGGTCGAGCAAGAACCTGGGCGAGATCCAGGCGGCCATCCGCGCCTGGGCGGCCAAGCACCCAGAACTGCCGCGGATCCTGTGCCGGGGCTGGTTCCACCCGTCGACCGGCGGTAACGAGCTCGCAACCCAGATTGACGGGCTCGATGTGCCGGGCAAGAGCCGTCCCGTGTACATTGACGCCGACGACTTGCACTCGTCGTGGCTTAATACAGCTGCGCTGGACGAGATGGGCGTGTCGAACATGGAAGACCCTCCCGGCGGCCACATCCGGCGCGACGCCGACGGTAAGCCGTCGGGCGTGATGCAGGAGACGGCGGCTTTGGGCATAGTCTGGCCGTTCTTGCACAGCAAGCGGACGGTTGAGGAGAGGCAGCGGCACGTGCAGGCCGCACTCGACGCCTACATCGCCTCGGGCTACGCTGGCGTCGTGGATATGGCCATGGGCGACGAGGACTGGACAACCCTCCAGCAGTACCGGCAGGAGCACGGCGAGCTCCCCATTTGGGTAGCCGCGCACTGGCTCATCCTCCCGCAGCCGTCACCCGAGGACACCATACGGCAGGTTGATCGCGCCATTGAGCTGCAGACGCAGTATAACCGCCTCACCAGCCCGCGGTTCCGCATCGCGGGCATCAAGATTGTGGGCGACGGCGTCATCGACGCCTGCACCGCCGCTATGCAGCAGCCATATTCGCACAACAACCAGAGTGTCGCGCCCGTGTGGACACGAGAGGCCCTCGAGCCGGTGCTGCGCCGCGCTGACACTGCAGGCCTCCAGATTGCCATACACGCCATCGGAGACGCCACCATCAAGCTGGCGATTGACGCGCTCGAGGCTGTCGGAAACCCCGCGGGCCGACACCGCATCGAGCACCTCGAGACGACGGCACCTGAGGATGTGCCGCGTCTCGGCGCTCTCGGCATCACCGCCTCTGTGCAGCCCGTGCACCTCGATCCGGCGAGTTTGGCGGCGTGGGAGAAGCTGCTGGGCAAGGCCCGGTGCGGGCACGTCTTTCCCTACGCGGCTTTTGCGGAGCACGGCGCTGAGCTGGCACTGGGCACCGACTCTCCGACCGCACCCTACAATCCGTTGGCGAACCTGTATGTGGCGACGACGCGGCGGTCAGCCCTGGAGCGCAACATGACGACGCAAACGACGCCTCAATTTGCACTGTCGCTAGCAGCCGCGGTGGCAGCGTCGACGCGAGGGTCTGCACGGAGTTGTTTCGCCGAGGACAGGGCCGGACAGTTGCGACCAGGCTGGGAGGCGGATCTGGTTCTGGTGGACATGGAGTGGGACGCCGAGAAGCTGTTAGACGCCAAGGTTGCGGAGACGTGGATTAGGGGGAAGAAGATGTACCCTGCATAGCCGAACGAGACGTCATCAAGAAGTCAAGGTGGTAATATGATGTATTTCGGGGCGAGGCGTTGCGGCGAAGCGTTGCAGTTGACAAGGCGCACGAGTGAAAGGATCGGGGTGATATTTACGAGGAAACAAGTTGGTATGAATGGAATTGCCAAAAATTGCATGTTTCTTCACGGCGATGTGTTGCGGATAGGGAATGGCATGCGAGTAGTTGATGACCAGAGTACAATAAAAACGACAGATGTTTTCCGATGTTTCCGGTCGTTGACTTCCACTGACATGAAAGTGAAGCCCAGTACCATACTCCGTACGAATAACCGTCGCAGGTGAGAGGATATCAAGAATAGATTGCCATATATGTAGTCCGCTTGCAGAATAATTGCATGCAACCCACTTGGGTGCAAGTGTGTATAACCATTGGCAGATAGATGTCAAGAATAGATTGGGCGGTTCAACCCACTTGAGTATCCATTGGCATGGATATCAAGTTGCCCCTCTGATATTGGACCGAGTATCAACCAGGTTCTGAACTGAGTGCGGTACGGTTCACATGTTGCGTGCATCCCGAGCCCCCCATCCGCATCCTGCATTCCAAGGTGACGTTGGAGGACAGCCTGCTACAATGCTTGTAGTCGGGTACAGGCTCAGCTGAGGCTGCATCCGACATTGCATTGATTGCTCGAGTTTGGAACAGACGATGGTGGAGGCATAAGTGGGTGAGTATTGATTGGTCGGACAGTTTGCTCCAGCTGGGTTGGTATTGAATCCGGTCTGCGGCAACTTCCGACGACGGAATTGTCATGCCGTTGTGTTATTCGCCGACGGTCAACGGCCGTATGGCAGCGCAGCAGGGCTCAGAGCTTTGTCGCGCGCCAAGACTCAAAAGAAGTATTGATGAATGCAACGAGTCGCGGGCGGCGCTATTATGGGGGCGGCGAACCCATCCTCGGTGGAAAATGGGGGCGAAGAGGAGTCAAGGGTTCTAGAAAGTCTGGAGCCAATAGCGGCGGCGCAGTTCTTCTGGCGCCCGCTGGCCAGGTTTTTGTAGAGAAAACTGGGCGAGTTGTTGTGCTTTCTCCGGGGGACTGACACGACTGAACTGACAGAGTGGTCGTGCAAGACATTTCCTGTTCGAGACAGGATCGGTGCGGAGCGCGGCAGGCAAGAGGAACGAAGGCTGACGGGTTGCTTGTCAGAGACTTTGCGGCTCCTGGGACTGGCTCGGGTACGTTCTGCCTGTAACTAACAAGGCAAATAGCAAATAGGAACTCTATGACACTCTGCAGAGAGTTCATCTCAGCTAATAGCCATCGACTAAACAAGCGCAGTGGATCAAAAATCTGTCCCTTTGTTGTCGAGTTGCTATTGTAGTCTGAAAGAGGTTGGTGTCGTGAAGAAGCTTGTGGGTGCCAGGAGTTGCATATATGTCCGCGACCTGCTCAATTCGTGCTGGCACCAGTTTACGAGGCTGCTTATTGAGGACTGAATGTCAGCAGTGAGATTGGATCTGACGCAACCTTCTGGATTCGGAACGTTGCCGCTCAAGTGCGTTTTGAGGAAAGTGGTCACATGTGCGTCGTGCCGATATCACAACAGCGAAAGAATATGATTCGTGTTGTCAAGACCAGCACAACAGGGATGCAGGCCGCAGCAAGGACACGGATGTCGGGCGAAAAATGGTGGCGTTTAGGCTCAAGACCACGGTTTAGTGGTGGAGCCAGCTCGGTCGGTCGGTCGACGAGGGGGCCAATTGCGTTCAAGTGTAAGAGAATCAAGGTCAAATGTGTCAAAAGGCTGAAGCAGGGGCTCGGAGCATTTGCCATTCAGGAGAAAGCCAAGAGATGTGCATGACAATATGCCGTGTAAGGAAGTGCAGCGAGAAACGAGAGTCGGATTAGTGGCAAACTCTGCTCGGCTTTATTAGGCGTTCCTCAGCCATACCCTTGCAGGGTAATGCGGCTGAAATAAATGCATGTGTGCACGTGCTTGGCGATGCGCAGGAGAAAGGGTTAATAATTGAAGTCATGGAGAAGAAGCGGAAGCAAGATGGACGATTTCCATGTTGGCGAGCCAAGTCCCAAGCGACAGGTCAAATATCAACGGCGGCAAACGGAAGGCCGTGCAGCCGTCCAGCAAACTGGGCCCATGGTCAGTGCTTTGGGATCTGGGAAATGCCGCACAGGAGGCTGAAGGCACCGTTGGCGATGGTGTCGTGTGTCGTGCAGGGAGGGCAGGGGACGAAGGTGACGAGGGTTGGAACTTGGAGGGGCGGCAAGAGGCCACAGGCAAAAGGGCAAACAAGGCAAAGAGAAAAGAGGTGCGAGGGTGGCGCCGGTGCATTCCGGGCTACGAGCGGCGTCGAAGTTTGGGGGCAATTTGGCGGGCTGTGAGTGGTGGGAAAGGGAAAGGTCGGAGAAGGCTGTGTTTGGCCGGAGATGCCTGGGGATGCCTGTAGTACGGTGGCTGGCTGGAAGAATAGCAGGCCTCGTACAAATTAACTAATAATCTGTAACTAGTAGTTAATTTGTACAGCAAAAGTGACCACAGCCTTGTCATCTTTTTTTTCCTTTTTTTCCTTTTTTTCCCTCTCATGCACGCCACGACTGCTGTTCCCTGGCGCGGGCGTCGGCCGACCTGCCAGGAAGATGGTACCTCCCTAGTTACCTAGGTACCTTAGTAGGTCCTAAGGTACGCAGTACGTACCTATTCCGCGAAAATGCATGCCTTAGGTATCCGTAGTCTTGCAGCAATTTTGCGCCTTCTCGTCATCAACCGTTCATCAACAAGCACCGCTTCTCCATCGCCCATCATTTCCCCGTCTATCCCCCTTCTTGTCAACTTGCCAACAGCATTACATCACTGTCACCCGTCACCTTGGTTGCATTATCCTAGAACCTGCAACGCACGAGACAAGTTCATCGCCCACACCGCTCAGTCCACTAAAACGAAAGTCTCCAGTCTTTGGCTTCGTTTCCCCTCCCGCAAAACTGCACCAGCCAACCATCCACCATCGCCAGGTGGCTACCCTCCACTTGACCCAAAGCCGCCTTTTTTTCCTGAGCCAATTGCCGCGCTACGATAGTCAGCTCCGCGCTCCTGGGTTGCCGCCATCTCAAACTGATAACAAGTTGTTCCATTAATACCACTAGGGCGGGCCCCCCGACTCGCCCCCCCGGGCCACCGCAAACCGCCAATCCCATCCCCGACGATCACTTCCCTCCCTGTCCACCCACCCCTCCTCTCTCGCCCGCTTCCAACAAAACACCAAGGAGACCCTGGCCAGAGACACGCAGCCATCATATTTCTTTAATCTCTTTCCCTCCGCATCTCATCGCGACGCTCTCACGGTCACTTTTACAACCAGCCATTCCATTGCCAGTACAGCCTCAATACCCAAGTCACTGGCAGCACTGCAATATGGCCGCCCAGCTCATCATGCCTACGCTGCCCAGCGAGCAGCATCACTCTCGTCACTTTCTCCCTGCCCACCGCCCTACTCACCACGCCCGATCCCAGTCCTACAACCTTGCCGGCGCTGGTCCTCGCTTCCAGATCAATACCGACCTCACAAACAAAAACGACGGCCACTATGCCTCGACGCCGCCCTCGCCTCGCGGTACCTCGGGCTCTCGTAGCAATATTCACAGCAAAGGCGCACGCCCTCTGTACATGCCCGCTGTTCTGCGCCCCAACTATGAGTTTCCGCCCGCACAGCCGCTTTCGCGCTCCCCCGGTGCCTCGTCAGACTCGGGTTCCGACTCGACCCTGCGTCGCACCAACACGGCCAACCTGCTGAGCCTGACCGGCCTCGGTGCCATCGGTTACCGCCTCAGCCGCCGCTCGACCATCGACAGCTCCAAGAGCCTAGAGGGTGAATGGGATCTAGCGACATATCCCGACGTCATGTCAGCACCCACGCGCAAGCACTGGAAGGTATGTTTTGATCTCGCCTGCAGCTCGCAAGACAGCCGCGGGCACAACACGGCTAGACCAGGACAGCGCACTGACACGCGACAGCCCGACACGGAATCGACCGTCTGCGACGACCCCTTGTGCAAGCGCACCTTTACCTACTTCACCCGCAGGCACCACTGCCGCAAGTGTGGCAACATCTTTTGCGACTCTCACTCGGCTTCTGTGCTGCCCCTCGACCAGGACGCCAACTTTAACCCGCGCGCCGACCCTTCGCGCACATGCAACCACTGCTTTGAGCAGGTCAAGGCCCGCCACTCGCGCAACAACAGCCAGTCTTCGGGCTCCGACTCGACGGGCGCGGGCGCGACGGCCAGGGGCGCGACGGCGATTGCGGCCAGAAAAGGCGGCGCGGATAACGAGTTTAACCTGCCCAGCAGCAAGGACTTGGCCGCCAGCGTCCCACGCGACTGGAACTGGAGCACATTCTAGAGGCTCGGCTGGATCTCATCCTGCATCATCTCTTTACTACATTTTCCCGCGCATACACGATACACATATACACGTCTTGCGCTGGCTGGCTAGCCATCAAGACAACCATGATACCCGGGTCCAGGCAGATTACCAAAGGACCTTTCTATTTCTATAGACTTCAGTTGACTACCAGTCACTATTCATGGATTGGGGATTCCGCCCTTTCCTTTTCTTTTGCCCTCTTGTGCAATTTCACAAGAGGCAGGTTTCTCGTGGTGTTTGAGGCATTTTCACCGCGTCATTTTAGGCTTTGGGCAGGCATTTACGACATTATCTCCGGCTTTTAGGCTGTTGCATTGCATATTTGCCATTTATTTGTTTGCGTCTTTTTTTCTCAGCGTTACAGGTTTCGCCATTGGCTTGAAACATGAGCATATCCAGAGAGCTTGCTACCTTGCGAAAGAGCCACGGCATCTTTCATAATATATTCATCAACCAAAGATTTCATCTACATCTATGCCCCCGATGCCATGCAAATAAATGTGAATGCTTGACCACGATTTCGCAAAAGCAACTTTGCTTGTCAATTTAATAAACGTGTTGACTGTCCACAAACAAGTCTTTCACGGGAAAAATGGCTAGTGACTTCAAAAGTCAAAAACGTCCATACTCATGTATTGATGAACAGCACGCGCTCGCATCCATGAATCGACAAGAAATCAAGCGCTGATAGCGTCGTGTATAAATAGTAGCAACAGAAAGGTAACAATAAAGGCGTTACCCGGGTCCCCAGTAACCAGAACAATGAATGCAGTTTGGCTCCGTGTGTAAAACAGTCTAGACAAATCATGAGAATAAAATAGCATCTTGCGCCATGTCATGTAAACTTCTTAAGCTTCTTTCCCTCCTTCTTCTCGCTCTTTACCATGTCCCATTTTCGCCTCTCTTCTGCATATCCTCCCAGCTTGCATTCAGATTTTAACCTCGGCGTCTAGTGGTGCGGCGGGTAGCAGGCTCCTCGCGCGTGGGGCTGTTATCGCCGCTGCGCACCATGCGCTCGCCCCCGTACACCTCGCGCTCGAGGCCTCGGGCCGCATCCCAGCCAGCCTTTTCGGCCAGGGCCACGTCGACGTTAACGTTGCTCAGGCGGCGGGCGGCGGCACCCTTGCCGGCAAACTTGTTGGCGGCGTTGCTGCGCTTGACGTAGCTGGTGATGAAGAAGCTAACGAAGAGGTAGGTGAGGGGCGCGAGGTAGACGACGTTGAGCCAGATGGCAAAGGTCTCGCCGGAGCTGACGATGCAGGGCTGCGACACGTAGGAGACGTCCTCCTGGTCGACGACGGTCTTGATGCGGCGGGCGTCGGCGCCGGAGCCAAAGAGCAGGGCGCGGACCGACTCGACGGCGGTGGAAGGGTCCGAGGTGGAAGTGGAGGTGGAGGTGGAGGTGGCGGCCGGAGCAAAGTAGTAGACAAAGGAGTGGCACATGGCGAGGGAAGCGCCGACGAGGAACTGCGTGATTTGCATGCTCGTCAGGCTGCGCTTGATGAGGACGGGGACACGGATGTTGAAAGCGGTCACGGTGTAGTAGGTGTACTGGGCATGTGTTAGCTGATGAGTGAGTATGTGAGCGGACGAGCGCGCTTACCATGAGAGCGTGGATAAAAGAGTTGAACTGGACAAAGACCCAGATAGGCGCGGACATGTACCGCATGCCAGCCCACATGCACAGCATGGCGCCGGCGTGGTGGTAGGTCTGCAGCGTGGAGCTGGGCTTGCCCTTGGCCAGGATGATGAAGGTGTCGAGGACCTCGTAAAACTTGCTCAGGTAGAAGATCCAGCCGTAGTAGGCGAGGCCCTCGTTCCAGATGCGGCCGGCCTGGGTGGGGTTTGGCAGTCCGGTGGCGGCGTCAATGACGCCTGCAGGGGTATGCGGGCCGGCGCTCTCGAAGCGGCTGAGGTGCTCGTTGAAGTAGACCGAGTTGCCGAGCCCGGGGGCGCCGTGTAGGCGACAGGCACTGTCGGCGGTGGCGGCGAGCCCGCCGGGGCCGAGCGGGCTGACGATGCTCCGGCGCATACCGGAGAGCATGCCCCAAAAGGTCCACGCCGAGTAGACGGCGAGGAAGACGTTGTGGAGGACGACGAAGAAGCGGAAGGCGGCGGTTTTGGAGATGCCCCAGGGTTGCTTGTGGTGGGCGCGGTTGTAGCGGTTCAGCAGCTTGACGGAGACGGCGTAGAGGGCGGCGATGGTGATGGGCACGCGGGCGTCGAGGGCGCCGAGGAAGAGGCCGTCGGGGATGTTGAACGGCCGCATGACGGAGAAGGTGGACACGGCAGCGGGAGGGACGGGCGGCGCTGGGTTATGCGGCGGGAAGCTAAAGAGCTTCGAGGATGGCAGACCGCCGATGATGCTGGAGTGGACGGACATGGTGTCGATGTGTATGTTTGGAGACAATCGCAGTTCGGTGACGGGGGACGAGTGGTCAATCGGGTCGTGTTCGTGAGGCGGTAAGAGAAACGCCGTTGGAGACAACGAGGGATGGGTATTTGGCGCTCAAGGTGCACGAGAGCCTGTCCCAGGGTACACGAAGGCGGTTGGACGGGTTGGTCGAGCCGGTGATGCAAAACCGTGGTCTCGGATGAATGTTGTGGACCAAGACGACGAAGCAATGCTTGAGAAAGTGAAGAAGAAGCAATGGAAAAGGGAAGAGGAAAAAAAAATGTTTGCTCAAGGTTCAAACGCCGTGGAGCGGGAAGAAGGCAATTAGAAGCAAAGCCCCCAAAAGTCCTGGTATGGGTTATCAGCACACCCCGGCCGGGACAAGAGCCACGCCCCTTGTGCTCTGTTGGATGTTCGGGCAGCTGGGGGTTGCTCCGTGGTCCGCTTCCTGGATGCTCCGGATGGTAGATCTGGGAGGAGTAATTGTGAGCGGTTGCGGTGGCTCAGATCGGAGACATGGAGGAGGGAAAGATGTTGGGGATGTTGGGGATGTGATGTCGCGATGGCAGGTAGAGGGACCGAGGCATGTGCAGCTATAGGATCATTTTGAGGATTATGTCATTGACACCTCGTGGGTAGCCTTTTGTACTCGGTATTGTTTATTGCTATGCTCAGTTATTACCCAAATGCTGCCTAATTTTATGTAGCAACTCAATTCGAAGTACCATAGAACAGGCAAGCAGTCTTGGTTGTTGGTGCTGCGTCCGCAGTAGAGTACAACGATGGACTGGAAAGGACTGCAGACCAGCACAAGAACACATGTTACGGCGGGCCAGTAGTTAATCATTGACAAGACGAATCTGCAGCAGATAACTAATAAAGATCCAGATGGCAGATGAACCGCGGCTCAGATAGAGCACACACGCAGATATCAAAGGTGCAGGACAAGGTGTGGACGTAGCAAAGGAGGGGTGTTGGGCGGATAGCTGTTGTCGTTTTTTTTTTTGGTGGGAAACGTGCAGTGCCACCTCAAGGGGGGTTGAGCAGGTACCAGATCTGGTGCGCTTGATAGCAGATGCGGGAAATTCGACGCAAAAGACTAACAGCAATGGTGGCGGTGTGACTTGGCAGCCACCAGGCACACGACAGATGCCCCCACTCCATCTCGGCATCCCGGAGCGCGCCAGTTTGATTCGCGGCCGAGAGGGCAGCAGCGGTTTTGTTGGGGAGGAAGAACTAGTGATGATAACGTCGGAACTAGTTAAAGTTGGTCTGTAATTTTTAATTTGTAGTGCAGTTTGTAACTACTTTATCTGTACGACGTTGATTCGTGCAACGACTGTGTGGTGCTGGCATCAAGACTGTTGCATGCTGCGCAATTATGGCCTCCTTGTGCAGAGGCTGAGACGTACGTAAGCCCATCCACTTGTAATTTGGCAATCGGATAAAAGGCTTCTTTGTTTTTTTTTTCAACTTTTTTTTCCTTCATTCTTTGTTAATCCAAACCACCTCTTGACCCCCCCCACTCTATACCGAGGCACGCAAAACAGACGAATCGCCACACTCGCTTTTCACTCTGCCATTGTAACTGCAAATTAACTAGTAGCGGTTGGAACCCTGGCAAAACGGGGCAAGGCAAGGAAAAGCTCGACGCTACCTCAACAATTTCGGCTGCACGAGACAGGGCTAGTCAGGTTGTCAGGCTAGTTAACTACTAACCTCATCATGGGTCCTACTGTGCAAACAGCAGGGCCGACGTCGACCTGCGTCCCGTCTCGTCTTCCGTTTTGGGCCGCATATGAAAGTATGTAATTTGCACAGATTATTCATGGAAGCAAAAGTTGCAAGGGCGAAATGGCCAAGCTCATTCGCCTATAACGCTGCAGAAACCACCGACTTGAACAATAAGCGCGCTCTGTCGTAATAATGCAGATGTACATGTATGCAATGCTGGATATTTCGCCGTGGCATACAGCGTGCAACTCGAGCATGTGTCGAGCATCAGGTCGAGCCAATAACTAACCCAAGCAGGGCTGTGGGCAGCATCCCAGTTCTCATGCCCGAGTCAAGCGCAGCCATCAAGGCTCCCATTGTTGACATGGGTGACGGCTCGTAGTCCAAAGTCGATGCTGCATTGGCTCGCACGACAAGTTGCCTAAACGCTTTCAGGGGCGAGGCAGGAATGAATTCGCCTTGAAACACGATTCCTCTTCATGTCCCGGCGCGCGTGGAGACATGGCATTAACGGCGTGATCGCAAACGCATGAATCTAGTACATGACATCCGCCTGCGCCTTCTAGAAGCGCTGCAAACTTGCCAAGGCGTGAGCTTGTATTCTCAGGCTCGTTTTCCGAGCCACAGGGCAGAGCATACGACGAGCTTCTATTCTCGGCCTCTTCTTCAGGCGTAAGCTTCTTTCCCGGCCTCGCCTTCAGGCGTATGCTTCTATTATCGCCTTGTTTTCCGTATATCACGGCAGAGCATACGACTAGCTTCTATTCTCGGCCTTACCTTCAAGCATAAGCTTCTTTCCCGGCCTCGCCTTCAAGCGTGGGCTTCTATTCTCGGCCTCACCTTCAGGCGGAAGCTTCTTTTCGGCATCACCTTCAAGCATAAGCTTCTTTCCCGGCCTCGCCTTCAAGCGTAAGCTTCTTTCCCGGCCTCGCCTTCCAAGCAAGCGTAAGCTTTCCTTCAAGGCCTCATTTTTTGCACGCAGCGGGGCAGCGCATAGAACAAGTTGCCATGCTTCAATGTAGTTGCAGTCGTCACTTATGCTCTGATGGCGAGCAACCGGCAGGCACAGTCGCACAGTCATGTTGTTATGCAATTCACAGGTACGCCTACGGTCATGTTGCTTGACGAGCTAGAAACATAGCTTCAGAAATATACATAAAAGGCGCGCCGCTATACTTGTTCATTCGATATTCAATCACATTCGTTCCTCGCAAGACAATAGGTCCTTCCTAAGCCTTGTACCTCACACTCCTTTAACCTTGTACTTGACACAAGACACATCAGCATGAGAATTTTTACGACTCGACAGTCCAGGGTTTCCTGGCTGTCCTTGACTGTCTTGGCAGCTTTCTTTCTCTTCATTGGACTCAGCCACGGTCACCCATCTTCCGGCAACAACTTGCGTCAGCTGAGTTATCGAGGCAACAGCGACTCGAAGCCTGGTAAGCCTGGGAAGACTCCCAAACCGCCCAAGGGTTCCAAGCCGCCCGTTGGTGGTGGTGAGCCGTCCGCGCCGCCCCTGCAAATGCACCTTCGACTTCAAAGGGAAAGAAGGTCGGCTACAAGAAGAACATCGACAGACTTCCCAAGTTTGAGCTGCCAGAAGAGCCCTTGGTCACCTACCGTGGCGAGACGCGCGATGCCGCTGCCATCGAAGCAGCCGAGGGCTTTTTCCCGCGCGCCCCTACCCGCGCCATCACCGCCGCTGAGACCGAGGCCGGCAGCAGCATCTACTCCCACGTCGCGGTCAAGGTCGCCAAAGAGTACACCAAGTACGTGTCGACGTCCATGGACCCGGCCGCCGCCAGTGACTTTGGCCGCTCCACCGGGTTCGTCTACGTGGTCGCGCCAGACGAGAAGATGATCAACGTCCCCAAGACTCTGGGCGAGTACCTGTCCGTTGACTTTGCCAAGGAATCGGAACTGGCCGCCGCCGGCCAGATTCCGTTTGACCAAATCCGGGGTTGGATCAAGAAGAGCACAGACCTTCGACCGGGTGACTGGCTCACGCTGCGGGAGCACGGCCACAAGCTCAACGGGAAGCCGCTCACAGAGGAGCTCAAGAAGGACCTTGGCCGCGCCATGTCCGAAGCATACGTCCCGAACCCGAAATACAATGCCGCGAAGTACGACAAGACGCGCGCGAGCGGGGGGCGGCCGGAGCTGGCCGGGTTTCCCCAGGATAGCCCGGCGTGGCAGAAGGCGCCTTGGAAGCAGTACAAGGGCAAGAAGACGTCGGAGAGCCTCCAGGCCTTTGTGAGCGAAGGGGTCTGCGCCAAGGCGGAGGCGTGCGTCAAGGCGCAGCTGACGTCCAAGGCCGGTGAGGCCGGCGTGCCGAACGCGTACGAGGACTTGGATCCGCTGTGCAAGGAAACGGATCTCAGGAAGAGAGACGTGGCTTGCCGACTGGAAGCTGACGAGGAAGATCCGGCGGAGGCCGGTCAAATAGAAGGAGAGACAGTAGCCACAGAGCCCGAAGGCATCAAGGAGCCTGGATCGGCAGAAGAAGGTCTCGGCGGTGGTTCAACAGAGACGGCAGTCGAGAAGGTGGCCCAGAAGACTTCAGATGAAGTGTTTGAAGACCTCTTCACCTCTCGCAAGCTGAGTCAAAAGGCCGCCGAGTGGGGGCTCAAGATCCAAGACGCACGCACCCGGGTCCTCGGCTACAAGCCACTCACACCACAGTCGCCGCACTTTTCGATTTCCAAGGTTGGGCTAGCTCTTGAGGGTGCCGGTCTCGTGGCCTGGGGTGCCGGCGTCGTCACCGCCTTTGCTACCAACACGACGGGCTGGGAGCGGGCCGCAGCCGTGACCGGCATCGTCCCCTTTGTCGGGTGCGGCTTCAACATCATTGCCGAGTCCCAGAGCAAGGCAGGCATCGATCCCATTGACCAGATGATGTGCATCACGGCCGACATCCTTCTCCTCACCCCGCTGGCGCCGTTTGCCTTTGCGGTCCAAGTCTTCCGCGTCGCCGCCGGCCTGCTCAAGGCCGACGCGGTGCCCAAGCCCGAGGAAGCGCAGGCGACGCGCGACGCGGCCTGGAGCAAGGTCCTCGACGACACCGTCTACACGTACTACTACTCGGCGGACAAGCTGGCGAGCAACAGAAAGTTCCGGGACAAGCTCAACGGCACCCTGTACGCGGAGAGCATGGCGGTTGTGTCCGATGCCGCGGACCTCATTGCGGCCGCCAACGCGACGGTGCAGGCTTCGGCCGCCAAGGGCGGAGACCAGGCGCAGATTCGCGCCGTCATGCTCAACGTCACCGACCAGATCAAGGCGCAGATCTCGCCCAAGATTGTCGCCAAGCAGCGCGAGTTTCTCCTGCAGCTGCCGGAGCTGATCAAGAAGGGCACCGATCTCTCGGTGAACAAGATGGCGGAGCAGTACAACAGTGAAACCGTGACAAACCTCTTGTCGCCAGAAGTAGTGCACCACTACACGCCACTAGTGCCGGCGGTACCGGGCGACGCAGCGAGCGATCTGGAGCCGTCCGTGCGCCGCGAGCTCGGCGTCGTCGTCGAGCATCTCAAGAAGACGCCGCTGCCGCTGCCGAAGCTGTTTGACGTGGCGTACGTGCTCGGGCAGTCCAAGGGCCTGCTGGACATTGACCCGCTGACGCTGAACCCGGGGGCGTTTATCAAGTCGCGCGTTCCCACCATGTCCCAGGACGACGTCGACTTTCACGCGCTGCACCACGCGCTGCAGATCTCCTCGCTGCTGCGCGGCGCCACCACCGAGGAGAAGCTGTCCAAGCTCTGGCCGGCGGCGGCGGCCGGCGGCGCCGACGGCGCCAAGACGGTGCAGGAGCTGCAGCTGCTCCTGGCGCTCAAGTTTGGCCGCGTGTTTGACGCGCAAAAGGTGGCGGCGTCGGCGCAGCTGGCCGGCAAGGAGCAGGACGACAGGTTCATGACGCACCCGAGCATCCCGCCGCTCAAGATTGCGCCCGAGTCCATGGCGTACATTGGCCTGATCCTCGAGCTCGACGAGGCGCGCATCAACGCCATCCCCCGCCACAAGGAGATTGTCGGCTTCAACGAGCTCGGCACCGACAAGAAGCTCATCCTGGCCATGCTGGAAAAGGCACAGGGCATTTATGCGGCTAGGCACAATGAGACGACGGCTGCCCCGGTGAAGCCGGAGGGCCAGGCTGCCGCGGCTGCCCCTGTGAAGCCAGAGGGCCAGGCTGCCGCGGCTGCCTAAGAGAGCCTGTGCGGAGGGCGCTTGGAGGATAGTGTGGGCGGGCTTTTATACATTTAGAGAGGGCATCTTTGACAGTGTATGAGGACGAGGTTGAAGATGCCTGGTTGGCTTTACTGCATTTCTAGAGCGCCATGTTTTAAGGATTTCGTCTTGGCGGTTGTCAGCAATGACAACACGCACGTGACAATTGCTGCAAACTTGAACCAGCCATGGCGCGGACTCAGTTGGGAGAGTTATCAATCTATTCACTATTCTATCTGCATACATGACAGTACAACTGCCAGTAGCCCCGCGATATGTCGGGTCAAGTCCTATAACAACACGAGTGGTATAGTATATTGGCTCTTCAGCTCATCTGTGACGCCGATGAAACATGATGATGGCCCATATCGTATCGCAAAAACGCTTATAAGTTATTACTCAACTATAACATCTAGCAAACAAATGTCCAACTATCCAGGCAGAAAATTTTCAAATCTACAAATCTATATCCCACGCTCTATTTGGCCCACTCACCCGAAATCCAGCGGTTGAGAAAGTCAATCGACGCCTCGGGTTGGTCGTACGGCACCATGTGACCCGCCTCAAAGAGCTGCATAAACGTCAGGCCCTTTGCCGACTTGACCTTGCCGTACGGCTTCTTGGCGCCGTCGAGCGTCAGGTCCTTGATCTTGGCCTCGCTGTATGCCTTCTGGCCCGCCCACTCCAGACGCTCCGTCCACGCCTGGTTGCCGAGCCAGTTGCAGATGAAGTCGGCATCGCCGGCGTACACGAGCACTGGAATCTGCTCCAGCAGACCGGGGATGACCCTGACAATGGGCAGCATCCAGTCGCCCTGGAACATGAAGTTGCGGTTAATGTCAAAGTTGCAGCTGTCAAAGGTCGTGGGCTCGACGCCGAGCGCCTCCTGGACGTCGTCACGGTTGAGAAAGTCGGTGATCCACGTCATCTCGTCGTAGCAGAGGTTGCCACCCTTGCACTTTTCGCGCACGTCGTACGGGTTCTGGCCCGTCTGCTGGTAGGGGCCGATGAACTGGGCGTTGCAGTAAAGGATGGCCGGCACGCAGCTCCAGACGCTCTCGCTGTTGTAGCAGGACTCAATAAGCGACTGGCAGCGCGGGAGGGCATTGTCCATGGCCTGGCACTGCGACTCGTCGAGCACGGCCGGGTAGCCGCCGTCGCCGCAGCCCATGGGGCGGTAGTACTCGTACTGGGTGAGGCCGTCGGTAAGGCCGTTGCCGATGAGCGCCGACTTGAGGTTGATGTTGCGGTCCTTATGCGAGAGGATCTCGTGCGCCATGATGGGCACGTAATGGCCGCCATACGACTCGCCGGCAATGTGGAAGTCGCGCTCGGCGTACTCGGGGAACTGGTGGAAGAAGAGGGTGAGGAGGGCGTAAATATCCTTGGCGGCGGCGGCCGTGTTGGACACGCTGCCGCTGCCGTACGAGTAGCCGACGTTGACGGGCTGGTCGATGAAGATGACCGACGCGTTGCTGTTCCACGAGCTCGGGTTGTGCACCACCTTGCCCTTCTTGTCAATCGACGCCGGGCCGAGCTCCATGAAGAGGCCGAGCATCGACGAGCAACCGGGCCCGCCGTTGAGCCACAGCACGACGGGGTCGTTGGCCGGGTCATTGCGCGACTCGAAGAACCAGTAAAAGAGGTGCTTATCTTGCTCGTTGTCGTCGAGGTATCCTGAGTACTGCTTGACCGAGTCGACGCCGAGCTTTGCAGGGTCCACCTTGCGTACGCGCACGTCGTAGTTGTCGAGCTGCCCGCCATATTGGCGGCGGTCCTCGCCGTCTTCACCCTTGGTCCAGAGCGCCTGCACGTCGGCACCGCGGACAATGTGGTCCCAGTGGGCGTCGGGGCGGTGGTGAATCTTCTTGGGCTTGGCCTTGGCCGCGATGCTCTGCTTGAACGTCGCGACGACCTCGGGCGCCAGCTGCGCGACCTCGTCCCAGGTCGCCTTGGCCTCGGCCGAGATGTCGCCGTACAGCGCCTTGAGCGGCTGCGCCCACGACGCAATGTCGGCGGACCAGTCGAAGCCGGTGAGCGGGTTGCCGCCCAGGTTGAGGGGGGAGTGGTATTTGCTGTCCTTGTTGAGGATCTTTTGGTCGCCGGCGACCGCGGTGGCCGCGGCTCCGAGCACGACCGAGGTGGACAGACGCATGATGGTGCTATCCGTGGATGAGTTGTGGTGATGGGGGGGATAAGGTGTCAATGATTTGACAAGAGTGATGATGGAAGAGGAAGAGGAAGAGAAAGAAGGGAGAGCTCAGGTGCCTGCGGGGAAGCCTTCTCCAAGGTCGTAGCGTAGGCTCATGTGACTGGGGCGTGCGTGAGTCCTCCTATCATGGGCAATGTATGACGCTGAAACGGGGACCTGGGAGGCCGACAGTGCTGACGACTCATGAAACAGTGACTGCCTGGCAACCAGCCCGCACTAACATGGTTGCGTGGCGTACATGTGGTGGAGTGTTAGGGCGTCTTGGCTTCAGGCTAAAAGCGGCCACGCCACGCTGGCTCGTGGCGGCCCCGCCTAAAGACGGCCAGGCAAGGCAGTCGGACAGCGCTATTGTACGCTATCAGCCCACCACTGTACTGTCAAGCTGGGTACATACGCGAGTGAGGCCTGTTTTTGGACAGGGTACTAGATAGGTCGTTTTTTTAACAGATAATTTTCCCCTGTCACAACGCTGTTGACGTCTCTGACACGGCTTATAAAAAATATACATGTTTTTTAACACGTACTGACAGCCTGACAGCGTTGTGACAGGGGAAAATTACATGTTGAGCGGAAAACGTGTCCAGTGCCCTGTCAGAAAACAGGCCTCACGCGCGTAGGTAGTGTACCCCGGTTGGTCGCTGGTTGCGTAATAGCACTACATAGGTAGCACCCTTAGGTACCTTGATAGGTCCGAAGTCCGGCAACTGTTATTCATTCGTATGATTGTCACTGCTGAAATCTGGCATTGTCTCACACCTGCGCCATATTGTGTGGCTGAGAATGCATTACGGATGGGCAGATTTGATACAGGCCGCCCTGTCGAATGGGCTATCCGCCCAGCCCGAGATAACCAGTCGGCCAACAGGAACAATTAAACAAGTATGCCTACCTTTCTAATGGGTCTACATAATCTGCATAGCCATGCACATCGAAACCATCGGCAACCGCATCCCAGTGTTCAATGCTCGTACTATTATGCCGCACCCGCCTTGGCCTTGGCCGCTTCTTTCTCTGCCTTTTTCGCCGCAATTTGCTGCTCCTTGAGGAGCTTCTTCATCTGGTTCTTGGTCAACTTGCCGTCGCCCTCCACTGCCGCTTCTTCGGTGCCAGCGGACGTGACAGGTACGACGAGGTCGGCGCGCGGCACCTTGGAGTTGCCCTTCCATTCGAGCGGCCGCACCGCCATGAACTGCGCGACCACGTCGTCAGTAGCCTTGGTCCGGCGCTCCTGGAAGTCGGCGACGTATTTCTGCAGATACTCGATACAAATAGCTTTGAGCTGTGTGGCTGTTAGCCTGGTGCATGTGAGCAATGGAGCGACGTACCTCTCCTGTCAGCATTCTACCGCTGTTGTATTCTTCCTTGATTCTCTTCAGTTCCTACATTTTGTCAGTTGCTGCCGTAGTGCTGCAAATTTGAAACCCACCGCATCGTCTTCCATGAAAAACTGCAGATATTGGTACGAGACGTCCACGTCCGCGTTGCCGCCCTTTTCTCTGTGTTCTTCCAGCGTCTCTTTGCCGCCCGAGAACGCGTACTTGTTGATCTTGGTCTTGATGGCCTTGGCCGAGTCGCTTAGGAAAATGGCCGACGTGTCGTCACTGGCCGACATCTTCGAGCCGGGGCCCTGGAGGGCGTCGAGGAATCGCATGTGAATCAGCGACGGCTTGGCGTACTTGAGACCGGCGGCGCAGTCGCGCGTCAGCCGGAAGTAGGGGTCCTGATCGATGGCGCAAGGGATGAGGCACGGAATTTTGGCCGTCGCGGCCTCGTCAGTGCCAAAGATGTGCGGGAACGAGCCGGCAAAGGCGGTCGCGCCTTGGATGCTGGCAAAGTGAATCTTGCCAATGTTGGAGCTACGATTGTCAGCAAACTCCTTCGCATGGTAACTGTGATACCTTCTGACCTTCCGTCGAAACCAAATACTGCTTTGGCCGTGTTGAAGTTGACGCGCTTGGCGAAGCGCACAATGTTCTTGTAAAAGGCACCGCCAACGTATTCAAAGTCGGAAAAGATGAATGTCTTTTTCATGTCAAAGCCGGCGGCGATGATGTCTTTGCAGTTTTGCTTGGAGTAGCCAATGACTTCGTCGACGGTTCTCTTTTCCGAGAACAGGTACTTTTCATCTGCAACGGTTAGTTGACGCCAGCAGAGTATCAGGCTCATCAGGCTACGCACCATCAGTCAACATGACAATTAGGGGGGCGTCAAAGACATCTTGAAGCCACCTATACAGGTCAGTCTAAACCTGGGAAGGTTGAGTGAGGTCACAAACTTGACAAAGTCAAACACTTGGGTGTGCCCAATGTGCATGCTGTCACTGCTCGGCCCACGGCCAGTATAGATGAAGAACGGCTCATTCTAACTAATTAGTACTTGAAACCCTACTTTTACGCATAAAACTCACCTTCTCGTAGCGATCTAGAATGGCGTGCATGTCGCGATGGCTGAAAAAGATGCCGCGGCGCATAAAACGGTGCGGCTTCTGGCCCGTCACTTGCTCGAAGCGTTCCAGCAGCTTATCATCAATCTCAGACGTCCCAAACTCGTCAATCAGCTTGCGGTAGTCAATCGCCTTGACCTTGCCATCCTCGCCCACCTCGCCCGACACAGACCACGGGTTGATGTCCTGCTTGGCCTGCTGAGGGGCGGAGAGCTCTTCGGGTAGGGCGGTGGCGTCTGCTGCAGCCATGGCTCTAGGACGTAATTGATTTGTAAAATATCTTGCTGTCAAAGAGGATATTTAAGCCTCGCCAGAGAGGTTTGCAGTCAGCTTTATGCAAGGCACGAGTGACTCAAAGAATTGGTGACTCAACCTTTCACAGGCGAGCCAGTCCAGGAAGGCGGGGCAGTAAAGATTTCACGCGACAGCAATGGCGGGGTCGTAGTTGGACGAGCCCAAAACCTGCCTGACGCACTCGCACATTTTTCACCCTTATATATATCATTTCAATCTTGTTGGAAAGAGATATACCTCAAATTTAGAATTTGGCTGCTATTTGTCTTTCTCCAACCCCAACACTACATCGACACCATGTCGCGCATCAACCAGCCGTCGAACCAGATCAAGTTGACCAACGTGTCGCTGGTGCGCTTAAAAAAAGGCAAGAAGCGCTTTGAAATCGCCTGTTACAAGAACAAAGTTCTTGAGTGGCGCTCCGGCATCGAGACGGATCTCGACAACGTGCTGCAGATCCCCAACGTCTTCCTCAACGTCTCCAAGGGCCAGACGGCGCCTAAGGAGGACCTGGAAAAAGGCCTTTGGTAAGAAGATGACGACCAACGAAATCATCCTCGAGATCTTGAAGAAGGGCGAGCAACAGGTGGGCGAAAAGGAGCGGGCGGCGCAGCTCGAGCGCATCAACAACGAAGTGATTAGCATTGTGGCGAGCAAGCTGGTCGACCCGCGCACCAAGAGAGTGTACACGTCGGGCATGATTGAAAAAGCACTGGACATGCTCAGCTCGCAGGCGCATACAACAGACACCAAGGACAAGGCGGCGGACAAGGGGAGCGCGGCGGACAAGGGAGGCGTGGCGGGCACGCCGGCGACGGGTGAGGACAGCGAGGCCAAGCCGCCCCCCAAGGAGCACAGCTGGACGGGCGTCTCGACAACTAAGAGCGCCAAGAGCCAGGCGCTTGAGGCCATGAAGGCGCTGATCGCGCACCAGCCGATTCCGGTGGCGCGCGCGCGCATGCGTCTGCGCATCAGCTGCGGCACCAGCGTGCTGAAGCAGGCCGCCAAGCATGTTGCCAAGGAAGATGGCGAGCACCAAAAGGGCACGGTCAAGGACAAGATTCTGAGTTACATCGAACAGGTCGAGACGCAGGACGTTGTGGGCTCCGACTGGGAGGTGGTTGGCTTTGTCGAGCCAGGTGCGTTCAAGCCACTAAGCGACTTTATTGGCAACGAGACCAAGGGACAGGGTCGAGTTGAGGTGTTGGACATGGCGGTGACGCATGAGGAGTAGATGCTGCAAGCCAATGAAGCTAAAATGAAGCCTACGATAAATGAATATATGATTGATGTCGAGTCGAATTTTGAGCCGCTCGTGGTGCAATTTAAGAGATCAAGCATTATGGTGAAGGGCAGCAAGAACATGACCAAGTTTAGATTCACATGAGAAGTAACGCATTGTTAGACAGCCAGGTGGTTTAATGTTATTTTATTTTCATGACTCTGATCTGGAGTTGCAGCACCCAATGCCGCATATGCAGGAAAGCACAAACTCTCTGGAGAGTTTTGAAAGGAGAAACCAGCCGTCACGCCAATCCCACCCAAAAACGTAGCTGAAATCTTTTCGTTCCACAACGCCACAATTGCGCGCAACCACTAACCACCCTTCTTCTTGGAGACACCGACGGTGCGGCCACGGCGGCCGGTCGTCTTGGTGTGCTGACCACGGACGCGGAGGCCCCAGTAGTGACGAAGACCGCGGTGGGCACGGATCTTCTTGAGACGCTCCAGATCGTCACGGAGCTTTGAGTCGACACCGTTCGCGAGAATATGCGAGTCCTTGCCGTCGACAATGTCGCGTTGTCTGTTGAGGAACCAGCTGGGGATCTTGTACTGGGTGGGGTTCTGGATGATGGTGACAATGCGTTCGAGCTCCTCCGAGGTGAGCTCACCGGCGCTGTATTATGTTAGATTGTGTCGAGGTGAGAGGCTCGTGGGGACACGAGGATAGACTGGGAATTGGAGCATACCGCTTGTTCAGGTCGACATCGGCCTTCTTGCAGACAAGGTTGGAGTAACGACGACCGACACCCTTGATCTTGGTGAGGGCGAACATAACCTTCTGTTTTCCATCGACGTTGGTGTTTAACAGACGCAGAATCTAGAAGCTGTTAGCATTGACTGCACAGTGAATCGGCCCGGGGACAGTCTGCCAGCTGTCCAATGCATTGCTTGTCGTTGCCATGGTCGGAGCCGAATTGTTGCCTCCTCCTCTGTATCGGTTCTCGAATATTCATCGGCTTGACAAAGTCGGCAACGAGCAAATGTTTGGGTCGGCGTGGCAGACTGTAGTGCTGTAGGCATTTCGAATGGATGAACTTACGAACTGGAAGTTCGACTTCTCTCCCGTCACGAGCGACATGATGGGCAACGTGGATGATCGAGAAGGGTTGTCAGTGATGCTTCGCTTGGGAAGGGAAGAAGAGAGTAGACGGCGCACTGGGGGCACTCGCTTAACGATGGATTTTTCGGGCCTGTGGGGACTTGGGTAGGGCACGGCGTTACAGGTGCTGAATTTTGTGGCTCACGTGATAGCGCACGTGAGGGCTTTGAGGGCAACGGAGCAGATGTAGCGAGAAAATGTAGAATCTTGCGCTAGTCTATATATGGTTAGATCAATATTGATTCTGCTGCCGTCCCGCTTTCGACAGGGTCTTTTACATGAAAGGCATTTCACGACGACGGAAATGTCGCATGAGGACTGTCATACCAATAAACGGCTTCACAATGTCGAAACTTTGTATTCTACTCATCGGAAACGGAGGCCGTGAGCATGCTCTGGCCTGGAAGCTCAGCCAATCCTCCCGTGTCGAGTCCATTTTTGCTGTTCCTGGCAACGGCGGCACTGCTTCTTGCCCCAAAGTCTCGAATGTGACCTCAGTTTCTGCCGATGACTTCCCCGCACTTGTCAAATTTGCGCAGTCGAATGGTGTCAACCTTGTGGTCCCCGGTCCCGAGGCTCCTCTGGTCGATGGCATCGAGGGCTTCTTCCGCGCCGCGGGTATCCCTTGCTTCGGTCCCTCTAAGGAGGCTGCACGCCTCGAGGGTAGCAAGACGTACTCGAAGGACTTTATGAAAAAGTACAACATTCCCACTGCTGCATATGAGAACTTTTCCGACTTTGAAAAGGCCGTTGCCTACATTGACGGTATCCAGCACGATGTTGTGATCAAGGCTACCGGTCTTGCTGCCGGCAAGGGGGTCATCATCCCGCAGACCAAGGATGAGGCCAAAGCTGCGCTCAAGCAGATCATGGTTGACAAGGAGTTTGGGTCTGCCGGAAGTGAAGTTGTCATTGAGGAGCTCCTGCTCGGAGACGAGCTCAGCGTTCTTACGTTCTGCGATGGCTACTCCATCCGTTCCCTGCCTCTGGCGCAAGACCACAAGCGTATCTTTGACGGCGACCTCGGTCCCAACACGGGCGGCATGGGTTGCTACGCTCCTACCAACATTGCCACCAAGGAGCTCGTGGAGCGTATAGAAAAAGAGATTCTCGAGCCCACAATCTTGGGCATGCGCAGAGAGAAGCAGCCATTCCGGGGTGTTCTCTTTACTGGTCTGATGATTACCGCCACCGGACCCAAGACGCTCGAGTACAACGTTCGCTTTGGCGACCCCGAGACTCAGACTGTTCTTCCTCTACTCTCTGCCGAGACTGATCTTGCCGAGATTATGCTTGCCTGCACGGGCGGCTACCTGGACAACTGCAACATTACCATTGAGAACAAATTTAGCGCCACCGTAGTCCTCGCTTCCGGAGGCTACCCTGGACCATACGCCAAGGGCACTCGCATGACCGTCACAGAGCCTCCTGCTGGCAGTACCATCTTCCACGCTGGCACAAAGCTCGACGGCGAGCAGCTCCAGACCTCGGGCGGTCGTGTCATTGCCATCAACTCTGTCGGAGACTCTCTGCGCAGTGCCGTCGACGCCTCGTACGCGGCTCTGGCGGCCAATGTCATCCAGTTTGAGGGCATGTTCTTCCGCAAGGACATTGCTCACCGTGCTTTCCGCGCTGCCAGCAAGGAATCCATGACCTATGCGCAGGCGGGCGTGGATATTCAGGCTGGCAACGATTTCGTCGAAAAGATCAAAAAGGCAGTGGCCAGCACCAAGCGCCCTGGTGCGGATGCCGAAATTGGTGGATTCGGCGGCGAGGTTGATCTGTCTGCTGCAGGCTACCCCAACGCGCCTGTTATTGTCGGCGCCATTGATGGCGTCGGTACCAAGCTGATGATTGCCCAAGATATGAAGAAGCACGACACTGTCGGTATTGACCTGGTCGCCATGAATGTCAACGATCTCATTGTTCAGGGTGCCACGCCTCTCATGTTCCTGGACTACTATGGCTGCAGCAAGCTGGATCTTGCCTCGGCCGCCGCTTTCGTCGAGGGCGTCGCCGACGGCTGCCGACAGGCCGACTGTGCTCTGGTCGGCGGAGAGACGGCGGAGATGCCCGGCATGTACCAGGGTGAAGACTACGATGCCGCCGGGTGTGCTGTCGGCGCCGTCACCGAGGACGCCCGGCTCCCCAAGCTAGCGGCCATGGTGGAAGGCGATGTTCTTCTCGGTCTCGGCTCCAACGGCGTCCACTCCAACGGCTTCTCTCTCGTGCGCCGCATTGTGAAGAGCGCCGGTCTTGGCTACACGGATGCCGCCCCCTGGGACCAGGGCAAGAGTGTCGGCGAGTCTCTGCTGACGCCGACGCGCATTTACGTCAAGACGCTGCTGCCAATTCTCAAGGACATCAAGGGGCTGGCGCACATTACCGGCGGCGGCCTCCTCGAAAACGTCCCGCGCATGCTGCCAGCGTCGCTCACGGCTGAGCTCCACTATGGCTCATGGCAGATGCCTGCCGTGTTCCAGTGGCTCAAGACAGCCGGCAACGTGGCGCCGGTGGAGATGTGCCGCACGTTCAACAGCGGCATTGGCATGGTGATTGCAGTGGACGCTGGCAAGGCAGCTGCTGTGGCCGCGGCGCTGGGTGAAGCTGGCGAGGCCGTCTACACGCTCGGGCAGTTGGTGAAGCGCGCAGAAGGCCAGGTCGGCTGTGTGATTCAGAATCTGGACAGCTGGCAATAGGTTGGCTCTTTGTAGGGGTTGGCACTGCCGGACAGGCGAGAGATGCCGTACCAGAAAAAGCATAAACATTCATATACGAAGTATCAGTACAGCATTGTTGGGTTTGCGGGATTTTTATTGAATTTAAGATGAGCTACGAATTGATACCAATGCCGGTGCAATTTGCAGCGGCAGATGATGCAATATGATGCGACCAGTGCAGTTAATTAATCCGGAGATGATACTGGCAAACTCGTCGCACCCTGCGACCAAACGCCAGTTACAAGAGGTAGGTACGTACCTAACGTTACTCGGCTGCAGCCGGGTGGCTGGTTGAGATGATTAGGGCTAGGACCCGCCTAGGTTAGCGCCACGACTCAAGGCCGCGCGACGGATTTCTCCCTTTCGAAGCCTCCATGACGGCTGCGTGGACGACACGAAACATCGCCCACGCGGTGTTGATGACCGGACCCAAGGGCCTCACGATACTTCGTTGCGGGTTCCGAAAGCCATTTCCACTTTGGCGACAGAGTGCCCGCCTCCTGAGAGGCAGCCAACCCCTCGGCGTGAGGCCGACTGCTTGACCAGCTTGCTGTGTCTCAGAGCTTTGAAATCAACAGGTAGGTCCGTTGACAGTGACGCGTGCTTCTCTTCCGCCGTAGTCTGTCGTCTTTGGCCACGCTCGATCACGCAGCCCTTTGGGGCCTTGGTGTGCTGATCTTGAGCTGGATGCTCGCGGCCCTCGGGCGGCGAGTACGAGACAAGAGTGACTCCCAGGCAACGCTTTTTGAGTACGGAACCTTCCAGTGTCTATTTTAGCGCATGAAGGATTTCGTAATTTATCAGTTGCCACATTTGACGTAGTACATGTAGTCGCAGTTTGAGAGGCTGGAGCACGATGGCTCGGCCAACTGTTGCCAATTTCGCTGGTACGATGGAAACTGTCTTGATCATTGGGGGAATGATGGTTGTGCGGCACAATCTGCCATGCAACGCCGCTGGTGCTACCCAAGGTAGAGCTGGCCGATGCGATTTCCGATGTGAAGACGGCCGCTACATACGTGGCTTCTGTTGTTGAATTCTTGTACTACACAAAACCAGGAGGCAGCCACGAACAAAAAGAACGAAAAGAACAAAAAATTATGAATGCCGCGGGGCTGTGTATTTTGCTGCACGGGGCAGTCTACCCAAGTATCGCTCTATGCATAAACGCCTATATAGATCATGACAAATCATGACAGATTATGAAGCAAAAAAACCATGAAACAATTCCCGTTGGCCTGTTCTATTGGCACCGATCGGAGCGCTTCCAATCAGTATCGCAGTGTCGTATCCGGAGTAAAAGCAAGTCGGAAAATCCCCCGACGAAAAAAAAAAAAAACTAGCATATATATGTGTGGTCTGCTGTACCAAGCAGAATGTATGGACAAGAAAATGGTGTAAATGCGAGAAATACAGCCCGTGTATCTGTATGGTGTTGGTCGACGCGGTCAAGGTGACTCGTCGCGCGCTGTTCGAGGCAATTATACCGAAAGCGGCACCAGAATAATGGTCGTTGCGCCTTGCAGGGACTAATTACTCTTCCCGTGACGAGTCGGTGGCCGAGGAGGCGTTGGAAGAAGGGGTGGTGCTGCCGCGGCTGACGGGATCGAGGTCGAGGGAGCCGCGGCGCGTGCAGCAGGGACTGACGCCGACGAAGCTCATTGTCTCAATCTGTGTCGGGTCGGAGGCGCCAAACGTCATGCTGAAGTGGGAGAGCATCTTCTGGTGGCGGATGTTCTGCGTGGTGAGCGGACGGTCGCGGGGGTGCGTGCGGCGACGGCTGCCCTGGGCGGCGGCGGCCTTGCGTTCGCGCTTCTCGGCGCGCTCCTTTTCCTTGTCCTTGCTGTCGGCCGAGGAGCCAAAGGTGAGGACGCGGGCGAGACGGGACGATGTCTTTTCGAGCTGGGGCCCGTCGTGGGAGGAGGAGCTCTGGCTGGTGGTTGCGGTGGTGGTGGTGGTGTTGGATTCGGACTGGGAGATGGTGTCGGAGGCTTCGGACTTGCGGAGCGCGCGACGGACACGGTCACGGATCGCCATGGCGGCTGCGGAACCCCGGGGAAAAAAAAAGGGCGAGTTTGGGACGTTGGTGATGGTGAATTGAGAGCTGAGAAGGAATGCAAAATGATGTGGTTTGGCAACGGAGCGGGTTTTAGACGGACGAAGGGATTGGTGGTGGTTTGTGTTGAGGTGGCGGATTGACAGTGGCTGTGGGAAGGCTGGCGCGTCGACGGCTTTCGGTGTTGAAACTGAAGCGAGCAACAAGCGAGAAGAGTGAGTGACAAACCCTGGGTTATATTATTGAACAGAGAGTGGAGCATTCCGTGTCTGTTTGCAGAGCTTTTTTTAGTTACTAGTTCTTTTCATTAGTCTCTTCAGTTTCTGCAGCGAAAAAGAGCCTTGTTCTTTTGGTCGGAACCTACTAGTTAAGGTACCTTGGTATGGAGTACAAAGGGTGTGCAGCGCTTGCCCACGGGGTTTTTGGTGTGTCCGGGGCTCCAGCTCTCACACTGGAGAAAAGCCACTCGCGAGTTGCAGCGGCTGGTGTGAGTGGGGCTAACCTATCAGCACTTGGATATTCTGTCGCGTTTTCCCTTGTACGACTTTGAGTCGGATTGGTTGAATGCTTGAGGCGGAGCATGTCGGGCGAATCATACTAACTAATGTATCGAGTATGTACGAATTAACTAATACGGAGTACCTACCTACTGGGAAAGCAGGTCTCACGGCCCCCGGCATGCTGGGCCAATTGACAAGGCCCTCAGCTTGCTGCCGGCGATACTCGCAGGGGGGCTTTGCGCCCCATCAACCCCCCATCCCCCCCATCTCAATCCCCTGCATTCCATGCGCTCTTTTCCCTGTCCCCAGGCAATTCCAAGGCAAATCGTCTCAACGCTCAAATCTTCCAATGCGTCACAATACCCCGCACTACGAATGCCCTGTGACATCACATAGTTACCATCTCTTTCTTTAAACTTGATTTGGTCTTCCTCTCGTCACCAGCGTTTTACCCGAAATACCACCGGGTGCTGACCGTTGATCATCCGTTACCCGCTCATTGGACGGGACGTTCTAGAATCTAGGTTCGAAGAAACGCCTTCCCACACCAACGTCCACTCCGGCCTCTCCGACGCTGCACACAAAGGACGTCATATCCACCCGACCCGGGCACTCCGCTGGGAGCCTGGTACGGGGGGTGCTAGGACTTTTGCGGTGCATGCCACGATTTTCCACAGCCTGGTAAGAGCTCCGTTTGCTTCTGTTGAGGCTGCTTTCAGGTGGCTTGGGTTGTGCTAGGTCGCTCACCAGACGGCTTCTAGCGCGCGCCGTGGCACGCGAGGAGGCAGTTCCTATTACACAATCCCCCGGGTTCTGCCCGTGTATTGGCCCGACCTCCGTTACCCTGTAGATCCTGTAGATGTTATGTTGCCAGGTTTGGCGCAACTTCTGCGCGGGCCATTGATGGCTTCGTTGCAGTATACACAACTCCTTAGTCCTCGGAGAAAGACCAGGCATATTAATGACTGACAGCTGATAGAGATGGTACCACCGTGGCGGCACATCTACTGGACGCACACACTTCGATATTGGCGCGTATTCACTGTGCCAAGTTAGCCGCGTCGGTGTCGCCTACAAGTTGTTTACAACGTTACTTGCAGCCACAGTACCGGCGACACCCGGTGCCCAGTCCGCAGAGCCGACGCAGCAGATTTTTTTCACGTGGCGTCAACCTCTTCCATGTCGATCAAGTTCGAGATTCTGGACCCCTGTTGCGGACTGCTAGTGGTGGCAATATTCGCCTCAATCGCTGTTCCCGGCCTAATAGCGACCGAGAGCCGTTTACGGCAAAGAGTACCCCGCCGCCCCGACATCGTTACAAAGGATACTGTTGGGATCGAAACGACATCTGCAATTTTTCAGTACTCATTCGTTGTGTAAAAAGTACGAGCCTTGGCATGCGTGATCAGCCACGGTTGGGACTTCGCCCGCCCGTAACTGGGTTGGCGCACTCGGCTTCGCCTAACTGGGGGCACTCTCACACATGTACCGCTGCATCGCATATCGGGCCATGGATATTGCGGTTGGGAAGGATAATGAAACATTGACAGATTGGCTGAGAGATCCCAGTGATGTTGTCTGACCGGTTCAGATCCGCAGGGGGGCACACGTCCTAGATTTGTCTTAGAACAATGCCACGTTACTCAAGCATCATGTGCTATGTAAGTCAAAGCACTCAGAACGTCAGCGTAGCTTTATCGTCGGGGTATCTAGAAATGCAACATAACAAGGTGAAAATCCTACAGAATCAAGCCGTGGCCACTCCCATGCAAAAATCTGTCATGGCTTGTCCTCATCAACCACTCTATCTCTATCTAGCACCGCCTGTTTCGGTATGATTTCTGTAACTACACTATTTGTGCTTCTGTCGTTTCCCTCTCCCCTCTCCTGATCCGCCTCTGTTCCTGCGCTGTCGGTGCCGTCGACGCCTTGCTCTGCCTTGCTGGTGTCCGCGCCTCCGATCGCAAAGAGCTCCATCTCGCTGGCGTCCTCAAACTGCGAGTAGCGCCGGTGCTTGCGCGTGCGACTGCCGCCCCACGTCACAAGGGTGCTCTTGCCCGAGTCTTTGGATGCTGCTGGCGAGTTGGTCCCAAACAGCCCTGGGAACAGGTGCCGCGCGAAGCGTCGCGCCGTCGGCATGCTGCCGCAAATGACAAACAGGTTGCCCTCGACGAATCTGCGATTGTCAGAGACATGCTTGTAGCCGATTTCAGGTATACGTACGTCCACACATTGGCCGGCGCGGCATCCCACGACGGATCCGTGCTTCGAAGCGTTGCGGGAAGATAGACGAGCCGCACAATCGACGTCGCGACCGTGGCCGAGGCAATGGCAAAAATGGCAATCGCGCCCACCTTTTGCGCGCGGTCCATGGCTAAACGCAGCACCATGGGCGTCGGCAGCAGGAACAGCATCACGTCGGTGATGATGTTGGACACGGCTGTCGCCATGTAGAGGATGCCCGCATCGAGGCACCCGCCAGTCTGGATCCGCACGTCAAATGCCTTGCGCACAGGATTGCAGTGGAAGAGCATCAACAAGGTGATGACGGCTGTATATGCTGTGACGATGACGATGCTCACCCAGGTCGCGATGCGGAACCGGCCTTGTGGCGACAGCTGCAGGTAGATGCACAGCAGGGAGAGCTTGGTGAAGCCGTTGCACAATTGGTACACTGGAGCGGCGACAAAGACGAACTGGAGAGGTTAGTTGGGCGCTGTAAGGCGGATTTGATGAACGCACAATGGAATATCGTTCAAACCTCTCGAGGGGCATCTCCCAGGCGTGCGCGCACATGCCGCCCTCTAGAATGGAGTCTGCCAAGTCAGAATGGCCAATTGTGAAAGGGTGGACGGCTTACAGGTGAGAAGGGCTTGCGTGGCCAAGGACATGATCCATCCCAGAAACATGAATGCTAGGTCTCGTCAGCGACGTCTCGATACCATCGGTCGTGCGAGCGTACCATCGTCCATCTGGAGCCCCTTGGAGAGGTACAGTTTGGTGTAGATCCTCTGGCACAAGAAAGCGAGCGCCAGCGGCCCGCCGATGCCAAAGGCCAAGAAATGTTGCAGCCGGTGGTTTTGCTGCGGGTGGTCAAAGTCGGGCGTGACGCCGTCGGGCGGCCGCATCAACACGGTGACGCCGTTGACGACGGGAAAAGAGGCCATGGCGCCGCGAGACGCCCATGTCCTAGAAGAAAGCGGCCCTCGAGGAAGGGCGTCGCCGAGTTGTTCCAACTGGCTCGAAGAGAAGCAAAAAATCGACGCGATCGAGGAGCGGGCGGGAGGCGATCTGGGATGTTGAAGCTAGTTGGGGCGGGAAGGAGAGCCACTGCCGGGACCCGAGAAGCCATCAAAGGGGCAGCTGCGATTTCTTATACCAGATTAGCAAGGAGAACAAAGCGCGTTGATGTTTGGGCGCTGACAACCCAGTAGCCATTTCCGGCCCGATTCCACAGGACGACGGAGCAAGTATTAAACGAGATGTTATCCCATTTCCAAACCCTATTATATCCCCTTGTCTTGCGGCGAACCGGGGTATGGGACAAAGGGTGTGGTGTGAGGTTCCACCACTGCCGTGCTGGCTGCTCATTTGGTGTGCAAAGGCGTGATTCAGTTAGCAAGGGGTCCGCGCTGTAAAATTTTTATTCCTATCCCCAAGAAAACTCCGATTAGCATTGCTCTAGTAATAGAGTAGTAATAGAGTAGTTATATATATTCATAAATTTACATAACTGTAATTCTCTGGTCCATCGCATCGAGTCTTGTTCGTATTTCTGTGAACCCCTGCCGAGTGGTTTCCTGTAAAACAACGAGGCTTTGCATAATCGCGTCCATCCGCTCTAGTATCTGGCGACCACCGTCTACGGCGGGCAAGTTCGCAGCAAGATCAAAGTGATCCGCTGCTTCTCGAAAGCATGAAGCCACATGGCCAAAATCGGGTGCCTGAAGATCACGATCCATCCTGTCCGTGATGATGTAGGATGCTAAAATCACCTCGTGTCACCGCCCGCCTAAATACGCGTGGTCATCTGACCATGTGCCAACACCCCCTGGTGCCTACCCACTACCCCCACTGTACCTACCTAAGTATGCAATACCCCCTCTTAGCCCCCGTGGGTTCATTTCCGACGGACAAGGTCCATCTCGACAAACCATGGCGCCAGCCATCTGCAACACTCAACCTCAACCCGGGAAGCTGGATCTACTTCGTACAATGAACATATCCCAGGTCGTCCTTGCGCCAGACTATTGGGCAGGGAAATCTACCAGTATACAGCTGCCAAGTCTTGTCGAGTCAACCTCAAACCCCATCATCTTCGTCTTGACTCGTCTCATCCATCGGCCATCCACTGCGCCTCCAACCCCACCACCCACCACCTTGCTCGCCAGCACATAGCAGCTGCAAATATGCGCTTCTAGCCCATGAACTGGGTCGAAAAACTTGCGAATTCGGCCACTATTATGCTCCTGTACCACTAGCCAGAACGAGTTCCTTTATACCCGCCGAGAAGGAATTCCCTCATCTTGTCAGGTCTGGCGGTCAAGATGACGCTGTATAAAGCTGGCGGGAACCCCGCGACGGGCCGCTGACGATCCCCGCTCCTCAGACGGAAAGCCACAGACTTTTAACAGCCGAATTACAGTTTCGAAACCGTCTCATCATGAAAGTCTCAGCAGCTGCGTCGATAGCGGCACTGTCGTTTACAGTCTTTGCCACCCCCGGCCCCCGATGTGTACGTAGACATTCCCTCGCCATCCGCAACCAAAAACTCACCACGTGCAGTGCGCCGACCTCGCCGCCGAGCCCTTGCTCCGCAGCAAGGTCTTTCTGCCCGGCAGCGCCGTCTACGACGCGCAAATAGCGTCCTACTACTCGGCCAACGCCGCCCAACGCGCCTGGTGCATGGTGCTGCCCGCTTCGACGGCAGACGTGCAGGCCGTCGCGCGCACCATTAGTCGCCGCCAGTGTCCGTTTGGAATCCGCGCAGGCGGCCACTCGGCGTGGAAGGGCGCGAGCGGCGTCAAGAACGGCATCACGGTAGACTTTAGCCACATGAATGCGACTAGGTATAATGAAGAGACGGGACTCGCGGCGACGCAGCCCGGCGCGCGATGGGGATCCGTCTACGAGACGCTCCATCCGCATAATGTGACGGTGGTCGGCGCGCGCACCTCTGTGGTTGGTGTTGGCGGCTTCACCACGGGCGCTGGCGTATGTACTTGCTCTCTCGGCGTCGCGCGTTGGCTCACTGACCGTCGGTAGTATTCCTTTCATAGCAACGGACACGGGTTCTCTTGCGACAATGTTGCCAATTGGGAAATCGTCCTGGCCAATGGGACTGTCGTTAATGCCAATGCCAAGAAGAATGCAGATCTTTGGAAGGCGCAAAAGGGCGGCTCCGGCAACCTAGGCTTCGTGACGCGTATCGACCATAGTGCGTCTGACCTCCTGTATGAAACGACCAGCAGCTAATGAGACAGTCACCCTGCCTGGCAACCAGCTTTGGGGCGGCTTCACGCAGTACGAGCTCGGTGAACGTGATGCCGTCTTTAATGCTTACCTCAACTTTGTCAACAACACGGAAGACAGCTCACCGAACCAAAATATTCTCGCTTTGCTCTGGGACAACAAGGATGGCTTTACTCTCCGCTCCATTCTCACCAACGCCAACGGCGAGGCAAACAGCACTGCTTTCAACGAGTATCTCTCCATCCCCAACCTTGGCAGTACCTTGACCTCTGGCCCGGAAAAGGACATCATTCCGCAATTCACCGGTCCTACACCTCTCGGCCAATAGTAAGCGCAGAGCAGCTCCTTTCCAAGACAAACCTAACGTCTGTAGTGCGAATTGGTTCACCGCCACGGCCAAGCACACCTTCAAGTCGCTCGCCGCCATTGACGAGCTGCACCACGCGCTCATCCCCAAGCTGCAGGCGGCTGCGCCCGGCGCGACGTTTAGCACTCTCATCTCCCTGCAGCCGCTGACGCCCAGCCTTGTCCGGCACGCGGCCGCGCGCGGTGGCAACGTGCTCGGCCTGGAAGCCGTCGTGGCCGACGGGCCCAAGCTCAACTGGCTCTTTTCCATCACTGTCGACACCGAGGCGCACCAGGCGGCCCTGCTGCCCGTCGCGCAGGCGTTTATGCACACGGTCAACAAAAAGCAGCGCGACTTGGGCACCTACGTCCCGTGGATCTACCTTAACTACGCCTGGCGCGACGAGCAGCCGTTTCCGCACTACGGCGCCGAGAATACGGCGCTGCTGGCCGCGGTCTCGGCCGCGTACGACCCGGATGGCGTCTTTCAGAAGCTGCGCAAGACCGGTTTCAAGTTGAGCGGCTAAGTGCGTGATGCAGGGCACTATGTTTGGCGGGTGTGATGGATTCGAAACGGGACCGGCTCTGTAGAGAGTATTTCTGGCATGATGACATGACACTAACGACTGACGGGTGACGACTGACGGGAAGATATGATGGTTGACGATTTGACAAATGAAGAGTAATGGCTGATGATATAAAGTATAAATGCATGACGAATTCATACTTGACGGAGCTGTGCGCGCGGCTGATTCCTCTTGACAGCCACCCGGAGTGCAGATGCCGATACTACAGCCGTGACTTGAACGATTGGAATACGTACGCGGCTTCCTACCAGCTCGCCCCTAGCGTACGCCATGGCGCTTGTGGCACCACCAACACGGCGCCGTATCGGTGCCGGGCGCTGTCTTCATGAGGATGCGGGTCGGCGGCCGAGACATGACAGCTCCTGCAGATGTGGTTTTTTTTCCCAGCATTTTTGGTCACCTTGATACAGACTGTAATTGAGGACGAGGACGTTTTATCTGCCGCTACTCTCTGTCAGGTTCAAGGACCTGATGCGCAAGATTGACTCTAGTCTGCCCCACGAAGTGTGAGTTATGGATCGGCAGTCTCAAAAACAACCCCGTCGCTGGCGCCACGGCTGGCCAAGAGCTTGCGTGCGCACTTCCAGCTCTACTTTGGTGACCCCTTGATTGCCACCGAGACCAGGGAGGCAGCGATGCCGTTATCCGCGCAGACTGGTCCCCAGCGCCCACAGAGGAGTCTGTGCTTGCGTCACGCTGTTGCGTAGTAACAGAATCAGAACTTTAACGCTCTTTACCCCCACTGATAAATCAAGCTGGTGGGAAAAGACTTGTTTAAATACAACGGGCTGGTCGCGTGCTGCGTTTTGATCCACGTCATTGGCGAGCGCAGTTCCATTGCCCGTCCTCGACAAGTCCATTGGTCATCCAGCGAATCTGGGCACCTCAAACGACACGACTCACACGACACGAGAATTCTTTTTATTGTCGTTCGAGCCAAGGTTCAAGAGATTGCAGGATAATAGGGGTTGAACACTGCCAGCATTGGCTCGCCAGCCGGACCTCTGCGGCCGCACGCGACCAAGGTTTGGCGAAAGCAATGGCTTTGCGGCTCGTAACCAGTTAACCTGAGTTTGCCAGAAATTGCTACACACCTGCTCCATGACTTGCGCTGGGGGGCATCTTGGCGCTCTGCTGCGCTTCGCGTCGCATAGGGTCTTGCGCGCACGCCTCGCGGCCCAAGTTGCAATCTGCTTCATCCTTGTCTACTCCCTGGCCGCGTTTGCGCCGACGTCGCTGTTTCGCGACGGATACGGGCCCTTGCTGTTATGGAGTGGGCGGATAGACCCGTCCATCACAAGATCGACAGAGGACATGCGTGTTGTCGTTTTTGGATCGCAAGATGTAATGGGGAGCGCAGTGTCCGCTTCAGATCCGCGTCGATCGTCATGGACCCTGCAGCTCTGCAAAGAGGTACGAAGCTCCGCGCAATTCACAGAACAGGACTAATCCCGCACAGCTTGGCTGCACGTCATATCGCTCTCTCGTACCATCGGCAGATGCGCAACCCGGATTGGCATCGAACCATCTATACAAAACGTCCACGGACGAGTTCCTGCAGTCTGTTGAAGGCGCGGATCTGCTGCAATCGCCGGCCTCGGATTACGACTTTATCAAATCGCAATACCCAGTTCCCACGACGCCTGACCTCACCGCGCAAGTACGCGAATTTCTTTCCGTACCGCCAGAGAGGAAGCAGTCGCGGAGCACCATTTGGATATTCACCTTTGGAACGTGGGAGGTATGGAACCTTGCCGCGCTACCTATCGTGACGGCGAATGATCTGTTGGACGGCATGGTGCAGCACATTTTTCAGCAGGCGGAGCTCCTCTATCTCAAAGCTCTCAATCCGAGGTCGATTGCATTTTCCAATTTCTGGACCGGCATGGACCTGTCTGACATGAAGAGACTAATGGCCCCGAGCGCACCGAAGAATGTTGACGAGCGAGCCTTGGAGACATTTCGCATACTCATACCGAAGCTGTTCGACATGACCCTGGCACCCGTATGGCAGACACGCCCGGCCCCAACGTATCCTCACACGAGGGCGGAACACATGCGCAACGCCGTAGCCCTGACACATCGCTGGAACGAGCAGGTCGAGCTGCAACTGGCGGCGTGGCAGAATACGTCGCGATCTAAGCCAGACGGCGTGGACAATGAGCACGTGCTGACCACAGCTGACGTACCCACGAGCGACACGGCCATGCAAGACTTGCTGGCGGCCCTGCCGAATGACGTGCGCCCGGAGAAGGGCGCGGCAAATGTCGCCTTTGCGCCGTATCCGAAGCGGATGGGCGCGCAGCTGGCGTCGACGGCGGACGGGATGGCGGCGCTGATGATGAATGTGGAAATGAGGCACAGCGGCGCCCGTGACGCTGTGGGCAACGGCGCGCCGACGGCGAATGCGTCACTGCCGTTTACCAATGCGCGGGAGCCGTGCTTTGCGCGTGCGGTGGACATACCCGAGGGACAGGCAGAGCGCGATGGGATCGCGTGTGAGGCGCCGGATGACTTTTTGTTCCATGATGCGACTACGTTTAACCAGCTAGCGGTGGATGATGTCGCGGCGCGGACGGCGAGATATGTTTTGGATCGTCTCTTTCCGCCTTGGAGCAAGTGAGCTGGGCATCTTGTATATGCTAGAAAACGCTTTATTACCGTTGCTTAGCTTTCGGAAGGAAAATAGAAGCTTTCGAATCTTGGCTATACCCATCAGGTCTCCTTGGACAGTATCGGCCACCTCCTTGTCGGCCCAGCCCTCAGTGTAGCCGCCTCCAAAGTCTGTGATCCACGCGTTGTTTTGCTGGTCAATCCGGATAATAATAAGCAGCTTCCCGAACAACAGAAACGAGGCTGTCGAGTCCCATTCATTATTCAGAACAAAGACACCAAGTCTCCACCTGCAACGCCCGCGGGAGAAGAAAACAAACTCCCCTTAGCTCTCGACAGTATGTTAGCTCTCGACAGTATGTTAGCTCTCGACAGTATGTATAACCTCGTCGAAGGCAATTTACGGCATGGCCAGCCCGTGATTCAATGAGTACTATGACGCTGCCTAGAAGGCTACAAGGCCTCGATGTAGCGCTGGTGGTGGCATGGCTTGACCCCCCCCCTCTCTCCTCTTCTACCTCTCTCACGCGCCCGCCTTTGCAATTTTGCACCCGAAGACCCCAAGATACCCATCTGTGGTGCAGTATGCAGTCAGCGAGTCGGACCAGATGCCTGTCGCATCTCGGCGCTGGGCGAGAAGATGCGCTGACCGCAAAACCCGCAGCGCGTGAGACTATGCCTTTTATGCAAGCAGCCTCTCGGCTCAAGCCGTCAAAGAGAATGCATGAGAGAATGAGGCTTAAACACCCTCTTAGATCCACAGCGGGAACAAACACACCAGCCGTCATCACGCTTACGCCGAGCTTTGTTCTTCCGTCGAGCCACACGGTAACATGCATTCCATTGTGTTTGGGTACCGCCACCCTCATTATCAATAGAATGGTATGGATCTTATCGTCAAAGATTGTGGGTGGCGTTCAGGAGTGCGAAGATAGTCGTGTGACATTCAACTTTGGGTTCTTTCCTCAAGACACAACGTGCCACCCGCACGTTGAACGAGCCAAGAGCAGTCTTTTGCGAGACGAAATGCATCTGCTTTCGATCCCAGGCAAATACGCCCTTCTCTATTCCAGCCGCAAGGCATCGATTGTGCGAATACCAACATCTTCGATTTTCTCTTTCTTAATTTTATTCATCTCAAGCGCTTCACTCACATCCTCGTTAATATTAGCTGGTGAGGACCCTGTTGTGCCAGGCTATGTGGTTGACTACGGTACGGTCTCCTTGAATCGGAAGCACTCTTACAGATTCCCATGTTCTCGGAGCTAACTTGGCCCTCCTTCTATAGCTCCTTTGGTCTGGCTTCACTCCCAAGATCCATTTCGGCCGTCTGACCTGAGCAAACACCTGCAACACACCACGCCCATGGTCAATGAAGAACCAGTCGCAAATCCTGTATCAGTCAGCCTGGATAATCTTGAGCAGTTGAATGTATTTGGAAAGAAAAAAGTAGCCCTTACCTCGAAAGATGATGTAAACAAGATGCCCGAGTGGCTGTGCGGTGAAACCCCAGACGCCAATGGCAAGCTACAGAACGCAACGGCTTCTGTAGTGATTGTCGTGGAAAGGAACTCGGAGGATGTGGACGCCTTCTACTTTTACTTTTACTCTTTTGATCAAGGGGCAAACATGACGCAAGTCAAGGAGCCTCTTGGCAGCTTCATTGGAACTCAGGGTGGTGTGCATTTTGGGAGTCATATCGGAGACTGGTGCGTCGAACCCAATTCCTTGTCGGCCGCATTTCCTAACCAAGCATCATGTAGGGAGCACAATATGGTCCGTTTCCGCGCTGGTCAGCCCACTGGCATCTATTATAGTCAGCATTCAGATGGCGCCGCCTACAGTTGGCATGATGACCGCATCACACTCGAGGATGGCCGGGTACGTCTTCACCACGCAGTAGTCCAAGTTTCAAACCGTTGGCGCTAAAAAGTAACATCCAGCCATACGTATATAGTGCACTTGGCTCACATGCCAATTATCCTGCTTCTGGGTTCGTTGCCTTGGCGCTACATGGTCCATTTCCTACCAAGTACTGACTGATGCTGCGCATAGCGAACAAGAGCATGACTCGATTCTCTTTGACTACTGCGACAAGGGTATTCTTTGGGATCCTGTTGCATCGGCATACTTTTTCCACCTCGATCCCGACAGCTCCCGCCTTACGCGCCTATCTCCATCGGCATCCGACCCTGCAACATCCAACTTGACGTCCTTTTTCTACTTTGACGGGATCTGGGGAGACGACGAATATAGTCAGGATGACCCGCGCCAGCGCAAGGTTCCGTGGGTAGGGCTGAAGCGGTTCGTCGCGGGACCGCAGGGTCCAGCGTTTAAAGGACTTGTGAGGAAGGGACTTTTCCCGAATGACCGCGGGGGCAAGAACGTCCTGCAGCTGGCTGCCGCAGCGTTCATGGCCGTATACCCACACCTCTTCAAGTCCTGGAGAAAGTGGGTGACAATCTTGGGGTTTTGCATGCTTGTGGCGTTGCTGGTCGTGGGCGGACGACGTGTGGCAAAGAGACGCAAGCAAACGAAGCTGGGATATGCGCATTTGGAGGCTGAAAATATCCCGCTGATGGAAATGCCCCTTCGACGTGATGGATCACGCAGTCCACCCGAAATCGGCAGCGACGACACGCACTGAGCAGGGTCAATTATTGAATAGCCGTCACTGCTGAAGACAGACAAAAAGGCGTCACGCTCAATTCCAATCGGCTTCGCCATCTTGGTCAGTCGGGCCTGTCATACTCGAGACACGAAATGGCGAAGAAGTTCGGCGGCAGAAGGAAACTGGAGGCGCTTCTTCGGGACCAACCCACCGAGTTCTCTGAAGCAGCCCAGCTGCAAATGAACTCGCTCCTACTACTTTACGCAGGACGTGTGCTGCAGAAACGGCAATTTCATCACTCTTTCCCCTCCCAGTTTGGACAAATGATTGCGGAACCATCTTGATGGTAACAAATATATGGGAAAATTTGGCTGCATTTGAACGATAGTAGTATAGAGTCTAAGCGATTGTTGCCTGATGACATGAGCACTAAAACTGATGCCGGCGAGCATATAGCGATGCTGAGAATATAGACTAATGATAGAGAAGAGAGAAGATGACGAGGATGGGGTTGGCAGGAAACATGAGATTCACCGCCAAAAAACACAGAGCTACGACAATTAATCGAATTACTCTCTACAGCCTTTTTAACCGAAACCACACGTAGCTTCTATTTCGCCTAGACCATAGCACAAAGCTGGTAGGAAGAGAGTTGCACAGAGCTACGAGACAACAGCTTATCAATGCATAATTCGTCGTTGAGATGCATCTTATTGATTTACCAAATAATAATAAAAACTGACAACGTAGTCGTGGCTATGCTTCCCAGTCCATCGCTTCAACCATCCAATCCCATCCCTCGCCACCATCCTGCGCGTCGTCCACGACAATCTCCTCTGCGGCAACCATACTCGTCGCAACCGTGTAGCCGTTTTCCAGCCCGCGCAGCACCTCGCCCACGATCCAGGCCAAGTCGTACATTTTGAGCGGGGGCGTCTCGCGCCCCTCGGCGGCGTCCTTCCACCGGTTCCGCAGCTCCTTGGCCTTCCACAGGGCCTGGTTCACGTCGCCCTTGCCGAGGACCTCGTGCAGCGGGTTCGTGTGCTCGTCGAGGGCGCGCAGCACGTTGTGGTGGTAGGCGTGCGTGCCGCCGGTGCGTTCCCGCGGGATGCTGACGGCACAGACGAGCAGCAGCAGCACAATCGCCTGCTCGATCCACGCGTAAAACTCGTAAAAGTCAACCTTGAAGTTGCGCTCCGCGTCGTCGGGGGTAAACGTCCACGCCGCGGGTGCCAGCGCCCGCTTGTACGCGGCCTCGAGGTCGAGGAACTTCCAGCGGAGCCGCTGGCACGCCTGCTCGAACCGGTGCAGGGCCTGGGGCGGCGTCAAGACGGCGGCGAGCGTGGTGGACGTGCGGGTGCCGAGCGGCGTGCTGTTGGGCATCGGAAGGGTCGTGGACGGCGGCGCGGGCGGTGGGACAGAGCGTGATCGCGAGCTGTCGTGGACCGTGGACGGTTTGGAGGGCGCACCGTTGCGGGGTCGTTGCTTAAAGGGTGACCATATTGAGCCTTCCAGGCCAACTACGTTTTTCGTCATGTCGAGTCGCAAGTGTTGGCCTGTTGCCGCAGCAAAAATATGAGCAGTTTGAATAGGGAGTCGGCGGGAACGGTCGGCGGCTAAGCTCTTGTGATGTCGGAGAGAAATATACTGAACGATCAAGTCTCACGGTCGCAGTCGGGGCAATCGGGGTGCCCGCATGTTATTTATCGGATTTTTACCGTGTGTCAACACAAAATGGACACATTGGACGCTCTTGCCTTTGTTGGCTTGAGTTTGGAATGTCTCGTGTAGATGGGAGTTGAAGTTGTCGAGGCGAGCGCTAACAAAAACAGCCCCGCCAATCATCATTCGTCAGCCTCGGGGCTGTAACTAATACAACAACACACTGCCAGTGACAAAAAGAAATATTGGGTACGCTTCAATAATAAAATGACCGAATACAATCAAATATAGTCCAGTATTGAATGCACGGTGGATAATATTGACAAATATATATATAAGCTCCATGACCAAAAAAAGAGCCGCGCCAACCCAAAATCAACCCGCTTCCCAAGGTATATTTTTTCGCCCAAAAGTATCACCAGTATCTTTGTAACCAACATGATGCAGTAAGCCAAGGTCAGTCTAGAAGAATGGAGGCGTGCTAGTCGCCTCCCTTGATCTTCTTAGTTGATTTCGCAGTGCCAATATGTGTGTTGTGCACCTTGGTTGCGAATCGTAGACTTGTCAGCGTCTCCTTGAGATGAGTCTCCAACGGCGACACCATGACAAACATGAGAGTCTTGCTGTTCCCCCCTAGACTGTACTGAAGGAGGTGCGTCAGCTTCGAGTTGCGGTACGGAATGTGGCCGGACCCGCGACCGAGCGCCTCAATCACATCGCCTAGACAGCTGAGGCTCCTGTTGATGTTTTGCGTCTCCTTCATGCGGTCGCCCTCAGCCTGCGAGTGCTTGAGGCGCTCCGAACCAGCCAGGTCCACCAGGTTCAGCGTGCCCTCACACTGCTCCCCCGTGGCCAAGTTCTTGCCCACGAGCTTGAGAATGAAGATGCTGTGCGATCGGGACGAGCGCTCATTGGCCTTGGTCGCCGCCACCGACCGATTCTTTTGGGCCTCGCTCAGCATCGTCTCGACAACATCGGGGGAATTTAATGTGACTGTTGTGCAGTTGGTGATGCTGGTTTGCTTGCGCGCTTCGTCGTGGCGGATTTCAAGCCTTTTGGGGTTGCGCTCGTTGGCTACGAGCAGGTCATTTAATTCCTCATTGTATACTTCGACAAAACAGCCTTCCATGGTGTACTCCCAGGACTTTTCCTTTAGTTTCGTAATCGTGTCGTAAATCATGTGTGTTGCGCGAGGAATCATGCCGTCGTTGGAAGACATTGTGTGCGTCTTGCCAGAACCAGTCTGGCCATAACAGAATATGCAGACATTATAGCCATCCAACGCGCTCTGGACAAGCTGTGAAATTTCGCCAAAAATTTCTTCATTTTGCGACTGTGGCATGAAGACGCGGTCAAATTCAAAGGGGTAGTGTTTCCGCGAGACCACGCCCAGACTGCTACGCTCCTCGGGGCCTGCAAGGACAATTTCTGCGGACGTCTTCTCGTCTGGAAAAGTCATACCAGCGCGATCCTCCTCAGGGGCGCTCAGAGGCGGACGTACTCGGCACATGACGCGAATATTGCCCTTGAGTTCCTGATATTTGTTGAACAAGACACGTCTCTCAGTCTCTTCTTTGATAAGCTTATTCCTCGCTTCCTCGGCTAGTCGAAGGGCTTCCTGGAGCCTGGCTTCCATGTTGGCAAAGGCGTCCGACTGAGCCTTGCTACCAGACTCGAGGAATTCCACTTGCGATCGAACAGAATTAAGCTTGGCCTCTAGCGTCATGTTGGCGGCAGATAGTTCTGATAAGCTGGATTGAAGGCTGCCATTGAGACCTTTTTGGCGTTCAATCTCGCTGCGAAGGTGCTCGTTTTCGGCGCGCAAGTCTTGCAACTCGCGCTCCTTGCGTTGTATGCTCGAGTTCATATCCTGGGCTTCGTTTCCCATGCGCGATCGCAGTTCTTGTATCTCACAGTCTTTGCGTTGGCGTTCGTCCTCGAGGGATTTTTCGTGTTGCCGCATCATTGATTGGATGCATTCTTGCTGTTGCTTCTTCTCTTGGTCTCTTAGCAGATCTAACTTTCGCTGAAGATCGTCAACAGCAACATGGTGCTGGCGATTCAGATCGTCTATTGTGCGGGAATGGTCGCGATTTAGGTGATCGACCTCTCGTTGGTTCTTCCATTGGGCGTCGTCAATTTGGCGTCGCAAGGAGTGGCCTTGTTCTCTAGCACTGTCGAGCTCAATGCGCAAAGATTCGCTGCGCTCAGCCAGTTTCCGGCGATCGTCCTCGAGTTCGGCCACTGAGATAGTTAGCAGCTGCAAAGGAAGTCAATTACCGCAACCTACCGCGGGTCTTTGCCAATTCGAGAGCATCATCATGTCCCTTCTTCTGCGTAAGTGTCGTATTGACGATATCCTTCAATTGTTCAAACTGAGACTCCATGTCTCCAACGCGATCATCGACGTCCCAGACTGCAAGACCAGTTAATTTTGAAAAGATGCCCAGCCTTGGGGCTCATCATACCATTTGTGACTGTTTGGTCAAGACGCTCCCCGTGGGAGGTTTTAGGCCGTGGCGGAACGCAGCTCTTTGGTCGCGCAGTTGGGGGGCGAATGCTCGTCTTTGCCGATGGTCGTTCTCTTCCCGGGCCGAAGCTCTTCGCAAAGCTGCCCAAAGACGCTTGGCCAGGATTCTGTCGGTGGGAGGCGCTCGTAAGCGCATGGCCCTTGACGACGTTTGCTCTCGTTGCATAGCTGTGAGGGGCCTTGGGCGGGTATTCGGCGGCGCGGTCGGATAGGAGTTTTCGCTTCGGTTCTGGTTGAGCAGCGGGCTGAGGAATCTCGCGCTTCAAGCCTTTCTTGATACCGCTACCGCCAGGAGCGGGAATGCCTGACTGGCTACGGGCATTATGCTGCGACTCGCTCAGCTCAGAGAGGCCAGCCGAGGGGCCAGGAAGCCTGCTGGCCCTAAAAGAAGCTTCCATGATGAATGTAACGATGTAGGCTGTTCTTGTCGGTCGCGTTGTATGCAGTTATCAAGCACTACATAAACAGTTATGCGCCTTTGTAGTGGGCTGTGGCCTGTCGGTATTGCATGTATTGCATGGGGCAGTCCCATTTACGCGCCACGCTTATTTACGTCAGTTTGGCCGGGTTGCCTAGGGCAACGCATCTGGCTACTCCGTACAATAACCGGTCAGCCTGGTTGACTTGGAATTATTAACGTTTTTATTCTCTCCTCTTGATTATTTTATCGTTCCTATCGTTAACTATATCTACCCTCTTTCTCTTCCGAGAAACTACCAAGAAAGACGGGATACTAAAGTCACTGGCACTGTGATCACGGCGCGGATGTGTAGTGGCACTTATAAACAATTGATTCGATAGTTGTGACTGTCTACTATGAATCAATAATCTAGTTACTGGTTGGTTGCTTTTGACAGCATATGATACAGAAACGTTACGTGATCCTGCTCGCTGTTGAGTCCGACCTAAGTCTTCAACAGGTCTCGTGGGTAGTTATTGAGGAGCTACTGCAAACTACCTAGGTATGTACATACTTAATAAGTTAGCTGCCTATGACAGGCCAAACGGAAGTCCGACAAACTACCTAAGATAGGCGGGGCGCAGATTAGTTATCGGGGAGCAAGACGGCTAAACCGGCTCGCAGACGCCTAGACATCTGGGAACCCACTGGGATAATGAATGAGAAGTTCCGGGTTGAAAGACAGAATGCAACAAGTTCAGAAACCCCCGGCTAGTCATGTGAATCTGGCAGTTTCAGCAGTTGCGGGGTTGCAGTAGAGAATCATTACAGACAGGCTCGCAAAGATATCTCCGCCTCAACACGATCGCGGACGGGGCGGGGAAACGGGCCAACTCGGCAGGGTCAGACCACTCAGGTTTCGCCGAATACAATTGTTCCGGCACGATTCCGAGCAAGAGGTTGGCTAGCTTCAAGCTGGTCCGGCGAGGAGCAAAGGGATGGCAAGCCCGCCGCCCACGCGAGCAAGGATGCTGGTTTTTTTTAAAGTTTCAGTCTAGTATCCCTACAAGCATTACGTATTCCGTCTGTAGGGCGAGCTTGGGATCCGAGGATGACACTGACTCGAGCAGCGACCTGTCTCAGTTCCAGCAGCCTTGTCGAGAGGCGCAGGGGGAAGGCAGACAACAGCCCAGTTCGGCGGGCGCATGTCTAACTAACTAGTTATTTTGCATGTGCAGTGGCGGTCCGAAATGGCCGATTGGCTCCTTCGTAGGGGTGCTCTTCTCTCTTCCCGCATAATAATCACAGATTACCTGCCTTAAATGAAGTAGTACAGGTGAATAACGAAATAGCCGCGCTGTTCCTTGCCACTTCTCTTGAAGAATTCCTGTTCGTCTCATGTCGGTGACGCATTCGTTGGAAGAGGGATACAATTGGTTCTGTTTCAGCTCCATCTATATCACTTTTGCCAATATTCATTCTCATACCTGGTCCCCCCGCTGCAGGCAAGGTCGATCCGAGCAGGAGGCCCCGTCTTATTAAACCTGCCTCCCCCCTCCATCGTCGCCCAGCATCCTCTCTCGTATGGACCTCACCCTTACGAACCAGCAACCGCCAATTCGACACTCTCGAGTCTCGAGACCCTCTCTTTTGTCTGCTGTCCTCGAGTCCTCCCACCCATCCTTGTCCGTCGCAGAACTGGACCGGACCAATCCCGTCACGACCCCCGATCCCAGCACGACGGAGCCCAATCACATCGCGACGGGCTCGCTTCGCCAGATGCCGTGCTGCCTCCCCTCACCCCCGTTAGCAGCACTAACGCGCGCTATTGGTAAATCATGACACACGTCAAGGCTGGTCAGCGCCGCCGGGCCAAGGCCCCCAAGGTTCGCACCGGCTGTCGAACATGCAAGTAAGTGCTTTCAGCTCGTCGCCCTATGCTGTCCATCTGCCGTGTCGCTATGGGCTCGGTGTCTTGTCTGTCGGCGTCGGCGTCTGTCACGGCAGCCAAATCTATCATTTCACATGAGAATATTCTGCTAACCAGGCATTTCTAGGGGTGCGCTCGAACGCTTTGCTATGCTGAATCCAAACTAACTCCATCCAGCTCGCCGCGTGAAATGCGATGAAGCTCAGCCCTCTTGCAAAAGATGTTAGAGGAGCCCCTGTCGCATACATCCCAAAGTTGTATCTCTAACGTCACTACAGGCATAACTACCGGCCGCAGGTGTGAAGGCTACGAACCTCAACCAGAGGCAAAGCCCATCCGATTCGTGACGTTGATGCATGTCACGTACCCTCCAAACGAGTTGCGCTCGTTTCAATACTTTCAAGAGAGGACCCTGTCACAGCTCTTCACCTTCATCCAGGAGGATATATGGACCTCGCATATAGTTCAAACGGCAAACATGCATCAAGGAATATGGCATTCCGTGGTTGCATTTTCGTCTTTTCATGAGAACTTTGCGCGGCATGGCTACACTGGCCCAGACAATCACGACCGCTTCGCACTGAAACAGTACAACATGTCCATACAAAGCATATTGGGCTCGGAAAGAAACTCTAGCAACGCGCATGTGCATTTGATCTCGTGCATCCTGTTCATCTGCATCGAGGTAGGTTAGCACTCATCTCGTTCCCAGATTTGGCTGACATCTGTTCTCTCAGGTACTCCGTGGCCGAATATTGACTGTACTGCAACTTCTCGTCACAGGATATGCGATTCTAAAGGAGGAGCGGGCGCGTTCATGTTGTCCCTATACTGAATCTAGCGGACCATCAAGCCGCGATCGGGACCAACTTTTTGCCTCTGCTGATATCTTTCTAAGTCGCATTGCTACGCAAGCATTCCTAGTACGGCCCCAACAACCTTATGCAAACAAATCAGTCTTCTAACTTGAACGCAGTTGGTCAAGGGTATAGATCCCAGCCTCGCCACCGTGGTCGCAGAAATTCTGGACTTTGACCAGTTCGCATGGAAGGCGAGACCAACCTTTCACACACTCAACCAGGTCCAGCATGCGCTAAGCACCCTCAGACTGGAGCTGGAGACATATAACCAAGTTGGCGTGGGAATAGTGCCTGTCAAGTTCCGATGGTGGCGGTCCGCCTATAACGAGTTCAAAAAGGAGCACGCTGAGCAGCTGACGTCACATGAGGGCAAACGAGGCATTGCATTGCTGGACCTTCAGGGACTCTACGTAGGCGTGGAAACCGCCGTCTTGGACGGGCCTCCCGGCGCGGAGGAAGACCCGCTCCGTTGGGATGCGCACACGGATGACTTCCGGGAGATGCTGAACCACGCCGAGGCGGCGACTGACCTTGACCAGGAGGATGGCTCCAACTCGCTCCAAGGCCCTCAATTCCACATGCACATTGGTGTCGTGCCCATTCTGTATGGCATTATCCACAAGTGCCGCGACCCGGCCATCCGCAGGCGCGCGATTGCTCTCATGAGGAGGTCGCAGCGCTTGGAGGGCGTCTGGGACAGCCAGGTGGTGCTCAGCGTCGCCCTGCGGGCCATGGACGTCGAGGAGCAGGGCAGGGCCTTGGCTTCTTCGGCGGAGATTCCGGCCGCCGCTCGCATTCGGCGCATCGCGGTGCTCCCCGTGCGCCAGGGGGAATACAACAATGCGAACCCCAAGTCGTACATGGTCGGCTACCAGATTGACCAGAAGTGGGCGTGGGAGCAGGCGGACAATTTCCTGCCAACTTCGTCATCATCAGAACAGTAACAAGCGGCCAGCTTTTTTGTTATAACAAAATTGAGATGTGCATTGGCTGTTTTGTCGTATCTCTGCCTCGTCGTTTTGTCTGCGCCAAGCTGGGAAACTTGGAGAGCAATTTGGTCTGTCCAGATCTTGATCATCGATTCATAGCTGCTGCTACGCATCACTCGGCACCGAATAAAGCCCCTGCTGTACTTGCATGTGGTTTTTGTCGGATCAAACGTCATCACTGGTCAGCTATCTGTAATCTAGCCAATCCTACGGCCCCTGGGCAACGAATGCAACTGTACCTCAATGTCCGGACCTTGAATTATGATTCAATGTTGCGGCTCACGGCCACAGTATCCATCTCGGAGGGAGCCTTGCGGCGGCCTGTCAATTTCCCTGACCAGTAGCACGAGCAGACGAGACTGATCTCCCCTCGGGCCTCCTGCCAAGTCTCTATCCGCTAGTTCAGTTGGACGGAAGTCGTGGCCCGTGGGAAACAAACCGTGTGGAGGGCATTTGAGCTGTTTCTTATTAGCGTGTTGAGTTGAACAGCTATTCCCTGGATCGAGAAACGCCACATCTGGTTCGAGCAGTCAAACGGGCTTAGATGCAGACTTTTGATCAGCCGTGTATTGCCACGTTTCTCTTGTTCGGTTTCGGGTGGCTTCTTTGGCAAGGCTAATGGATCTGTCCGTGCGTGCCTTATCGACGTGCCCGCAATACTTGCGCCATGATGCTTCCGAAGTAGATCCTGGTAGAGGACTGTGCGCATCAGTCTATTCTTCTCCATTCGGAATGAATCGTCTCGTCACAAGCAATTTCCACGTTTTCTTCCCGCTCGGATGTACCTGAATGAATAGTTTCGTTATTGGATCTAGGACCGACTGGGTTGTCGGCCACGGCCCTATGGGATAGGATTAAAAATGACCAGGGCCCATAGCAATCTCAGGCACGTCCAAGAAGTCCGAAAGATTTGATTTTCTCTCGATTTTCTTACTTGGTTTTCTGAATACCTCTCTGCAGTGGGAAAGGGGTGACCGAGTCGTTGCAATGCGGTCCAACAGCCTCTTCAGCACGCTTTACGTGTTGCTCTTGGCGCTGCTCTTTAGCAATGTCGCTGCTGCTCTTCGTGCTGTCAATACCACGTACGACGATTCCAACGCACGCAATTTTACTGCTGCATCTGGTCAAGAAAGCTACACGGAACAGGCCGGCAAGAGCAAATACCTCCTCGGAGTTGGCAAGGCAGACATCACTGGTCCTGTCGCCGAGGTGGCATTGACTGGCTATGCCAACTTGCAACAGGTTGGTGCTGGCCTACGGCAGAGGCTCTTTGCCCGTGCCTTCATCGTGGGCGATACAGAGGACCCCAGCGCCAGGGTTGTCTATGTTGTCCTAGATGCCCTCGTCGGCGACACCAGCGTGCGCTATGGTGTCCTCGATGCCCTCTCCAAGCTCGGCGACGACTACAAAATGTACGGCCAGCAAAATATTGCCCTCGCCGCTGTCCACAGTCACTCCGCGCCCGGCGGCTGGAACAACTACCTGACGCCTCAGATCCCCGGCCTCGGCTTCAACGACGACAGCTACAATGCGCTTGTTGACGGAACTGTGCAGGCCATCAAGGCCGCTCATCAGAGCCTCTCAGAAGGGACACTGGACGTTGGATATACCGATATCAAGGATGCCGCCATCAACCGCTCTCTGTGGGCCTATCTCAACAACCCGAGGGAAGAACGCGCTCGATACGCCGACTCCACCGACAAAACCATGACACTTGTTCGCTTCACACGCTCCGAGGACGACAAGATCGTGGGTATCCTCAACTGGTTCCCAACTCACGGTACCTCTATGTACCGCAACAACACCCACGTTGCGGGTGACAACAAGGCTCTCGCCTCATGGATGGTCGAACAGGATGCCAAATCCAACAGCCGGTATGCGGACAGCTTCATCGCGGGCTTCAGCCAGGCCAACCTGGGCGATGCCTCGCCAAATGTGGAAGGTGCTTGGTGTGAAGATGGCTCGCAAGCCCAATGTTACCTCGAAGATGGCACTTGCAGCGACGGAACAGTTCAGAAGTGCCAGGGCCGCGGTCCCTACGCTGGTCTCCCTGATTTCGGTGCGAAGAGCTGCCACGAAATTGCCACGCGTCAGTTCAACGGTGTGCAGAGAATCATGAACTCGGACGATTGGACATTGATTCACGGCCCCGTTAAATCTTTTCACTTTTTCCAGAACATGGCCGGGTGGGAGTTTGATCTGCCCAGTGGCGACAAGGCCAGGACGTGCGCTGCGGCCCTGGGCTACTCGTTTGCTGCAGGCACCACCGATGGACGCGGCGAGTTTGATTTTATCCAAGGGAACGCTGGGAAGCCGCATAACCCGTGGTGGGACTTTGTCCAGAACATCGTCAAGAAGCCGTCGCAGGACCAGGTCGACTGCCACAAGCCCAAGCCCATCTTCCTGTCAGCAGGGGAGCTCTCTTGGCCGTATGCATGGGAGCCCAACACTGTGGATATACAAATGTTCCGCCTCGGGCAGCTCTTTGTGATTCTCAGCCCCAGTGAGGTCACCACAATGAGCGGACGCCGCTGGAAGGAGGCCGTCGGCAAGCAGGCGGCCAGAGATATAAAGGACCCCATTGTGGTGCTCGGCAGCCCCGTCAATGTATATGCTCACTATGTGACCACGCCAGAGGAGTACGACATGCAGCGCTACGAAGGCGCGGCCACCCTGTACGGCCGCCATGAGCTGGACGCCTATATCAGCCTCACCACCAGCAACATGCACCATCTCGGGGCCAACGCGACCGGCCAGCCGGCCAGCGATGCCGCGCCGCCGAATAACGTGGGACGATCGCTGCGGCTGCTCCCACCCTCACTGTATGATACGGCCCCGTTTGGCCGTGGCTTCGGCGACGAGGTGGTGCGGCCGAAGCCGGCGTACACGCGGGGCGAGCTGATCAAGGTGACATTCCAGGGCGCCAACCCCCGAAACAACCTGCGTCTTGGGAGCACGTATGCGGCCGTCGAGCAGCAAGGAGCAGACGGCCGGTGGACGCAGGTGCGGGACGATGCGGACTGGTTCCTGGTCTTTACGTGGCGCAAGACGAGCGCGGTCCTCGGCCGGTCCGAGGTAGACATTGAGTGGGATACGGCGGGCAACGCTGCGCCGGGAACGTACCGGCTCCGGTACTATGGCGATGCCAAGAACTTTGGATCAGCTGCAAAGGGGTTTACTGGGACGAGTAGTCAGTTCTCGCTTCGATAGGTGACTAGTGGTGACTGGTGGACTTTTGGCGTTTTTTTGGCATAGATATCCCTTCTTTTGCATAGATGACGGCTTACTTTAATAAAAAAAAATTCCCTCTAATTTTTGCCGTCGAGTCTCGCCTAGTTCTGCTTGATCGTATGTATCTTGTGCGCGTTGTGCATGGCCTGTCTTTGAAAGCCACAACACATGGCGTCTGCACAACCCGCCGCAAGCTGAAAAAAAGCAAAACCGGCCCGGCGCCAAGGCAAAAGTGCAGATGAACAATGACGCGCAGGAAACCCCCAAATACCAGCTGCAAAATGCAAACACACGACACTATTCCACGCGCGAAAACTATGGCAGGTCCTAATCAAACTTGTACAAGATCAGGTTTAGCAGGATGGAGAGTCGCCAAGTTGCCTGCCAGGCGCTAACAAGCTGCCCAAGTTAGTGGTTAATCGAAAAGTTTAGTTAGATAGGAGCGGGGGGGTCCTCGCACAGTCGTACCATTTTGACCTCCCCTCCCTGGTCCTCGACAATCACTGGCCTTTTTTTAGAGATCCAAGAGCTGCAGGACGGATCGAGACGATATATGCTTGTGCAGAAGACCGTGTCGATGCCTACGAGGTGACATAGAAGCAGTAAGCCCAGCGTCGCATCTGCCCATCGATCGGAGCGGGCTCATCACCAAACACTACTCCACATCCACCAAGCAAGAAATGGCACCGCGCCCGCAAGACTGCAATCCGGTGACATGGGTCGAACACGACGGGCGTGCTTCGCCGTCTAGAAGCCTCAACACGGGGAATCTGGCCGAGGAAAACGTCTTCGACGACGATGACGAGGAAGACGGCGGCTTTGATGAAGAGTCAGGACGACCGATGCTGCCCCACGGCGAGCGGAGGAGGTATGTTGGGAGCTCTCCGTGCCCTGGACGAAATGCTCACTTCTTTTCCTCTACTCTAGATCCTCGGTTAGTCACCGTCTTGCGGCCATGGCAGACATTGGCGGCGTCAACAGTTTCCGGTCCTTTGCGCGGAGCTGGCAGCGTGCGGCCGAATTTGCCGAAGTGATTCCCCGACGACCGAGCATCGTTTACAATGACGCCGCCGAAGACGACGCCACAGATGAAGAAGCGATATGTTATGGTCGCAGCCCCATCGAGGCGATTCCCACTGGTCACTCTAGCTTGCTCTCACAGCATCTCGACGGAGCAGCAACGTCCGCGACGACGGCACAGGAGCCCGATGGAAACGCCGGACCTGCGCAAGTCGACTTTCGCATCCGCGAGGGGAAGCTCCTGGATGTTGAGACGGCGGCCGGCGCACTCCTAGGCGACTCGTCCTCGAGCCGATCGAGCATCTTTGCGGTGCCGCACCTCTCGTCGGCGTCCGTTGTGGGGAGCTACGGCTCGTACCGCAGCGGGCAGTACGGCACCATGAGCTCAGGCGTGCTGCGGCCGCGCGCGTCTATCCTCCACGAGCGCCGCCGGTCGAGCGCCGCCGCGGCCGCCGCCGCCGCGAGTGATGATCCGGCGTTTGGCGAGGAGAATCCCATTCTGGTCAAGGAAGTGCGGCAGGGCGACAAGGTGGTGCTCACCGTCGACGGGCAGAGCACACTGCCGCAGTCGACATTCAATGCCATCAACGCCATCATCGGCGTCGGCATGCTAAGCCTACCGCTGGCATTTCGCCTGAGCGGCTGGGTCCTCGGGCTCGGCATCCTGACGGTGACGGCGGCCGTGACGGCACACACGGCGGAGGTGCTGGCGCGGTGCATGCGCCGCGACGCCACCCTCATCACCTACTCGGACCTAGCGTACGTGTCGTTTGGCACGCGCGCGCGCGTCGTCGTTTCGGTACTCTTTACGCTCGAGCTGCTAGCCGCCTGCGTGGCGCTTGTCATTTTGTTTGCCGACTCGCTGCACCTGCTTTTTCCGGACCTCGGCGACGCGACGACGTGGAAGTGCGTCTGCGCTGCGCTGGTCCTGGTGCTGAATATGCTGCCGCTGCGACTGTTGAGCTATACCAGTGTCGTGGGCATCTTTTCTACGTTTTGCAGTATGTGGGATCGCAGTGAAATCGCCCTGGATGGACCATGCTAACGAGATTCCAAGTTGTATGTGTGGTCATTATCGATGGCACCATTAAAAAAGAAACGCCGGGCTCGCTCTGGGAGCCTGCCACTACCCACCTTTGGCCGTCGAATTGGCTGGCCCTGCCTCTGGCGTATGGGTTAATGGCCAGTCCTTGGGGCGCTCACTCTGTGTTCCCTTCGGTACGTGTCAAGCAACTCGGCTTGCATCTACATCACTCACTCACAGAATTCGACTAGATATATCGGGATATGAGGCATCCGCATAAATGGGGCAAAGCTGTCCGGGTCACATTCTCATTTTCTGTACGTCGGGCTGCCTTAACACCTTGACCCCCTGGCTAATCTGCTCATAGTACGTCTTGGATACTTGTCTAGCCGTGGTTGGTATTCTGATGTTTGGAGACGGCATCCGCGAGGCCATCACCTCCAACATCCTCCGCACCAAAGGCTTTCCGCCGGGCCTCACTGCCTTGATGTGCGTCTGCGTCGCCGTCATCCCGCTCACCAAGATTCCGCTCAGCGCGCGGCCGCTCATCACCACGGCCGACGTCATATTTGGCCTCCACTTCGAACAGCAGCAGCAGCAGCAGCATGCCGACGGCGTCGGTGGCGGCAGCGGCGACGTCGGTCGTCGCTGGGTGCGCAATCTCCAGCGTGCCGGTGTGCGCGTCGGTGTCGTTCTCGTGTTGCTCGCCATCTCCATTGTCTTTCCCGCATTTGATTCGGTATGTGCATTTCTCGGCGCGGCCCTTTGCACCCTCATATCCATCATCTTGCCGATTGCATTTTATTTGAAACTGTTTCGGGACGAAATTTCACGTGCCGAGTGCATCATTTCTTGGGTCATTATTGTTGTTTTTTCTATTCTTGGCTTGGTTGGCACGGTTTGCACGATTCTGCCCAAGAGCATGGTAGGCGCCTAGACACATTGACGAGAACACATGATTCCTGTAATACCACTTTCCTAGTCTGGCTTTCAAGATCGGCTGTCCTACCCAAGTGCGTGTATTCCACAACGAGAAAAGCGAGATTTGTACTACGCAGCTTTCGATCAGTGTAATTGTGCCACGGCGGTAGGCTGTGCAACTTGCCGAGTTGGGAAGTCGCACCGCGACCCAGCCAATACCAGATAGACATCAACATATTTCGGTAAACTAAGTATGAGTGGGTAACCTCTGGTATTTCCTATATATGAAGACTATCTAATACACAGAAAGCGGGTCAAAATCCGTCACATTCCATGATGTTCACATGCGAAGCATGCTGTATACAACGTAGCTTCCACAAGTTTACAAAGATGTAGTTGACTTCGACCACGATTGACGGTAGGCAGTGTGCCCCAGGGGCTCTTACCAGCCACCAACCCACTCAATATCTCCAAGATCTGCACGTCGGTCACGACGCCAGTTCAGATCTTTGCCCTTGTTCACGGGCGAGTCCTTGGCCCGCTCCTTAATCCCGCTGCGGACTGGTGAATGATCCCAAACAGCCACTTCATTCGATTTGTGCCCAAAAGCAAGAGAACGGCGGTGCTTCAAAACGGGGGGCTTTTGATCATCCGAGGTAGAACCGCCGCGGCGACGCTCACCAAGAGCGGCCCACTTGTCGAAACTGGTTCGTTTTGGAGGAGGAGAGTAGCGTGCCACGCTTTCAATCGGCTTTGGCAGAATGGCTTCGTGGAAGAAGAAACCATCGACCAAGTCACCATCAACATCACCGTTGATCTGAGCAGTCTCGGGGACTGGCTCAAAATTCTCCTTGTCAGCGTCCTGCACGCTCTCGTGGCTCCATGTACGAGAGTTGAGGGCCTTGAGAGCCCCACGTTGCTGCTCAACCTCTTCCTCCTCATCCTCATCCCACATGTCGCTCCAGCTCTTAGAAACAGGGTCCCGTCGACCAAAGACAGACGACATGGAGAGCGTGAGCGGCTTGGCCATGGCAATGGGTAGAGAACCGGCCGCAGGCGAAATGTTGCGGCGTTTGGGCGGGTGGATTGTGAGTGTCTTCATTGCTGGCATGAGATGCGACTCCAATGTCGATGATATGGACGGCGTCTGGGCGGCGGCCGAACACCAATCGACAGTATTCTCGGACTTGGAGAAGAGGTCTTCGGTGTAGCTCTCATTGTCGGGAATTGCGCTCAACTGGCGACCGGCACGCTGTGGAGTAGCGTGAAGAGCGCGAGTCCAGGGGAAAGCACCAAACTCGAACTGAGCGGTTTGCACAGAGGGTGTGCGAAGGGGCTCCCGGTTGGCAGAGGCAACAGTAGCCTTTTCGGCGCCACAAAAGTCGTCCAGGGACTCGTCTGCGGTAGTGAACGAGACAACACGCAGCAAAGCCTCTTTAGCGCCGACCAAAGAGCGTCTCCGAGGGTCCATGTTCATGCATTGAACGATGACTTCGTAGGTGTCCTGAGACATCGAAGGGAAGACATCGAACAAGCTCTGCTTGTCCCGCGAGTAGTCGAGGAAAAGAGGGTCAGCCTCGGTCGGGGTGGTGAAGGGGTTGCGAGAGAAGAGAATGTTGAGCAGACAGATACCAATGGCCCAAATATCTGCCTCGGCGGGCGAGTAGCCCGCACCAGCAGAGTCGAATTGCTCAGGAGCCATGTAACGGTCGCTTCCGACGGTCATCTCGTATGACCACTTGTCAGTCGTAGCTAGACCGAAGTCACCAAGCTTCATGGCACCATCCTGAGTGAGGAAGATGTTTTCAGGTTTGATGTCTCGGTGATAGATGCCCTTGGAGTGGATGTATTCGACGGCACCCACAAGCTCTAGCATGAAATGACGAACGTGCTCAGTCTGCAGAGGTCCATGGCCGTTGCGGATCGCCTCATAAAGATCGCCCTGGCCACAGAACTCCAAAACGAGATAGATATGAGAATCGGTTTCGAAAGAATGAATGAGATTGACGATGTTGTCGTGAGGACTAATGGCGCTGTGGAGGACCATCTCCTCCGAGCGTTCGTCGACGGCAAACTCTTGGCAGGTGTCAATTTGGCCAGCGTTCTTGGTCAAGCACTTGATCGCAACCGGCTGGTTAGATGCAAGATCTTGGGCCATGAAAACCATGCCGAAAGAGCCGTGGTTGAGAGGTGAGAGGGTTTGGAAGCGCCCTCCATCGAGCAGGACGCCTCCGACAAACTTATCCCGCAAGCATTCCATGCTTGCACGTTTGAGGAATAATGAAAGACAAGAAAAACAATGAAAGAATATTTGGCGAAATAGATGCAATGAGACGCGCGCAAAAATGAAGTGACGATGGTAGTTGTACAAAAAAGTCACGGGTTGTTTGCCGTAGAGTCGCTTGTCGTGAAAAAAAGAGGTGCTGCGCAAACGTAGCTTCGGGCGAGCTTTGGTTCAACAGGATCGAAAATGTGAAGAAGTTGACAAAAAAGGCAAGTGTATTCGATGAGTGAACGAAGCAAGCGGAAGCTCGAATTGCAATGTACAGGTAGCGTAAACGTGTGGTATGGTAAGCGACGGTGCACCCGGCGGGGATTTGGGTGACTATGATGTGGTCGTGGCTGAATCAATGGCTCATTTGAAAGAAGAGGTGACAATAGTAGAACAAATGAAAATGGTGTCGAAGCGTCGGAGCAGCGGCGAGGTAAGAGCCCGATGGCAACTTTCGAAGTTTCGAAAAACCGAAAAGGAAAAAAGAAGAAGAGGCGTTATAATGACATCGAGGTCGTGTGTATATTTTTGGTTGGAAGAAATGAAGGTGGCAGCGTTGCTGTCAATGAGAACAAGGACGGGGTGGGACGGAGCCGCCGGGAAATGGAACAGGTCGAGATATTGAGATGTAGAGGGTGAGGGGAGAACAGAAGCTGGTGAAGGGGAGCAGTGAGCGGCTTTGTCGGTCCAGATGAACTGCAACCTGTCAGAGCTGAGCTCTCCCTGATGTAGACTGTCACCAGGAGGAGGGTGCGGTGCTGGAACGGGCACGTGCCGAAATTTCGTCGCGAGCGTCTTTATGAAAGCAAAACTAGGATTGAATCCCAACGACCAATAGTGATTGGACGGGTATTTAGCTTGTGTGCCTGGATAGGATGACTGTTGTTGTGTTGAGCCGAGACCGGCGGATCGTGACGTGGTCGGGACTAGGCGAGGCGACGAGATTGGGGCGAGATTCGAAATGTTCAAGAGGGCCCGATGCTTGTTGAGGCCGCGAGGCTTCTTTCTCTCGACGATGATTGGCAGTGGTAGTCGAACGGCGGTTGGAAGCCGTTGGCCTGTTGCTTGCAGGTGGGAAACGGGTGTTTAGAGCGGTTGTGTAGTGGCGTTTGGCGTGTGACGCAGCCGGTGGTGGCGGATGACAAGAAGAAGGTGCAAGCTCGAGGGGGAGAAAGAGGGCCTTCACGGCGGAAGTATGGCGAGCCGTGAAAAGAAGAGGGATGGAGGAGGAGAGGGCGGGATAAAGAAGGATGAGGATAGGTTAAGAAAGGAAGGAGGTGAAGGGCGAGAAAGGGAATGGCGGTGATGAGAATGGACTGGATAGAAGCAGGTGGAACGGGGGGGTCGCTAGTCGAAGCACCTGGGACAGTCTCTGGCTGGTCACTCTGGGGTGGTGGGGGAGGTCGATGGCGCTGCTGCGGCGGGGACCAGGCACCCTCCGCGGTGCACAGTGTAGAGTACACAGTAGGAAAACGATCAAGACGAGGAGAGGAGGGTGGTTCACCAACCTACCGTTACTAGCTAACACGGAGGAGGTTAGCGTCCCCTCCCGTACATACCTTCCGGTGTTGCCATTACGTCTGGATAGGTACCTGGCCGTGAGCCTGCCAACCTGCCACGCTGTCCTACAATTACCGTGTACGAGTCCTGTGCTCATCGTACGGAACACAAACATGCCAGATACCACGTCCTCCCAGCAGCTCTTGTTTTCTGGAACGACTGGATGAGGCCGTCTCGCTTTACATGCATCCTGGCGCTAGCCGCCCTCGACCAGGACTAGCTTAAACCATGTCTCTTGCACTGGATTGGCTGCATGTGATCACCGGCGTATTGCGAGCGGCGCGGCCTCACAGTGCAAACGCTACCGTGGGCGTCCATTGTGGTGTGTCTGTTGTTCTTTGTGCCGTCAATAGCGCGGTACTTGCGACTCGCAGGCCGCCCGCGTGAGAAACGCGGTACCCGCTAACTGAAATCAACAGGGCGGTGTCACTAGTAGCACATCATACAACTGCCACGCCACGCTAACGATACTCGGTTGCCCAGTGGAGCGATTGGAAAACGTAGCCCAGCAGCGAAATGACGAGCGGCCAGCGTGACCAGTCCGTGACCCATCTACACTAGTCACACTGTGTACTTTTGCCCTCTCGCCACACACGCCTATGGCTGGCCTCGGCCACGCCGCCTGGTACCATTCAACGCCGTACCTATGCGAGGTCGCAGCGCTGAGACGCTACTTGCAAGCTTAGTCACAAGGGACACTCCAACAGACACTGGTTGCAACAGGCAAGATGTATCGTACGCACAGTGGTGGTGAGCAAGGTGGCTCAAGGCTGACGCCATTCAGGTCAACGCATTGAGCGATTGCGGCCCAGACAGATGATCAAGCGGCACCAGTCGTTGGCACGGCCCAACAAATATTGATTGAAGGGGAGCTGCCACCGTGTTATCTCGTGTTCTGATTGCAGTCAATTGCCCTGGTGTGGTTACTGGTCGAAATGTTGGCCATGTCAAATGTCATACCATTAGTTACATTATTTAATATCTCGTCGACCATGCCAGTTTGCAACTTCATCACTCGCAAAAGAGCGTAGATGTGCTTCCGTTTCAACCTCTATCAGTCCCCAGTGAAGAACGGTCTTTGGTTGGGCTGTTTGGCTGTCTGCTGGCATGCACTCCTATCAGCTGCATGTCCCTATTATTATTCAATGGGGATCCTCTGTCAGGCACAAAGCTTATTGGTGGATAGCGCAACCGGTGCTTGCTGATCTTGCTGTCCCTTTGCCCAAAGCCGGCCAGCAAGCTCGGAACAAAGTAGATGCTTCTGCAGTGCGCCCGTTTCACCAGGCGGGCATAATTCTTGGCTAAACTACGGAGTAATGAGTCGTCAGCCACTTGCAAAAGGACCAAGATTTTGATAGTTAAAATGAGATTCCCTTCCCGACATCTAAACTCTGCTGTCTCTCGTGGACGAACTCCGTAACTGATCGAGCAGCAAGCAGCTTTTGCATCGCCATATGAAGATTATGCTTCTGTGCTCCCGTTCTCCTCCAGCAACTTGTACGGATGCCAAGCAGCAACCAAGGCACGGCTTAATACAGTGCAGAGAGCACAACAACTGTGGAGGCCAGACTGTCCCAAGACGGCGCCAGTGGATGAACATACGTAATCAGAACGATTCCAAAGTTACCATTGTGCTGACGCGAGCTTGTGAAGCCACTATTAGCTACAAATTACATCTCAGTCGCAATCGCTTACTTCCATGGATCTTGCCGCCATGCTGCATACTGGCATGTGGGCGGCTGCCCCCATAGTTACAAGCTCATTTATTTAATTAACTAGCATTTTTCAATCACTGCGTTTCAACTTCTGACCAGCCTTTCTAGTCTCTTTCTGGCTTCAGCATAAGAAAATTCGTCGGTGACTGGAATGCTCCCCAATGCTTCGCTTCCAGCCTCATAGCCCCCAATCGATACTACGTATAGCCATTGGACGGACAAATACGTTGTCGAGCTCGGAGAATTTGATTGTAGACCCAGCTGTGCGCATGAAAGCGACCCGGCTACGTATCCGTTTTGTTGTTTATTGTGAAGCGTTTCGAGCTTCGCAAGTGGCATCCGCACTGTGCATGCTTTGACCCCTGTTGTGTGTATGCCATAAATGTGACAAGCGATAGAATCCACAAGTGAGACCTGCATCGCCAGCATCAAATCGGGCAGCCATGCGCTCGGCTTCTTCACCGCCGTTCAGGGAAATACCAGCAGATTTGTGTGCCCCCCCCCCCCCCTTCAGGAAATAATGAATATGCATGCGAAGCCTGCATCCAGTGGGAGGCTGACAGCCTCTCGAAGTGCTGGCGCTTTGGAGTCCACTGCAACCGCTCACCAAGGTGGAGTAGACGAGCCAGAAACGGAGAAGAAAACTCCATCATCCAACTCCGTCCTGGTATCCGCAGTTTCACGACGCGCTCGCTGACCGCCTCGACATACTAGCCCCTTGGTATTGCACTACTGCACGCATCTGCAGCCAGCTTCCATCCATAGCCCTAATAGGTTATCTGGTCATTCGAAGATCCACGAACTTGCAAGGGAGCAAGTACAGACCAGCCGCTTGTCGACTGGATCCAACATCAACGGACACGGGACTGCAAGGAACGACGATTTCGGCGGAACCACCTCGGGACCTAGGCCAATTGCTGTTTATGCAAATCAAAAAAAATCGATCATCTACTAACTAATTGTTTTCTTCACCGTTCTGTCACGGCATCCCAGCTATTGAAAACGACAAACACACTACACCGCTCTGTTACAGCTTGTGGTGAGCAATACTAGCATCACCGCTATATCATGCTTGCCAACGTCGATGTGGTGCTTCTTGATATCGGTATGGATACCTTCATGTTTTGCATGGCTCATTCGGCCTACCTGTGGTAGTATGATATACCCAGGTCATATCGTCCCCTGCCGCCCTGAATCATTTGTTGTTTTATTATGCTGCAGCCACTGCATCTTGTCTAGAACTCACAGGGTACTCCAGCTAAAATCTTCTCAGAGGGCACCGTTTGTCCCATATCTTTTGTCAGAGATGTCTTAGTGAGTTTGCTTCCCCGCCCCTTCGCCTCAGGGCAAATGCCGAGGTGGCTGACGCAAATATGTCCCGAGTCAAAGGAACGCAGGGCTAATAACTATTGTGGTGCTTACTAGTTCCCGTATGCCCTGCAGGCACTTTCGAAAGTCTTAGATGAGCAGTGGGATAGCTCAGCCTTTGCGCCATATCGTGAGGCTTTCCCGGAAGAGTATCGCAACGATCGTGTTGCTCTGGAGGCCCATGTCAGAGATCTAGTTGAGCGCGATGTGAAAGCTCCGTATCTCAAGTCTCTTCAGGGTCACTTATGGCGACACGGCTATGAGACTGGTGTCCTCCAGGCGCCTCTTTTTGATGATGTTCCTTCTTTCATCAAACTTGCACACTCTCTTGGCAAGCAAATCATGATCTACTCTTCCGGTTCTGTGCCTGCGCAGAAGCTCTTCTTCGGCCATACGACAGCTGATCCACCCAACATGATTCCATTGATCACGGCATGGTTCGATACCGTGAATGCAGGGCCAAAAACCGAAGCTGCGAGCTACACCAGGATTCTCTCAACGGTCCCAGCGACGAAGCCTAGTCGCTGGCTCTTCTTGAGTGACAACATCAAGGAGGTTGATGCTGCGCGGGCCGCTGGTTTGCAGAGCTACCCGGTTGTGCGCCCGGGAAATGCGCCTCTGCCTGTGGACCACCCACTGACCAGTTCGGCTTTGTCTTCCTTTGTTTCAACTTAGTTTGTAATTCCCCGGTATCATCGCTACACTGCGCTGTTCGACAGAGATCGGCAGCAAGCGATAAGGCAACTCGCATGCTGTCATAATCATTCGGAAGTATCTGGGCCGCAGAGAACATCTGGCCGATACAATGAACCGATGGGGTATGCAATGAATTAATGGGGTATATGGGCTAAATAAAAATCAATGTTGCAACGTTATGACAAAGTTGTTCCTGGTTCGGCCAGGGTTGATTTCTTTCTTTGGGACGTTGGTGATATTCACTCCGCCAACCTTCCTCCACAGGTTGTACGCAAGCTTCAGCGTCGTCTTCTTCCGCATCATCGAGTATCCCAACATCCCCATGATATATTCAAATCTTGCTTCTGTAAAATAGCGAGAGTTGTCCAGACAATTTCGTGGTAGAACTGTGAATAGGCAAGGGAACAAACTCTCGTCAGCCGCGCCAGAGTCATCCGGGGGGTTACTACGGAGGAACTCGAGGGTGCGCTTGAGCATCTCACCCCGTAGGGCGGCATCTGGCACAAAGTTCAAGACCAGACTCAAAGATAGGACATCAAAGCGGCCCGTATCGTCCATTGGCACTGGTCTGTCCATGAAATCTTGCTGCAAAATGCCGGGCTCTTGGCTGTTGAGGTCGATGTGCACTGGGTCAAACAAGCCGCTCAGGGAGCAAGCATTTCTGGTACTCAGGGAACCAACTTCCAGCAACCGCAGCTTGCGGCCCGATCCTTTCAAGTCAGCCACGGGAAGCCATTCAAGTAGCAGTCTAGACGTGTCCCCCCCTCGCTCCGTACTTTGGCCTTGTAGACTAGCCTGCTGGTACAATGATATTCCGCCGAGGGTCTCCATTTCCGCAGTAATAGAATCCTCCGTAGCCTTATCACCCTTGGAAGCTGCCTGTCGTCTTTGTTTGTCAAGTTGGTGATGCTTGTTGATGAGCGTCCGGCTGGCCTTTCGGGACATGGTACCGGATGGCCGCGTGAGAGGCGGGCGACCTGCCTTGAGGCTCTTGGGAGCCTTCTTCTTAGCTACCATCGCAATCCAGACTTTGCAGTTACGCCTACAAGCCCGAATGAAACCTGATTACTACCCAGAAGCGCGCATTAGCTCATTTTTAACAGTCCGCCGATTGTACGAACTAGCAAATACCTTTCTCGAGGTAAGATCAAGTGTCACTGGTGGCAATTTCAAAAGTAGCTGCTAATTGATAGCTACTAAAGTCCAAAAAATATGTCGCATTTATCGTCTAACGATCGGGAATTGGATGTAATTTTTTTTGGAAATGGGCGTGTAAGTCTGAGCTTTTGGCCTCTATGTACCTACCTCCTCCTTCGCGTTGCCACTGTGAGAAGAGTGGGTACATCAAGCGCAGTGTGTTTACTGCCATGGGCAATGTACCGAAATTTCCTCACGTGATATATCTCCGAGGCCTGCTCTGGCCAATAGCAGTGCGCGATAGCCATCGCGCACACTCCAACCCTAAGAAAATTCGCCCACATCCAGCAAAAATTATTCCTAGTCCTCTGTTCTCCCCAACCCACGACATTCAACTAACCACAACAGCAAATCACGCTGCAAACCAATACAATGGCTGTCGGCAACAAGAAAGGTACGGGATGAAATTACCTGCAAAGGATACTGCGATACACTGCGAATCGATTGGGAGAAGAAGAGTTCCCAGGACTGCGAACCGATACTATATCGAAACGAGGAGGAGAGCTATTGACAATGGCCAACCGCACGACTTAGGTTGGCGAGGAACCAGGCTACCACTGCGCGTGGCCTTGTCATGTCGTCTCCCTCCTCCGCATCATTGCAGTAGCAGACTTTGCGAGTTCTGAAACAGAGCGATTGCTGATGCGGATTTCTGAAATGTAGCTGCCCCCAAGGGCTCCAAGCAGGCCAACGCCGCCGCCAAGGCTGCGCTCAAGGGAACTCACTCCCAGAAGCAGCGCAAGGTCCGCCTGAGCACCACCTTCCACCAGCCCAAGACTCTGTCTCTGGCCCGCAACCCCAAATTTCCCCGCAAGTCGATCCCTCACTTGCCTCGCCTCGACGAGCACAAGATCGTCATCCACCCTCTCAACACCGAGAGCGCCATGAAGAAGATGGAGGAGAACAACACCCTCGTCTTCATCGTCGACATCAAGGCCAACAAGGCCCAGATTAAGGGCGCCCTCAAGAAGCTCTACGACATTGACACCGTCAAGATCAACACTCTGATCCGGTAGGTTTCCGGATGCGACAGGGACACCTCATGGCTGTTGTGGTAAAACTAACATATTTTAACAGCCCTGACGGAACCAAGAAGGCATACGCCCGTCTTACTCCTGATGTCGACGCCCTCGACATTGCTGCCAACAAGCTGTCGCTTGTCTAAGCGTGCCATTACCGCAGTGGTGGAAACCGTTTTCTTTTACGAACTTGGTCTGGTCTTGAATGCATGCATGGGGCATCCGGAAAATAGGCGCATAAAGAGCTTTTGTCTATAGCTACGGTTCAAATGATATCCAAAACAAGCCAGTTCCTGTCTTGTAGTCCCGGCGTTTCTCTACGGTGTATGTTGACTAGGAATGTATTTACTTTGATTAAATAACTGTACATTTCGCATCCTGTGCGCTGTTGTACACTTCTCGCCAAAGACTGATGTTCGTCATATCACAATCTACAAGTCTAATCTACAAAGTATGGAAATGTTGGGTGCTGCGCCAGAGCCATCCCCCGAGAATGCAGCAACTGTTCCCTGGCACTTCTTTTATGTGCGGTCTCGACCATTGGCTTAGGAGCGCATATTGTTGAGATGTTTGATCGTGAGTTGGTTGAGGTCTAAGAATCGGTCGACGCAGTTGGCGAGGCATGTCTCTTCTGTCCTGTCAAGCTTCGAATCCTTGATGCTGCTAGTAACGCACTTCTTCCAGCATGTCTGAGTGAGTTTGTGTGTCTCTAGAATTGAAATTGGTTGTTAGTATTATTTCCTGGCTCAGCCGGTAGCGTTGGTCGCAGCCGAGAACGCAATTACCTGTCTGAATTGAAGAGCGTTGTTGCTCGTTGGCCAGAAATTTCTGGAGTTCTGCCTTGTCGCCATCGTTGAGGCGCGAAAGGGAGGAGGACTCAAAGTTTTCCATTGCGATCGCGATGCTCTGTATAACGTCTAGGTATGAACAGAAGCCTGTCTCGTGAAGAATATCGGTTGGATCGAAATAATTTGACACAGATCCTGGTTGCTGAAGTTTTTCGGTGCCAGCCCAGAGTACCTAGCTGGGACAGCGAATGAGCTGTCGCCCGCAGACCCACACCGAGGTGGCCTAGAGGTAAGTAACCCTGGCTGTGTGGTCGGAATGCTCAGATGTCAATAAAGGTACCAATACGAGGTGGAAAAGAAATGATGTAGTCTCTATTGGTCTATAATTACTTGTATCCGAATGCATCGTGTAACAAAACAAGGCGTAAAAAAAGAGAAACGCAATACTCCTGTGCTACGTGGAAAAAGACAGTAAAAGCAGAACATGACAATCAAGCGACTAGATGTATCGCTTCCAACGAGCCCACCCCAGAATGAGCGAGCAAAGTACAATCATAAAGCTCAAAATACCGAAGAAAGGACCAAGAGAATCGACCTTGTCGTTCTGAAAAGGGATCCTCACGTTCATACCAAACATACCGCTCACCAAGTTTAGTGGCACCAGGACAGAGGCAAGGAAGGTGATCTTGCTGAGGACACGGTTGGTGTCGGTACCCTGTGAGATATTGTTGATGGATAAGGTGGCGAGATAATTGCTGTGCGCGCGTGAGAGAAGCTTTTCGCAGTGACCCAAATTGTTTGCCATGGTCACAACGTGATCTTGAATGTCACCGAGATACATTCCAATGTCCATGTGAGGCGTGACCTGGTAGTTCTCGTTGCATCGTTTAGTAAAGCCGCGAAGAACATCTGCCTTGCCGCCAAGAAGGCGCAGCAAAGCCATGCAGTTTTTGCGCACGCGTCCGATTGAGCGAAGGAATGTACTCGAATCGTCGTGTCGCATGATAAAGACCTCATCCTCGATAGCGTCTGCTTCGGTCTCGATCTGGTTGATGACGGGAGCAAAGCAGTCGACAATGTCATCACTATTGGAACAGCGTCAGTATCGTCACATCGTCGCACAACTATATAGTAGGGCTTACATCAATGCGTAGCAGATCCAGTCGCTGCTGAGGGCTACGTAGTCTTTGAGCGCAGTGATTCTCCGTCGCACGTGCGATGCATGTGAGTTGGGCGCAAAACTGAAGCTCAGAGTGCCCTCTCGAAAGACCAGAGTGTAAATGTTGAAGGGCTCATACTCGATACCATCTTGTTCCTCGACCATGTTGAAGGATCGGAAACAAGCGAAATAGTAAGAGGGGAACAACTCAATCTTCTCTCGGGCTTCTTGGGTGACAATGTCTTCGACGGTAAGAGGATGAACACCAAAAGCCTTGCAAATGCTCAGAACTTCTTCCTTCGTTGCACGGTTGATGTTAAGCCACCAAACGCCATCGCTTTCGTCTTTCGGAAGCTCGAATAGACCACGCATATCTTCACCGGGAAGGACAAGATCACCGAATTCAGCGGCATGGATAGTCGATTCCCACGCCGAGGAGAAGAAGCTGAAACGGTTGTTATCAAAAGCATACTGCGGACCCCTCGGTGGAGAAGCAGACTCTTTGGCAGGCTGCTCCGGCGCTGACGAAGATCCATCAGATGGCATGTCAATAATGTCACCATCAGATGTGGCAAGTTGGACTTTTTGCGGTGCACCAGCCTCCGTGCGAAGATCATTAAAGACAGATGCGACCGACGCCTTGCGGTTGGCCTCGTGGGCGAGTCGCTCTGATTCAATGAACTCTTCGAGATAGTCAAAGTCAATTCGAAGCTGGTGCTGCCTGTGGTGGCCATTTTCTGGGACGCACGCATTTTCTTCGGCAGTGTTGGTTCCGAGGCTCACAGCGTCAGCTTCAACGGGTCGAGATCTGCTACGATGGCTTCGGCGACTAGATATGGAAAGAGCTCGCCCAATCCCAAGCATTTCTTCGTAATCTCCTTTTTGGTCTGAGAAGGACATTTCCCGTTCCCTGCGTCTAGCCTGAGCGAATGCTTTGACAGAGTTTGGCGGGGAGAGAGAGCGGCTTTCGCTAGAGTCGGCGGTTAGACGTCGTCCATGGCGGTTCCCTGCCATGAGGTCGGCGCCGTCTTCGTCGATAACGGCCTCTTCAAAGTCACGAACAACTATGGCCGGCGTGTCCGGCTCCTGTTCAGCCTGCCGAGATCCATAGAGGCTGTCGAATGTGCCTCTACGCGGTCGCTCTACTCTCTGAGTGGAGATTGACGGAAGGCGGTGGTCATCCAATTCAGGTACCGGCGCTTGGAATCCCGTATCGGGAGCCGTGCTCTCGTTGTCGGACATTTTGAGGTACGGTCGTTGGACTTTAGCTCTCGAGAGTCTGAACAACTGAGTTCTGCGATATCAATGGTTCCACTGCTTCTAGATCGGCTCAGTCGAGGAGGGACATGCTTCGGCAAGCACAATGACGTGGAAGTAGTGTCGTGAAGACAATTGGTAGCGCCCGGCGCGGGTTACCGCGCCGAGTATGGGCGGCGTTCAAAACTCGAGAATCGTCGCGAGCAACGAATTCGCGTTCGTTATGCAGGATCTTGAAGGGTCGATAGCCGCGCACGGTAAGGCGTCCAGTTGGTGTCAGTTGGCTCAGTTATGGCGGTCGCTTGTTGACGCCGCTATAGATCCAGCAGCCTGGGCCGAGGAGGATTGATGACGAGGATAAAGTGAGTTGAGCCAACTTGATGACTTTGAAGAATAGGAAGGATATTATGGTGTATCGAATTGGCAGTAAAGCAGGGGTTGGCTGAGCTACTGCAAGTCACCGCATTTGATGTTGGTAACGGCAAAAACTTTTCTTGTTCTGAGAAACAAATGAGTGGAGTGGCGGTTGAGAGTCGGCGGTGCGGATGGATAGAAAACTAGGTATTCAAGACCAATTGCTGCAACGGTAATCGAAATCTCTACTTGAAAGAAACTGCGATAATGCTCAGTGGGATTGTTGGTGGTATGAGGCAAGGACAGATGTGGGAGCGAAGCGGACGAAAATAATAAATCGTTCAAAGTCGGCACATGAAAAATGCCGTCAGCCGGCCGCCACGCCGCCACCCCTCACCGAGCATTTTCACCTGGCCTGTGCACCCCCGACTCGCGCTAACGGTCATGTAGCAAGTAGCCCGCCAACCATCTGTCCTCTAGCCAGCTCCAACAGTATGTGTTGATGCCAACATTGCTGTACCCGACGACGATTCCACCTTCGACAAATCCCGGCGCCAATTGTGCACGTATACAACAAAAATGGCTGACCAAATACTTGACCGAGTCCGCGACGTGGTCGACGGACAGATTGTGCGCCGCCGACCCCTTTGCAGACGCCCAACGCTGCATCTTGTCAATATATCGGCTGCTAACCTGGCATGCAGGATTTCGATGGCCAGAGACGAGTAGAACTTTTGGCTACATTGCTCTTGTCCGCATCTGCAGTAAGAAATATCAGCACGAAGCCTGCTTTCTGTTTGACTAATGCTGTCACATCCAGTTAATCGCATTCAACGTTGGATATACCCTTCAAGATATTCAAAAGGCGGTTTACATTGCGCTCGCCGGCACGGCTCTCACATTTCTTGTCACCATACCTCCCTGGCCCTTGTACAAAAACAATCCCGTCAAATGGTTACCGGCGGGTGCTGGGATGAAAAGTGCATATAGTCAAATGACATTGTAATGCAAACTACGAATACGACTAGGGGTTACCTAGGTAAACAGTGACCATTCCATACCTACTAGCAATCGACACCTCATTCCTCATTTTAGTCCATATTTTCGTTGTCAATATATCCGCTTGACTAGATGCTGGCATGGTTTTCCCATGATGCAGCGACAACACCTATCGACCATATTTTTGGAATTCCCAATCTCTATTGTCAAGGGGGCATACTGATCTGGCCTTTAGCCATCGTGAGATACAGTGGAAATGGAAAGCATGCTGTATATTGCGGTGTTAGCTCTGCCTTTGTACAAATCGTATACAAGCTTACGTTGCAAATACCCCAGGCCACTGTGCACTCCTCGCTCGTAGCGGATGCTTGGTTCGCCTGGCATTCGATACCTGGGGAATAGCTCTGTCAGTGCCAAAAACCACATTATAAGTCGAAACTGATGGTAAACATACATAAATCCATGATGTGGTTGCGGCAAATCGCACAGTTATCAACCACAATATCCCAGGCCCATAATGCCACGGCATTCCACTGTGTTCGTCAGTATCGCGACACAAGTATTCGAGACCGTCCAAAATCGAACCTTCTTGACTTCAAACTTCTTCTTCTCGACACTCTTGCCGTTGGCTGCGTTGGCACCTTTGGGTGCGTCGCTCATTTCAACGTCCGCCATGCCCGTTTGTTGTGCGCTCGTGATGTTTGACGGATCGTTCTTCGCAGGATAAATGCAAAGCAAATCAGGCTGCAGTAAGGAGTTAGAAGAAAAGCTTTGGCGACATCGCAGCCAAGACAGCGGCAAGTTTTCTGGGGTCCGCTGGTCCGATGATGCTACCGAACGGAATGGAAACCAAGCCGCGAGGCAGCCGCACCTTGATGGAGAAGAAACGGTAGCCCTGAGCAATGACGCCGTATTTGCGGAGACTTTTGAGTACGTACTATGATCAATAAGTGTTTCCCGCGAGTACCAGCTCGATACCTTTATGGCAGTGTGGGAAAATCTATTTTGTCGAGGCACGAGAGACGAAACGGTGTTGCTCCAATAGTAACTTGGGACGCGCTTGGCCCGGGCACATAGGTTGGAAGCTCTGCCCAGTAACCAATAACGCATGCGTGAGCTCCTAGGTGGGCTGCGGGGTTCGTGCGGGTCATAAAGTACCTGGTACTAGTACCTACCATCGGGTGCATGCAGAAAGTAGGTATCTGACACTTTGTATCGATAGGTGACTGATATGTACGTACCGGGGCAACCCGCCACCCTGATCTGCGTCAAATCGCCAGCAGCTGATGGAGGCTGTTTGTCCTGCAAGACTGCCAACCTCTTTACCTACTCACCAACTTTCCGCCATGACATGCACCTGCTCTTTCTTAGGAAATCACCCTTCGCCTTTGAGTTTTTATTCAGTCAGAAACGGCTACCTTTGCCGTTCAAAAATCGAACACGTACCGACGACACCAGATCTTGTCGCATTCGCCAGGCCTCAGTCAAGCGCCCTGGCGTTTTCATTGAAGACATCATAGTTTGCCATGAGCGACGCAGCCCCCCAACCGAAAACAACTCCTGGACGCCACCGGCAGCGGCGCAACGGTAGAACAGCGGCTCAAAAAGCCTATGCCTCGGAAAACGATGTCAGTTCCTTCGGATCTAGCCAGTACCAGGGAACACCACACACTCCCAACAAACCTTACACCGGGTCGCCAGCGCCGGGAAGCCAGTCATCAGCACTGGCAAATTCGAAGCAACGAAACAAGAATAGAGGTGGGAAAGGAAAGGAAGGGCAAGTGTCGCCAGATGCGCAGCCAGAAAGAGGCACGCCAACCGGGCGAAGGGCCTCCATGAAGTCCAACATTCCTGCGGCTGCTTTCGCTGGAGCTACTTTCCATGCTTCCCCAGCACCATCAGCCCTTCCCATCCCGAGCTTTCTCTCCAAGTCGTCCAGCGAATCTCCGGCTAGGAATTCTCATCAGCTAAGCAATCCTCGAAACTCGCCGCCAACAGACAACGAAGCAGCTGTACCGTACTCGGCCTCTGCTCCGAAAAACAGCGAGTCACCTTTGGATTTTATGTTTCGCGCCCATAGGCAGGAACAAGAGAGGCGTTTCGGCTCCCCACAACACAATGGCCAAGGCTCCCCATCTATATTTGGTGGCGTCGCGCAAGGATCGCCTCAGGTCAACGTGCCCCAGACTGCACCAGCAAGCATTCGATATCAGACAGGCGGCATTGCTCGAGCCGAGCTAGATGGCACTCGGAGCCACGAAATCGGGCCCGCGTTCTCAACTCCCTATCACGAACGTATTCGGGCTGCACGTGCTTCCCGGGGCGATGCTCCTCCAATGTCCTCTCAAGGCCCTGCCGCTGCGAACAGCTCATCCACTGACGATGCCACCGCTGCGCTAAAGAAGTTTCTGTTTGGTGGCGGCCAGCATGCGACTAAATCTCCTCTTTCTTCGGCATCATCTGTCCAGCCTTCTACCCAAGCTTACAATCAGCCTGCCGGGCAGGCTCCTGGGCAGGCTAACAGTACAAGCCATGACCGAGGAAGTAATCTTCAAGCAATGGAGAACGACCTACGCCGTATCTTGAAGCTTGACTCTTCTTCCTAGATATTTGCTCGCGCGATGTACATGACGTACTAGCACTTGTCCGCTTTCGGCGCTTCTTTCCTGACTAATCGTGTCCTGGGCTCTTCTTGCGAGTCTCGCCTTTATTGTGGTTGCCCATCATTCATTTGGCTTTGCTTTGTAATACAACCCGCATTGTTTGCTTACCTACTCATTGGTTAATGGAAATCTAGCATGTTTCTGTGGTTTTTATTTGTTGTTGTCATCTGCTTTCAAACTGCCGTGGGCCAGGGTCGGAGTGCTTGTATTCATTTTACATGAGAAGGATGCGTTGCTTTTGCTGTTTTTTGGTCTGCCATGTTCCTGTGTGTTTTCTTCTTTGGCGGGGTCCTTGATGTCCTGTTGGTGGATTTGTTTACTTGAACATTGCCACGGACAACTTCTGGTTTGGAGTTTAGATCTGCCGTATGTGGTATACGAGGACGTACGATGAACGGGCATGCATCACAAGCCACCAGCGTGATAGTAATGATAAATATATAAGCGATGTCCCTGAAGATTCTTCAACCTGTGTTGATATACATTTTTAGCTAATTGAAATATGGCGCCCAAGGTGGTTCGTTACTGCGAAGAGTGGTTCGACTTGCTTCTTTTCTTTTCCTGCCGAGAGAAGACCAGCCCGTGTGAGACAAGCAAGTACTTCGAAAAAAAGTCTGTCGCAAAATTGTCGAATTGGTCATAATCAGCGCCCATGCGATACGCCGCGGCAACTCCACTCACGCAGGCTACTTCGTGCATGTTCTTCAGATCCGAGGTTAGACGTCGAGGCTTACTGTATGTAGGGATGCAGGGAGGATACTTACGACCAGCGTCCATGATCCAGCAAAGCAGGTACTATTTCTGCCTTGAATGAACATCATATTTGGGACGACTCGCAGGTAATGAATCCATCGATGCCCAAGCTGATGCCACCAATTCTTCTTGATGATTTGACTCTCATCTATCTTGTCAATAGTCCAGAGGTCTCTGCGTTCTTTGTTCAGGAAAATTGTTTGGTACACAGACTTTGGTGTGTTTTCATTGCTGGCGTCGTTTTGACGAAATTGGTGCTGGTAGTTGGTGCAATTGAATGACATTTCAATCAGTTTCGGGTTGCTGTTGTAGGTGTAAGTATAGTACATGGGTCGAAATCCGGCATCTGAATTCGAGTCGCTCGGGTTCGAGAACGCAATTTGTTTTCGTTGTGCTTCAGTTGTCGGCTCGGCGCAAAGATCTGACTTGAAGCGTGTTTCGTAATGTTCGTCAAAATACGTGCTGTCTGTGTGTGTGACGGTAATATCGTCATAGAAAGATGCACCGCCTAATACGAACCTCTCTCGCCAAGTTGCTGTCTTGCCGAGGATCCGAAGTGTCTCATCCGCAAGCGAGCAGAATACTATTTTGTCAAAGCTCTCCTCTCTGCTCTCTTTTGAGTGTATGTTTTCTAATTTCAAAACGACATTGTTCTTCGACCGAGACAAAGTTTCCTGCACTTCAGTCTCTAGGGCAAAAGAAACGCCTTTGTTGGTCAGATCCTCTCGCCACGCCGAGTAGAAATCGTTCAGTTTGTCAAACGTATACATGGTAGGCAAGTTTGGTAAAAGGGTCTCCGGATCGTAGTCCCATAGCTTCATGTTGGGGTCGTTGAATAGTCGTTCCACAATACCTGAGGGTACGGAAGCAGTTTGGTTTCCGGTGCCCAGAAATAATGCAATGAGAGGATATACCATCTTATCGCCAAAGTCCTTGCTAAACAGGAAGACTCTGAGCAGGATGGATATAGGGACGATTCCAAGTATAGGTAGACTCCATTGGATAACTTTCAGGAAAGTGCCGAATCGTTTGATATCAGAACCAAATTCCTTAACCAGCGGGCTTGGAAAGCAATTTGTCCAGAAGCGATCTTTTCCTTTCCCGAAGGAAACCTGAAGGCGGACTTCCTGTGGTGGGTGACCATATTGCCGGAAGAAATTGAAGGTGTGTTTAAATATCTATAACCCGGTAAGCAATAAGAATGATAGTGGTGAAAATGCTAGACCTACAGCTGAGCCGCCCTGGACGCCATTGTTCATCCATGACGCGCCATGCTGTTCGGCATCGAGGTTGATTGAAGTTGCTTGGCCACCAACCACTGCTTCCTTCTCGATTAACGTGATTTTGAATCTGTCTGGATGCTTTGCCAGTGTCGCTGCACAGGCCTAGCGTGTATCTTGGTCAGCCTTCGTGTTCGCAAGGGCAATATGTCTACCAAAACACACCATTCCTGCGGCGCCTCCGCCAACAATGGCAACGTGCTGCCGCTTCCCAGTATATTCAGACTATTTTTTTTTTTTCTTGTAGCTGGTGGTCGGCGTCCTGTGAGTAGCAGCGGAGGAGGCAGGACCTTTATGTCGCTGCGCCGATGGCTAGGGAAACTAAGTTGGTCTTAGATCGCTCATCGACACGTCATGGAAGTAGTTGACGCGCCCAATACTATTCGGGTCAAGTTCAACTGGGGAAAACGCAATACTAGTATATTTATCCGTACTATGATGGGGCCTGGAAAAGAAACGCTAATTCATCACGATGGTGATGTCGACGATGAGCAAAACCAACGAGGGAGCATCACGGCAGCAAGGCCATGCGGATTAATTTAGCAGGTATAAGCCATGAGGTGAGCACGATCTGGAAAGTATTTTGGATCTCGCCGGTTCAGTATTTGGACAGTACGGGGCAGGAATCTGTTCGGGTTTCCCTTGCGGACATATCGATGTGGTTGTCGATACACGATACGATGGCGACCATCACCAACTTCTAGAGTAGGGGCCGGCGGCCAGTTCGACCACCCCCCGTAAAGAAACCATTCAAATAGGTCTCATATATTACATGACAGGGCCGATGAGTGCCCCTGCGACTCGCATGATTTGTCGCTAAAATTAACAGTTTGATTTGGTCCGTCGACAAAAGTTGGGGTGCCGTGATACCCGGGAGCAGAATCCACGCTGAACACTTGGCCGCCCGAACCAAAGCGACATCAATAAGCATATATCTCAGCCTTGCGATATCGACACTCGGATCAATTCCAACCCTGTACCTACCCCTACTCGCTGATTGACATTCAAGAATCGGTGAAAACCCTCAGTGCAGGAGCTCACATAGCCCACTCAATCACGTGGAGACGCGTCGTCGCGCTTCACCGTCACTGAGCGTTTGCTGCTGGTACCAATCCTCGTTCTTGCGTGTTTGGGACAATATCTACGCCGTCTAGACTGTCGGTGTCATTGAAAATGGCCGAAAGAGAAGTCATCATACTCGATAGCGATTCCGACGAAGATGACGACCTGCGCCGCGCTATTCAGCTGTCACTCCAAGACCAGAGCACGATGAACGACTCGGCTGCTGGTACATGCCATGAAACCCGAAACCCCGAGCCCGATAACAATTCCAAGTTTGGTGGTATTCTTCTGAATCGAAAAGAAATGGAGGAGGCACGGCTGAGTCGAGTTGGAAAGCGGCGCCGAAACTCCAACGAAAGCAGCACAGGGGAGCCTGCGATGAAGCGACCGACGCCACAGCCGTTGGAACGGGCAGCGAGCTCGCGATACCCTCAGGGAATTGTACGGCGCACCTGGACCAAAGGGTATCCTAAATCGTCCGATGACATTACCATTGAGGAGATTTTCCAAAAGGAAACCCTCCAGCTTGCCCTGCTGTCTTCTTTCCAATGGGACGAGGAATGGCTACTGTCCAAGCTCAATATCAGCAAAACCCGTATCCTGCTCCTTGCCTTTGCGGCAAACGACGAACAGGTAACGTGTCAAATTTCCCGAAACCTTCTATCTCTACAACCAAATCTGATTCGAGGCTGGACAGAAACAAACAATGAGAGAAAACGCGCCCCCGAATATCCGGTTTTGCTTCCCACCGATGCGTGGCCCAGGATCGATGCACTCCAAGCTCCAGCTCCTGAAATTCCCAAAGTACCTCCGATTAGTGATCCCAACTGGAAATCTTGTGCCCTATGACTGGGGCGAAACTGGAGTAATGGAGAACGTCTGTGCCCATTCTATCAATCAGTGGTATTCTCGATTGCGATACATGAGCTAATGGGGTTTTTTCATTGTAGATGGTCTTTCTCATCGATTTACCCCGTCTCGAACGGGAAGGTGGCTCAGAAATGACATCGTTCGGGGAAAACGTGACCAATTTCCTGACGGCATCAGGCGTTGACGATGCCATGGTCAAGAGTCTTTCAAACTACGATTTCTCGGCGACAAAAGACCTGGGATTCGTTTGCTCCATGTTCGCAACAATCATTACACATTTTCCGTTCCTTTGCTGTACTAATCCAGTCTAGTCCAGGAGGCCACACAGGGGATACACTGCGTCGCGTCGGTGAGTGGTGCCTGCCCCTCCCCGCAGCCGGGATGGACGGACGAGATGCTGACGGAATTTTGCTCATTTTCTTGCAGGTTATTGTGGCTTGGGAGAAACTGTAAGGGGGCTCGGCCTGGCTACGGACACACCCGTCGAAGTTGACTTGGCTGTCAGTAGTCCACCAGCTTGTAACTGCACACTCCCATGTCTAACCTGCTGTCTAGTGTGCGTCCCTCGGTTCCATCAACGGCGACCTCATCAATGCGATATATAACGCTTGTCAAGGTAAGCCCTCACCGCCCGCCCTGCTCGCTCGTTCATCCGGCTTCTGTTCGCTGACTGATGCGCACCTGCCAGGGGACGATGGTATGCAAGAGTACATCGCGCGCGCCGGCCGAAAACTTAAAAACAAAGAGATGCGACCCGCGGAAAGGCTCCGGGATCGGTTCCGGATATACTTTCCAACCGATCAGACGGTTTCCAAGAGTAAAGGCGGGCGACAAGTGAGGCATCCCACAGCACAGCTCATGAGCAAGCAGGGAGTGCCCTGCGAGTTTCAGCCCTTGCTAACATGCCTAGTCTGCTGGGACCATCTGCGTTCAGGCAAAGTGGTGGAGGTCGCCAAGTTTTCCGAAGGAGCTCGTCCGGGACTGTGTCAACAGTCGAGACGGGCTTCTAATGCATAGCAAGATCATCTTCGTCCGCAGGCCGGCAGAAACCTGGCGGGTTGGTGAGAAATCATGTACGGGATGGGCCTACGTTGGCAGCGCCAATCTTTCAGAAAGTGCATGGTAAGTGCAGCCACCAGAAAATGGCAATTGAAAGTAAATGCCGTGCAGTTACTCTGCTCTTATTAACATGGAGTACCCTAACTAGGGGCCGCGTAGTCAAGGACAGAGAGACGGGGGATGCCAAGATGAGCTGCCGAAACTGGGAATGTGGTGTAATTGTACCAGTACATGGAAATCCTGGTACTGGCGGCGACTTTTCCATGTTCTCGGGAGTGGTTCCCGTTCCCATGAAGATCCCCGGGCACCCGTACGAGAAGACTGACGAGCCTTGGTTCTTTTTAGGCGACCACTGATCGATCACTCCTAACTATTCTCAAGAGATCTCGGAGAAGAATCGGCACTGTCTGTCGGTGCAGAAAGCACCTGCTATTTATGATCCAGCCCAGTGGTAGCAAGGATAATGCTGATGCAGAACGCGCTCATTCCACGCCACCGTTTGTTTATTGCTTTCAGCCCGACCAGTATTCCAATGCACAGCAAGTAAGCCATCGAAGGGTTTAACTGAGGTGGGAATAGTATTGTTTCGCGTGTGGGAATATGTGCATCGAGCCACTTGTCGCGGAGGAGGCAGCCACTGGCTGGGCTTTGATAACTATGACTGGTCTCACCATTAAGAAACACCTGCCCGAGAATTGGTAAGAACAATGCAAAAAAACAAGGAAACGAAATCTCCGACCGTGCTCAGAGTGGGACAGCGGCGTGGCTGCCACGTAGTACAGTCTTCTGGGTGTGTGCATGCAAGTGCATTGGTTGACATCTCGGCAATCCCAGGTCAATGGTCAAACTAATCAGACAATTGGGGGCGTTACTTTTGGCATGTTGTACAGAGTATTATGGGCTGATTCTGCGACCGGCTTCCCTTGACAGCAACCCCTGCGAACAGATCCTGGCCACCTTGCATATCTGCAAAGGCCCTGGTCCCTGTTTCCTGAACGCCACCACCTCGTTTGCGTCTATCCCCTGCCTCTCCTTGGTTTTACCCCTCGGGTAGTTAGGGGGAAGTGGCTGGATGAGTAACAGTGACTGACTAGGGTTGCTTGGAGGCTACTACTACGAGGATGGGAGTGAAGCATCCATATTCGGATACACACTACGATGTGTGAATGAAGAACAAGTGTTGGCATGAAGACTGTGCCGTTTCCTTATAGGCGACATGGCTAACGGATAAATTGCGAGGCGCAGTCAAGACACGGTTGCTAGGCTCGTGGCAACATACGGATGACACGTCCAAGCAAAGAGAAAAATTTACACAAATACATTCTCACTGGTTGGCCAACAGGTTCGGCTGCATCCAACGTCATTGACAAGATCAGAGACGCTACGGCGTGTCTTTCGTGTAACCAGTTACCGAAATGACTCGAGAGATACTTCGATTTTGACCAGATCAGAGTCATGGCCCACGATCCAAACTCTAACCAGCCGGGATGCTGCTTTCGTCCGCTTCACTGCCCGTGTACCTTCCCGGGGTACCAAGCCGTCGGTCCGGGATACAGTGGTAACGATGATTGCGGCTGAGGAGTTTGCGCATGGAAGCGAGTTGAACGAACGTATACAAACTGGACATCGGGATGGCCGTTCCGCATAGACCATTGTAACTAGAGCCCAACGGCTGCAAAACCGGGTCAGGTTGGCGGGCACTAGCAGCAATAGTGTAGAGAAGACAGCCTCGCAACCTCGGTCGCTGCATTGACAAGGGCAAGGGAAGGCTCTACTCGGAACAAGAAGGATTCGGCTGCATGAAGCACGGATGGAGGGGCAGTCGGAGAGGCCGTGAATGGCTGCTGTCGTTGGCTGCGCGTTGTGTAAGGAGCTGGCGGAGGTGGTCTCAAGCGAAACACAAAAGTGCCGCGCGTCTTGCTCCTGGGTTGGAAGAAAATTGTTGGGATTCGAACCACAATGCATTCAAGGTGCGGAAATCTAGCGACAGCCCACACCAAGGCAGGTGCTCAGATGGGATCGAAAAGTTCACGGTAAACGGGGCGCACGATGCACACAGGGTATGGTGCAGATCATCTTACAGACTAAGCAAATGTAGTACCGGTAGTAGGTTCTGGTTGCCATTGTTGTTACACTGGGATCACCGTGCACTCGGAAGTGGGCGAGTTTACAACTACGAGCATGTCGCATGTCAAGTAGCATGTGTTTTGTGAACCAAGGTCATATTCATGTATCGTCATGGTGCCTTTGCGATTCGTTTTCTGGTTCCTATTCCTTGATTTTAATGCTACCATCTTAATAAGCTCGCTAAAAGCACCTCATCCGCATAAAGACAACGCCATTTTACGCAAAGGTTTCCTCATTCGGAACAGATATGCGAGTGAAGCAATAACTAGTTGCGGAGTTGGGAAGGAAGAATGACATCAAGAATGCCTACGAGGCATTAAGAAGTGCTTGCCGCACCTTATCACCTCTCTCGAAGTACTGCTGTTTTGGGCACGCCAATGTGACCTTCCGTATGTAGTCTTGTTGGGCGGGCCTTTTTTATTGGTGTCTCCGTCGTTAGCGAGTGATGGTCGATGCAGTGGAGTAAGTAGAATCTCTAGCCTGCTGCGTTCAGCTTCACGACACGATTGATGGGGCCTTTAATACGAAGCAGAAGTTTTTTTTTTCCACCATGGTCTAGACTAAATATGTTGAATCGATTTTGGGTTGGCAAGCGAGATGGCCTCGTTTCTAGCTCCTCTCAGTAACTACCTTAGGTACCTATGTAGGAATGGTCGAGCAGTGATTATGTAATGTAGCTAGGTCTAGGGTGACAGAATTGTACATAGCTTCTAAAGTCAACGCGGCTCTTGCAGATAATGTAAGCTGTTGGTTGACATATTGGCCTGGGGTTGACTGGGGCTTGACCTTCAAGACATCCAACATCTGCTATTGGTTACACCCGCTCAGATAGCCGCCGCTCCGCTGCCATATGCAGTGTTTTCTTGTCATTCGAAAATAATGCATTTTGTAAATTGTGGTGTACTCGGATAATATCTCCATCGCCGGCACATTTACCGACATGGCCGCAGGACACCCAATTCGCATATACAATTAAAAGACACGTCACTTGTAGTACTGACCTCAGATGGCCAAGTGGGTGGCAGCTTGTCTACCTAGGTTGGCGTCGTCGGACTGATGGGCGGGCATCGGCCCCTTCCGATGTGTTGGAGAATTCTGCCACATAGTAAGCTATATAAACGCAGGACTGGAGTTGCATTGACCAACTATCACGACATCGAGCCAAGACGCTTACTGCGTGGAGCAAATTTTTTTTCATGGAGAAAAAATCTCAGTTGTTGGTGCAGCTTGGGACGAAATGTACCTGGGCGGCCCCGAGTCGCGGCTCTGAGTTTGGCGTGGCGGCCATGTGGTGGCGCATATGGCCCTGGAACTAGGCATGCAATATCCGCGCGCGCCGTGCATATTGAGTCAAGGCCCGGTGCAGCCACACGATGCGGAATGATTCGTTGGGTGAGGGAGGTGATGACGGGCTGCTGCACTGGTGACAATGTGGCTATTTGCAGTTGGACCGCAGATCAAACTCATCATGTGCATAATCGCGCGCGCCGCATGCAGGATCAGAGATGCGAGGGGTCGCGTCACGGGGCTTAGGACTGGTAGCTAGCTGCATGCACATCTGCAGTAGCACGCACCCTAGCAAAGATGGTCTTGTTGTGCCAAAAAGTAATTTGTACATAAAACCCATTACCCATTGCCCATCAATACCCGAGTACCCGATAAGTCACGCTCAGCTGCAAGTCAACATGTGGTAGGTTAGGTTGTTATAGTTAGTTAGTTATAGAATGGTACAAGTGTCAGTCAGTTTAGGCGCTTGCGACTTGAACGCTACTGGGCTAGCGCCGACAAAGGGTTCACGGAGGATCGATTATCTCCAGGCATCTGCATGCAATGCCGTCTAGATCTGCGACGGAATACTTGCCGTCGGATGAGCACGAGGCAGCAAAACTCTGTATTTTTGTTACACATGACTTGACAAAGTGTGATGGTGTGTGGTGGTGGTGGTGGTGGTGGTGTTGATGTTGTGGTGGGGGTGGAAATGCGCGTCGCCGGTCGACTGTTGCGGAGGACGACGAGGACGCACCCAAAACCCAAGCACCCAAGCACATCCTGGGCTGCGGATGGATGTCGCCTGCATCCGAAGAACGAGAATGGCTGGGCTGGGCGGCGGCGGCTGTGCGTGCGAGCGAGCGTGCGTGCGCGTGCTGTAGATCCGGCGACCCCGTTGCCCACCCGGGGCCACATTCCACTTGGCAGCCCGGCGCAGGCTCGCAGCAGCCTGGTGGGAACAGAAATGGCTTTGTCCCGGGTTCTCCTGGGTTGGCCAGGCCCTGTCTAGCTGTGATATGGAGTCGGATAACCCTGTTTTTTGTTTTTTCTTTGCTGGAGGAGCGGCCCCTCTTTCTCCTCCGCTCCCCCTTCCCCCAATGCTCTGAACTCTCTTAAGTGGAGAAGAGGTGTGAGAGGAGCGAGAGGAGAGAGATTCGTGTGGGCAAGGAGTCGGGGTTCACACCACTCGACATGGGACTCTGATGATGGGGGCAATGCCCATCGTGAGACACCGCGACAGAGGCTGCAGGCTACCTATGTGCCAGACATTGGACATGCATGGCCTTGACCAACGGCCACTAGGTACCTAGGTACCTGGTATGTAGGTAGGTAGTCACACCCACAGGCCATCACCAGCCTAACCGCAAGGATATTTGTTTTGCCGGGAGGCCCGCCTCCTCCTCCTCGGAGCCCTGCCAATCTTTCATCACCGCGCCGATTCGTCTTGACATCTCTCTTCGATTCATCCCACCCTCCCCCCCCCCACTTGTTCGTCAGTTGCAGTCTCCAAGCGTTCGAGTTCTGCCAAGGTTGGCTGCTGCTCATGACACAACGGCGGCCTCGGAGCGCTCTGTTGTTCGATGTCCGACGTCCCCTGGCTGATATCAACGGCGAAGAGGCCTACATATTTTTTTCCCTTTGACTAGTCGCGCCTCACACGGTTCTGGATCACCCACCTCGGCAATTCCGTTGCGGGACAGACGACCCTTTTCGTCTTCCTCTTCGTCTTTTTCTCCAATCTGCTCTGTTTTTGGAAAATACTATGGACAACACGGCGGTGCCACAGAGGGGTAGCAAGCCTTGCATACATCTCATTGTGGCCTGACATTTTACGGGGCACTTCCCGCCAAACCGGTCCAGCAAGTCGAGATTGACAACAGGGTCGCAGCTGTTTTCTGTTTTCGTCCTCTGGGGCAGCTAACGCGGGCCTTGGTTTTTGGAATCCGCTATTGGCGAGCTGCCTGCTGTTCTGATGCAAAACGACAATATCCTGGCGCTCTTGCAACTAGCACCATCCTGCTTGGCGTTCTGTGTTGTCGGTCAACCCGTCTGCCGACGAACAGGACTTGCAATTGCTATCCGTACCTACCTCGCACTACTGGTACACCTCATTGTCCATGTCAGGGCCCCCCCCTGCTTTGCACTGCATGTTGGAGCTCGCGTACACAACCATGCAGTAGTGCCCTGAGCTAATGTAGCACCGTTGACGCTGGCGCGACAGGTGCGAGACATTGGCCGCTGCTTCGTATGCGCCCAGCAAGTAGCCAAGTAGCAAGTGCCATGGAGTTGGAGCGTCGGCCCGGACGAGCCATGCTGCCTAGGCCATCCCGCTCAACATCATGCTAGCTAGCCCCTTGGCTCCCGGGTCCTTGGCCTCCAGGGCAGAGTTTTTCGGTTTGGCTAACTAACTATTCCGGACATGGCTCGTCGGCCACTTGGCGTACATGCACTGGCGACGACGAACAAAGGAACCGATGTAGTCAGTCAGTTACATATATGTACATAGCACATAGCGTCCGCGACCGTCTTTTGGCTGGTGGAGCCATGTCTTGGAATATACGGCAGAGCGTCCGCGTATGCGGAGAGGCCATGTGCCGGAATTGGAAACAAATCGAGCGCTGGGCGGGCGACTCAGATCATTCCCAGTGCAGAAGGAGGCGTCACCCAACTGACAGTGCTCCCCTGTTCATATCTGGGCATAAGTAGTTACGAATATTATGTACATGCAGAGTATTTGAGTTGCGGCGCGATGCTGCCGGGGCAGCCCTGCAAGGCGCGCTGGTGTACTGGTTTGAGATCCCTGCTCTGGTTTTGCGTACAGATAGACTGAAATGCACTGCTTGTTTCTTACTCTGCAACAGACGCATGTTGACCCCGTTTCCTCTATTCACTCTCCTCATCGTAACTACAACTTCCCCCCAATGCTGCCACAATTACAAGTATAAAAATATAAGAGCCTACTAGTGCCTGGCGATGCAAGACTCATGTACCTAGCGCTCATTAGTATTGGTTTCGCTGGTTGGCTGCTTTCCGAGCTGGTTGCACAAGGGCTACTCGTGCAAGTACGTCTAGTTATTTAGGGTCCTGACCTTGTTTCTACTTGGCTCGCGAACTATTCCTGGCGTGGTTTTTCTGAGACGGCGCATGCTTTCGGTTAGCAGCCGCATGACCGTGTTGTGTCGTCTCTCCCAGATTGTATTCTTTGTCGTCGGTTTCTTGTCTCTCTCTCAGATTGTATTCTTTGTCGTTGGTTTCTTGTCTCTCTCGTTCCGGTACATTCCCTCAAAAGCCCTCTTTGTAATAATAAGACAGCATTCTATCCACCCCAACTACGCATTGGCTGATCGTTCTTGGGGAGCGCGCCTTGGCCTTTGCTAGCGGACGCCTCTGTACCCACCACTTGTACAATTCCTTGGATAGCGGGCCCTCCATCAGCTCTCTTTGCAACTTCTGCGAGTCGTCGCGGTCGGTGGCCGTGGTGCTGTTGTTGCTGGTTCGCTGTCTGGCCGCCCCAAGTCGACTGGTCGCAGAAGAGGTGGACTGGCAACAGCCATGTGTTTCCTAGTGAGGTCCATGTTCGTGCATCCAATTCATCAAGAGTGCCCATCGGTTCAAGCACCGTGAGCATGACAAGGCCATCGGCAATTAATTTCGGGCGCATGCCCGCTTCGCGCTTCCTGCTTACACCTGTCCAAGGATCGTGCTGGAGCTTATTAGCCCGAGGGGGTACCGCGATCTGTCTTACATCTTGTTAAGCACAATAGAGTTTAATCTGGCTTTTTCGTGCTTGTGACAGGGCACACGATCACCGCAAGGCGACAGAATAGTGTTCGTGCTCTGCCCAGTATTTGCGGCCCGTCTCCCCATGTATTTACTTCTGGGCGACCGAGGAAACAGGTCGCAGGGATTGATGCCGAATGATAATAATTATTAATATTGGCTTGTTCACTAACCCACATGGGAGACCTCCGCGAACAGCGGCAATCCCACCTCAACATGGCAGTAGACAGTGCTACCAGTAAGTAAGAGCATCTGCAAAGGAGACTTGCCCAGTCTACTCGTCTTCTAAGCCGAGATGAGCAGTGGCAGGACTCGGGTCTAACTAGCTAGTCACGCACTAACGCACTCCGTCTCGACGCCACGATCCACCCCCCTGCTGTCGCTCCCAAATCGGCCCATTGCCTGTCGCAACGCTGGCCTGGTCGAATCGATCCCTGGTCTGGTCGCCGTTGTGTTGCACTAAGTGCCCGGCTCTCCTTCGTTTGCAGCCGTGGATGGACCGGGGGTTGTCCGGCTGTCGCCGCTTTCTTGATAAGTCATTACTAGGCGCTGGTGTTGGTCAGTTCATGTCGATTTGCTCTCAACTACGAGTACTGTAACTCTGTAAGAAACAGGTCAGCGTCACTGATGAAGAGCGATAACATTCGCGGGCTGAGTGGTCGTGGTGGTGGACAGCCAGAGGTCGAGTGTGTTGCGCCTGTTTGGTTGCTATCGCTGCCCTCCTTCGTTCCAGAGAAGCGGCTCCAACCAACCAGTTCAGTCCAGCTGAATGGCCTTGGCTCTGCACTCGGGTTCGTTATCCCAGTGTTGCTGTTTTCGGTCGTCGCCCAGGCGGGCATTGCAGCAAATGCGACACTACGACCAAGTAGGTAGAGCGGCGGCGGCGCTAACTACGGTTCCTCTGGTCTGTCTAGTCCAATGCCATCACCAGGATGGCTGCTCCTGGTATGCTGGTCTATGTTTCCCTCGTTCGCAGGAAATAACTTGACCTGTCTCTTCTGCAGACGGTGTAACTCATGGACTCGATGGGGGCGTTCAGGATGGGATAGCTCGGCATGGGATAGCTCGGCATGGCATGACTTTTAGCTGATTCTTGGACGGACAAGATGGATTGATTGACGGCGTAGCCAGAATCGCATCCGCAATAGCGCAGCGCCTGGTCTCCTCTCTCCACTTTGTCAATGGCCAGTCTCAGCCATGTCCTCGGTCGCTCTTGCCGAAAGCCCAATTGCGGTGCGCGTTCCATTGTCAGTTCTCAGCACCTTTCTTCACCCACCAGGACTCGGCCAATACTACATGGTACCCAGTAGTATGGTCCGTCCTTAGCACTGTACTGATTCACTTGCTTACCAGTATATCCTAGGAGCGCGTTTGGCACAAAAGTACGGGTTGCCAGACACCTCCATTACCAATACACCCACATGGCTGCCACCTACCTAGGTAGGTAGAAAGGTACCCCCCTCCCCTCTCACACCACCACACACATCCCACAGCCACACCCCTCCCCCATCCCCCATCCCCATCGCCTTTCCTTCTCTTGGCTCTTGGTGATGGCCACGCTCTTCCTTCCTCTCCAACTCTGATATTGACCGACACTAATAGTGAGTGAAGGATGAAGGGCCAGCTGGTTACCATTTCCGAAACGGCCAACCATCGGCCCATGTCGTTGTCCTTCGCACCACCGTGGTTCGCCTGCTTCTCCAGACTCTTTAAGTCTTCCATTTATTGTCCTGGCAGCACCACTTACTTACAATAGACGGAAGCGGATCCATGAAGAGAAGTTGGCCCCGCCAGATACCACCCCCAAACACCCACCTCGATACGACGCTTCCAATACCGCCGCGCCGGAGGCCACCATTGCAAGCTACGGCGCATCCTGGCCATGGCTACCATATAGATTCTATTGACAGCCTTCTCCCGGTCGTCGGGGACTTCGAGACTGGATCTTGGTCTTGGGGTTCCTATCTACGGGGGCGGCGATAACTAGCCTGATGCGTGAAAAGGAAGAGAGAAGGAAAATAAACCATGAAAGTATATAGAAGAAAATAATACAAGAAAATAAAATACTTCGTTAGAAAGATGATACCCTGGCGCCATCCTCTACTGACCAAGAGCGCAGCAGTTGTACACTGCCCGATCGCCGCCCATTCAATGCGGCTCTTCGCTCTAGTAAGAAGGTAGACCAAATCTGGTCCTCTTCTAGACCGCACTTGGCTTGCAAACCCCCCCCCCCCCCCCCTCCCTCCCACACTGGACTCAGTCAGGGCTCCCTTGTCACTGCTTTAGCTTCCCATTTTGCTCATAAGCTCCTTGACACCCGCTCGCTGCCCGGAAGTTAAAACAAAGCATTCCCCGCCACGGCTCGATCGAAACTTTGCAAGCACCAAAACTTACTTTCCTTACATCTTCTACTTCGAGTCCGCGAGTACGACAGACCGTCGTTAGACATCACTAGCCATCCCAGTGGTGAATCATCGCCGAACATTTTCTCGTCACGCTTGTTGAGGCTACTGGTCCTTCACCACAAACTGCCGTTGGACACCACTCGTCACCCCAGTGGTGAATCATCACCGAGTATTTTCTCAACACTACCGTGCCTTTGTGGTATATTAGGCCTTCGCCTCGATAAAAGAGAAACTCTGTTTTCCGGTCCCAGCGAACTTACGGCGCCTTATTTTCTCGTCTCCCTCTTCTCTTCCTCGACTTCCAAAGTTATTTTCCTCTACGCCGTCCAACCCTCGAACAAACTCGCCTTCTCCAAACTCTTTTCTGTCAGATTTGGACCGTTTTCAAACTCTTTTCTGTCTTTCAACAAACTCTCCTCCTCCAACCTTGTCCAAACTCTTTTCTGTTCAGATTGGAACCATTTCCTCGCCGTCTTGCTCCTTCCGAACTAGCTTCTCGACTGCTCAACCCAAATCTCCCACCCTCTTAGGGTATACTTCTGACCTAACTTGAAGGAAGCTTCCTGCTAGTTATTGGCCATGGAGAACCAATCAACCCCGTTGACCCCTACATTTGAAGGGCACATTTCGAGTACTTTGGATGCTCTCTTGCTCTTCGAGGGGTGCTTGGATGGCACATTGAACCATGTGCCGCGTCGTCCTCATGACCGTGAGCGTCAGGAGCTCATCAAGAGCGGCAATATTTTCATCTACGAAGAGCATTCGTCCGGAATCAAGCGCTGGACTGATGGAGTCTCTTGGAGCCCGAGCCGAATTCTTGGCAACTTCCTGATTTATCGGGAACTCGAAAAACCCTTCCCTCCAGGCGAAAAGAAGCGAGCTCTGAAGAAGAGCAAAAAGTCGCCTCAGGGTGTTGTCAAGTCCGAACCAGTCTCACATGCGAACTTGCCATATGTTGCCGCGGGCCTTGATCAATCTAACTCTCCCAAGGACCAAGAGCGGTCCCTAATCGGCTCTCTTGTCGACTCCTATCCGTTCAAGGTTAACGGTCTAGTGAAGAAGACCATCAGCATCAGCTACCATGGTGTCGCTCATCACCTGGTGAGCTATTACAACGTGGATGATGTTACGTCCGGGAAGCTGGATACCCCAACGAATACCCATTTGCGAGGCCTTACTCCTCGCCCGGACCTCTTTTGTTCTCAAAGCTTCCGAGTTCCTATTGAGGAACACGAGTATGCGGTTGCTGAGAATGGCGGACCTATCCCTGCTCAGTATGGTCCTGACAGCGGCACGATGAACGGCGGTGTCCTTCGTCGTGCCATGATGCAAGGCAACCTGCAGCCCGCTATGGGCAGTATGCAACAACACAGCTCGCCCGCGCCTTATATGTTTCCCCAGGCTTCCCCGGCTACACACCACGGCTACCCAGGTCACGGTACGAACTCGAGTTTCCAGCCTGCAATGTCGCAGCAGATGACATATGCAGCCAATCCAGTGGGCAACTATTCGCTTGACCCTACTAGAGGCGATCGCTTTCCTCCTGCCGCAGTCAATCCCGAGTTTCCTCGTAATATGCCCCCGAGCTCGACTTCTCGACGTCCCCCGTTGTACGATGGATCAAGCCATCCTTCGGATATGAGCAGCATGTCGTTTGGCTCTAGCAGCACAGAGGCCCGGCCTATGGCCAGCCATGCCCACGCCCATCTTGGACATACCTCATATTACCTGCCACCGCAACACCAGGCTGCGACTCCTACCCCGACATTTCCCATGTCCCGTGGAATGAGGCCCGAGTCCGATGGGATGCCCGACGAGACCGTTCAGCACTCATACAACTTCGATAATGGTCCGTGGGGTTTCACGCCGATGGAGGGTGACCCTGAACAACAGCAGTATTACGGACAAACCCCTTCCCAGTGGTCCAACGAGCCTCATTCACTCCCCCGTGCGTGAAGGTCCTCTGCACTTTACATCGCAGACACTCATCAATCCCTATCCGCTACAGTCCTTATTAACCCTCTACCTACCAAAAGTTGACTTCTCAATGGTTTTCCTCATTGACTCCTTCGATTGTACAATATTTCTACACGTTGATACTACTTTGTTCTTTGTACACCTTTTGTTTTTCGCTTCCTCTGCACGTTTTTTTAGGTCCTGGGTGTTGTCTGCTTGTGGTCAACCACACAGAACTGGCGATTATTGTTTTGTTGCTTGGGTTGGGTTCGTTGGCGCTCGGAAACGGTTGCCGCAAGGCTCATGGGTACACATTTGTTTCGAAATGATGGCTGGTAACTAGAAGTTTGGCGTTTTTGATAGTCTTGGGAAGATACCACTATGAGCAGCTTTTTTATGCAAAGGATAGATAATACACGTATGAAATTTCGCTTTTCCAATACGTGCAGGATTGAATAAAGCTGAGGCCAGAACAGAGGCAGGACTCCAGGCGGGAATATAATGGTCATTCATCAGTTAGACTTGACACCAGGGAGACAAGATAACCCACGAGGTAAAACACTTTTTATTTATTTTTCATGATATTCATTCTTTCCCCTCCTTTCTTTTCTTTTCATTTCAAAAATCAGTAAATACTAGGTAGTGTGTAGACCTAGTTTTTCGTCACCTTGTCCATGCAGTCTCCACTGCGCTTGATGCTGTAGCGCGTTAGTGGACGGTTGCCAGCAGTTTTTCGTGCTTTGAAGCTTTGAGGGTTCATTAGACAGGGCCGCCGTGGCTCCAAGCGCATTACCTCCCAACGCCCTCCTAAGGCAGGAAGAGACCTTTCACTTCACCCAATCGAACTCGATACCCATAGGGAGCGCGTAAAACACAGTCGTCGGAACCGGCATCAACATGCTTCCTTCGCAACCCGCAGCTCTATCAACCCTGGGTCGGGCGGCCCTGCGCAGAACGCTTCTCTTGCGAGCTCCATCACGACCGGCGTGCCCTGCACGGGCGCTCGCCTCCGTCCCGCGACCGCTGTTCCGAGGCAAAGCTGTTCTCTTTGCGCCAAAGCTGAGCCGAGAGACTTCGTACGTGTGCACCGGTGGACGGTTGTCCCAGCCAGCACCCTCTTCGCCAAACGCAGCAGCATCCTGCAGCCAATTGAGCACAGTCACTGACCTGTGTGTGTCAACCCAGTTCCAAGTCTCCCGCCTCGTCCAAACCGCAGTCCCCCGCGCAAGCAGACGATGGAGCCCGAATACGCGCAGGTTCTAGGAACCCCTCCGAGGTCACGAAAGCGTCGAATCCCTTGTCGGACCCGACCCTGCACGAAGATATATACACATTGCCGAATATCCTCACTGTGTCCAGACTGGCGGCCGCGCCTTTTATCGGATACTTTGTCTTGCACGATTCGCATGCCTGGGCGGCCGGGCTGTTGGCGTATGCGGGCGTGACCGACCTTCTCGACGGGTGGATTGCGCGGCGATGGAACCGCAAGACGGTTGTGGGAACAGTCATTGACCCAATGGCCGACAAGGTGCTCATGACGGTGTTGACGGTGTGTCTCGCTGTCAAGGGAGCGCTGCCAGGTGCGTTTTCCATATCGCTACGAGCGACAACGTAGTCCAAGCTTACACTTACCGTGTGTGTCTGTAGTTTGGGTGGCCAGCATCATTCTCGGCAGAGATGTCGGGCTCGGCATTGCGGCCATTTACTTCCGCTGGATATCGCTGCCGCCTCCGAAAACCTTCACGCGGTACTGGGACTTTTCTCTGCCCTCTGCCGAGGTCCGGCCTACGACCATTAGCAAGTACAATACTTTTCTGCAGCTGGCCCTTGTTGGCGTGACTACTGCGGCCCCCCTCGTGCCTCTTGACTTGTCACAGCCTTTGACTATCCTGCAGTACGTTGGCCTCGAATCTACTATGTGTCAAGTTTAACAAGCTAACAAAGCGAATAGATACGTTGTAGCTATAACGACGGTGTGGAGCGGTGCGAGCTACGTGTATACAAAGGATTCTGTCAAGATTCTCAATGCGTCTAAGAAGCACAAGTCTCAGCAATGATCTATGTGGCATATCTAACCACCTTGTATGTGAGCTGTGGCGTGTTAGATGTCGATGTATATATTGGGCAGAAACTTCCATCGCTGCTATAGTACTGATGGCGGTCTGTCAATGCAGGAGGAATATTTGTATAATCAATTGTATGAAAAAATAACATAGTTATTACATCTCGATTTTCTATATTGGATCTAGAGCTAGTGTACAATTTGCATTTCCAAGAAGACGCCTCAACATGCTTCATGGCTTCTGAGGCAGCGAGCCTATGAACTTTCGGGGACCACTGGCTTGGAACCGGAACGACGCCGAACATAGGCAAGCAGGCGCAGACTCCCCGATGGTGTGACGCCTTCTACCCGGCGAGCTTGCGCCAGAGTTTCGGGCCGGGTGATCTTGAGGACTTCACGCTCTGAAAGCGCGAGGCCTGGAATGGAGTCGTAGTCCAGGTCCAACGGCAGGTAAACTCCCTCATCATTCTTGAACTTGCCAATGGCAGCCTCGTACAATTTGATATAAGGTGCATACATTGCTTCCAGCACAACGCGATCGTGTATTCGGGGCGAATAATCCATGATGCCAGGAATCATAGAGCTGAGACGGGTCAGGTCAGGGCGCATGTTGGCATTGGATAGTCGCACGACATCAATGCCACTGCGACGGCGCGAATCGCGCTTCGTTTGGAAACCATGCTTTCTCCACTGCTCTGTCGACAGAGATACCGCGTCGAGGCTCCTTGTCAGTCTATCAATCTGATCTTTCTCGTTCGTAAAGGCCTCCCAGCGGCGATCGGTCACGACGCCCCATTCACGGCCCTTTTCGGTGAGGCGAAGATCAGCATTGTCAGCGCGTGCCGCCATGCGAAATTCGCTGCGCGACGTGAACATGCGATATGGCTCAGTCACTCCTTTGGTAGTCAGGTCATCTACCATGACGCCAATGTACCCATCAGATCTCGACAGCGACACGCCCGGAAGTCCTACTGCAGCTCTCCCGGCATTTATCCCGGCGAGAACGCCCTGACCAGCTGCCTCTTCGTAGCCGGTGGTGCCGTTGATTTGGCCGGCGAGATACAGCCCGCCGATTGCCTTGGTCTCCAACGTCGATTTTAGCCCACGCGGGTCGATATAGTCATACTCTACACCGTACCCTGGCTGGAGCATCTTTACTTGTTCAAGGCCGACAATGGTTCTCAACGCTTGCTCTTGCGCTTCAGGGGGAATTGTCATGGACAGGCCGTTGGGGTAGATGACGGGGTCGTCAAACCCTTCAGGCTCAAGCCAGACAATGTGTCGTTCCTTATCAGCGAACCGGATAACTTTGGACTCCAGAGACGGACAATACCTAGGGCCCTTGACAGATTCACGGATATGGACAGTCTTGTCCAAGTTGTCTCGTATCACATCGTGGGTCGCGTGGTTCGTATATGTCATGCTGCAGGTCAGCTGATCTTGGACCGCTACGCTGCTATTCAGATAACTGAAGGGGTTGGCTGGATTGTCTCCAAACTGCGTCTCCATCACATTGAAATCGATGCTTGATTTGTCTAGTCGCGGGGGCGTTCCTGTCTTCAGGCGACCTAGCTGAAAGCCGGCATCACGCAACGATTTGCTCAATCCAACTGTCGCGGCTTCACCTAGCCGGCCAGCTGGGTATGTTTGCAGGCCGATGTGAATCTCTCCGCCAAGGAAAGTCCCCGTAGTTATAATCACTCGTCTCGTGGGAATAGTTTCGCCGGAGTCGAGTCGTACGCCGGAAATGGCCGGTTGTGGTGTATTCGGTTCAGTCTCTTCTGCAGATAGAACAATGTCGGAAACGGAATCGAGTATTATGGAAAGATTCGGATATGCTTGAAGCTCTTCGCGCATGTGTTTTTGGTAGAGCTTCCGGTCGATTTGAGCTCGTGGGCCCTAGAGAACAGAACAACTTAATTCAAAGTCCCCGTACGTTTGGCATCTGTACATACCCATACGGCTGGCCCTTTGCTTCGATTAAGCACATGAAACTGCACGCCGGCCTTGTCAATTATACGCCCGGCAAGGCCATCGAGCGCATCGATCTCGCGGATGATGGTTCCCTTGCCGATGCCGCCGAAGCTAGGATTGCAGGAGCAAGTGCCGAGGTTTTCGAGTTTTGGCGTAATAAGCGCCGTCCTGGCTCCGGCTCGAGCTGCCGCGGCGCAGGCCTCAGCACCGGCATGGCCGCCTCCTATAACAACCACATCAAATGTCCTACAGGTCTCCAGTTAGCAACAGGCTGAGTGGCAGGCTGTCAGCGCTGCGTGCTACTCACCTAGCATTATCGGATACGGTCGCCAGATGCCGTCGACGGCTTATAGACGATGCAATGTGCCTCCCGCGCGCTTGTTGTCGCAGAATCGCATGCATGGCACTTGTTGTATCGTCACAGAAATTCGTGATTACTGTAACTCCTGTCTCGCAACTTTTTGGTGGGGCCAATTCAACATAACGTCCAAAGGCATAAAACAGCTACTAATAGTGTTTCTTAGAATAACATAATAATTAAATGCGATTTTTAAAAAAAAAATTATTATCTCAAGCTTCAGCTCAGTAATTAGGTACCCGTAACTAGCCGTGTAACGACGTTAAGGCTGGATATGATAGGGAGAAAACACAGAGCAGTATAGAAAACACGCTAGGTACTTCGCCTCGTCTTTGTGTCTGATTAACCCCCTGACTGATCCCTATCTACGGGTCTGAGTATCGGGCCATGAACTGACTGCATCATTTACTTCCTCCATAAATGTGCTGGTGTTGTGAATAGAAGTTCCTCCCAACACAACTCGAACACCGGGGGTCGTGGCGTTGATGCCCGCAATCATTTTCGCTTCTTCATATGTTACACCACCAACCATGAAGACGATAATGTCCTGCGGCTTGTCCCGAGTAGTTCCTCCTCCATCAACAAATGGATATTGTTGTTCCTTCAAACGTCCTTTGACAAGATTTTGGAGCGTAGTCTCGAGCAATGTCGTATGTTGTGTATAGACATTCTCGACGCCTTTGAGACCCTTGAAGCGGTTTGAAGCACCAGCAAATATCCCTCCCGATTCAAATATGTCAGAAATTCCCCCCTGCGCTTGTGATGAGTGCAGAGATGTGTGGTAAGCGAGTACTTTATCCACCATTGCGGCTTGACGCGGTGACACATTGCCAGCTGCAACAAGAAGATCGGTCAGCACCGGCAAAGAGTTAGACGGCTGCTTGTGGTAGCGCAGAGCATATAGGGTGACTAGTGCAACTTTGCTGTCGGCTGTTACTTGGGGATTTTGCAGCAGTGTTTGGATAGACTATTCCCTGTTAGCAACGCTCGAGTATCAGATCAGTGTTGTATCCATACTCGCAAGTCGTTATTGTGATTATCGTTGCAGGCTAGACTCTGTTCCAACTCGCTAACTTCCAGTAGATTCTCGGCTGCAACACGCCTGCTGAGTTCAGAGACGAGCGTGACATGTTTGCTGACGTTGCCAGATAATTTTCGAAACTCTGGATACTCTTCGATGAAGCGTTTCATGTCGCCAATGGATTCGATATCAGCGCTGTTCTTTGTCTTTGACTGATACTGTTCGACGTATTCTTTGATCGTGCTTCCAAGGTCCCCGAAATTGAGAAACATGTTCTTCTTGAAGAAGGGATCCTGATCTTGTGATAGAACAATTTCTCGCAACTCTGGTCGAATATCGGGCACATCTTCAAGATTCACGCGGCCATTTTGGATACCGAGGAGATGATTCACCATGGCTTGGTAAGTCCATTGTGTCAAGAGCGGTGTGACGGGATCCTCGCGGCGATCGAGGACAAGCAATATTGGCGGTGTATCGACCTTTCGGAAATCAAACAGCTGTTCTTCTTGAGTCATGAGGTACCGAACCTCGGAAGCGAGCTTCTTCGCCACAGAACCAGCCTTTGCGTATCGAATCAGCGGTTTCTTCTTGAGCGATAGCAGAACAGCCACTAATCCCTCTGCACATCGTTGTAGGGAGTCTGGATTCCAAGCATCAGGGCTGCCCGCGAAAATACGCCATCTCGGTAGCATAATCTCAAAGCTGAAGAGATCTGGATTTACGACTGTATAGTCCGCAAAGTGCTCCTGGACAACCTTGACGATTTCATGGTCATCCGCCTCAGCGAGTCGCTCAAGTGAAGACTTCTTCGCCACATTGGTAAAGTACAGCTGGTATTCACCATATTTGGGGTCTCTTAGTTCATCAATCAAAAGCTGTATAGTCTCCGGTGATGGCCGCACGAGGCACAGGCAACGTAGGTGCCTCATCTTCTCTCTCGCAGTATTGTCCAGGCGATCAATCAAGTAGACCTCATGATTGAGAAGACTTGATTGAGTGATAGCTGTGGATACAATGGGGACCGTATCTCTATCCAGAAGTAAGATCTTCATTTTGGATGATGATGTCTCTCCTGCAGGCATCACTATCTTGGAGATGTAGCCTGATATGGCCTGGGAGACGTCCATGGCGAACGAGAGCCGCTTTGCCGTCTCGGTGCTCTTTGAGCTGATATATGGTAAGCTTCTGTGTGAGTTTCGTCGTGTTTATAGTCTCAGCTCATTGCAATAATATTAAGCGATTTCCGTTGGTAGGTATGACATTGTCTGGCCAGGTTAGATTGATGCAGTTCCAGAGTGACAACATGGAGCTATCCGCCGCGCTAACGTCACGTTGGTTGGGAGCACCCGCTAGATGAATTAGTCCCGGTCCATGCATACGCCACCTTAGGACCCTGTGCACACGGTGGTCAGGACTCGATAAGTTCAATACCATTCAATTATTCCATGAATCAATAAGTAAGTAGTATTTGGAATCAGTCTGTGCTTTTTTGGAGGCCGGAGTTGAATAGTAATTCTAATTTCATACAGGCGCATCACAGAATAGCTGTAAGCTAGAGGCGTCTGGCGGGGTGGACTTTCTCTCCTGGCCACCTCACTGGTATTCGGCTCTCTCACCTCTACTCTACATTGTACAGCATCAAGAGAGTGGAAATGTCGACGAGCACTTGTCCTGCACGGCCAGAACCCACGTAAGAATATACAGTTAGCTTCATCCACCAAGTCCCTTTGCTGACCAGCCAGCACAGGCTCTCCTTTACTCAAGGATTCATCGTCGGGCAGATTTCCGTCGTTGTGGTCCTTGCCGCGTTTATCAAGTTCTTTATTTTCGGCGATCCTCCGTCACCGGATGTGACGGCCTCATTACGCGCAACAGAGCGCCGCTCCAGGACTCTGGCACACAAACAATCTCTTCTCACGCTAAGATCTCAGGGTCATCGCCATGGCCAGGGAACAAATCGCAAAAAGTCTACAGTCCTCCGCAATCCACCAGTTCTGACAATTGGCTCCATTCTAAGCAAAACGTATTACAATGTCGATAGCCACCAGCCGGAGAGCCTGGACTGGTTCAACGTTCTGGTTGGCCAGACGATTGCTCAGTTTCGCAGCGACGCACAGCACGACGATGCCATTCTCAACTCCCTATCAAAGGCGCTTAATGGCACTTCGCGGCCAGATTTCCTTGACGAGATACGTGTGACGGAGCTAAGCTTGGGCGAAGATTTTCCCATCTTCAGCAACTGTCGCATTATCCCCGTTGACGAGGATGGCATCAGCTTGGGGGCGGGCATTCGATTCGATCCTGCGACGGCAGCCCGCGATGGGACGCGTCTCCAGGCTCGAATGGACGTGGACTTGAGTGACATGCTCACTTTAGCGGTAGAGACGAAGTTGCTCCTGAACTATCCCAAAAAACTGTCTGCCATTCTGCCAGTTGCCCTTGCCGTGTCGGTCGTCAGGTTCAGCGGCACTTTGTCGATCTCGTTTATTCCGAGCAACCCCTCTCAGTCCACACCAGCTATGATGACCTTTAACTTTTTAGACGACTACCGACTCGACTTTTCTGTCAGGAGTTTGCTAGGAAGCCGATCTCGACTGCAGGATGTTCCGAAAATTGCACAACTCGTCGAGGCTAGACTCCATAAGTGGTTCGATGAGCGGGCAGTGGAACCGCGGTTTCAAGAGATTGCCCTTCCTAGTCTCTGGCCGCGCAAGAAGAACACGCGAGGACCCGATGACACGATGGGCGAGGGCTCAGGTTCGATGGGCCGTGCCAAGGGCAAGGAGAGCGAGCGTGAACTCCGCGAAGACATGCGCAGCCGGGACTCGTTTGGCGATTCCGATCCAAGGGATGCTGCTTCTGTGCGCCAGAGGCGGTCTTGGCGGGACGATGATGATTACGCTATGCCAGGATCATTACCTGGGGTAAGACTGGATACGCGGTAATGGCAGCGGCTGCGTGGGAAATCCTGATAATGTCATGGTGTTGATCCTTCAGCTGTGGATGAGTGTAGGGTGGATTTTCTTCTTCTATGTGTGTTATTATGACGCTTATGAGCTTGGGGGCTTTATGTATTGTATGTAACAATTTGGTATTTTGCAAAGCTATGGCGGCTATCCTTTGTTCTGGTGAGGGTACCCTGATTTGCTTTCCGGATAGTGGTCGAATTACTTGAGGAGACCCAGGGGGGATTCGGTAAGCGAGTGAAGGTTTTGCCGCCAATACAGTAGCCCGCCTACCAGGAAAATATAATATGGAATTGTCCACTTCAGGAGCGTGCCCTTGGTTGCATTGATAGGTAGCCAATACGGGTACATATAGCCCCAGACCCGCGGAAGACCAAGGCAGTTGCAGAAGGCGTGTACGAGCACTACGGCAAGGAGTGACCCTGTTTGCAGGAACAGGAATGTGACATAGGCTCCAAATACGGATGTATATGTTAGCTGGATGATTGTACGCGCTACTGCCGCGTAGATGGGAACTCCGGGGTTGGTGAGGCGAAATTCGTAAAAGTGATGCATATGAGCAACACCGAACACAAGGGGTGATAGGAAGATGATGCTGAGAGTGTTGGCCTTGGCCAATACCAGAAGCGGGACCACGGCAGAGCGAAACAGACATTCTTCGGTGACAGGCCCCTACAGAAAGTTAGTCAACCAGGATAACTTGACGGTACAACTGGATGGCGTGCAGCCGGATAGCAACATACGGCGACAATATTTCGCCACGTTGGCCAACTCTGCCAGAGATGTCGTAAGCCAGAGCCTAGATGGCGCCAGTCACCGTCGATGAAGAGGTTCTCGTAGAGAGGACCGGCGAAGAGGACGGCTGTGAGAAGTAGAGCCTTGGCCGATTCAATCAGGCGGATGGGCCAGTAGCCCATCAAAAAGAGGGCGGGGTGCTGTTGGGACAGGCAGCATATCGTGATGAGGGTGACAACGGAGCAGGCTATGGTGGAGAGCGTCACGGCTCGCACACGGGCACGGATTGCGGCCGGGTCGTCCCTGGACCGCGTTGGGGAGGGCCGTGTCGCCTCTGATAGGTAGAGAGGTAGCACGTATATGACCGAGTATGCCAGCTGTTTGTCTGTTGTCAGCTTGAATGCTGGCGGTGTACGTTTTGGGACCGGAGCGCACCATTAGCCCCGACGCCTGGAGGGTGGTTAGCTCGGCGGCTGGCGTAGCCGCTGTCGATTTCATCGCGGGGAGGTCAATCCAGCACGCAGTGTAAGGCGGGCAGAGTAATTCGGTAGGAGGTAGGTAGGTAAATAGTTGGCAGCTTGGCCACCGTTGTTGACCTTTTGTCCGCCTCGACTAATTTGTACGTTTGCTGGTTTTAGTTTGGGGTTGTGTGGGTCTTGGATCAACTACCTGGGCTTGATCTCTTTGTCTCTCCTAATCGTGGATTTGCATCCATCATCTGTCAGTCTTGCGAGTATGATTGGGTCGGCATTTCGCGGCCATCTATTTTATTACATGGCTAGATGCTGGAAATGGGAGATGGGATGTGCTGCCCCAGGCTAGCGCGCGGTTGCAGGTTAGCTATGGGGTTCGATTAGGTTACATTTGAGGTGCGATGGTGTGTTGCTGCAGGTTTTCGTGTATGGAGTAATAACTAGCATTGCTCGTACAAATGCGTACTGATAGCTGTGTGTGCTTTGTTTTTTATGCTTTGCGTTGTGACGTCTGCCTGCTGAGTTCCGATTTTTGGTCTGTGCTTGCACGTTATCTGCAGGGTTTCATAGCCAGGACGCGTTTCGCGTGGGGACGCGTCGGATGCTAAAATTACGTTGTGCAATTTCACAATGATGCAGGTCGCAGATGTGCAGTGCATGGCGCTGCATTAGCTCGGTGAAATAGGTGGGCTTACACGGGCTTTGGTGAGCTGGTGAGCTTGTCGTTTCATGAAGCGCTGAGCGCTGGTGGCGCTGGAGTTTGCTTCAGCTTTGAGATCCAACTTGGATGTCTCTGCAGGCACTGTGGTGCAGGTGGTACTGGCGGTATCAGCCTTTGCATGCAATTGTTTCGGTGCGATCTAGCCAGTCGTCAGGGAAATCGGGTCCGTAGCTGCGACCTGCGACCAGAGGGTTGCATGTGTGATCTATCCGTACAGAGAGGGCTTGGTTGCAAATTTGCCCCCCAAAACCGTGGTGGATGTGGAATGTACTCGGGCTTGTTTGTCAATGTGGATGGGATAACTATGTCAAACTACCCGCTTCGGGTACCTGCACCAAACACAGACCAAGATGAGCCTCGAGCTTCAAGGAAATGACTAGTACGTCTTGGAATAACCACGAATAAGTACCACGTAAAATCCACAGAGACGCAATACTGGTATCTATAGGGTAGCTAGAAGCGGAAGAAGAAAAGTCGGGATACTAGAAAGGAGGAGGGAAGGGAGGGAAAAGAAGAAACGAAAATATCCGTATTCCAGCACCTAAGGTACCACTCTGGCGGGTCAGCGGCGGCACAAAGGGGCAGGGGCGATCCAAGCAGGTACCATCGCACTGGCAGGTACGCCTTTAAAGGTACATACCTACCTAGATGGTAGAGGTAGGTACCTGTCTACCTACCTAGGTAGGTACCTACTATGGTTACCACGACCCAGATACATACTAGTAGGTACTAGGTAGGTAGGCAAGTACCTACCTACTAAGGTACTACATCTGGTACCCAACTATATCCCGTATTATTATATGTCCATTTCGTGGCACAAGTTGCAAACCCGACACCAGCAAGAAACAGAAACAACGTTCAAAGCCCCCACGCACCTTCACCGCAAGATCCAGCAGAGAAACATCTGGCCAGTTGCCAGCTTGTTTCCTTCCAGCCGCCCAATAAACGGCTGGGCAGAATGGGGCTCGAGTGGCTCCCATGCACAAAGTGATTAAACCTACGCCACTAGCGGCAGCCGCCGTTGTCCTCGTCGTCCATTCTGGCCATTCCCCTGCGCTGCTCCCAAGCTCTGGACCTGCAGCTCGGAGACAATGTGGTCCAGTCCCGTCATGGTCATACCCCGGCCGGTGCTGCGGCTTTGGTCGCGCCCCGGCTGGTGCAAGGTGGTGCATCCACAAACCCGCCATCCATCCCACGCGCCGCCGGCCTGCATCTTGTGTCAGGCCTCTCACTCTCTCTCTCTTCCTTTTTTCCATCCATAGTTACTCCTTCCATCATTCATTCACTCGTTCAATCGTTCGTCGTTTTTTCTTCTTCTGGTATTTTGCACACTAATTCGTCTTTATTCTACACACTCATTCGTACCGTTTTTGAACTTTATTCTGCGCCTCTTATTTCTTAATTCTTTCCTCACCACAGGCCTCACCAATCTGATCCGTCTCTCATTGTATACCCCTCAATACTCTGGCTTGCCGCATATCTCGCAATCAATTCGCCCACACAAGACTCACCCAGTCACACAATCTCGAACGCAAATCCTCATCGCCAAGAATCTACCCGGGTTTACCACACGGACACCATCTCACACGCAAGAGCAACCAGCAAACATCATCGCCTCAGTCACCACTCTACGCAGCATAGTCACAAAAGCCACTGGTCTCGACTAAAAACAGGAGCCTCAACCGAAATCCCAGAGCAAGATTCAGCAATCTCCAGGTATAGAATCGGGCAATGGGGCTGAGAACCACACACGCAACCGCCTAAGAGCGCTCAGCCATGACAACCACACGACTGCCCCTACAGGACCGCAGCAACCTACAAAACAACCTACAAATCCGAGTTGTACCATACAGTCCCCCTCGTCTGAGTTCGGATTTCTCCATTGCACCCCATCCCGATAAGGATACCTGTAAACCATCATATGCATCATCGCCAGCCAATGTTGAGGTCTACCAAAGCGACACGCCCCAGACACAGCGTCTGTCGCCTTGCTCCAGCCCAGTGGTCTCAAGTCCAGCATCACCACTAGGATCATACTCAAGACCTAACGACCATGGCACGGACAGACGCAGAGCTGCCACGCCTCGGCGGCCTTCTACATCATCATCCAATCGCCGCCTCAAGCACGTTGTGAATGTTCACTCGGACAAGACCTTCTCACTGCGGCCGCAAGTAGAACGTGAATCTAGTTCCGTCTACTCAAGCTCATTTCTGAATTCGACCCTCACCAACAGCACATATGGGAGAAACTCGTCTGTTACCTTGAGCCATGGAAGACGCAGCTCAGTCATGGCACTGCGACAGCCGGAGTCTGCCCCAACATCACCGGACGAGAAGACGCCTCCCAAGCCAAGTGCGGATAATTCTGCCAGCACATCTTCACCTTGGAACTATGAGTTTGTCGGCGGCCTGCGCAAAGTATATCGGCACACACCCGCACCTGAGTCTGAAGCCGCATCCTCGCCAATCGCCACGCCAAGCAAAGCTCACCTGCCCCCATCAATTATCAATAGGGCCGCGCGCCAAAGCTCCATGCTCATCCCACGCAAGCCGCTGCCCAGCTCATACTTAGAAAGTCCGGCTGCTTCAGACACTCCAAACGTGAGGATCCTAAGACAACCACTGCCAACGGCCTCCCTTTATGGCCAGCCGTCACTTGAATTCACCAACTTCTCGCCCTCGAGTGATCAAAATTATCGTATCATCGGTGATTCCGGCTCATCCGACTACTCCCTTGGGAGCCAGTCACGACCGAGAACCGAGGATAGTGAGCCAAATTACGTCAAGCTGGATGGCGCAGCTTCGCCGTCGGTCGCCGCCACGCCTGCCCCAAGGCTCAAGTCAGAATTCTCCCAAGAAAGTTTGATCGTGGCACCCCTCAATCCTGCAAGAAAACTCTTCACCGACAAGCCCATCTCTGTCAAGCTCCCACAAGGAGGGTCATCGCCCAGATTTATCGCTACTTGGTCCGCTATGATGAACCACGACGCCGCTCGCGCACTGTTCGGCTCCAGGATATATCCGCCGAGATCTCGGAACACTAGGGCGCCTTCGCAAACCAGATCTCCCTTGTCTACCCCCAAAGCGCATCAAAGCCAATTTCAATCGCAGCCGCCCCTGTCAACTGTGTTCTCCGAGAGCGAAGGAGAAAATGGACGCCGACCTGGGTCCCTCTCCACGTTTGCTGCTGAGCTCAACCCCTCGGCAGATGACTTACAGCCAGGCGAATCCTCTCTCACACGACAAGTCATGCCGACATCCGAGCCAGTTGACTGGCCGCAGGCCGCTTTTGGGAAAGGGCAGGATAAGGAGTCTAACTCAAGCTACCATCTCGTCGGCGACCAGGATGAACATGGCGATGGCTTGACGGACTTACGCGATCTCCTAACGCACCGCCCTTCCAGGAGGGGTGTATTTCCTGCCATGATGGCCAATTACGCTTCAGATCGAAACCTGTGGTCCTCCGCAAGCGCCAGAGCAACAAATTGGGCAATTCCAGCATGGGCAAGGTAGGTCCACCAACCCAAAACTTCAATTTGACTTGGAGCTAACTATGAGTCAAGGCTATACTACGGCGGCGATGAGCGTCGTTTCCTCGCACACCAGGTTTCCCGCGACTCCATTCGCTCTGTAAACACAGACGGCCAAGCGGGATCCTCGCTACAGAGGTTTTCTAACAGCGTTGAACAATTCGGGGTCTTTCCCCATCCCCAACAAGAAGCCCCGATTGCGAATGGCAAAACACCTGTCACAATTCAAAGGTCCTACCCCGATCTGACTTGGGCTCGGACGCTCAAGAAACAGACATCAAGCTTGTGGTCGCCACACCTACGACGAGATAACAGAGCAAGCACCCACGGAATCTGGGACCCTCCAGCTGGCGTTGTATCGGTCGAAGGCTGCATCACGGCGCGACGGAATGTACAGGTGGTCCTTTTCATGTTTGGATTCATTTTCCCAATCGGTGAGTCCCCTAACTAGACTCCCCAAATCCATCCGATGAATCTAACATGTATCATTCGACAGCTTGGATGGTGGCCGCGTTTGTACCCCTCCCAAATAATCGGAATCTGAACGACAAGGACTTCCCGAGCACTAGCCATATTGACCTCACCGAAGATGTCGGCGCAAGCCCGTCTCAACTTGCCAAGGAAATCGCCCTCTACAACCGCGCAAAGTGGTGGAGAGATCTCAACCGGGCCATGGCCGTCATTGGGCTCTTGATTATCGGTGCCTTTGCAGTTCTCATTGCGCTCGGCGTCAAACAACGATGGAGATAGCTTTGCCACCGCAAGCGAACTCAACCAGCCACTACTAGAAAGCGTTTCAGGTTCACACAGCCCTTTGATTCAACACTCCTTACACTTTGATTTCTTTTCCTTCACCAGAAGTTTGATCTTTTTCGGCACAGATACGCCGCTACGAATTGCACCGATGTACACGATGTACGATGCGCTCACGACATTGATTCTTTAGCGTCAACTCAGCAACCTCTCTCTTTCTCTCAGCCCTTTCATTTTTCGCGCAAAATCCGCGGGTTTTCAACTTGGTTTCGAATCTCATGCTACACACAATTTGACCCTATTTTATATGATATGAATGTATACATAAAGCACAACTTCTTCTTTTCGCAGACCACGACGAGCCGCCGTTGGCAGAGTCACATCTTTATGTACAATATAACGCCGGACGCGAAGGGGAAAGCCTGCCGAATTGCGTTGGGACTCGTAAGGACTCGGTGCTCAAGCAGCCAAGAGTCTCAACAGCTACCGCAGCATTTCGGTCTTTTCCCCATGACGGACGATATTTGATGTTTCTACGATATATTTACAACGTCATCTTCATGTCTTATTACACTCCTTTTAGATTAATTGAAATATGATTAATGGATTATTCTATTTTTGTCCAATTCTAGTTCTTCGCCAGGCTTTGTGGTGATGGACACAGTGTCTGTCGTTTGCCAATGCCACGCACTTTATATGCCGTTGATCAGTTGACTGGCATTCGCAACTCTTCATTCGTCCACCACAGCTTATGCAGTCTTCTTCTGCCGTGCCTCGACCTCGGTGCGGATCTCTTCCATTGCTTCTGAGATGTCTCTCTCAGGATCCTTGGAGATGCCGAGAATCGGATGACTGCCCGTGAGACTATCCGTGCTGAGTGACCGAACAAGCTTGGCCTTTCCTTGTCGCTTTTCTAGTTGCTTCTTGAGGAGCGCCTTGCCAGGGGAAGCAATGAAAGCGAGCGAGGTAAGAGTCCAGACTAGGGCGTAGAAGTAGACGCGAGACCATGCCAAGAGCGATCCGCGGAAACTGAGGACCAGGAAGGGCATGGTGGCAAACGAAAAGGTCACCTGTGTGACGAGGAAACTGGCAAAGTCGTAGTACTTTTTGTTCCTTGTTGGCGCTCCCGTAGTTGCATCCAAGAAGAATGGCCGAACATGACGTCGGAAGTCTGAGGTCGTGGTTAGCTGTGCGTCTCCGTTGAGAACAACAATGATGACTTACTCTTTGCTGAAGTCTGAATCAAACTAGCAAGAATGAAACTGAGATAGTAGCCAGGGTAGAACCCATGCCAGAGTGCGCTCGTAGCAAAAGTAATCATGCTAGCTCGGAAACCAGGCTTTTTGCCACGAGGGGTGACGCGAAGATAGACGTAATTGCGCAGCCAATGGTTTGTGTTCATGTTCCATCCGGCAAGATATGCTCGCGGGTTTTGCGCCGTTTCCACACCGATGGGGTCTATGTTTTGTAGCCGGTTCCACGATACCTTGCCTGTAACGGGGTCGACGCCATTGTAGCCGAGGCCAGCAAGAATGCAGGACCCTTCGGTCAAGGTCCATACTCCATAGTATTTGAAGCGTGTGACGATTCCGGTTGCGTACATGATGAAGACTCGGTTGAGAAAGCCCCGGTCGAGATAGGAATCCGAGGTCAGGACTTCGTGGTTGAAAGAGCCGGCCAGGATGACGAATAAACCGACCCAAACGAGACCAGTGAGGGCCTTTACCAGAGCTGGGGTACCACTACGCGGGATTCTTCGCTTCTTTCGTGACGGGGGCTTCTTGGATGGGTCAACGCCTGCCGGAACATCAAACATGGTCGTGTCAATCCATCGCTGATAATCGACGTAGTCAAAGGCAGGGCCGGCTAGAAGAGAGGGGAAGAACATGACGTAGGCGGAGTAGTTCAAGAGGCTGGGTAGCCCCTTCAAGGCACGCTCTTTTTGAAAGTCGGATAGCTGGTCCTCCGGGATTTGACCGTCGGCAATGTTCCAGCAGAAGGCGCTCAGTTTCATGAGGAGCACCATCTGTGCGCCGGTAATATCAACAACGGACGGGTCATTCTGAATTTGACGCTGAATATGGCTGATGGACATGTGCGTCATCAGAAAAAAAAAGCCGACCCAGGGCATGTATGGGCTCTTTTGTAGGTACTTTGCGATGCTGTAGGTACCGATGGCGCTGATGGCAATGGTGCGGAGGCCGTACCAGAGGTCGAAAAGTCCAACAAGGTAGAAGAGTGACGTGCTGTGTTGTGAGCAAGAAGTAGCTCGCGGGTGATTACGAATGAGAAACTTACCTGATGATGAAGACATTTTTGTAAGCCGGCTTCGCATCAGGTATACGCTTCAGGAGGCCGGCGAGCGGGTATGAAAGTAGAAATGAGAAGGTGATTTTAACTGCAGATCGTTAGAGTTTGCATGATTCCCCCTCCGGACCACGTACGCTCATCAGGGGATGAACCCACAACGCTCGAGAGAGCCTCAAATGCTGCGTATTGGAGTTAGCTAGGTATGCACAAAGGACGATGAATTCTTTGACGAAGACGGCGTTTCTGGGAAGCACGTTGACGGGGACAGCTGGCGACGTACGCTTGTTTAGGAGAGGGATCATGGTAGCTCTGTTGGGGGGGTAGCTCAGGTTCCGAGTACGATACAGGGAAGGGAACTTTCTCGCGACATAAAAGAATCAAAAAAGAACGAGCATTCTGGCATGTCAGCCGTTATGACTTGGTTGGGAATGGAGCGTGATTCGATGAGTTCAGAGACCTCGACAGGTAGCAGGTAGGAAGGTAGGAGGGTAGGTAGGTAGGTAGGTGCTGGTAGCTGGAGTCCGTCACGGGGCTGTAGCTGTGCCGTGTGGATCCAGTCAGATGCCACCGTTGGAACGCGTGCCTGTCAGGGTGAGTTTTCAACTGTTGGGAGAACGTCGAAGCTGGGTTTGGGAAGTTGGCCAAATTGAAAATATCTGTATGATGCAGAACAGAGCAAATGTGAATTCTGTGTGCTGGTGTGAAGGAAGCTCGATGGGGCTTTTGGATGGGGCTTTTGACGTCACCGCTGGGCGGCCTTATTAGGCCGTTGTTTCGGCATATGAGGCATCTAGTATTTGTTACTGTTGGAATCAAGGTGTATTCGAATAATAACAAAACAATAAATAACGTCAATTTAGTTCCTAATAATTAATTATGACTATTAAACGCTGCCTTCCTCAATAGCTAGAATCAAGGAAGACCTATAAAAATAGGTCTTCGACTAACATATTGTTAAGGGCTGGGCTGCGGAGCCCGCCCTGGTCCTTCCAGAGTGGCCGGCGCGGAGCCCCTAGGGGGCCCCTTATAGGTGCAACCAGACAACAATCGTGCCAGTATTGTTATTACGAATCCTTTTGGCCTCGTGGTCGAGAGGGTTGTGCGCCGCAAGGCCCACTAACGGCAGAAGTGCTGGTTGCCACTGGAGCCCTCCGGGCCAGTCCGTTACACATATTAGCTAATAAGAGGCTAGTATTAAGTTAGCTACTTATATAGGTTTAATACTTATACTTTCTCTCTTTATAGCTTTATAAGTAGGCCTAATTTACTTAAAAATATAATAAAAATCTATTCCTTTTAGTATTATTAATACTAAAGCCTTATTCTGCTATTTTAAATTAATTAGCTAAAGGGGATAATTATAGCTACTATAATTATAATTAAGTAGCTATTAATAGTCTATTATCCTTTTAAAAGCTTTTAGCTTATTAATAATTAACCCCTTCTTTATTCTCTTTTTCTTCTTCTTCTTAGCTAGTTCTTCTTCTTAGCTAGTTCTTATTATTAATAATTAATATTAATAAGTAATAGGAATTAAGGCTTATTTAGTTAATAGTTAATCCTTCTAGAAAGGTCCTAGTTTAAAGTTATAAATAGCTTTATTTAGTAATAAATACTTTAATTAGTCCCTTTAAAGGAAGTTTAATATTTTAATCCTTCTAGAAAAGTTCTAGGTTAAAGTTATAGGTAGCTCTATTTAGTAATAAACACTTTAATTAGTCCCTTTAAAAGAAGTTTAATATTTTAATCCTTCTAGAAAGGTTCTAGGTTAAGTATAAGTAGCTTAGTTTAGTAATAAGCACTCTAATTAGTCCCTTTAAAGGTTTATTTTCTTATAATAGATAATAAGGTAAGAGATCTCTATAGGTAGTATAAAGCAATAAATAGCGATCTTTCTTACCTTAGGTAGTATAGAGGAATAGTAATTAGTCTATCTCTTCTTTTATCCTAACTATCTATAGTTAATTACTACTAATTAGTGTTAGAATTAAGGTGTATTTAAACAATAATAAAACAATAAATAACGTCAATTTGGTTCCTGATGATTGATTGTGACTGTCAAACGCTGCCTTCCTCGATGGCTGGAATCAAGGAAGACCCACGAAAGTGGGTCTTCCACCAACGCGTTGGCCAATGAGAGGCCAGCGTCGAGTTGGCTGCTTGCGCAGGTTCAACAGTTACACAAAGCGGGAAAGACGGTAATTCTAAATCAAACGTGGTATCGACAAGCCCAAGATTACCCCAAGATTACACCGGTTTGTTTTCCCCATAGTAATACAACACCATGCAAATAAGCCAATGGGGAAAGGGGAATTGACAAGATGGATTCCGATGGGACGCCAAATTTCAAGAGCTGGTGTCCATGGCACCATCTTTGCCGTCTTCATCCTTATCGCCCGTGGCAGAAGCAAAATTTAAATGTTTCCAATCCTCCAGCTCCTCCGTGACGGAACGCATTCTGTCACGTATACTCTCAATGGCATAGCTGCCCAGAAGCAGGCGGAGCGGCGGGTATGAGCAGTGAGCGAGCTGCCATACAAGCTCGGCGCATTTGACCGCGCTCGTTGGCTGCCTATCCCCGAGCCACTGCACCATCCGCTTGGCATGAAGAGCGGGAGACGTGGCGTCCGAGTATCCCTCGCTGGCAGGCTTGATGAAGAAATGGCCAAAACTGGGGAGAGGACTGTCTGAATCGTTCGCCATGGGCTCATCGCGTCGTACGAAACCCGGCTCAATCAGGGTTGCTTTGATGCTGAAAATGTCCGTCTCGTAGAGCATGGCTTCGATGAGACCCTCGACGGCATACTTTGTTGCGCAGTATGGCCCTAGTCCAGGCACGCCAAGAGCACCCGACGTGGAGCTGAAGATGAGATATCTTCCGTTATTTTGCCGTCTAAAATAGGGGAGTGTCGCATTGATGATGTGCAGCGTCCCCATAAAGTTGGTCTCGAACTGATTTCGAAGATCATGCTCGTCCTGGTCCTCACACGAGCCAATGACACCATACCCTGAGCAGTTGGCAACGACGTCCACATGGCCAAAATGATCCAGGGCACGCTTGACGACCTTGGAGACTGATTCACGCGATCGTACGTCGCACAGCTCACCAAGGCAATTCTCATGCATGTTGGCCATCTCTTCCGGAGTGGATTCGAAAACTCTACCAATGGAGACAACATAGTCGCCCTTTGACAAGGCACACTTGACCAGGGACCGGCCCATGTGTCCAGTGCCGCCAAAAATCTATTCCTCGTGAGCGCTGTTCATGACTATCGATGCTTGTCAACGTACAATCCAAACGAGCGGCTTGGAATTGTCCATAGGCGGCTCACAGCTGGCAGGCAGCTGGAGCCGGGCCTTGCCATCCTCAGACACATCCATGTTTCGTAGCTGTCTCTCGCCAGAAAGCTGTCAGAAGGACGAAATCGAGCAGAAGTCTGACCTCGGTAGCAGACGGCATCCAATGCCAGGTGGTTCCACAAGATTGCGCGTGATGCGCGGCACCACGCTGGCTGCGGATGGCTGGGTATTTAACCAAAGTGTCAAAGGGGCATGATGCAGTTGGTTTAGTTCGTTACAAGTCGGCAGCTGAGGAGAAAGAACTGCCGAGTTCGCGACGCTGCTAACGCGGAGCTCCGGTTTGCCCCACTGCGCCTCAGACAAGGGACGCCTGGCATCGGTTCAAGCCGACGAGATTTTGGACGGCTGCGGCAAGTGGTTTATCGATGGGGAGAGTGACAGTCTAGTTTGCCGCCGAGGTAGCATCATTGATGCCGGCTTATGGCCAGGCGGGCGAGGAAGGGTACAGGTAGCATTCTACGCCCACAGGCCTTCTGACATAGCGTTCGTAGCAAGTCTCCTTATTGGTTCAGTAGTACTACTCGGCCTTTATTTTTAAAATATCGATTCAAGTACGAATTGTTCCCTATACCTCATCAAGACAGAAACTCCTCGACGTACTCCTTGCGAAATTTGTTCTCGTCGAGCTCTGTGCTGCGATTCAGAGGCGTCCACTGAGGCTCATCCTTGAAGAGTCGCATCGCATGGACATACTATTTCGTGTTAGCACCGATGCTGCTTTACGAACTGCGAGTGACTTACGTTGGACTCGTCTGTGGTAAATCGGTGGTAAATCCCGGCGGGCAGGATGATGAGATCGTCTTTTCCGAGATGAATGCGAATCCAGCTCTCATCCTCACTTCTTACGTCAAAGTATCCTTGGCCGTCGCGAATGTAGCGAATCTCCTCGTCCTCATGAAGGTGCTCGTGGAAGAAGGTCTTTACCTTGTCTTCGTAGATGGCGCCCATCTTTTCCGGAGAGACAAAGATTTCATCTCGGTTCCTGTAGCCTCGCTCCTTGGCCAGATCGTTGACGCCGCCGATATCGGTGATGCGATAATATAAGACACCCAGTTTGCGCAGTGCGTCGGCGTCGATAACCTTGCCAGAATCATGCGCCAGTCGCTGGTCGCCCTACACTACGAGGTCAGCAGTGGCAAGAGCGCGGTTTGGCGCCGCGCGGCACTCACCGGCAGGTTGTCATATATATATGCCCTCATTTTGAGCTGGTTTGGTAAGATGAGGAGGGGTAAAATTTGCTGCTGATGTCGTCAGACTGGCGTTCTAGACGACGCCGGCTCAATAGTTACATAAGCCCCTCCAACGATTTGCATTTGCATCCCCACAACCCAAATACACTAGGAGCCAATTGCCATGCGAGTATATGTCGCCATCTGTCCTTCCTACCCTCTGCACTCTTGCTGTCGCCGGGCAGTTGCAGAGATGAACAGGCAATATGGAAGGCACTATTCCGAGGTCTACGCAAGCTGGTGAAACTGATGATCCATCACTTGGTTTCTTTCTCCAAAGTGGAGCTATTTCTATGATCCATGCTTCGTGTCGCCAACGCCATGCGCCAAGTGAAAGCACTTTATAAACAATATAGGGAGAGCATTTATCCATCTTCACGGTCGTTCCATTTTTCGTCGTGCGCCAAAGATGGCAAATGCTGTGATACGAGTCTAGCGAGCTTCGGCGACTGCCGCATCGTGGACCCGAGCGTGTATCAAGTCGTCCACGTCGTCGGTCGAGGGGCGCGCAGGCCGCCCTTCAAAAAGCCTGCGCCACCATGCTGGCGGATCTAGGGGTCGCGAGCCGTTGTGAAGGGGGGGGTACACGTCCGTGAAAAAGTACCAGACATGTCCAATGACAACACCCATGATTTCGTCCTTGGGAATGTTGCCGTGCATGATGAGACTGAAGCCCATCAGCACCCACGGCAAGTATGGAGCGGTGAAGACAAGAACGCCCAGAAAGCTGAGCTGCGTTTCTGGGTTTTTCCGGGACCAAATATATACAAGAGTCGAAGAAAGCGGATGGCCTAGGAACGGCAACGAGACGAGCGGGGACATGATGATGAGGCTAAGCATGGCATAAAGCAAAAGCCAGGAGAAGTGAGCGGGCGACCGGCCGGATGATTCTTCGAGAAGGCGCGCGTATCGCTGAAGGAAGTATATGTGGAAGAGTAGATTGATCGAGAACGGACCGAAATAGAGGAACGACGTCACGAGGCGCCAATACTAAGGCGATGTTAGCATCTCGCCGAGGAGCAGATTTCGGAGCAACATGCCTGTGATCTATGAAAGACAGCTCGGTAGCTGTAGAAGAGCTGATATGGTGAGACGATGCGGCACTGGACCAGGGCACTGGCGAGCAGCGTCGCTGTCGTCCACCATCGCGTGCAAACAGGCGTCTCCCAAAACCAGGCCTCCACGGGCAAACGGGCACCATCCATCGCCTGATCCATGTGGGGGAGGCGTGCAATGAAGGAAAACGAATCTTGCGAGCGTAGGACACAGTTGGGGAGCAGGCTGGTCACTTTGTCATTGTTCGATTAGGAGTCTTGGAGAAGAAGCGTGTCCTATCAGAGTGATGGGGACGTCACTGGAGCCACGTCAAGAAGAGTGGCACAGGGTAACTACTGGGCAGGTAGCATGGTGAGCAAGGCTCCGGGGAGGTAGGTACCGATACACCAGCCACACACAGGTACCTAGGTACCCAGACAGGCCACATTAACCAACCCTGCCAAACAATACCAGAGCGAATTATGCAGCATTCTGCAGCATTATGCAGTCTCTTTATACGGATTATACCTAGGTACCTAACTACCTAGGTAGGTAGGTAGGTCGTTATTAGAACAGCTTGTGGCGTACTCCAGCTCGCTGGTCAGTTGATCGGCAACGACGCAAATTCCAGCAATTGCAAACTGCTAATAACTAACTTAAAAATACCTAGGTACGCAATTGAACCTTCGTGACAAACCTATCCCAACTAGAATGTATTTAGGCTGTACTTAGGCTGTATCCGCTTTATCCGCTGTATCCGTACTAGGTAATTTGTACTTATTAATTAGGTACCTCATATGTAGGTAGGTAGGAAGGTACATACCTCATGCTAGCTGCCCCGTAGTATCGTCCTACGTCACCAGCGGCTAACTAGGTCGCGGTCCCCAAGCAACCACCCAGAGTTGATAGAGCACCGACAGAGTCCACGCTCATTAAAATGTCAACATTCAGACCAGTAGCCAGACTATTTGCCCTAGGACTCGCACCGGCCGCCTGTGTCGGCGCCTCCTTTGCGCTCCGCAAACCCGTCAAGTTTGATGCGCTTCAGCCAGCGCCCGTTTCACAGCAGCTGCGTCGACGAGGTGAAGTTCACTCCCCCGACCGACTTTCGCCTCGGATTATTGAGCAACTATCACGCGGGAGTATCCTTGGTATGTCGTACCTCTAATGCCTCCTATTCCCGCTGCTTGTTAATCCAATTGTCAAGGGTTTGGAGCCGGCGTGGTCATTGCCTTCTTCTCACGCACTCTGGTCTTTCTCAGCGGTCTAGTAGCAGGGTCTCTGCAGGTCGGTTTCCTTGGACCGATGTCTCGCGTGTGTGCGTCACTGACAGCTGTCCCAGATTGCGTCAAGAATGGGGGTCGACGTCTTCGGCCTGATCCCGATCGACCGGAGGATCTTGACCGAATCAGCAGTGCTTAGGGTATGGGTTGGGAAGCCATGGTTTACATCATCGTTTTTATTGACCTTTATCCTCGCGGCATTTGTGCGCCTTTAGATGGGCTGGGTGTTACGCTGCAGGAAAGCGAGCGCCAGCTCATCCTTCGCGAGCAAGCCCTGGGTCTTTTCCAAAGTCTCCTTGTTCTTGGCATTGATCCACTCCTTCTCCTCCTGGGTCAGTAGGGACTTGTCCATCATGTTACTACAATAGGGGGCCATGGTGACGTTTTCGAATCCGTAGTACGGCGTGCCGCCAAAGTTATTCTTCGTCCTGACCTCCTTGACTACAATGACGTTCTCGATACGTATACCAAAGTTGCCATCTTCGTAGTAGCCGGGTTCATTCGAGAGGACGTTGCCGGGCTTGAGGGGGAATTCGCTGTACGCCGGACGGGCGCCGATACCCATGGGGCCCTCATGCACATTGAGGAACGAACCGACACCATGGCCAGTGCCGTGGCGAAAATCGAGGCCAGCGTTCTACAATAGATTAGCCATAGTGCAGACGTGCAACGGATCGATGAGCCTACCCAAAGAAACTGTCTGGCAAAGGCGTCCAGAGCAAACCCGGTAGCGCCCTTGGGAAAGATCGCCCGGTCCAGGGCAATGAGACCCTTGAGGACGCGCGTGTAAGCCTCCTTTTCGCGCTCGGTCGGGGTTCCAAAGTGCATAGTGCGAGTGGTGTCTGTCGTGCCATCGTAGTATTGGGCACCAGCGTCGCAGAGGTAGACGGCGTTGGGATCGATGATCGAGCTCTTGCCGTGTCTGGCGTGGTAGTGCATGATGGCCGCGCTGGAGGACATGTTAGCCTCTTGCTTGCGTCGTTGGAGCGCCAGCTCTTACTTGGGTCCGGTGCAGGAAATGGTTGCAAAGGACTCGCCGACGAAGAGATCTTGCTTCTTGCGAAACTCCATCAGCATGTCGGCGGCCTGCGCCTCGTCAATGGATGCCTTCTTCTCAACAAGCTGGTTCTCGAGCCAGGCATAGTACGAAGTCAGGGCAGCGCCGTCACGGATATGACAAGCTCGCATACCCTCCAACTCGACGTCATTCTTGACCGACTTGGCATCCGTGATAGAGCTCTTGACCTCCTCGGCCTTGTCCTCGCCGCCAATGGCGGTCTTCACAGCCCACGAGGCGGTGTCGGTGATCAGGTACTTGCCGTCAGAGGCCTGCTCGACATCAGCAAAGAATCTGGTGTAGGGCTTGATCTCAACATCGTTCGCAGCGAGGTGATCTCGGACGGATTGATTGGCCTTGGACTCCTCGACGTAAAGAATGGCCTTGTCATGTGTGATGGATGCATAGCAGTAGAAAACCGGGTTATACTCGACATCGTGACCACGGAGATTGAAGAGCCAGGCAACTTCGTCCAAGGCAGTGACGTACATACCAGCAGCCTTTTTCTTAGCGATCTCCTCGCGGAGCTCGGCGAGCTTGTCCTTGACGGTTTTCCCAGCATACTTGTCCGGGTGGATAAAAATTGTGTTGGTCGGGGTGGCGGGACGCTCTTTGCCCCAGATCTTGTCAACCAGGTTTTCATGGATAGCCACCAGTCCAGAGCCACCAGCCTTACGGATCGTCTCCGTAAGCTTCTTCGCGACAGCGGGCGTGATGAGGGTCGGGTCTACGCCAGCCGCCTTGCCGTCCTTGCACTGCTCGGCTACCCAGTCCTGCCAGGTCATCTCCTCGGGAATTCCAAACTTTATCAGCCTCCAGTTATCGTCCAGCTGCTGTGTGGCCTGGTTGAAGTATCGGCCGTCGGTCGAGAGTGCCGCCGCATCTTCGCTGACGACGGCCGTGCCAGCAGATCCGTCGAAGCCCGAGAGGTACTCCCGGCGGTTGAAGCAGTCTGCGGCGTACTCAGATGCATGACTGTCACCAGAGGGGATAACTGTGTCGAATTAGACCCTGGCAGCCCTGCTCCTCCGGAAAGGACTCACTGTAAGCACTGATGTTGTTCGCCTTCATCAGCTTGCGGAGCTCCGCAAGGCGGGGTGTGGTGTTTACACGATCCATAGCGTCAAAGGATGCTGATGTATGATGAAATGGGGCAGACTGAGATCTTGGGGGTAGGAAGGTATGTGGTTTCCAAGGAATTCCCACTGGCCGCAGTCGCATCGAAAGGGCCCTTGGTGGTTGGTGGGAGAGTTCATATATCTTGCGTAACAAGTTCCCGCCAACGGATACATGCGGTTCTAGCACCCCTCCCCCCACCTGCGGCACAGTGGACCAAGAACGATGGACATGCCACATTGAGACGAGATCATCACCTTCTTACGTTATAGAAGGGATTCATTTCCATCTATTGTATTCTCGTAGCTCGCTAGGAAATGTCAAATCGGATTCCCCTCTGGCATGGTGCTTTGTTATTGATGGTTAACCGGGGGTAGGGCTTGGATGAAGGCCATGCATACCCGGTCCTAGAGGAATACGTGACGAGCAAAAAGGAGGTCCTCCCTGGAGCAGTTAAGCAGTTTTGCCGCGTGACGCCGGCGATATGATCGCGTGCTCCTAGATTTCATGCCGAAAAACAACAGGTCTATCCGCTTGATCTCGTAACCCACCCTTGATGATCGGGTGTAGCATGTTTATGATAGTCTTGTTAGTAATGGAAAGACATTATTATTATAGTGCTATTTTAATTTACACTGTATTTATTGGCGTTGTTCTATAGAAAAGCTGCTAAAAAATATAGGAGTAAGATAGTTAAGAAATAAAGCATTGGCTAAGTGCGGCTAGAATACACCTTATAGATATTGTTTGTTTTTCACTGCATCGGACAAACTAGCTGAGCGCCTGGCTTTTTTTTTTTCTCGTTTTTACCGAACACATGTCTCCTTCTAGGTCAAAAAGAATAGCAGTCACCGCCTGTACGTCCGCGAAATATTTACTTTCGGATGACCTCTAAAATAAATGGTCACTCTATAGTTTCCGTCTGATTATATTTTCGTGATTGGGAATGCCTATTCGCCAGCACAATGCTTTTTTTATTTCTTTCGTGAAAGCCCTCTTAGCTACCTACCTATAGTATCCTGAAACCTAAAGTTGATGAATACTACTAGCTAGATAGAATATATTGCTAGACAAAAGCTGCTCTCCTCGACGAACATCTAACTACGTAATATTTCCGCCTTATGTGGCCTTTTCACATTTCTTATTGTTACGTTATTTGCTAGTACTTTTTTCTCTTTTTGAGAGCGCTTGCTGTCAAAGAAGCTAGGTCCGCGCATTTTGTCGCGTTGCAGCAAAAGCGGGATCCACACCTTTACTAGCATGAATTTGACCTTAAGTACTGTACTGTTCAACTGTTCAACACACACCCTATTGTTAGGAGTATTTGCTCCTAATGAACTGCGATATCAGATATTTCTATAGTCTTCTTCTAGGTACATTTAGTACTGACCATGTTTTTCCTAGGTGTGGGATTTGAACTTAAGGCCTTTAATAGCAATTTAGCGACAGCATCTTCGGAAGTTAGACCGTTAGACCACCTCCCGGGCTCACGTTGCAGCAAAAGCGGGATCCACACATGAATTTGACTTGACCTTACTGTTCAACACATTTAGTTAAACCCACTCACTCCATCTTGCGCTACGTTTTAGCCGCATGACCTAGGCACACATCAGCCCGAAGTACTTGAAGCTCGCTCTTGTTTAAGGGACGAACAGGGCCGCATCCAGTCATTGCGGCCTTGAAGCACATACACATACAATGCGACGACTTCTATCAACCCAGTCCCTACAACCGCGGGTTATCTTCTCCGGGATCCAGCCCACAGGCGTCCCGCACTTAGGCAACTACGCCGGTGCACTACGGCAATGGGTTCAGCGTCAACGCGAGGAACCTGAGTCTACTCGCCTGCTCTACTCGATTGTCGACCTACACGCCATCACGGTACCACAAAATCGTACGGCTCTGAGAAAGGCGAAGAGGGATGCTTTAGCTTCGTTACTAGCCATTGGCATTGACCCGAGCAGATGCACCCTATTCTATCAGTCCGATGTATGGATAGACAAAGTAAAGGGCGTGGACAATCGCAGCTAAATGTCAACAGGTCTCAGCGCACTCTGAGCTCATGTGGATACTATCATGCACAGCATCGGTGGGATATCTTTCTCGGATGACGCAGTGGAAGGTAAATACATATAGAACGCCGCCAATGATCTCGTCACTTACAAGCCTTCAGTCCAAGCTTAGTCTGGAAGAGTCGTCTCATATAAGCGATGGGCGTGTTGGAAACAAACTCAAGCTAGGCCTTTTCTCCTACCCAGTCTTACAAGCTGCCGACATTCTCGTTCACAGGTTCGTCTACTATAAGATCTGGCATGTGGCACAACTGCTCACGATCGCCTAGGGCAACTCATGTTCCTGTTGGCCACGATCAGCAACAGCATATTGAGTTTGCACGCGAGTGCGTCACCAACTTTAATCATGCCTATGGGCCCCAACTCGTCTCCCCGGAGATCATTATATGTAGGCCCAAATTGATCATCTATCCCACAGTGAAGAGCTAATGGAGAGGTCCACACAGCACCAGTACGCCGAGTAATGTCACTCACGGAACCGACGTCAAAAATGTCCAAGTCTCATCCACTGGAACGGTCCCGCATCTTGCTGACCGATGATGCGGACACAATACATGCGAAGATATCGTCTGCGTTGACAGATTCCTTACCAGGCGTCACTTATGATATTAAGACCAGGCCCGGAATCTCGAATCTACTGGATATCTACTCTATCTTCAACGCGGAGGGCAAGACTGCGGCGCAATTAGCCTCAGACTTCAGCGAAGCCAGCCCAAGGGAGCTGAAGGCGGCCGTTTCCGAAGCTGTTATCAAAGGCATGGATGGCTTCGCGCGACGCTACAAGGAGCTTGTCGAGGACACCAAGTATCTAGATCATATCGCCGCTGAAGGGGGGAAGAAGGCACGACATAGCGCGGATGAGACAATGCATCTGGTCAGGGAAGCCATGGGTCTCTAATCCCGGGATCCTATCTTGCATCAATTGCTACATAGATCGCGTGTACAACACATCTTCGCTCTTTATTTGGTGGATCCATCTCTGGTTTTTCCTCGTTGTCATGATGCGTATGAGAAGCTCGCTCCTCTGGCGGCGAGCCAAAAATCGCGAACTACTTGGTTGGTGGCGCGAGCGCCGCGGAGACTATATTGAGAGGTCAGCGTGCGTTGTATTGTGTAATCAGCAAATGGCCCCGAACCTTGCCACTTTCTTAACAAACATTGCTTTCTCCGTCTGCGAGACCTTTGTGCTTGGGAATGAAGGGTGGTTTAGAGCAGCTTCTAGCCATTCTTTGGCTTTCATATGCCTGTTGATCAGCCTTTTCAGAGGCTCGCTAAGTTTGTCCAGCTCGCTGCGGGAAGCGTTCCCTCCGATATTTCTTGCGAGGCATTGGCAAAGGAGGGGGCCAAGCGTGTTCATGGCACCGGACAGGGCGTGTTGAAAGCTTTCATCACTGCTTCTCACGTTGACAAATGTTGCCTGTCTGCGATTAGCAAGATATAGAGACAATGGCGTGATGTTCGTACCCAGAATTCTGCGGCCGCTGCCTTGGGCAAGGGCTCACTTCCGTCCAGGGCCTGCAATGCAAAGAGAAAAAAGAAGTCCGCCAAATCTGCAGGTTGGATATGAAGAATGACGGACGGGTACTTGGTTAGTATCCGGTTGGAGATTTCAATAGCATTCTGCGCAACCTCAGGGTCGGCTGAGATGTCTATCAGCGGTTCTACCCCTGTGGCCATGGGATTTTCTCTGGTGCAGGGAAACTGCCTCAAAAGCCCGATAACCCAAGCCAGAACAGCCGATAGGATATTGTGTTGGTTGTCTTTTCCACGTATTGAGCTAATAAATGAACACGCAGTATTGATCAACAACCCTACTCGCGGCGTGGCTAATGAATGTGAGGTCAGATATTGAGCAACCTCTGAGGCTGGGAGAACAAAGGGTCCTGGTTCGGTTTCGGAAAATCCGGTTCTCAGTACGTGACAGATTTGATCCGTGATTTCGCTGCTAGTCGGAAACATTTTTTGAAGCTCGACTATAGCAGTGACAATCCGTCTTTGAATTCCTGGTAGAACGCCATCTTGGGGTATACCAGCTTGTTCTTCACACTCAAGATCAATTGCATTTTCAGAAAGAGCTTGCACGCCTTTTCCCATACCGGTCAAGCACCTCAGCACCCTGAGTGCAATATGAAGACTGGGGCGCTCCTCTGGTAGTGTATCCGGGCAAGCCAGCTGAGAAAATTGACTGCCGTCTCCTCCCTGTGCACTCGCGAGTCGTTGGCATATTTGCATTTCTATTTCCATAAACTCCAGAATCTGCCCGTATTTGGAGTATCGCACCGCTAGGTTGGGTATAGCTTGAGCAACCGAAGCCAGGGCTTCGATCGTTCTCTCGCATGTTGCGCAATCGAGTTGCTGCAGGGTAACGACCTGCACATATGCTTTCAAAAAAGCATCCATTTCCGTATGTAGGTGAGCTCTGCAGGAAGATGCCAGTCGCAGTATCGATTTCGACGCCGCAGATGCCATAGCCCTATCTCCAAGCGTAGAAAACAATAGCTCAAGCGCTGTGGGCAGCAAAATTGGGTTCCTTTCGAAGTATTCGGTGTACAGTTCGATCAACTGAAGGCAAGCTTGTCGAGTTCGTATTGGTACGAAAATTTGATCATTTTGCAGTATTGTGAAAAGTTGTGAATGGAAAACTGTGGCTAAGAAGCTGTCACAGCGACCATCATCTTGGCAGCAATCGGCCAGGCCCCCGAGACAGTACACAGCTGCCTCAAGTCGCATCCATGCGGACTCATTTAGTGACAGTATCACGGTTTCGGCAAAGGTTGCCAACAGTTGTGGGCCTATCAAGGCATAGACAGACTGAAGAAGGTCAATGACATCTTTTCGGGAGTAGGCGAAGCCTACTCTGTCGTTGGAATCCCAGTCTGCTACTTCGTCAGTTGTTGGGTAGATGATCTTCTGCCATGCATTAGAGCATGCCTTCAGTAACAAAGCAAATGCAGAACTTTTCCACGGCTGTTCTTCGACTGAGTCAGCAACAAGATAATCTGGTATCGTCTCTGCGAATGAGGACCAAAATTCGACAATGGGGACAAAGATCCTGTCATCTACCACGGGGTAGCCTTGGGCGAGAAGAAGGTCGCAAAGATGGGATAATATCTCAGAGCTATCTGCATGACAGCTCTGCACGAGAAGGGGCATTCTCGTTTCAACAAAGGCCAGGAGCAGCTGAGCAAACTGTGTCGACTCGAATGCAAAGTCTCCCTCCGCCATCCGCCGGTAAAACCCTGCCGCCCATGGACTTTGGAACAGTATTTCCAAAAGCTGATAATGATCTGAGGTGAGGAGTGATGGGCTGTTGGATAAAACTTCGATAAGAAGCTCCGCCGACGCATCGTACACGGCATCAACCGCCAGGAGCTCGATGACATTCCCTAACAGCGGTCTCGCGAGGTTGATGGCATCGCTTCCTTGAGTTGACGCCTTTTGCGTGAAAATAATCCACGACTTAATTGCAGGCTTTAGCTCTGGTTTGATCACATGCGTTGTTTATATTCATACCTGTAGACATTTGATCCCGTCCTCAAGGATGGGCACAGGGACGCCGCTGCTTTGGAAGCATTTTTCCATCACCGTTATGAAGCTTTCTCTGTTATCCAGTATTGCCTTGTACGGTGTCGCGCTTTTGTTTCTGTCTCAGTAACTGTCTCGTTGTGGCAGATTCAAGTCTGGCTTACTTCTTCACGGAGTTCGGGTCAAGCCGCATAACATCATCTGCGACGTGCGTGGCTACCCACAAAAGCGCCTGGATTTGACGTTGCCCTAGCATATCTAGAACACTGTTCATCTGCAGGCTGGGGTCCACGGCATCCGGGCGACATGTCTGGTTGTTCGCTAGACATACTCCGATGTGGTCGAGGAAGCGCGGCCAGATTGTGTGATATCGGAGAAAGAATATTGACAACGCAGATACGAGCTTCCTCGTGACAAGACGGCTTCCGTCCTTTCTCAGCAGTTCCATGTACCATCCTATTAGACAGAGCAGTAGCTCTATCACTCCTTCGTCTAGAATCGGCGTACTGGTAGCTGGTTAGATTCCACCAGCCAGTGGTTTCTTCGCTACTCACCTTTCCGTGTTGAGCTTGATAATGATGGTGAGCACTCCAAAGAATTGAACCTTCTCATCTGTGCGGCTGAGTAGCTGCTTTGACAGTGTCCATGCTTCCGGTAAATTCTGTATTCGGGCCAGCTCCGCCTGCGTGCTTGCAATCACCTCTGGCGGATTTGGTTGGTACAGCGATATTATTAACTGCTCTCTGTCAGATGGTTGTTTGCGGTGCTGTTTGGTTTATGCGATAGTACATACCTCTTCGACCCTTGCAAGCGCCAGGGCGTCTTGTGATGCCATTCCCGCCGCTGTTGTCGCCAGCTGAGTTGCGGCAGCTTTCAGTATGAGGGGTAGAGACGGAGCAGAAAACAGCGTCGGAGCACCGCAGATACCAAACGCAACAATGGAGAAACGCCGAAAGAACGCGTCGACCGCACGAAGGTAACAACGATGAAGTGAGACTCTCCCGAAACGACGGCGGGATATATCGTGATTCACGTCGCAAAAACGAGGAACAGGGTAGGCCTTCCTCTTGCAGCCCCACCAACGACGAACTTAGCCGGGACGGCGGACAGAGGAAGAACAGCAAACAACATGCGAGAACAACATCAAATTAAGCGAAATTCGGAACGGATGATGAGATGACAGATACACAGGCACACACGAACACACGGGAATGAGAACATGCAAATGACATATATCCTGAGCATTGCATAGTGTACGAAGCCAGGAAAGGACGCCACTAGGCCGAGCACCAATCGTCTATCGATTCACCCAAAGCATATCTAATTTTCTATCATACAGGACAGGCTCACTGCCCACCAGCTGCTGCAATAGCGTCGCTGTAATAGACACAATAATGCACTCTGAAGAGGTACTGGAAGCAAAGTGTTGCCTCATGGGGCTGGAGGCGCTCTGGCACGAGGCATGGCACGCGACACGCCTAATGAATCGCCCAAGCGGCCGCGGCTCAGCATCTCCTGAGCTTCCCCCTCAGCAAACGACCTAGTTTGACCAAGATGCTCCCAAGTGGACAGTAGTTCGCCGGTGCTGCCCTTAAGAGACTGCTCCGTGTTTTCCAGCTGCGTAGACCCAAACTCCCAAAAATTCGCCTTCATGCCAATACCGTAGTACTGGTGCTTTCGGAGATAGGCGAGCCATAGCTGCACGGTTTCGGGGTTTCCATCCTGAATTTGGATCATCCGACGTAATGTCCTTCGCTCAAAATTTTCCTGTGACTTTTTGAAAATGAAGTGATCCCTCGGAACCGTCCAACGCTCTGTTATCCGCGGCAGAGGCACAGGCCCGAACGCGGGTAGGCCTAGATAATATGCGGCTCGGAGGGCAAAATCGGAGAAGAACTCGAGCGGCTGAATACTGTAAGACCGAAGCTGGAGGTCGCACGAAGGAATGCCATGCTCTGGGGTGCGGCGAAGAGGCTTTAGGTGGATAGCTTGCGCCGATCGAGGATTCCGTAGCTCATCATCCTCAACAGGCCGAGCGGTAACTGACTCATCATTCGAGATCGATTTATCAGGGCCGACAGTACCGTAGAACCTGATACAAATTTAGCGAATGGATCATGCAATGTCCACCGAAGGATTGTTGCAAACCTGGAAGCTAGCGAGGCGTTGCTGGTTCGTGGTAGGGCCGGCTTGTGTCTGTCAGAGTATATTCTGAAGCCAATATTGGTGCGATTGGTAGACCTACCCGGAAATGCACCAATTGCCGTGGAATATGGCGGCGCATAGTGATGTTCGCGTTTGATGCTAGAGTGAAGTTGACCAGCAGCCTTTTAGTTAGGGGATAGAACCCAACAGCGAATGAGAGCATCACAGATAGACCCACATCCCATGGCAGCGCCTCGACCATTGCAATATCAGAAGGTGAAAGCAGACCGAAAATCAGGTGGCAAAATTTAAAAGGCTCGATATTTCACAGGGCGCTCCATTAAGATGAATGAAATTTAATATATTTCAACTGTGGTCCTTCGCGACCTGATACTGGAGCGGCGCACGAGCCAGCTAAGTTGCAACAACCGTTGCACTGCTTGCTCGAGGTCGAATCTTGTGATCAGCGATTATTTCTAGGGCGCGGCATCGAAGTTCTTCGAGGGCGGCTAGGCGCTCATGCCTGTGTGCTGTACCCACAGCTGCCACATGCTACCTGGACCCGGCCGCGATAGGTGTTAAATCTGGCTCCTCTCGCATGGCGAGATAGCGGTAGCTGATGGTGACATGGCCCAAGGGGATTCCACCGCAGAAAGTTTCGGGGGATATAGAAATGTCTTGCTTGCGCAACGGGTCATCAACGCTGCTAAAGCTCAGCCACGGCCCTTTCGCCGTTGGGCAACGACTTTTTGGTAGAACGCCTTTTTACCCGACGCTTTCTTCTTCTGGATGGAGGCATATTTTGTCCTTATTTTGTCGTCCGAGTAATCCCTCATCACTTCACCAAGTATAGTTTGTCGTCGTTCCTTACGAGTGAGTCTCGCGCTAAAGAAATCGGCGGGGCCTTCGATAATCTGGCCGACTTGGGAGTATTTCGGTGCCTCTGCCCTCAGAGCCTTCTTCTGGTGCTTCGGGTCTAGCAGGCCGCGCATACGGAGAACCTGCCAGTCTCTCCTAAACTCTGGTGTTAGAACCGTCTTGGGAAGGTCAAACCAGTTGCAGCCGGCAGAATCCTGATCTCGAGTTAGCAGCTGAAGCGGCAAATCCATGTGCTTGTTCGATGTGTTGTGAGTCGGGCACTTTGCCAAGTGCACACGGCTCGAAAAAAACAGTGATTCAGAGTAACTATGATAATAAAAAGATTCATGGAGTCACGAGGCGTTTATCCAAAACGGAAGATACCTCGTGTCAGGGTACCGAAAGAGGTTCCTTCTCATCACAATCAAAAGGGTAGGAGGCTAGGAAACGACTGAAGAAACGGGGCCATACCTTTGCTTCTGTGGTGCTAGTTTTCTCCTTCTTTGCGACACGAATAGACCCTTCTTTGCCTTTAGGTACTGTGGCAATGACGGGAGCGATAGCTTCCACCTTGTCCAGGGCAACGTCGCTTAGTTCGACGGTCTTGGGATTGCCCGCCAGGCATCGTTCAGCTTGGAGCAGTAGCTCGGACATTTGATGGCTGCTTAATTTAGCCATGATGGACTACCATAGACTCTGTCAGTGGTCCAGCCAGCTGCCAGAGGGGACGTATGGATGGCTGAAGTGGTTGCGAAGAACACTGATTGTGCTAGAGAAATTGGAAGGAAAAGTTTCTGAACGCCAACAAAACAATTTGGGCGTGGGGCCAGTATGGATACGGCCATACCTAACTTACTCTGGGTGGCTAGATTTCGAACTTGTACTTTTACTATTATTTAACGTGTGGAGGAACCTTCCAGGCGGACAACTGGGTCTTTTTAGCGCACTGGGTGTACACAGTGCGTGCGAACCCACCCAATAAGTGCGTTTTGGCCAATCATTTCAAGAAAGCCGGCCTGTGCGGAACAGGAAGCAGGCACTGTGTACCGCGGGTCATTGCCGGAGTTTAGTTGGCTGCGTACGGGTACCCAGCCAAACACATCGCACACGCTCATATCGCTTCTTCACCGCGCGCATTGCTACAATTTGATTTGCGCATAGATCTACCATATTTCGACCAATTGAATAGCGGGTGACCGTTGCAAAGTCAAAATTCATCGAGTGCCATTCCGAGAGAGCCAACAAATAGCAGTGCTTGTATAACTTGGCAACGATGGACTCACAGAACCAATCGGCGCAATCCCAACAGCAGGGACGCCCTGCGCCAGTCTACGACACAACCCAGGGCGGCCATTATGGTGAGAACTCCCTAGCATTGGCCTAAATTTCGCCATGATACTGATAAGGATGACTAGGTGCTTGTGCTGCTGTATGTGCATTATCAATGTGGCCATCATGCTCATCCTCTAATAACAACACAGCTAGCCACGCAAGGCTTCGCGCCCGCAGAATTGTACACAGGTCCTTGGGCAAATGTTTGTCAAACCCGCGCTCCTATCGGCTGATATCTTGTACTGACACACATGGGCCTACAGGTTCACCAAGGTCTCACTGGACAGTACAAGGACATTTTAACAACTTACTGGCAACAAACCATTACTCACCTGGAGAGTGAGACGCATGACTACAAAATCCACCAGCTACCCCTGGCACGCATCAAGAAAGTGATGAAAGCTGATCCCGAAGTAAAGATGATCTCGGCCGAGGCACCGATTCTTTTTGCCAAGGGTTGTGATGTTTTCATCACTGAACTGACTATGAGGGCCTGGATCCACGCTGAAGAAAACAAGCGCCGCACACTCCAGCGTTCTGATATTGCATCTGCGCTGGCGAAGTCGGACATGTTTGATTTCCTGATTGACATTGTGCCGAGAGAAGAAGCCGCGTCTCACGCCAAGAGAGCGGCTGCACAGCCCGCAGCACCAACTGGAAGCGGCCAGGGTCGAATGTCTGCCAACATGTCGCAGCCCAACTCACACCCGATGGCGGGAGCTGAATACATGGGTGGGCATGGAATCGCAAACGAACAGGATTACCGCCAGAACCCCAGTCTTTATGCCGGCCAAGTACCCGCGGCACCTTCTGCTGCCTATGGCCAAGCACAGGCGACGGGTACAATGTACGGCGAAATGGACAATATGTACCAATATCCGGGCATGCAAGCTCAGCAGGTAAGCTCATGAGTATCCTTTTCACTTCGACTCTGACATGATTCAAGGCACAGATGACATCCGAAGAGTTTGAGTGAGCTGCGGTCATATCATCGCAGCGAGGCATGGCACCCGGAACATACATGCTCTATAGTTTCCATGGTTTTGTTCTTCAGCGCGTGGATTGTGGGAATACGGTATAATTCGTTCTTTTTTGTATTCTTTTTTCTCGATAGCACCTTTCTCCAAATACAAGTGTGATCCGTGCAGAGGCACATCCACGAAATTCTCTCGCCTTTACAAGATATACAATTACAGATAGCTCATTTCATCATTCCAAACCTGGACGACAGATTGGATAGCGGCGCACTTCTGGTAGAGGCCTGGGTAGCACTGCTGTTGAGTCTGTAAATGGTTAGCATTCTACGCAAACACGAAGTGAAATATCTACCGGGCATACTTCTCCAGAAGGACAGGACCGTTGAGGGCGTCGACACGGTTGTATTTTTTATTTCGCACCGACATGTCGTAAAACTCCTCGTGATTTTCTGATTGCAGAAGATTTACAGTTTGTTGCAGTTCGTCCAGATTTTCCTTCAGCATTTCGCCGTTCTCTAGACTACTGACGAAGTCTGTCAAATATCGGACGTCCTGAGCCAGAGCCAATACAGCACTGGAACTGATGGATTTGACCTCCGGGGAGAGTGGTAGCCCCTGCCATGGTCAAAGTCAGCGCGTCAGCCAGTTAGGTACTTGCTGGATAAGTAGGTTCGTACCAATATTTTATTCGCAGTGTGACTCAGCGCATCAAAGTAAATGAGCTCCTTGATTTCTCGGGGGAGGCCTAGAAGAGTAGAGTTCATAATATTTGACAGGTAGCGAGTAAGTGTCTGCATGTAGGAACTGGGCTCTAATGGATCCGTTGTCGTAAACCTGTTAAGTAAAGGTTAAATTCTGCAACAGACCAGTCAGTATCGCATCTTACCAGTCGTATTCAGCCGTGTCCACCAGATCATCGATCTTCGAGTTGACAAGTTCAAATATCCTCTTCTCTGCGGTCTTTTTGTTATTTCGAAATTCTTCAGTGGCATTAAGCTTCAGTGGGCCACCAGCAGAGGCGGAAGATCTTGCGCTTATTAGAAGAAGCTCCAGCTCTTGGCACGCTGTTTCGAAATGTTCCAGGTTGATCAGAATTTGAACAATTTGACCAAGATATTGAGAGCTAAGTCGTTCGACGAGGGACTGGCAGACTTTTTCTGTCAGGAGACTATCGAGGGACTGCGCCAGGGTCAGCAAAGAACCACCCTCGTGCAAGTGAAGAAGCGTGCAATTCGTGAGAGTTAGAGTGGAAGAGGCATACCTTCCGCAGCGATTCGTCAATGACATCCGAATGCTGAAAGTGGTCATCGGAGAAGAAGTAGAATTGGTTGAGAAAATTTTGAATGTCGATACAACAAAGGGGGTACATTTGAGAGAAAGGGAGGACACAAGGGAACCTAAAAGTCAATTAGCGGATGCTTGCGCAAACTTGCGGACATGCGCCTACGTGATGCTTTCGACATCTTGTTCAGGCGTATACCAGCTGACATTGAGGACTTTATCGAACTCCTCTTGTGAGTTAATCGCCATGGGCATGTAATCGTCTGTTGATACGATCTAGATACACGAGATTAGGGGTGAAGGAGGAGGGAAAGGTCAGGAAGGAGTACTTCTTGAAAGTCATCACTGAACCTGCGCCTGAGAAGCTCGGCATATTTGTCGAAGAGCGCGAGCATGAAAGTCTCTAGGCTGGAAACAGGATATCCATATCCCTGGAATATGATCAGTTGGAATAGTCAACGTGGGCATACCACCATACCTCCATTGTTTGGATAAACAGGGCGACAATCCCTTTGATCTTGAGTAGCACCTCGGCATTCGTAACATCGATTAGTGATTTTGAGGCTACGTTAATGGCTGTACTGCACATGGATTCCCACAGCTCTTCTACTTCAATAGCAGACCGCAGATGCGGGACACGCCGCATTGTGGCTTTTTCAATAATGGCAAATCCAGTTATGCCTTCCAAGAGACTGCTGAGTGACGATTCATCTTCAGCAGATAGGTCGATTGAACCAGGTAGTAGCAAGTCCTTTTGCTGTCGGCGCGTGGCTGCATACTCTGAACGAAAGCGATCTGCCTGATTCAAGGCTTCGTGAATATGGACAGCCTCAAAGAGGGGAGTGAATGCGATTTGAAGTTCTTCATTGTCTAGTACATCGAGCTCTTCGCTTTCGTCGCAAACAAGTTCAATGGACGAATTGAGCTTAAAATTGGACAAGAATGAATCTTCTTCGACCCTTTTTTTCTGCCGTAACCGTCTTTGCTCGGTATAATACCAAGCAAGTTCCCCAAGGAATTGAGACGCTTCTCGGATGCGGAAAAGCCAGGTGTTAAGATCAGCCATCACTGCCTCGGAAATCGCTTTCCTAGAAGCGGGGATAGACTTCTGGATCGCATCGGCGAGCCTGTGCTGGGTGGCGTAGCGGTTTTGTAATATTGGAACAAGATGCTCATTCTGGAGATCCTCGAGCGATTTCAGCGCTGAATAGTACTGTTTGCGCCGCACAAGATCATGTGCATAGTTGACAGCGTGGAGCACCTTGAGTGACTCCTTTAAAGCGTCGGAGGCATCTGAGATGTTTTGTCGGACGGCCTTTGTGTTTACTAGCGCGCTCTTTTGCTCCGCGAGCTGCTCAGTACTTGATTGGATAGATTGATTGAGTTTCAGAATCTCGGCAATGAGCGCAACCGCGTCTTCGCGGACATTTTGCAGTTGATTAACAGAGTCTAGAAACTCCTCGTGCTTCGTCATTCCGATTCGCTCGATGTCTGCTTCGCGGTCTCCTGTATATTGATTGAGACATTGTATTAGTGCCGGAGTTCTGCGAGAGTTTGACGCATCCTTCAAAACAGGAATGAGGTGGTCAAGGAAGTCCCCATCTGATGACGACAGAACGATCTGTCTGGAATTAGCAAGGGGCATCGCGTTTAACGTCGAGAGGCAATAGTACCTGGGGCACTGCGGAAGCATAGTCATCAATAGCCTCTGTTCGTCGTGGCATATTGTCGTGGTTGATTACAGACGCCGTCTCGTGTGCTTGTCGTTGCAGCAATCGCGGGTGAGAGTTGGGAGCATCGCATGTTGAGTCGCTCATCAAATGCCCCACATCGCGACTGGGTACCTCTCTGTGATGGGTGGGGTGAAACACGAGCCATATCACTACCTATGTACTTTTGCTGGCTCGTGACATCGATTTAATTCAGACGAGACTTGGCAAAACATAATACACATAAATGCTAAAGACCTATTTTGGCGCGGGCTCTAAGCTGTTTGCTTCTGCTCAGCTGCCAGGCAAGCAGCGTAGGTTCCTACTCAGGCGGACGGCCAGGTCGACACAAAAGAGAGAGTATAGCCGCAAGTCACACAATAACCCGGCCACCTTTGCAGGATCGAACCGAAATAGGGGCTTGAGGCTAATATGGCATGTGATACACAGCACATGACAGAACTTGAGTGTGTGCTAGTATGCAGGACAGTGTCAAGTGCTAGAAATGAATAGGCAGAAGCAATTCGACGCTAAAGTACGACGGAATACGTCAAGTAGGTAGGTAGGTTTGTAAACGAAGTGTTATAATGGGCGGGCACTGTTTTTCACTGATCAAACTATCATCAGTTCAATGCTAGCTATGTCCAATGTGCAAGGCACATAGGCCACAGTCGACCGACCTTCGAGATAGTAATGAAAGAGTTTGGGCTGCCTAGAAAGGGGAGCTGAACAACATTATACTCCGAAATAACCCTTGCAACTTGCCACGCTTACTGCAGCTGCTGAAAACGTGTGCGTTGGGCGTGGCCCTGGTTTGCTACTAAATCTTGCCAGGTGCAACGGGCCGTCAACCTACAAACGTCCTCCTACACACACCTCGGGTTTCCCTTTCAAAGTGCAATCCTTTACAACCTTGCAAGAAACGAGAACACAGACGCATAAGAATAGATCGATTTATACAGACCTATGGCAGCTCGAGCCACCAAGATTTGCGGAATGCCCTTTTCATCTCCATCCCCCTCCGGAGAGGGTGACTCGTCTGCAGGCTCTCCAGATACCAGACTAACAGCGCCATCACCCGGTGAGCCAATCGAACGAAATGTGGGATCCCTCAGGCATCAGGGAAGCATTCTTGATGAACCCCAAAACGAAAAACAAGTCGTTCATTTCAGCCAGGGTGAGCGACGAGCGCGAGAGAAGGACCCGTTCGTCACGCCAGGTCGGGCGTCAAAGAGCGGGCTCTCGCCAACTGCCTCTGCCTTCAACCCATTCCATATTGCCACAGATTTTTTCGAAGAGATGCGTGTGCCAGTTAACATGCTCAGTCACACCATGGGATTGTCCAGATGGCTGAAAATCATCGCCGAGCAAGCCATTACTCCACAGCAGGTCAACCTCTGGCTTCAAGTATGTGTATATTGAGCTGGAAGTATCAACTACCATTGCTGACCATAAATAGGATCTGGAGAAAGTGTCCAGAGTTTCCCATGGAGAAAAGAGAATTCTCGAAAGAAAAGGCATAGTTGGAGTCTTTTTCGAGGACATCAGAGACGCATGGAATTTTCAAAGCCAGACAAGCTCCTCCACGCTGGGTTGGCAAGTAGTCCATGTAAGCGACAAAATGCTAAACTGAATCTATTCACGATCGATATTGGAAAGCTGATAAAAGTAGGATTCCTCGGCCGAACTATACCCCTTACCTCGAGATAGTGGCCAGTTGGTGGTGTTGGCTACTGTGCCAGCAGGGTCAGCTGCCAGCGCCGAAGAAGTGGCAGCAGAAGTCATGACGAATCTTCGGGTCCACGGAGAAATATTTGCGTTTCAAAAGAAAATGACATATCGAGATGGATCTTTCAGGGGCATTGTGGAATATTGTGACGTTTTGGCTGCCAAAATGGCACTCGCCCAAGCCCCGACGTCAGAAGGACAGAGCGTAAGTTCTGGTACACTTCTTTTGGAGGAACGAATCTTAACACTCGACTAGGGAGTTAGGATTGTTCTTGCCACCTATATGGAAGAAGACTCAAACTCTTCCGGAAACGGGTTGAGAATCTATGACACTCCTCGCGCCTCCAATCCGGGCGCTAGCTGGGAATACGGACTTGCCGACTCGAAGCAGAACTTGATACCCCAAGCCAATCTCTGCCTAAATACCCCTCTTGCAATGTACCCGGTAATTGCACAGCCCAATTATACGCCAAATTTCCCGTACTTGGTGAACTCGTTCATTGCTAGCGGGCCAGGTGCTGAAGTGGCGACCCTGTCAACCCCCATCTCGCCGACTTACCAGAGAGTGTCAGCTGCTTATCGAAAGCCTCCCTCTCCAGCTCTCACCATCCATAATGGATTTAGTCCATCGAGATCCAATTCAGACCTCGGTAAATTGGATCGGCGGCAGCATGCTGCGCGAGTAAACAGGAACGCTTTCCAAAGCCCGAGCAGTCACCACAACCATGTGGATGTTCATCGCATTCGAGAAGGAATTGATGTCAGAACAACGGTATGCTACTTGGTTGTTTAACTTTGGCGGAAACACTCTAACCTTTGCAGATTATGTTAAGGAATATACCCAATAAAGTAGACCAAGCCATGCTCAAGCGAATTGTCGACGAATCCAGCTGGGGCAAATACGACTTCATGTATCTCCGCATAGATTTCGCCAACGACTGCAAGTATGTCCAAATTCGCCATTGCCTCGTTTTGATTGAAGATGCTAATGCATTCATAGTGTTGGATATGCGTTTATTAACTTTGTTGATGTGAGTACCTGAATGCGCTCGGGAACAATTGCAACTGACACCAAACAAGCCTCTAGATATTATCGATGTGAGTTGCGCAGTTTTTGAAAAATACTCGCCCGCGCTAAATAATTTTACACAGTTTGTTGAGGCGCGTGGTAATCAACGATGGTGAGTGTGATTGCTACACTTTTAGAAAGAGCGCTAATCTTTGGCCAGGAATTGCTTCAAAAGCGACAAGGTGGCCGAGGTTTCGTACGCCAGTGAGTCTAAGCGGCCAACCACAGATCATGCCCATACTAACCCTTCAGCAGCTATACAGGGGAAGGATTGCCTGGTGCAGAAGTTTCGAAACAGCTCCGTGATGTTGGAGGCTGCGCACTATCGACCCAAAGTAGGCAGAGATGCAGTCACGCTCTCAACAATGTGCTGATGTGCTTGTATAGCTCTACTTTACCTCAAATGGCCCGATGCCAGAAATGGCAGGTCAAGAAGAACAGTTCCCAGAACCAGATAACCAGTCGAAAATGAAGCGCAGCTGCGAAAACGCAGAGCATGTCGGTCAGTAGCTAATAATGGCTTCGTGTAACAGTGAGGTAAAACTTTTACAGGACTCTTCACCCCGAACGCTGGACAGCATTTTCGTGATGAGCAGCGACGCAGACGTTCGCAGTACGATCGAGGTACCCGCCTGGCCGCTCTTGAAGAATACGACCTGGAGGCCATTCAGCATCTTTACATCGGTAATGAGAGAGGGGAATAAATTGAGAATGACATTCAACCATGTATATGCTCGGCCGCGAAAGTGGACGTTGAACGCAAGTGGGAGCTTTTTGCTATCTATCGCTAAATGTAATGGGGGATTAACAGGAGGGCAAAATAATGTAATGATGCAGAAACTCGCTATATACAGTCAACTGAATCGCTGCAGTAATCATTAAGACAGGAATCCTTTGCTCTCAATTATCATATATCATTAATATGTACACGTCGTCCTGGGCTCCGGATCATTAGAGCAGTCTTGAGGGCGCACCGGGAGGGGAAGTGAGGATCAATGGCGGTCAAGACAATCCGGGGCAAGAAACATCTTCTGGTAATGATGGGAGCGGCTTACGGGAGTTGGTGTACCGAGAGCCCTTGTCGTATCCCGTTGCTTGTATGGCGGATAAGTGACCACTTGCCTGCCAGTCCGGCACGTTATCGTCCAGCTCATCGTTCGGTGTTAAAGGAGGAGACGGTCGCTGATAGCTGTAGTCGTCCACGTTCAACCGGGAGGCAGCCATGGGATTCTCGAGAGGGGGCCTTGCCGCATGAGGTTCCGGCGTGGTGGGCGTTCGGGCATCTTGGAACCTGGGCGATCCGCTTGGGTACATGTCACGCCTCTGCATCGAGGCCAAAATTTCCGCAAACGCTTCACTTGTGCCCATTCCCTGGTCCGAAGGCAAGCCAAGATACGGGATCGGAACGCCTCTGGAGAATATTACCAGCAAGAGACAAGAAAGAAGTAGCACGGCTTGCACAATTGCCATGCGTTTCTGGAACACAACCTCGTCAGCCAGCACGTGCAGCCGGGAGCTGAGCGCTAGTATGTCCCGCTGTGACTGGTCTTTCTGGCTTTCCAGGGCCAAGACAGTGGACTGCCAAATCTGATCATACTGATCTCTGAAGTTTCGTAGCTCTGCTAGAACTGTCTGGTTCAAGTCCATCAGGACAGAGGAGATCTTTACAAGCTGTTTCTGTTCAGATCGCTGAAAAGCGTCTTGCACATGCCTAGACTGCTCTTCGACGTATTTGAGCGATAGTGTCAGATTCGTTTCCACCTGTTGTAGACGCTTCGTCACGGAATTGAAGAAGCCCTCTTGGACAGACGGTGGCGATGGGGTGGCGATATTCGTCGCATTGCCTCTAGACCTGCTATTGGAGGCGGAGGCAGCCGGAACTTTTCCGGCGGCTGCCGCAGGCGACAAAGCAGCAGCCGTCGACGTCGTGGAATATTTCGTATGTTTTGATGAAATATTGTCGCTAGCTCGCTCATCTTCGGAATCCGTACTCGGTTGGCTAGCCGATTTTGAGGCCTCAGGGGCTGTAGAGGATGCTGCTATGTTGCCTGAGTTTTCTTGGGGGTTTGATATTATCTGCCATTGTTCAGGCTCACTTATTTGCTCCTGGATGGCCTTTTTGTACTGCTTATTGCTGACATCTTCTGCGACGACGGCGGAGTTGTTCGTGAGAGCTGAAGCCCTGTCCACCGGACACATGAACAAAGGTAGCTGGAGAGGCGTCAACTCCATGAGGAGGCAAATGTCGTTGGCGTCTGCAGTTGTAGTATTGCTCTCCTGAAAGACGGTCGCCTCGGATGAGTTCTCCTGGGGGACAATCGCATTCTCCGCTATTCCATCGATTTCGCCCACAGGGTCGTCGTCAGTCCCAGTCTCACTATCCTTCCACTTGTCGAGCATTCGGGACCCATGAACTCGAACTAAGGAGACAGGGCAGTAATACTCGTTGCTATAATGAGTGAGAAACTCTAGCCTCAGGTATTTGGCCCAAATTTGCGGGTTCTCAACCAAGAATGCTTGTATATCGCGCGAATTTCGAGCCTCAAAAGTTCCCAGTTCCTTCCATTTATCCATTTTGACGGGGTATCGATCGCTGACGCTGACTCTGAAATGGCGTATCATGCTAGAGAAGAACTCAAAGTTGGCTAGAACAATAGTGTCAACCCAAATGTCATCCGTCAGTTCTATGATGACATATTTGTTCGGCGTCGTGCATTCGAGAAGCATATATGTGTCTTTGTTCTCGACCAGAATAGCCTTGGAGTTCTTGGCACCGGAGCTTGTTTTGAGAATCGTGGCTCCAGCATCGAATGACGCGAAAGAAAATCGTTCTTTGCAAGTCTTGCCTGCATCTTTACTGCGGTGAATTGCAGCTTGTTCAACCTCGGCGGATGACTCGTCGGCATGCTCCTCATCGCCGTCGTAGCCATGTACAGCATGCGCCTGATCTGAATGTCCCCCAAAATCTAAAGAAATTTCGCCCTCGTCCCCTAAACCACCCCCCGAGTAAGATTGAAGTCGCTGACGTTCATCACCCTGCGCTTCTGAGCGTTTCACTTGCTTGAGATCCTGGGGATCTTGCCCAGTCTTTTGCAGCATCATTGCCTTCCAATCTTCGAAGGACATGAACGGCGCGGTCGTCGAGTCGGTGTCTGCAGACTCGGGGGTTTCGCTGGCTTCTATTATATTTGTTTGATTCTCGACCGACTCTGAATCGTTAACAGTTGAGGTGGCGTTCGCTCTCGCCGTCGCTGGCACAGTGGCTGTGAGTGGCGTGCTCTCCACCACAGCTGCTGTGCTAGACCAGCTGCTGGTGAGGCATGATTGTGGTAGCGTATGCGTGATATAATTTATAGTCCGCGCTTCGCACTGGCTCGTTCCAGTCAAGTGCCCGTCATGATTTGATCGCGGTTTCGTCCCAGTCTGGGTGGCTTGTGTCGCCTGCTCGGCCGCATGAGTACCAAAGGCCGTGGCAAGAACCAATAGTGCGGTCGCTACGCTTCTTCGAGCGTTTGCGGAAATTAGCATTTTGCCGTTTTTGCTAGATCCATTTGCGACTGCCGTGCGCGAACCTTGCAAGCCGTCTTGCCCTCTGCAAATGGATGGTAACTGTCGCTGTTTGCTGATGATCTGTCCTGGTTTCTGTCGAGGTGGCATGGAGGTGGACCACCGCCTCTTAGTGTGGTGCTGGTGGGAACAACCGCCGTACCTAGGTACATAAGTGTAGTACCTAGTAGGCTTCATTTAGCCCAAGAAGAATGTAGCACCTACGATGACACAACGAGACATGGAAATTTTCATAAAAATCTTCTCATCATGGTAATTATTCGTTCATAGCACTAGTTTTCTCTTCAATAGTGAGAACGCAGCACTTTTGTTGCCAACAGCTAAATATGACATAAAGTTGTTAATGGCCACCAGCGTATCAATGTCAGTATTGCGGCTCTCCACATCGTTGCTCTCCACATCGTTGGCCGCAATCGCTTTGCAGTAGAGATTAGAGGCCAGCTGGCTGAGTCCCAAAAGTTGGAAAAGACGCCCAGTGTTGTAATATCGTTCTGGAAGCGGCCTTGCCCCAGGGCCTTCTCCTGCCTCGAAGTACTGAGAGATAAAGGCTTGTCCTTGCAGAAGAAGATACTGCCGGTTCGTAGACTGTCTTTTCAGCCCATAATGAACGTATGCCAAGCCTAGACTGAGATTGATCATTGGATTGGTTGGGTCAAGTGACCTCGCTCGTAGAAAATAACCTGATAAGAACGATTAGATGAGCGGTTGACCTTCCCCTCGAGGTACTTACTGATGGCATATGTATAGCTTGTGGATGTGAATAGAATGTGACCGTACAGCATTAAAAGACATACATCCATGTCAATTTTCAAGAATGTAGGCTCCCCTGCCTCGGATGAGTCAAACTTTGTGGAAAAGAGCCCTTCGTAGCTGTTGTCGATACTCCGAATCTGCCGTAAAATAAACTTCTGCGCCGGACCTGAAGTGTACCAGGAAACAGGAGACTGGCATAGTCTTGAGAGTAAGGCAAACATCCGATTTGCATCGGACATTACCCCATCTCTCATCAGATACCTGGCAATTGCAACACACCGCTCTTCATCGTTGGTATAGATAGCACAAACTAGGCTTGTTAGAGTTTGTCAATTAGGACGCAACCAGATAAAACATACCAGACCATGCAATATAAATTAGAAATTCATGATTTGAAGCTCGAAATACCACCGAGTCTTTAGCTGCTTCACACACCTGATAGGCCTCTTCCCGTTGTTGATTCTCAGCAAGCCCAATGGCATAATCCAGAAAAATATTCAGCCAATTGTCGAATGAAATGCCCTGATGCATTCCTTGCTGGGTGCCCGTCATACCGCTGTCGGCTTGTGGTGCGAGGGCTAGCATGGTTGTCAGTCAGAGATCATTGGGCCTGGTAGATAGCTCCGCGGCTTACATCGCGTCAATCGCTCATACATCTTGGACAATTCACTATCTGGCGCTCGTGAGGTCATCGGTATGGATGTAGGCTTCTTCCTGAGGAAGTGGAGGTACTTGTCCCACGAATAAAACCGCTTCAGTGATCTGAAGTCGTCAACAAGGTCTCGCGATGCATTCATCCACTCTCCAATAAGATCAAGTTGTCCTTGCGAAATTCGAAGTTTGAGGTCTCTCACAATATCATACTGCTTCGACAGCTTGATAGCACGGGTTTGCTCATCTTGACGCAATGCATCAGCACCCGCTAGTCTCTTGGGCCGATAACGTCTTGGAACACGCGATTGTTTGTTTGGGTCCACCTTGGTAGCACTCTGATCATTCTGCGAGATGCGGCGTCGCGATTGCTCTTGGTGACTGCTGGATCGACCAGCGGTCTCCATTCTTCCGTGGCCTGCTTGGTGGCTCTGTGCATCCTGTAACGCCATGGCTTCTGCCGTCAATATGAGAGCCTCCTCGCCCTCTTTCGCCTGTTCGTACACATTAGCTAGCTCGATGCGCGCATCTATAGAATCTTGATCGGCATCGATAGCGGCAAGAAAGCACTCCTCGGCCTTGGATTGCTCTCCGGCTAAAATGTAACATCTGCCGAGCTGCAATAATATCGTCGGATCTGGGGTATCCGAGGTCTCTCGGAAGGTCTCAAATATATGTGTGGCGATGTCTGAAACGCTGTTCTTGAGGAGTTCCTCGGCAAGATCATACGCGACAGTTGGAAATTCGGCAACGAAATCTCTGGTCGCTTGTGCAGAAGGGTCGAGAAGTTGTAGGTGTATCTGACAAGTGTCAGATATATGGTTTTGTAGGCTAATGCCTTGATATATCTTACCATGGCTTCATTCTTCTCCAAAAGTCTTAATCGTAGAATAGCTAGCCTCATTCTGAGATCGAGTGGTAATAATTCGCCATACAGCGATGGAGAGAATAACGACTCAGTAAAATCGACAATTTGTCTTCGTCTCTTGCTGTCTATATCCCATTCGCGGTCGTCGTCTTGGAGCTCATCCCAATATGCCTCTGCGGCCCGACCAACCATCCATCTGGCAAGGGCTTTGAGCTCTTTGATCGTTTCACGGTAGCTACCGCTCGACGCGCAAAAGTCTATATAAATGCCAATGTCGTACCAAAGCCCCTCGAATCTGTCTCCTGGTCCGTCCGGAATCACATGATCGAAAAAGCGCCGGTATGCCATTTTTGCAGATGCAGTGGCGGGTGGATTGTCTTTGTTATCGACGCATGTTTCTGCTAGCTTCCGAACAATATCGAGATCAACAGGCCTTTGCCTTAGGATGTAATTGTACTCCAATATTGCTTGCGCGTAGTGGCCCTGCTCGTGGCACACGGATGCCTTGCCCAATCTTGCTTCCACGTTGTGGGGGTCAGCTCTCAGAGCCGCCGAGAAGCACAGCCGCGCTGTCTTCAAGTTCGCCTCTTCACTTCCTCCGACATTGTCGAGTGCATAAGATGCACATGACATCCAGCCGCCGATATCTTTCGGTCGTAAGTGCGCAGCGTACATCATCGCTGCGAGAGCCCGATCCAGCTCGCCTTGCTCCCTGAAGATCGCTGCAAGAGCCGTCCATGCTTGAAAAGTTTCAGCATTGATTCTAATCACCTCGGATACAAGCTCTAGAGCGCGATTGTATTCGCCCGCTAGGAACGCCTGGTTGACTCTGGACAGACGGGCGGTGATGTCGCCACGAGGTTTTGCAGCCTTTCTTGGACCTCGGGACCCCCTCCCACCGCGAGTTGGTCTATCATAGGCATGTGTGTCCCTGCTACTTTCGTGGGATGCTAGAAATTCGCGGACAGACTCGTCGAACTTCGCAATGTCGCCCCGGAGCTCCTCAAGATCAGAGTCGGCATCGGAGTTGTCATCGTGCGTCATGCTCGCCATCGTACCACTCACTCAACTGGTAAGCAAATCGAACTTTGCAGACGACACAGGGCATAAATGCTTCAATGTGCAGGACGGTGAAGAGTGGCGAATGACCTTGCCGGACCAACGACAAGTTACAACGACGTAAGAATGGGTGGTGTGTGGATTGAGCCCGGGATCCAATATCGTTTCAAGAAAGCCTTCTGTAGGGCTCTGAGCATGCAATCTAGCCTGCTTCGAATAGACTATGGCGTAGATTGTACGGGCGTCCTATGCGTCACTGGACGGATCTGAAAAACTGATGCTGCGTGTTCTCGTTCACTCAGTACCTAGCTAATGGGAGTAGTGGGTTTCAATACCTACTAGGTAGCCACTTATCAGGCACAACGGTAAGCTGTTATTATCTTGCATGTCGCTCTGTGTTTTTTTGACCGTGGATCTCGTGACCTGGTTTTGCTCCTCCTCCAGTTAATACAGGGTTAGGTCCATGGAAGTGGACCCACCTTTAGACAACTCCTTTAATATTATTCCGAAAAGATAAATGAAAAGATAAACCACAATATGCATTAAAACTCGTAGAATGGTGTACAATAGTCGAATAAGCCTGCAAGATTATGCATTTTCCATTCAAAAATCCAAACGCAGATCTAGAGTCGTGATAAAGCTCATGACTGTCCAGGCCATATCGTCTACAGTCTCTAGCTTTCCAGTCATGATGCTAGTGGACGGAACAAACTGGTCATCGCCTCTCAAACACCATCGTTGTGCCCAGCCTGTACCTGCAGAGTAGGCACTAACCGATGCGTCCTTCAGCTTTGGCGTCTATACACGAGTTAGCGGCAAGTTTTTGTGTGGTGCGATTCCAACGCACCCCTAACTTGCTCAAACACCTTGAGCATCTTCCTCCTTGCACCGAGGGCATTCACTCCGCGGTCTTCCAGAGCCTTGTCATCCAATTCAACGAGATCCGTCCATTTCATGTCCTTCAAATTGTCCGTGTACTTGTGTAGGCGAAGACTGCGGAGCCAGCTTGGAATATCTTGAAGCAGAGTTGGGTCTGTGGGATCCTCTGGTGGCTTTGAGCTACCCCTCCGGCCTCTGGGTGACCGACCGCGCACCATATCAGAGTGGTCCGACAAATAGCCTTCGTGTCCAGACAAGGCTAGCTGTCCCAAGTTGACAGCGGGAATGCCGCTGTTCATGACGCCGGAGCCGTCATAGGCGCTTAGAAAGCCGTTGTGCTGAGGCGAAGCGAACTGTGCCATCTGCCCCATGGGCTGCTGCAGGACAAGCCCAGGGGAGTTGGGTCGCGGACGATTGCCGAGTCCGAGTCCCTGTTGAGCTTGCAATGCGAGAATCTGCTCTCGGCTCAGCACTTGGCCATGCTCATTGATCATGACGACATTAGCACCCGGAATATTGAGACCGTGAGCGTGGGCAGGTGGCGATGATATTTGATTGCTGCCGGGCGCATCGTTTGAACGAGCTCTTCGGTATTTGCGAGCATCATCGAGTGCAAAGCGATTGTTTACGGTGGAGAGAGCAGCCAGCTTCATAGCAGTCGCATTCGCTACCATATCAGCTTGCGATCCCGGTTGCTGGTTGGTGCTGAAGGTGGATGTCATCGGCGTGTTCACCATAGATGCCCAATTGCCGCTGCCCCCACCGTTATATGGAGAGAGCATTGGAAGGTCAGATGGGTTCTTATCAGGAGCAGCGAGAGTAGTGTTTTGAATGGCGGCATTGTTTCCCAGTTGAGGCAGCGGTGACCTCAGACCCCCGGAAGATACAGGCTGCGCAAATTGGCCCATGGCTGGTTGAGAAGCAGTGGCTTTGGAGTTGTTTGGATCTGAGCCCCATGGCGAAACGCCTGATCCAACGGCTTCTCGGGGGTCTTGGTGAGCTGCCATCGACGATCGGGGATCAACAGCGGTACTATTTCTGTTGGAAGAGGGTGGATTTCCGGTTTTCTGAGTAAACTTGGCCTTTTCAGTAGCAATAGCAGCCGCGGCGTCTGGAAACATGGCATTGATTGTCGAGGAATCTAAGACGGAGTGGCGTTTCCCCGGAGCGGCAGTGCTAGTAGAGGCGCGAGTAAATGAGTTTCGGGACGAGTCAACAGTCAGCTTATTCATCGCATCACTTAAACGGTTAGACATGGGATCTAATACAAGAGTTAGCTTCGTGCACAATTTCACAACCAACATAGGCTATTACCTTTGTCGAAGGTAGCGGGTGAGAGAACGCCGGACATGGGGTGGTTCTTGCCCATCTGCTGCAGAACTTGAATGAAGAAACGAATTTGCACCTGCGTGGTTTGCTGGAGCAGAGCATAGAGAGCAGCAGTACGTTCAGCCTCGCTCAAGACACGAAACCACTGCTCGATAGCACTGAGTTCATCCTTGAAGTCTTGATCTAGCGTTGCGGCGGCCATTTCCTCGAGCGTCGTCTCATATTGATCAATGTCGGCAATCCACTGCTGAGCAATCTTATCCTGCGAGTCTGTATCGAATGATCCTTGGCCATGAGACTGCTGCGACTGGCCATAAAAGTCCGACGACGGTCTGATGCGACTGGACGGAGCGGGCCCAGAGATCGAACTCATATCTGCAGAGGCACGAAGAGAGCTAGCAGAGCCTACAGCCCTGGATGAAGGAGGCCGCAAAGAAGACGCAGAGTTTGCCTCAGGGGTGCTGTTCCGATTTCCGATAACGTGGTTTCCAGACATGTTGAGCATTATTCGGTCGGTCGAACGGGGTTGATATCGACCAAAATGTGTTCAGGAGTGGACCAATTATTAACAAGAAGATAAGTCTGCTTGGCTCCTGCAGCAAACTGCTGACCTCAAAGGAGTTCTGATGGAAAGATGACGGTCAGACTATCGCATGTTACTAAACGAAAGGGAATTCTGTGCAGGAGATGTCAGGCGAGACTCTGGGTGGTGGATCGGCAGTGTAGGCTGTATATACCTGCAATAAACATGGAAAAGCTTGTAATGAAAGAAGATTGTCTGCTGCCAGGCAAACAGAATCCGACCCCCGAGGAATATATCGTTGGTGATACAACCAAGAGCCACGGAGAATGGGCTGTGTCCAAGTCAAAGATGAGGTGGAGTTGCGTCGAAACAGCTGGTGTGCCCAAGGCTCAGCGCTTGGTCCGTTCTGGTGTCTTAGGTAATAATGCACCCAGGCAACAGGCATTCACGCCTGAGCCACACAGTCCCAGCCACCGTGCGTAACGTTTGGCGTTTGGGACGTTTGACAGACTAAACGCGGTACATCTTTTGCCATTTCAACATAGAGAGTGTAGATGGATGAGGCATTTATGTCATATTGTTGTAATATGTAGTCCTTGGATCTGCACTGCTACTGTAGTTGGAAATTGAAGTATACTTTAGTTAGCGACGCTAGGAACCCGCTCCTGCCCATTGGTTATAATACCTTAGTACATAGGTACATGGATGATAGTGAGAAGTGAGTGGCCTGGTTAAAAGTACCTAGGTACCTAGAGGTATGCAGCCGTAACTACAAATTATTTCAGGTCGCATGGTACCGGCCCCTCGGATTTCCTACGTTACAGACTAGATGGCCAACAGGGCGAACATAGGAAATCCGGCAGCAACAGTCGCAGATGGCGCAGCCTGGCGAGTAAGGTGCCTGGCAATTGTATGGACCAAGCTGTCCCCTTCGGGTCCCGGATTCGATAACCGAATTGTTGGGTGCGTCCCGTGATTCATGACATAACTGCTTCTGTCCGACGTTTCAGTTCGTTTGTGTCGACGCATGTCGACACCGTTGCCCGTCCCAGACACTACAATCGATACATTCGCGACGCAAGATGAAATAAACCGCAGTTGTCAGTCGAAAATGGTGTTCTTTTTTCATTTATTTACCAGCAGAATAACAGGCAGGCTGGAGAGATCGACTGAAACCTCATTTTTCATCCCATCTAATGCATTATTCCGTTAAAACTCCATGAACCAGTTTAATTGCCCTCCTTGGCCTCTTTCTGTTGTCGCAATTAGCAATCCGACTTTGGTCAATGAGAAAGTCATGAAGAATTGCGTACCAGAGCTTTCTGGGTGCCGTGCAGGGCATGTCTGTGGTTTCGGCGGAATTTGGGGTCGGTTCCCTTGAGGGAAGGGTAGCGCGAGGTCTTGGGCTTCTTGATGCTGTTGGAAATGTTAAGAATTGTATTGGGATTTAGGAGGATCACGAGCGAAACGAACCCGTTGCGGTGCGCCTTCGCCGTCTGGTTGTGCTGGGAACTGTTCTTCGACTCTGTAGACGAATTGTTAGAATTAATACGGGTCGATTTGCGAACTTTGACGACGACTCACTGGCCATTGCTGCGGTTTGATGGTATGCTGTCAAATGGATCGTACGCACGATACTGCGAACCTCGCGGAAAATGTGTGTGAATTTGAAAGCCCTAGCGAGAGTGTGGGGCAGATGCTGACGTAATCTGGCCTCATAGTGAAGCCTCATCTAGATTTGACGGCTGGAGTAGCCCGCTTAGTCAGCAATCGGCATCAGTTTCTCAATGCGCCTGTCTATGAGCAACCTGGTTGTAGTTATTACACCAACCCAAGCACAAAATCTACGAATACCAGGCCGAGAATTATATGTTGGATTTGAACGCAGTCTTCTAATAGTCCTGAAACAAAACGGTTGGATGCAATGATTCTATTTGGTGACGAGCAAACTGGCGCTAGTCGCTACCTGGCTAGCAACCGCCGCAGCAGCCTGTGGAACGTGTTTAGAGCGAAGGCTCGCAAGCCATCTGAAGAAGAGGACGAACAGCAGCTCAACCCTAACAAGGTGGTTAGCGCAAGAGAAGGGGTCTCAAGGTGCCAGGGACATACCTTTCTTTGGTCATCATGAGAATACCTTGCACCAAGAATCCTTTCGTGATCTGGGGCCCGATACCCTTAAAGAGGCCAATCAGACCTTCATTTTTTACGATGAAAGCCATTACCTCCCCGAAGCTCTCGAAAGGCTTTCCGTTTCTCGACGGGGGCGGCTTAGACTGGAGACCGACCTTGGCGACAATAAGGGGCTGTGTAGCAATGGTTGCCAGTGCCTTGGATGTTGCGCCGAGAACTAATTATGGTTAGGCGTAAATGAGAAGAGGAAACCGTGCATCGACTTACTGAAAGCCTCCCAAGGCCTGAGACTAGTTCTGCCGGGATAGAAGGACTCCTTGAGACGCTCGTAGGCGCCATAGGTGATGGCAGGATTCACAACCAAAACCAAACTGGCTTTCAGGCCTCGCCAGAGACCGCTGACGCCATCTGGGCCTTCGATAACCTCCTTGGCGGTGGCAAGTAGCCCCCGACGATCGGCTTTGCTGGCAGTCTGTTGTCTAGTCGTTACAACGGCGACAGGGATTGTGAAGAGCTGGGCCAGAGCACCAGCAAAGGCACCAAGGGCCAGCTCAGTGGCAGTCGAGTTGGCGGCGATGCTCTTGGTGTAGTTGGTGTATACCGAGCGAACAATTGTGTACCAATAAAAATAGGCAAAGTTGGTTGAGGCGACGCCGAGTAAAGCTCCGCTCATGCCGGTGTAGAGACCCTCGATACCTTCGTCCTTGAGAATTCTGGAAATGGCATCCCAGGTCGAGGTGTAATGCGGCGCATCGCTGACGCTCCTGGGCGCACCCGCCTTCGGCGGTTCTTGAACCTGAAGCTTTGTCTTGACACTGTGACGGCGGTAGTTAGCGCGAGTCCGGCGAGTTTGTAATTGGCGAGAAAACGAACATGTCGAGAGGATAGACGAGGGCATTGGCAAGGACAGCACCGGTTGCACCGGCGACGGCGCCCCCCCAAGGCGAAATGGCAGGCTTCGATTGCCCAGTCATTCTGGCAGCCGGCTACTGACTGGTGCGTGAGACGGTGGACGAAGCGGCAAGACGGCGAGGTTGCTGGAAAAGGAGGAATGCGTCACGACCCCAGTCTAGATAAAATGCTGGATGATTGAAAAGGGGGAAGAAAACTGAAGGATTGTTCGGGTAGAGGGAATAGCAAGCTTCGCTCGGCGGCCGAGAGTGATGGCATTGAACCGTAGCGCTCCGACACAGGCACACTGGACCTCGGTCCCGCCGCCGTGTGGGCCAAGTCGGCAGCATAGTTATGGGTAACTTAGGTACCTACAGTGGGTGGCAACATGTATTGACCCCCTGTCAGGTAGCAGCCAAGAGGCCGCTAGCCTAACCAGGATAGCGGCAGGATGCCGCTTTGAGCCCGAGCTAAAGGTATCCACTTCAGTCCACTGTAAGTCCACTGTAACTCTCTTCAGGGTTAGGGTTAGCCACTTTAGACTAAAGCAGCATTATTTTGATCTTCCTATTTAGGTCTGGTGACTTTGGGGGGGTCGAAAACATGTTGCCACCCACTATACTACCTAATCAACCTACCTACACGCGTAAGGCCTGTTTTCTAATAGGGCACTAGACACGTTTTCCACTTAATATGTTTTTTTCCCCTATTATAACGCTATTAGGCTACTACTATATATTAAAGATCTTTTATATTTTTTTAGAAGCTATATTAAATATAAAGGAGTTAGGCTTAAGCCTACTCTAGCTAGACTTAGCCTAAGGCCACTATAGGCATATCCCTAGTATACCCCCTTTATATACTATAGTAGATAGATAGACTAGCTTTTCCTCTTCTCTTATTCTATAAGAGAGTTAATACTATTATAATACCTATCTATAAATACCCTAAGGCTAGTCTTTAATAATTAACTCTCTTCTATATTAATACCTTTCTTACCTAGTTAAAAGAAAAGCTAGTAAGATAAAAGTAATAATAGTAAAACTATAACCTAAATAATAGTTACTAATAGCTAAGGCCTACTAAGTACTCTTAGCTTAGACTATAGTTATAATAAAGTAGAATATATTCTTAAAAGAAGAGCTATAATAACTATAAGATCTTTTTAATACCTAGGCTATAGCTAGCTAAAACCCTTAAAGCTAGATAGTAGTATTAAGAAGTACCCCTTCCCTAGCTAACTTACCTATAATTTAGTAAAAGCTTTTATTTATAAAGGAGAAGTTTAATAGTAATCTTAAAGTATTTATAGAATAAAAGTAAACTATAGTATATAAGCTAAAGACTAATATAGACTTTATTAGCCCCTTAAAATCTTAATTTATATATATTTAGGTAAACCTTAATATTATATTATAACTAAAGGTTATTATATACTTTAAAGTAAATAGCCTTTAAGGTATAGTAGACTTATATAAATTCCTAGAATACCTTAAGATAGTATTTAATAACCTTTATTAATAGTCTATAGTAATAATAAACCTTAATATAATCTTATAAAATAATAAAGAGTCTTTTAACTACTATTATATATACTTTAAATAGAAGTTAGCTTTAGTTAATAGCCTTATATAATTAAATAAGGTTAAACTAAATAAACTTTACTTTATATTATTAACTATAATAAAGATATTTATAATTAGTTATAATATTTTTTAAATAAATTATAATAATATAATCTAGGTACTTTAAAAAATAGTAGTTAACTTTAAATTATATAGAATTAAAAAGTAATATTAGGCTAGACTATAATAAAGACTATAGGGGTAGTATATAAACTATAAAGGGGATATCTAAATAATAAATATCTATACCTTTAGAATTAAACTAATTATTAATAGTATAACCCTAAGTAGTATATAGTCTAGAAAGTATACTATATAGGTATTTAAGGTAGTATTTAATATATATTAGGAGGTAAGATAATACCTTTACTATAAAAGGATAGGCTATATAATTATAGCCTATAGGCTTAAGCTAGCTAGACCCTTAATACTAGTCTATATAAGTAGTATTTTTATAGGGGATTAGTTTAATAGCTTAGGAAAAGAGAATACCTAGGGATAAGTTTCCCTTTAAATATATTAGCTATAGTAGAAAGTTAGAAAGGAATAGATAAGTAAGATAAAGTAGTTTAGGAAAAGATAGCTAAATAAATAAATATTAAACTATTCCTTATCTTTACTATCCTAAAAGTATATATATTAATAAATACCCTTATTAATTTAGGCTATAAATACTATAAAATAATATAAGAAAGGATAGTAAATAGGCTATACTTTAAAAGAATCTTATTATTAACTAAGTAAGGAATTAAGTTAGCTATAAGGGAAAAGGTATTAAAGTTTATAGTATTTAATATAGTAAAGGTTAAGGTAGATATTAATAGCTAGGTATTCTTAGTCCTACTCTATATAATACCTATATTATTAAGGCTAATAATACTTAGACTACCTTAGCTTACTTACTATAAGCTAATAATAAATATAAAAGGGGGCTTTATTTACCTTAAAATAAAACTATATTAGAAGATATATATAAAGAATTATAGAAAGAATAAAGAAGGCTTAGTACTACTTAATAGAAGCTAGTTTTACTACTAGCTTAAAGTAGACTTTAGGGAATACTATAAAGTAATATAGATTATATTAATAAGTATTTATAAGATTAATATTATCCTTTATTAAAAGCTAGTTAAAGAATAGATAGTCCCCTAGTAATATAAGGAGTTTAAAGACCTTTTCTAGGAGGAGGATATAGTAGTATTACTACCCTACTAAGAAGGGTTTAACTATAAGATTAAGATTAAAACTAAGCTAGATAGTATACTAGAATAGCTACTATATAGCTACCTTTACTATATACCTTAAGACTAATTACTAAAACTATAGAAGTAGTTAATATCTTTACTAAATAAAGGCTAAATAAAAGTAAATTTATTTTTAACTATAGTATTAGTACTCCTAATAAAGAAGTTAAATAGAAGGTAGTATTTCTATATAGACTATAAAGGGCTTAATATAATCTTAGAAGATAATAAATACCTACTCCTACTTATTAAAAAGATACTATAGGCCCTTTTAATAATAAAGTAGTATATAAAGCTTAATATCTATTTAGTATTCTATAGGCTATAGATAAAGATAAGGTTTAAAAAGTTTATAGCTTTCTAGACTTAGTTTAGCCTCTTTAAGTAGCTTATATACCCCTTTAGTCTTTTTAAAATACTAATAATATTCTAATAGTATATTAACTATATACTAGGTAACTCCCTTAATAAATATATAATAGCCTACCTTAATAATATCCTAATCTATACCTTAAGGTCCCTATAAGACTATAAAGAGAAAGTATAGGTAATTTTAGGCTACTTTAAGGATACTAGTCTTTATATAGACCTAATAAAGTATAACTTTTTTATAAAAATAGTAAAATACTTAAGATTTATTATATAGGTAAGGATCTTACTAAAGCTAGACCTAGAGAAAATATATATAATCTATAATTAAGAGGTATTTACCTTAGTAAAAGGGGTTTAAAGCTTTAATAGATTTATAAACTTCTATTATAACTTTATTCTAAACTTCTTAACTATATAAGAGCTATTTACCTAGCTAATAAAGAAAGGTATATTATTTATATAGAATAAAGAAAAGGTAACTATATTTAAAATACTAAAATTATTATTCTTATTAAGCTTATACTTAAGCCTTTAAGACCTAATAAAAAAGATACTAGTAGAATTAGATACCTTTAGTATAGGACTAGGTAGCTATTTATTATAGGTTAATAAGGATAAAGTCCTTTAACTAATAGCCTACTACTTTATTAAGCTATTAACTATAGAGTAGAACTATATAATCTATAATAAAAAGCTTTTAATAGTTATTATATACTTTAAAATATAAAAACCTAAGCTTTAAAGGTAAAAAAACCCCTTTATAATCTTAACTAATTATAAAAACCTTAAATACTTTATAAAGCTATACCTACTATTAGAATAATAGACTAAGTAGGTAGAGTTCCTTTCCTAGTTTTAATTCTAGCTATATTATTAACCTAAACTACTAATATAATAACTAAATACCCTTAGCTAATAAGAGGTATATAGGGATAACCTAGAGAGACCCTTAAAGAAGATTATAAGGCTAATTAATATTATAGTAATTATAGTAATAAATATAAGTAAATAATACCTATTACTATTCTTAGACCTAAAGCTCTTAGTATTATAGGAAGATAGTATAATATTAAACCTAAACTACCTTATTAAGCTAGTAGTTATATACTAGGATACCTAGTCCTTCCTAAAGGAGGCTAAGACTTATAAGTAAGTTATAAACTATACTATTTCTACCTATTAAAAGCTTTAGTTTAAAGGCTACCTATAGATTCTAAGCTAGGAATTATTAATAACTACCTTAATAGAGAGGGTATACTCCTTACCTATAGTAGTATACCTAAAGAAGAATACTATATTTTTATTACTTATATAGGACTACTACTAGTCTAGAATATCCTAAGATATTATATACTATATTTAGAATTATAAGTATTTTAGAGTATATAAGTTAAGAAAACTATACTAAGAACTCCTATAGCTAATTCCTATTAAAGAGTAATACTAGTAATAAATCTTAGTTAACTTTATAATAAACCTATTAGCTTAGAAGGAAGGCTAACTATATTTCTTAATAATAATTACTAACTAACTATTAAAGTATATCTAGCTTAAGATAATAAGCTTTATAATAGTAAAGGACTATATAATATAGTTCTTTTTATATTAATAGTACTTTTATAGATTCCCTAACTAAATTATAAGTAATAAAGGATTAAACTAGGTTAGTAAGTTCTTAAGAATACTATACTACTTAACTAATACTAAATAGCTTTTATTAATAACCTTCTACCTTTAAATAGATAGTAAGATAGAGTAAGCTAACTAGGAAGTATAGGTAATACTTTATATACTAGTTATATACTCCTAGTATAACTAGCCTACTTAGCTACTAATAGCCTA